TGAAAGGGCAAGGGGAGTACATGTATTTGCTACACTACAGGTGAGCAACATGCATAATATTATTATGTTGGCGTCAAGCCTTATCCCTATGGATGTCAGTAGGTTTTTAGGGACAGGAGTGTGTATTATTCCCGTGTTACTGCAAGGAGAGAGCGAGGAACAATGTAAACAGATGGGAATAGTTCTGCTTCAGATGGGTGTGTAACTGCCACGGTACCTTGTCTCAGCACTGCGCCCCCATGGGGTCACCCTGGTGTTGATAACCGGCACTCTTCTGTAGTGTACAGAGGTGTTCTCTTTTTTCTGTCTTTCTCTCTATCTATCTACCTACCTACCTACCTACCTATCTAGCTCCCCTCCCCCTCCTCTCTCTCACTCTCTCCTCCCTCCCTTCTCTCTCTCTCTCTCTCTCTCTCTCTCTCTCTCTCTCTCTCTCTCTCTCTCTCTCTCTCTCTCTCTCTCTCTCTCTCTCTCTCTCTCTCTCTCTCTCTCTCTCTCTCTCTCTCTCTGAGGACCCTCCTTCCAGCCATATCCCACAGGCTTCTCGAATAGGATTTAAAAGTAAATGAGACAAGAAGTCAAAAACAGAGCACACGCACATCAAGTGGCACACTGATCACATCGAGGAGGAGTGGCGAACCACCAAGAAACTCGGGTCCCGAGGATATGCTACGACTACAGCAACTGGCAACTGTTGCCTTTGGTACACTCAGGACGCTGTGGATCCATAGCCATAGGTCGCTAGTTTCGGAGGATCTCCGCATCCGGCTTTAAATGCCTTTGTCACAGTGTGTGCTCCCTGTGCTCTGCTGCAGCATGGGCACCAACGAAACAGCAGCTGAGCCGTATTGAGGCCTTCCACAGAGAAACAGCTGCGGGCGCTAATCGGCATCGTGTTCCCGAATCGGATCAGGAACGAGAGGCTCTATGAGCGTACCGGCGCGGTTCCTCTCGGTATGATCAACTTGAGAGGTGGGTGGAGGCTCTTTGGGCACGGCCTCCGGCTCCCGGCTGACTCACCACCACCGCTGGCCATGGGAGTGTACTTGGCAGAGCCTAGTCCAGCGGGCTGGAGGGGACGACTAAGACATACGCCTGGTCCAGTGGGCTGGAGGGGACGACCAAGACATACGCTACAAATGCTACTACAAGATGATGCCAAGCGGATTGGACTTTCCTTGTCAAGCACTTGAAGTAGATCTGGAGGCATTCCGTGCCCTTGCTGCTGACGGAAGCGGGGTACGGGGTGGGCATCTGTGCCCTTGCTGCTGACGGAAGCGGGGTACGGGGTGGGCATCTGTGCCCTTGCTGCTGACGGAAGCGGGGTACGGGGTGGGCATCTGTGCGCATGTGGTATCAGCACACTAGTTTTTATCTTCTTTTCGCATGATGTCTTCTTTTTTCTGTACCTGTTTTGGACTTTTGTATCTACCGTACGGGCAATATATGTTGCCGCAGTGAGGCCATGAAGCGTTACATTGGCACATGTTTGCCGCACGCAGGGCGTTACATGCAAAGTCGCACAGGAGCCGTTACACAGGTTTCTATATTGCCGCAGTCCTTTTTTTGCTATTGCCGCATCACTTTTTTGCTATTGCCGCATCATTTTTTTGCTTTTGCCGCATCATTTTTTCTTCTCATCCACATTGAAGGAACAGAAATTCAGTTGCTATCCAACTGTTACAAACCCGATGGCAAAGGGCAACAACGATATCAATAGAAGACTGTATATTTTAAAGGGGAAGTTAAGGCAAAAATTAAAAATTTCACCAGTTGTAGTCTTCGGGGTGCTGAGTCGAATGGTCTTGGTCCGAGGAAGCTGAGACGATCCCTTCCTACTTGAATCCCAATCGAACTCGCGCACTTCCACCGAAACTGGGTGACTGCGCCCTACTAGATGGGGATTTGTATGCAAAATGTCACTAAAAGCGCCATTTCGTTCTTATAAAAGCACGGATGACCGCGATTGGCCCATATGTTGTAGTCTTTTGGACGCTGAGTCGACTGGTTTTGGTCCGAAAAGGCTGCGATGCAGCGTTCCTCATTTATTCCCAATCGAACATGGTTGAAGAAGCGGTCACGTGCTCCTGGGTGCCAAAATCACCTGGTCACCACGCCAGCAGGCGACAACTTTCACACCAAGGTTCAACTCGAGTGACAGGACTGCACCCAAAAAAGGTCAAAACAGGCTGTAAGTTGTACCCTGCAGGCACGGTGACCAGGTGACTGGTGTACGCAGGAGCACGTGACCGCTTGTTCAACCATGTTCGATTGGGAATTAGGGGCGAACGCTGCATCGCAGCCTTTTCGGACCAAAACCAGTCGACTCAGCGTCCAAAAGACTACAACATATGGGCCAATCGCGGTCAGCCGTGCTTTTATAAGAACGAAATGGCGCTTTTAGTGACATTTTGCATACAAATCCCCATCTCGTAGGGCGCAGTCACCCAGTTTCGGTGGAAGTGCGCGAGTTCGATTGGGATTCAAGTAGGAAGGGAGCGTCTCAGCTTTCTCGGACCACGACCATTCGACTCAGCACCCCGAAGACTACAACTGGTGAAGTTTTAATTTTTGCCTTAACTTCCCCTTTAACTATCAGAGTGATCTGTTCACAAAAAGATCATCAAAAGGAAAGTGACATAGGGGAAGAGCGCTTCCTCCAAAAACTACTGTCACTCACACAGTTAATGAATGTACAACATATTACAAAGTCACCGTGGCTATCATTAGTCATCACTGCTGCTGGAGTCGTCATCGCTGCTCGAGCCATCACTGCTGCTGGAGACTTTTCACCACGCGGTACATGTGCTTTCACAGTTTTCAGCCTTTTTTTTGGAGTGCAAACTGCAATGAAAAGATCGCCGCACCCCGCCGGACGCGCGTTACGAACTCAACGAAAATTTGTCGCACTAGCCTGGTCGCGCGTTACGCCGCACCCCCCTGCGTTACGCGTTACGCGGCAACATATATTGCCAGTACGGTATTCAAAGTGGATTATGCGACTGTGACACTTTTGGCTGGTTTGCATGATTTGCGTGCTGCAGGCCATGCTGATGTCTACGCGAACATGTACAATAATAATAATAGAAGATAGCAGAGTACGATAATGAATTGTGTCACATGGTCCTCTGGAGCTGCTCCCGGCCTTGTGCTATGCTGTCATCATTATAGTTTATACCTTGTCACAGTAAAAATAATAATAATTGTGTACAATAGTCATGTAGATCCGAGTACATTATTCGATTGTACTGATGCGGATCCCGCAAATATTATACGACCTACTTCTTGCGTAGGGATGAATAATTATTAGGGCTGAAACAATTATACCGATAACTCGCATATCGATCGTTAAGAGTGCGATCGATAATCGTTAGTGTTCAAAACGAGTACTAACGATTTTTTATGCATGCATATCAGTGACAGTATTCTAGCCCTTGCACTCCATCCGATAGTGAATACGAGTACAATCATGTACTTTCAAGACTTTCAAGGGCAGTAAAATCGACTTGTGGCTTTGAAAGAGATTGGGAGAGAAAACTTTGTCTTTTTGGTTTATTTGTGCGAGAAGTTGGAGATGAGAGCAGTTGCCAGAGGGTGATGACAAGATTCTTCGCTCTAGAAACAACATGAAATTCTCTACTTGAGTAGTTCATGCTGATAAAACCAGCCAGATATCTACAGATGTCAACAAATTTCTAGCGTAGCAAAGGCATCATAAAATTTCTTTATCAACTGGTGTTTGATAGAGCCAACAAGAATCGATAAAAAATATATATCGATCGTTAATGATACTGGTTGATCGTTAGGAGTTATTGAATGATCGTTTTAGCCCTAATAGTTATCCTATCCACGATGGGAATTAACCGTATTGCGTGACTGATCCTTTCAATGTTCTTATCTTTCAAGTGACTTTTCCTTTTCTACCTGGACTTCTCCTTGGTTTCCCTTTTCTCTCTAGCTCTTCCAGTCTTGTACCTTCTTGCTATTATTCACCTAAATGTGGGGCTTTGAATAAAACAAGTGGAAATACATGATTGTAATGGTCTGTATAAGAGCACAACTAAAATATTTATAACTATAAAATATTGACTAGTTTGAGGGAAAGAAATAATACTAATACTTACTTTATACTGGTAAGTCTACAAGTACTTGTGCAGTGCTGTTTAGTTGTGATAGGTCTGCGTGGGTGGTTGTGTCGTGTTGTTGGCTCGAGGTGGCAGTAACTCAGTCGATCCGGGGCCCCTGCCCCAGGGTGACCATGGTCACTCTTGGAGTCTTGCTGCTGCCTGTGCTGCACTGGGTCGGCTGGTCTCATAATGCTAGCTGATGCTACCACGCTATCGCTGGTACTGTGGTAGTGCCAAGCAGGGTAGGGGGTATGGTGTCCCGCACCACATGTGACATGCCTGGTTGAATGTCACCAAAAAAACAAAGCGACGACGCCATCGACGTGTGGTAACACCAACTGACCAAGTTAGTGAAGAAGAGTAGACGGCCTGGGCATGGGGGGTTAGGGACGAGTCTTGGTAACACGGATATACTGTATACATGAATCATACGTACTACGGTAGTCTGTAGTACTCCAGACCAATATCATTCTACGTGGAGTATTTTACTTTTTAGAGTAAAAATGTGCACTGTTCTCGTCTTGTACTTGTGCGTGTCGCGTGAGGTCCTTACTGTTCCAAGATGATGAGTAAAGAGAAGAAGTGAGTGAGGGCTGATCCCAAGCAGTCAACATGATCCGTGCATGGCCGGTAGATCTGCGACGTAGTGCCTGGATCTGGACTGGATCGAGTGTCTGCTCCGTGTGTGTCTGTGTGCTGTACAGCCAAATCGCCAACACGACAAGAGCATCCACTGTCATCATTAGTGCACTGCATCGTCTGCATGCACGCACTGAGCTCATGAGTCAGTTGCGCGCTTGTGCTATCCATTTCACGGCATGACGCGCGCTAGCGTAGCTCGTGCATGCTAATATCAAGCGGCGTGCATGCATTTTCTTCCCTTCATTTCGGTGTCCCTCCATCCAGCGGGAGGGTGTTGTTGGCGAGATAGTTGATCTAGTTAGGCCAGAGACCGAGAGCGGCGCTTGCTGGCATACAGCGCTAGTTCTCTTAGGTCATGGCCGTCTTGTGATCAGTTGTCCAGACGCTGCTGGGTGTAGGTAAGTAGCGTGCTCCGAATCTTTGATCTCGCTGCCGAGCACTCCAACACCACCATGGAAGTTTCTGTATTTTTGAGAATACTAGTAGTACGCCCTGAATGACATAACCATGATCTGGTGGGTTGTTGTTATCGTCTGCAACGTTCTGTGTGTGTGTGTGTGTGCAGGATTGCTTGTAGTTTCTCAGTCGTCGTGAGCTGTGAACTGGGGCGTTCCGTCACTGTGGTAAGGCAATGTTCCTGACGATCGTGGCCGAGATCGATTGTGAAATCCTACTTGTTTGTTTGTTGGACGGGTGCGAACGTTGCGAAGTCGACCCTTTGATTGCGCGCTCAATCCATTGCTGTTGCTTTTCTGTTCTTTTTCTACTCTGATTGGGTGCGCTGTGGGTGTTAGTCGCAACGACGACCTATCACAAACCCTTCTGTCCTATTGACGGTTGTAGTATGCGTGCTCCAGCGATACAATAGCTATCACTATTCACTAGTATAACTGGCACGGACGAGTGGTTTGTTCTCGCAGCTCCAGGAATATTTCATGTGCAGAGTAATAGAGTGCTCCTTGCTGACGGGTATCTCGAAAGTAATCGTTCAAGTCCCACGCAAAATGTTGGATCAACCCCCCCCCCCCCCCCCCCCAAGGATAATTTGAGTGCTGTGCCCGTGGTGGAGAGTTCGTGCGCACCTGATATACAATCATGTAGAGGCTGCTGCAACGATTACGCTGCTGGGTATCCCAAACTCCTTACTACATGTAGACTCAGTCAGTCAGTATTCTCCCTCTTCACTCTTGTGTCGTTCTGCGCGCCCATAATATTTCGTGGGAAGATGTCATCAGCTAGCGGTATCTGCACAGGACTCCACCGCTGCTTTGGTTACTTCGATATCACTTCTGTAGTCAGCCAACTATGCTCTCTGCGTTTCGTGCTGTCTGTGTGCGTGCGTACGCACGTACATGTGTGTGCACATGCCTGTTGTTTTCCTCCACTGAAAGTTTTGCTATTGCCAGTATTCATTGCAATGGTATTGCCAGTATTCATTGCAATGGTATTGCGGGCGCAGGGCAGTACTTGTAAGCGCATGTGGAACATAGTGAATGTATGCCCAGTACATTATTATTAGGAGGAATTTATGCAGGGAGCGTTGTTCTGTTATTGCTGCTTGAGAAATTGCTCATTGTCACTGTATGTGTGTGTGTGTGTGTGTGTGTGTGTCTGTGTCTGTGTCTGTGTCTGAGGTGTGTGCGCGTACGTGTGTGTGTGTGTGTGTGTGTGTGTGGTACATGGTGTGTGGTACATGGTGTGTCTGTGTCTGAGGTGTGCGCGCATACGTGTGTGTGTGCGCGTGCGTACCTGTGTACATGTCGGTGTGTCTGTGTGTTGGGGGGGGGGGGGGGGCACTAATAATTGTAAATTCAGTGAACTGAACTGAATCCCTGGTTTTAGTATTCCCATTCCCCTATCTCCTGAATCCCTCATAATTTTCCTCTGTGAGGTAGCATGGCAGGTAACATAGCTGTTCAATGGTGACCATGGTAACATAGCTGTTCAATGGTGACCATGGTAACATAGCTGTTCAATGGTGACAGCACAAAGGACTTGACTGTATTGTACTTAAGGGTGTCAATGAGATTTCCCTTTGGATGTGAAGTATATGTATGTGGTAGGAGGTGGAAGTGTGAAACACACATCGGTTTGGGTACTGTGGCATAGTGTGGGATCTGCATAGGCTAGGTGCCAAGTCACTGCTTGGACTCCCTAGTACACTACACAAAAACCTTGCCATGAAGAATGAATGGCACTACACTGTTCTACTCTCTTTTATTTGTCACAGTGCCGAATTCAACAGTGCTGCCTCCTAGATAGTCATGTTGAGTTGTTGCCTGCGAAACATTGCCTTTCTTCCCAAATCTGTGCTCGGCATGCACGCATGCCCTCACTCCACTGCTCACACGGTATTGCAAGTTATCTGGACCTGAAGAACGCTTACAGTTGACTACCTCGGTAGTAGTGATGCAGCTGCATGGTGTTATGGAGTCCATCTACCCCTTAGTGGTAGCGGCTTGAAGCTTAGATTGTCGCGCAGTTGGCTCTTTCCCCTGCGCGGTGACAGGAAAGGAAAGAAACAAATATGGGAAAAGTACTCACCAACAATTGCATGCCACGAACATATTGAATCGGTGTGTTCCCTTCTGCTTTGGCATCGAAGTCTGTGAAATGATTGTTTTCATTCAGGCCAAATCAGCACTGCATTGTATACCATGTTATGACGTGTGTGTGTGTGGGGGGGGGGGGGGATTAATCTTACAGCCACTTGCACTAGTGGCCAACCCCTTTTGTCGCATCCATAACACTCTCCTGCGAGGTAGAGCTAGGCTTGATAGAAAACAGACTTTTCCTGGCTTGATCCATATTGATTATTGTGCGTGTATGGCCACGCCCGTGCGCAGCCTGTGGCTGCGCACGGGTTTGTACATGCATGTAAGTGATCTCCAGCCTTGCTTTTCAGCACCTTGTGTTTCTTATCTGTTTCCTTGGTAAATGGGTGTTGTCATCCTGTGTGTGTGTGCGTGTGTGCACGCGCGTTTGTGTGTTTGAATTGTTATCATCTGCAGGGCAGCTTGTCTATACATTGGCAGTGGCAGAACGGTGTTACTGTGTCATTGTTACCTACCATGTCGCTGCGGACGGCGCCGACAACACCAACCACTCCGAGCGGCAGCGATATCTCGCTGCAGACGCCCGCCAAGCGTCGATCACGCAAACAAGACATCAAGAACGAGGTAAACCCGGACTCGCACTTCCAGGTACAGCTGACAAGCAGCAGCGGAAGCAGTCCAACAGCGTCTGCAATGCCTTCATTTCCAACTCCAGCACACCCTCCACTCCAGCAGCAAACTCTGAATGAGGTTGGAAATTCTCGGCGAAAATCCACGGGTGGTAGCATCCCGAATTCTAAAGATCGCCCCAAAACCAAACGACAAGTGGCAAGCCGGAAACGCAAGAGTCTCCCTGCGGACTCTGACAATGATGGCTCGAGTATGAGCGCCTTGGAAGAATTGCAGAGCAAAGAGAATCAGGTGTACCTGGAAAAGTACATTCTTCATCGCTGCTCCCCATCAGATGAGCCGCTTAGATACCGTGCAGTGGAAATCCAGCCAAACCGGGAGCAGCTGCAGGAATTGTTTGCTGCAGCAACTGATGCAGCTGCAGTGCAGCACCACGCTGAACACGCGCGGTACGAATGGATTGCTGACCAGCCACCAGTCATAGACCAGTCATTGGTTGGCAAGAAGTTCCTGGCCAGGACCAAGCCTTGGCAAGAGGAAATTTATGGTGTAGCTGAGGTCATCAGCCTGACGGATTCCGGGTCGGCGAAGATACGCTTTCTGAATGAAGAAGGTGTCGGGACTCAGCAAAGCAGAGTTCCTGCGCACTGTCTCAGACTCTATGTTCCTATTCCCCTGATAGAGGTGAGTGTGTTAATGGAACACTTAGAGACCCCGTCGGAGTTGACTAGTATAATATACTGATTGCTATACTGATTACTGAGTGGAAAATAGGTACACTGTACTGTACATTGCATTCAGCGACGGCTTGTTACACCAGGGCTCGAGCGCTCTCGTATAAGAATAATAAGAGTGTAGACATACTCTCGTAATTATGCATTTGACTGCGTGTATGGGCGTATTCCGATGTTGCCTGGCATCGGTGCATAAGCGACTGTTTGCAGGTAGGATATAAGCCTAAAGCTGTCACGGTTCACAACTGGCGCGTGTACGCGTTTCGTGCGTGTTTTTGCTGGCTCTTGGGGATGTCATACGTATCGAAACGCTCCGAAAGGCCAACGTGTTGTAATTTTCAGTGCGTATCAGGCACGCACAGGCGTACATGTCAGTCACTTTGACTGACTCGCGGGGTCATAAATTAATACTCCAAGGCGTCGCACGCTCTAAATACGACAGCCTGAAATTGCTGTGTTTTGTGAAAGCCTGAACGCCCGTTTGGGCACACATGAACCCCAAGCGCACCGCACCTACACGCCAGTTGTGAGCACAGCTTTAAAAGGCCAAGTGCTTGTATATTGACGCTGGGTCTGTTTGGCTATTGTGCCCCTCACAGCTTCGTATGATACTGGAGGCCAAGTGCAATCAGCCTGATGTACGTCGTCAGAACGGTGATAGTGATGGCAATGACGATGAGGTTGCCGACATCACAGAACGCGCTCAACGTGCTAACATGCCTCTGAACAGCGTGGCCTCTCGCACACTTCCGAATGCCAGCAGCAGCGCCCAGGGGTTCAATCGAGACCGGGAAACGAGAACGCCGAATCGAATATTTCGCACGCCGAGCATCCGCACGCCGGGCCCCAGCTATCCAGATCGGAGTCAGCAGTTTGTCAAGGGCGACATTCTCTGCCTGGGCAACATGTCGCGCAAGCGTTACAACGGCTCCCAGTGGCGTTCACTGTGCCAGCACAGCGAAGGGTGTGACAGAGAGTCTCAGAGAGGCGGCAGCTGCTCTCTGCACAGCAAGGGCGATGCGTCCAGAAAGTCATCTACAGGTAATCAGTTGTAAACAGTACACTGAATAGCATACGCCCATCATCATATTTGAGCCATGATCAGCCAAAGCAGACCCACAGGCCAGAAACATTCAAAATTGACTTTACCTGAAAATTGTTTGTTTGCATTTGGTGGTCGTTCAAGGCAGATTGGACAAGGGTGGGTCAGCGTCAAATGTGGGGCTAATTTTGCTCCCCCGCCGTATCACGGATCGAATAATATGCATGAAAGGTCCCGGCAACATAAGTGCATGATTGTACTTCTGTGTGGGGAAAGTCGTGCCCCCCCCCCCCCCCCCCTTTGATCACTATCCTGGCTACGCCCCTGCACTGTACTCGGGTATCATAATATGGGAATCTTCCAATGGTGCCATCGTGCTCATGAGGTCCGCTGTTGCAGACATTTGTAATGTCATAGATACATTGTAGGTTTTTTGGAGATAGAAAAAGGAGTTGGCAGCCCCCTTTTCTTTCATAATGCAGTTGCGTGATGTCCACAACTTTCTTAGTATTTTTTGGAGATAGCTGCTGAAAATCGCTTCACTGCATTACTCCATCGTGTTTACTGTAGGAGAATATGCTCCATTCCCGACTCCAAGCACAGCGAATGGATCCTTCAGTCAACAGGTCACACCTTCAAAAGAGTTCAACGCCTTACGGCCGGAAAGCGCTCGTGAAGAAGCAGCCCATGGCCTGCTTGAGCTCTCCGCAGGCGGTAAGGACAAGCAGCAACGTTCGTTGGCATCCAGCTGTTCCACGCAGGACGCGTCGCCCATGACGAGCATCGCCAAGCCGCTGCTGTTCACCACCAACGTGTCTCCGCCAAGCGGCGCCGCACAGCCGGCGGTTACGATAGGTCACGCGGCGCCGTGCAGCCTGGTCAACAGCAGTGTGATCAACATGGTGCCGACAAGCGGGGTACAGGTGATGCCCATGATGCCCATGCAGTACGGACGCTACCAGCCGCCGCCGCAGTTCTTCATGCAGCCCGATGGTCCCGGCGTCATGGCGCGTCAGTCCCCACGTGTCATGCTGTACCCGGGAACTTCGCCAGCACTCGGTACCCTATCGACACCTGGTGGACTTCTACAAGTGCAACCTCAGCCACCGCCACCCCCGCCGGGTAGCTTCATGCAGTTCCCGGGAGTACACGCACCGGCAGCATTGCAGCCAGCGCCCGCAGGCCCAATGCCACCGCAGTACATGCATCCCGGCCTCATGCAGCACACCGGCAGCGGCGGAGAGTACTGCTTGCCCACGTCACTCATGTCCAGTACTGGTACGCCTACTCTCCCCGCGGTGGGCAAAGTGGATAGTCTTCCAACTCCCATGACCGCATCACTGTTCAACACGACTGGAGGTATTGGTGGTGTTTCAACTATAACGCCACAGCCGAATCAGGTAAGGGATCATCCGTAAATACAATCTTTTTTTCAAAACCAAATCTGTTATTGGCAGGGGGGGGGGTGAAGTGATATATTGTAAAAAGATTGACACGATGGTACATGTGTATCCTTTTTTGGTTATCAGGGGCTAGGAGAGACAGACAAACAGACAGGCAGACAGACAGAGACAGAGAGAGGGGGAAGGAAACAGAGAAAGAGAGACAGAGACAGAGAAAGAGAAAGAGAGAGAGAGAGAGAGAGAGAGAGAGAGAGAGAGAGAGAGGAGGGAGGGAGGGAGGGGGGGGGGGGGGGAGGGGAGGGGAGGGAGGGACAGAGAGAGAGAGAAAGAGTGCGTATCAGTCTGGACTTCACCTGCTACAGTGGTGCACGTTTTGTGTTGTGAATGGGCCCTGTGCTGTGCTGATGTCATCCTCATTATCTGGATTGTTTCAGCTGTACAACCAAGCAGTGGCTAGCAGTGGAGAGCCAACTAGCCAGGCTACCACCACCATCCCTCAGAGTAGTGAGAGTCGTGTGCCCTTCTATCGAGTGGGAATATCAACTTCAGCTCCACGTCAACCGGCCAAGTCCGATGGAGCTGGTACACAGACTGCTCTGGGAACGTGTTCTGCAAGCAGCTCCTCGCAGACACCACCAAAAACTCCTGAAAACTGTGAGGGAAACAAGCCTTCCGTGCTAGAAACAGTGAATGAGAACCAGGAACTGGGACCAGCCCCCAACACAATGCGTAGTGCTAGGCGCTCGCTCTTTCCTGACAACACTGGACAACCGGTCTTGCAAGCGCGCATCGCCAACCCATCACCGTCCTCTCAGCTTGGCGATGTGTGGTCGACTGTGCTGCCAGAAGCGAAAGGCCCTGGCTATGTCCATGCTGCCACTGTGGCCGCCCCGATTGCCAATGCTGTCCCCACGGCTATGGCAAGCAGTGCCGCACATGACACAGGAGTACATCGAGATGTAGCCGATGCTGCTGATGAATCCGGTGACCAATCTTCACAACTGTCGAATAGAAGGTAAGCTACTTGCCGAACAATGTGAATATCTGAGTGATTTTTCAAGCATTGTGAGGGCCTGAGTTTGGGACTGGTTTCCTTCCAGTAGCAATAGGTGCTAGGTAACGCAAGAATTGCACCTATGCATAAAACAAGGCTTCAGCCCTTTTGCAGAGCAGCTTGTCCCATATTTGGCAGGTACATCCAGCTTTAGTGCACTTGTGAGTATGACTGTATGCAGTTGATGACCTTTTTTGCTAGGGAATCTCTCGATTTTGATTGCATGTAGCAGTTTGGGAAGGGGACTTCCTGCCCAACATACACTAGACAAGTGTGCTGTACTATACCATGGAATGGCAAGCATTTATCATGCTCGCTTCAGGCATAGTGCACTGTATCATGGTGTGCACAATTGTGATATAAATGGCAGATGTACAGCTCAAGTTCCCACTGCTCCGCAATGGTTTCACTCTAGACGCCAAAGTTGAATAGCAATCTGTGCTAGGGGTGAAACGATTAAGGGATATTCCTTAACGGTTAATCCAAAACTTATCGATTATTATCCATTAACCCTTTGTGACCCCACTGAAAGTACGACAATTTACTCACCTTCAAATAACATGAACTTTCGCTTGTATCTCTGCCAAACATTCACTGATTTTTACAAACTTGCCACCGCTGGAAAGGTATTTCCAAGACGAAGCGACTAATACCACACTCAAGCCAGCTACCTGCACGGCTTCTGCTCTGCGTGGCCTAGAATGCCGCTCAAAACAGCAGCCGTGCGCGAACAGCTCCAGCAAAGTTCAAACAGCCGCCATTCAATTCTCCTTCATCAGATCGACTTCAAACAAACTACAGCGGAAAGCTCGTTTCAAGCGCAAAATTGTGGTGTGCTGCATGCTTGAGTATGACGTAGCACGCCGGGGAAAACCCCTGCCAAGTACAGTGTGAAATTTTGAATTTTTCGATCGGAGTGAATTTTTCAGTTTTCCTCTAACCTCGAGTCTCACCACGGCGGCATCGTACCTCGTAGAGACTTCGGATAACTTCGACGTGATAGCCAAGGTTCCTCTCGAAACGTAGATGCTTTGTGTATGAAAATCGGTGAAGGAACACCAGAGATATAATTTTTTAGTGCCACTGTATACCAATTGATCACATATCGATCGATGGGGTCACAAAGGGTTAAGCACCACTGACGACAAAACTCACCATTTTGCATCAACTACAATCAATTTTGCGGAAACTTCAAAGAGAACAAAAATAATGGAAACATCGACTGTCGCACAGGCACAAACTGATTCTGAAGGCTACTTGTCCAGAACAGTGAGTTCCGTGAAGCAACCGGAACGAAAGTTCGCGGATACGAATCAGTGCGCGGTGCAGAGAAAAGAGCCGCGTGTCATACAATAGATCTAGAGTACATCAGGTAGATCTACCGGGTACGCGTGTAGTGTGTATACAGAGCATGTGCAACTCATTGTGCGTGCTGCACGCGTTGATTGGCACCTCCGTGCACACGCGCATCGACTCGTACTCTGGTACATGTGTTGCACGCAGTAAAGTCATGTAGACACACTGCACCTGCCGGATATTTCGTCGTACCGTATAGTATGTCGTACGAAAATGCTGTAGCGAATAGAAAAATCGTAATCGACTAGATTTTTTCGACTAATTAATCGACTAAACCACATAATCCTTTCACCCCTAATCTGTGCTGATTGATTTGCAAACGGCAGTAAGATTGCAGACCACTAATTCCCTGCCATGGATGCAGTGCTGCAGTATATAGAGTGAGAATACTTGCATTGTCACGTATGGTATTTTCGTGGAACTGAGGCCAAGGGAATTCAAATTCGGAATGCCTGCGTGTTTAATCAACTTGTGTGTGTGTGTGTGTGTGTGTGTGCGCGTGGGTGTGCGTGGGTGTGTGTGTGGGTGTGTATGCGTGCGTGTGGGTGTGGGTGTGGGTGTGTATGAAATATTTCTACCAACCTGCTTACTTGTATTGTGAATTGGCTATGATTGTGTTATGCACTGCTGTTTATCCAGCTGCCGATCTCGATTCAACGATAAAGATGATTGGTGCGCCAACTGCGTCACAAAGAAAAATGGCTGTAGCCGATACAAACCTGAGCACAAATTGGCACGCGCCCGTAGCCGACGTGGCAAAGCCTGATATTCATGCGCATGGTTGCTTCCTTTTCTCTACCCTTCTGCTCATTTTGTTTTTAAAACTTGAGGACACTTTTGCATTAATATTTTTTTACAATGGCATGTGTGCTGCATCGTTGACGTGTTTTGTGTTTGTTTAGCACGTTGCACATCCTATCATCTTATTAACATTGACACACTATTAGAACAGTAGAGAATTGAGGACTATGGCTGTTCGCCGCATCCGTTTACTAACAAGCATCTCCTTGAGAAACACAGTGGTGGCTTGAGATACACGTCCATTTTTTATATCATTTATTGTGTGTTAACCGTTCACTGTGGAGATGCACGCGTCTTCTCTCTGCTTTTCAACTTGTGTGTGCTAGTCGGTGGAGTCCTTGTCCGCAACTCGGCTTTGGCACTGTTGTCATCATTGTCGTCAGTTTTGTTTTGTTGTTGCTACTGCTCAGTGCCTGCTGTCACATCCTTACCTTAGTTTGCTGTTTCAGTCACTGCACTGTAACATCATCAGGCTAGTTGTTGATGGTGGTGTCACGCGGCTTGGCGGTTGTTCTTACTGCTAGCTTCACAGCGCCATTCGATCCGTGTGCGTGTGTGTGTGTCCGCGCGCGTGCGTGTGTGTGTGTGCGTATGTGTGTGCGTATGAACGTGCGTATGTGTGTGTGTGTATGTGTGTGTGTATGTGCCCATGCACTGGATTGACTTGTGCACATACACCCACATACTGCACAGGTGTGCTTCAAGTCTGGCTGCTGGCTACTCCTCTGCTATTTTTCGTCTAGTGAAGATCTGGTTTCTGCTTTGCATGCATACAGTTTACTTTGTGTGATGGTGATGGTGATCACGGAAGAACTCTATTCTATCTAAAGTTATGATTTGTGGCTTGTCGCTTTTCCACGCTCTATTCTCCATTGTTACCTCTATTATCAGAGCCAAATGGGCTCATCATCAGTTTAGACGTTGGACTGCTGAGCACTGGTCTGTGGTTTGCGCGATCGAGACCTATTTGTGACGATGTAGGCTGGTGCGCAAAACGTCCTATTTCTTGGGCACTGGTAGGTCTACATGCAAGCGTACAATCATACTACTAGTACTGGAACCTGGGGTGACTCTTGCCGTCTTGGTGAGTGCGTTCGATTACGCACTTGAGTCGATTCATGAATCCATTCGCATGCATTCAAGTCGTTCGATTTCATGTCAGGAGCCCTGGATCATGGAATCGATTCGGAATCCATTCCCTCACATGTGGTGATGATGTGAATAGCGCGAATCGATTCGCGTGCATAATCGAACGCACTCACTGAGTGCGTTCGATTATGCACGCGAATCGGTTCACGAATCGATTCATGAATCGATTCGCGCTATTCACATCACCCCATGTGAATAGGGTGAACGGATTCCGAATCGATTCCAGGGCTCTTGACGTGAAATCGAACGACTTGAATGCATGCGAATGGATTCATGAATCGATTCAAAGTGCATAATCGAACGCAGCCACTGTTACATGATTGGACATGTATGTAGTAGAGTGTATGTAGATAGATGAACTCTCGGATCCCGTCTCATGAGCTCAGCCATTGACTAGCAGCTGCTGTTCAAATTCATGGCTTCTTGGACCACGCTGCCACGGTAGGGTCGAGCGAAATGCGCGTGGACAGCAAGACTCGAGGAGGAGTATAACAATTGTCGTTGTCTCTCCCGTTGCATGGTTACTGCATTGTTCGCCCCTTCAAGCTGATCACGCACAACGCTTCACTCAGGACAGCAGACGTAAATTGACGGTAAAAACTAAAAAAAAAAAAAAGGACCAAGGAACTACAATTAGTTACGCTATTGTCCACAACACCACCAGTTACTAACAAACAAAAAAAGTTACTTCTTACTTGTAAGTTGTCGGTTACTGATAGTAGTAGCCAGAGTAGGCAACCTGGGGATATGCACTATTGGTGGTAGCAGTAGATGATGGACCTGCTTCATACTTGTATTATTTTTGAAGGATTCTCGGCAAGTAAATGGGCGTTCGCTGGAGGGGTCAGTGCAATGGATGTGGGATGGAAGCGCAGAGCTGAGTACATGAGTGAGAAAGACTTGACCAGAAATGAGAAGAGTGTTTCGCGGACAGCAAAATAAGCCAAATATCGAAAGTTTACTCGATCATCGAATCGTTGCTGTCTAGAAAAAAAGCCGAAACTGTGTCACAACCCGTCCGCGATTATGTAGACTACCGCGGTGCCGGTAGATCTACACTGATGCATTTGGGCGCCTGACAGACACTGCGACAGACCGAGAGTGTAGTTCACCCACGGCTTTCACAGCAAAACCAGCTTGACCAGGTCTGAAGAGTAGGACGAATACCTCACAAGAAGTAAGTACAGTCATGTAGTTAGTTAGTTGTTACCAGGATCATCTTGGTAACACGGGTACGGAATCGCATGCCACTGTCACTGTGTCAGCGTCCTCGAAGAAAAACCGCGGCATTTATTTCAAGACCCTTGATACAGTCATGGCTACACTAGCCTACAGTCTGTACAAAGCTAGAAACTGACCCTAAGCCTAAGGGCTAGTAAGGCTTGGCGGCTTGGGCACGATGGGTTCAGGACTTGAGACACATTGATGGTAACCATGATAACAGACCATGTTTAGACAGCAACCCGCAAAACAATCAATTCGTGCTTACCCGACGCAATGCACAAGTCGGCATTTACTATTATATCTTATGCTTTCGACGAATATCAGTAACTGTTCAACGTGTTGAGTCGGTCTTCCGGGATCCCCCACATGCACAGGCTGCTGACGTGACGGCTGACGCAACATCTACAGCACTTGCGCGTTACATACTTGTTTAGCCTTTAATTAAGCTATAATATGCGCAGTTTGGGTAAGTCGAGTATGGCCAAGTATGGCCCCTAGACATGTGTTCGGTAAAATCTACGGACTGTTGAAATCAGGCCATTCCATTTCCGTAAAATACTACAAAAAAAACATGGCAAAAGACTAATCCTTACAATGTATGGTTAAACTTCACCTAGGGTTCCCAGTAAAAAGGCACTAGCCTGTTGGGACTAGGCCTTGACAGATTATGCTAATATTTTCGTGAAATTATGCTTTTCGCATTGCTGAAAAAATTGCAGAATTATGCTATTTTTATGCTAAAACTTATCAAATTATGCTCCATTATGCTCACATATGCTGCTAATGTACAGGTACAGTGTATATGATGGTTCTGTGCATGCAAAATGACAGGGGAATTTTTTTGTAGAGGGCGTTGTACTGTAGTAGCAAAAGTTCGTCGGGGTCAACGCACCGTCCGACCAAGCTACGACCGTCACTGATTGTAGTGGATGGGACATGTTATCAAAGGAGTCGTAAACCTACGACTTCCTGGTGCATCTAGTATGATCTACTTGTACCGGTACTTGTACCAAGAGTACATAACGTTATGTACTCTTGCTTGTACTTGTAGAACATGTACAACTGTATGGAATTTGATGCGAACAGGCGGATTATTCCAATTTATGCAATTTGCCTCGAATTATGCGATTATTCGATTTTGGTAGGAATTATGCGAAAAATTATGCTAGCATAATCTGTCAAGGCCTAGTTAGGACTCCCCTAGTAAAATAATAAAAACTACTACCAAGAGTTATCTACTCTTGCTACTACTACTAACTACTATCCTAGCCTAGAATAGCATGTACTCCCGTACCGTCTGGTTTGGTTTGGATGGGTTTGGTTTCTATTATTATTTTCAGTTCGTTGCCTCAACAGTATACAAAGTACAAATATCAAGAGGGACGTACATGTATGAAAAGAGAAAGTACAGTAGGTATCGGTTATAGCGTGGGTGTTTGAAAAACGACTTTCTATTCTTATTTCCGATATTTCTTACACACGATATACATGTACATCAAGTGTGACATATCATAATGCATGTGCGCAGGGGCGGGAAGATCATCGTGGACCTACATGTACATGTACATGACATGTACGTACATGTACATGCAACGTATTGTGCATGCGACTGGTCATAGTCCCACACGGGGCCATAGGCTTACCATTATGTGGCTATCCAACATAAGTTTAATAAAATACATGACCACAACAGTTGAACCTGCAGCACTACGACGCAACGCGAGTCAGATCAGAACTGCATGGGACAGATGTTATTACTACAGGCGATACACTTTGTACTAATCTGGCATGTTTTGCTACACAAAGTCCATTCTTGACCGATATACTAGTATTCTACTACGCGATAAAATTGCTTGTAAGAATAATTGCACTTGAAACCCGTGTTATGATTATGAAAACATGAGAGTTCATTCTTGTAGGCGGTATATTCTTTTACACGACCACGCTTTAATTAACCGATACGCACTGTACATGTACATGTAAACAAAGCAGAAAGGAAGATTCAACTGAAAGGAAAGAAAAACGTCTAGACCACGGATGATTGATGCCTGGATGCTAGACTGGGGACAGTGGGGTAGGCGCGCTAGCCGCTAGGCATGTAGCCATGCACAATAGGCCCAGACAGATCCTGCCGGCAATTCTTTCGGCAAAATATCGAAGAATTGAAAGAGCGGAAATTGCCGGCAAAATCGGAGCAAAATATCGAGATGTTGGGTAAAATCGATGCCTGAGGCTTGGATTTCCTTGTTTCTAACCCGTTCAGCTAGGATACACTGCCCAGGACGAGATTATGTCACCGAAATGTCTCTGGCCCAGTCTGGGATTAACTGTGGATCGACTTGATTTTGGAAGAACTCAGGGACACGTGCGTTGAAACTTGTGTTGAGAAACCGACCCTGCGATTTTTATGAAACGTTGTACGGGACTGTACGGGAAGTGGATATAATACACGTTTTTCCGGAGCAAAATGGAGTAAAATATCGAGTTTTTGTGCCAGGCTCGGCAAAATATCGAAGATTTCGCAGCAACATTTTGCCGCAAAATATCGAGGGGACCGGAGCAGAATCTGTCTGGGCCTAATGCACAATCACATGTCAGCTGACTGATGCCGAGTGATGGCATCGGCGCCGCGCGGTACATACATGTACATGAAATATGTTGACATGGGCGAATGCATCGAATGGGGGTACTTTAATAAAAGTCTTTGTAAATAAGTGTAGTGTCTACTGACTACTGTGATCTGATCTACATGATCTATTCGATCGTGCCGGTACTTGTACAGTGACCAAGGTGACTAAGGCCTTAGGGCGCGTTCGAATTGTCACTCTTTGACTTTTCGAGGAGTTTCCTTTTTCTGAAGAGGTGGCCTTATTGGCCTCTTCAGAAAAACGAAGCTCCTCGAAACTCCACAACCTCATCCGATGGGAGAGGTGGATTAGGGCACGTTCGAATTGTCTTCATCAACTGTTCTAACAAATTTTATAAAGAGATCAGTTGAAGACTTGAAGTGTCCCATTAGATCGATTTCTATCATTTTAGAGTTTTTCAGTGGAATTTTCATGGCGATGATGACGTCCGATCAGATCGACCATCTCCACGTACTACGTGACGTACATGTAGCTATTCCAAACTCTTCGAAACTAATCCACCTTCCCATCGGATGAGTTTCAAGGAGTTTCGAGGAGCTTCGTTTTTCTGAAGAGGCCAATAAGGCCACCTCTTCAGAAAAACGAAACTCCTCGAAAAGTCAAAGAGTGACAATTCGAACGCGCCCCTAGTTTCGAAGAGTTTGGATTAGCTACGTCACGTAGTGCGTGGAGATGGTCCATCTGATCGGACGTCATCAGGTTGAGCATCTATCTGTTTTTGTTTCGCTCTGTAAAGAGCACTTAGGGTTCCCTGTAACAAGACGGCAACGTCTGTAGCGCCTTCCCTATCAAAATAATAAATTCTACTACTACTACTACTATCATCGCCATGACAATTCCACTGAAAAACTCTAAAAATTAATGATAGAAACCGTGCTACCGGTAAGTAATGGGACGCTTGAACTAATCTCTTTATAAAAATTATTGTTTGAACAGTTGATGAAGACTAGGCATCGGCGGCTAATGCTCGTTTTTTCACAGTATAATGCTTTTGGCAGTGCTCGATATTTCACGGCATAATGCCTGTTATAATGCTCCATTTACACTATAATGCTAGAGTGATATGTACATTTTCGAGCTATCTTGGGCAAATATGCACATGGAAAAGAAATGTATCCACAATTGGCTCATACTGAGATAAGGCAGTGTATTTGTATATGCATGACCACACTAGACAGATACATCTTACATGTACCTGCTGCATGTCCAAAAAGAAGAATGTAGAACGCAAGAGCAGCATGGCAGCTGATAAGGAAGACAGTCCAATTGCCAGAAGTGCAGCAGCCATCATGAATGACCTAGCAAAGTACATGGTGGAGTAATATAGCCACTGCATACCAAAACCACTCACAGTTCCAAACTCATGCGACCGCGGTTGTACTGTAGCATCAGCTGTAGTTCAATATGATCCTCCAGGGTGCGCTCTTGCTGTGACGTCATGGCTGCTTGTAAAAGGGAGAAGACTCGTTCAGCCGAAGCGGAAGACGGTGGCACCGTCAAAAGAACTTTGGCAGCCTTGCTCCACTGCGAAAGTTCAGCGTGCTCTCTCCACCAGGCCAAATCGTCGTCATTAGCGATGTCAGCTTCTGCAGCAGCAACCTTGTAGGGCGCAAGCTCCAGCTTCAAGTCGTTGATGAGCTGATCGTCGTCTAACACCGGGAGTACACGTAGGGTATCGACCTCAGCTGGTGCAGGATTGGTCCTCGCAACGTACTTGGGGCATGCAAGGCGTGCTGCTTTGTACATTGCCACAACAGCATGAAGAGGAGACTCGACGTGGTTAAACTTGCGCAGGAAGTAGCATATGGCTGGCTGAACACAAGCTGTGGCATGAGCTGTCAGCTCCTTCTGTAGCTGTCGGTTGTCATGTGCGATCTTCTTCACCACAGCAGCAACATTGGGGTAGTAAGCATCTTGAGCTGCTGTAGCAACTTCTTGCAAGTGCTGGTAGGCATTGGTGCTGAGTGGTCCATCCCCCTCCAGGATGTATGTTTTCTTTACGAATGGCTCACCTGCATCAATTGTGACGGCAAGCTCAACTTGGAACAAATCGGCACTGTTTTCTGCAGTCTCGTTGTGCAGGATAGCTAGACAGTGCCTGCGTGCTGCTGGACTCCACTCACAGTTTGTCAAGAATGGCTCCACATCTCCAAAGTAGCGTAGGACCTGCGCCAGGACTTCATAAAGACTCCACCATCTGGTGTTACTGTGTGACTTCGGTGATACACCGGTTCTCGTTTTCCAGGCCAGTCGTGCCGCTGGGCTCTTTGCAAATAGGCTCACCCACCAGGTTGCGAACTCAGCCAGGACAGGTGTTGCAAAGCGGCGGCCAACATTGTCCAGGGCATGGGAGGCGCAAAGGACGTCCATAGCTCTGGGAAAGAAGAGGTTCTTCACCTGGTCCACAGCAACACCGTTCACTGCTGCTCCATCTCGAACAAATGCAACAAGTTTGCCATCTGCCAGTTGGAAAGTTGTGCTGAGGCAAGTTGCAAGCTCGCGTGCTAGCTCCAAACCAGTCATGGACTTAGCCAGCACATGCAAACGCACTAAACGTTGCTGCACTCGCCAGTCGTCATCCAGGAAACGCACTAGAATGGCAAAGGCCTCTCCAAGGTATGTTGTTCCGTCAAAAATGACAGCAATGTGCTGGGCCATCTTCACTTCTTCCTTCAGTTTAGCTTTCTCTGTTTCCAACAAGAAAGGTATAATTTGCGCCAGATGGGTGCTGAACGTCAACTTGGCGTTGTTGGCCTCTAGAAGGGGTCGAAGGTAGTCCACCTTCGCTAGTGCTATGCCAGCCTTCAACATCGCTTCCACAACGTTCGTGCGTCTCATGATGGTGGAGTCATCCATAGCCGTACTGAGGCCGGTGCCCTTCAACTTCTCCTCGTGCTTTTCCTGGTACTTCTTCCAGGAAGTTGTCAAAGTTGCCTGGTGAGCAGCCGCCTTTTTCCTTTGATCCTTGGCTCGACGATGGCGATCCGTTGAAATGTGGCCCTTTACGATGCTCTTCTTTGGCATCACAACAGTGTGACAAGCGTCACAGAACAGCTGTCCGGCTGATATACACAAGTGCTCCCCTGGGAACTCTTCAATCCGTTTGGCGGAGTTGACGCGAGACACCGTCGTAGATGCCCCTCCTCGCACTCTTGTTCTGTTTTTTTTTGGTTTGGAAGACCGTTCAAATGACCTGGGCCGGGATATTGCTGCATCCTTTGCTTTGGGCAGCTCACATTCCTCTTCCTCTGTTTCCTCATCAGAGTCATCACTTAACTCCATTGTATCTTCATAGTCACTGTCCATGGTCGCTGCAAAACAGCAGCAGCTAAAAATTAAAAAAAAGGTAAACATCCAACGCGACAACACGACACTCAACAGATGCAAGAGAGCCGTTTTCTTTTTAGCTTTGTAGTTTGTGCAGCTCTCTGCTCTGCGCCGAAAGAGCACATGCACACCGAGATCTCGAGAAACCTGTTTGCGCCAGGTCAAAGTGCATACGCGAGCACAAAACGGACACAGGATACCGATATACCCACACATACACGGTACTACTAGACTGTGTACAGTTCGAGTACACTACCGCTAGTCTGTACTAGACTGTAGTCAGTACTATACATCATTGTACAGTCCTGGCAGATGAAATCCGAAGCGTCACAGTCTGTACAGTCATGTACAAGCCTAGGGCTAGGGCTAGCTTTTGTCATGTGAAAAGACGTGTAAAAACTAAAAAGTCTTGTATTGTACCAAAATAGAACTGATAATGCTTTCTCCAGCCAAAAACATGCCACCTAATGCCGAGCACTGCTACTTCTTCAAAACACCCATATAATGCTAGTTATAATGCTAGCATTAGCCGCCGATGCCTAATGAAGACAATTCGAACGCGCCCTAAGAGTATGAGTCTGAATATCGAATGACTGAGCTGAGCTATGGTAGACTGAAGGGCGCAGGGCGCAGGAATGTCATGAACTGATGAAGGCAGGAGTCAAGCGCGAACCGGTCATATTATATCATCCATCCGGGTCGGGGACAACGTCTACCATGGTCTAGCGAGCAGCGCAGCGGACTGATATCAGCTAGAGATATCAGGTCAACCCATACTCGACTCGCATTTCCCAAATCATGGCAAATGTAGACGCGACGGTCGACGTTGACAGACAGACCCCCATGCCCCGCCCGCGCCCCGGGGGCCCCATACACTTGTTTTAGATCTTGGATATCATGGCCACATGGGAGGCGATAATGGGCATGAACGCAGCGGCTCCAACGATCCGTTGCAGCTGGTCCGAGTGCGCCTTTTGCTTGCACCTGACAGTAGGCATGGTAAGTGACATAGGTAGATGCCTCACCAATCACTTCATTCAACGTGCCGAGAAGTACGAATGCAGAAAGTTGAGCTCCGACCGCAGAACAAGAACTCTCTTCTCTTTCCTTTCCGCACCATCATCAGTCCTCTAAGGTAAGTTTTCCAAGATAAGTAAAGTTAGTTGTTGTTCCACCAACTGTCTTCTCCCGACATTATATTCATGAGGGTACCCTGTAAAAAGACCCTAGGCCTGTGGGACTGCCCTATTCAAAATTTTATAATAATGTGTTCAGTGGTAGACGAGGTATGCGCTGAAAGCAGATACATGTACATGTAGGCCCAACCCGTTTTGATACTGAAACTAGCAAGCGACAACTGGTGTTGCCCTGAGGCGATTCTTCCTATCAATACGCAAAAAAGCATACACTGACTTAGTAACCGCTACCTATTTTTCATCCCAACCTCAAACTGGAATGTTAGGTTTCGAAAGCAAGCCTCACATTGCACAGGTGTGATTCTAGCACGCTGCTGACACCTTGTTCTTTCCAAACAACTGGCTCCCAACGGTTCTACGATGACGTGTGGTGGCACCCTCCAGTGCAGCTCTTGCGTGACTTCATTGTTTGTAATACTCACTTGGCGATATTTCTATTCTGTGCTTGATATTGCATGCATGCAGGGGAAGAAACGTCTCTGCACTCTAGTGCAAATAACAATGTTCTCTCAAACAGCAGACATCTACGATCCCGTCAACCCGGACGCAGGATCTCAGCACAGCCGAGCAGCCAGCTTCCTGGCCGCACAGCAGTACAATACCAGCGCTGCGGAAGCTATGGATATGAGTGACCCAGTAAGAAGCACTGTCGGTTCTGCTTCGGCCAGTGACTACGCGGCCGCGCGCGCCTCGTTGCCTCCGGCCCGTCCGGGTATGATCTCTGTTCCTCCGTCGTTTTCTCTGCCATATTCTCCTGTCTGCCCGCAGCCAGTCTGTATGCGCGACTTCTCACCACTCAGTCGAGTACCCAGCTCTCAGGTAGGTTGTTTTAGTGTGTTGCCCCCCCCCCCCTCCCCATTTTAGACGACAGTTATAGTTTTCCCTTGTTTGGTTTACACGCGCTCAGTCTACGCGGGATGATCCTCCTCTCTCGACCCTTCTAACCGCGAAGAAGCAGTTTGCATTCAGTTCGATGGGGTTTTTTCAAACTCGACCTCGACTCCTCTCTGTCTCGTCTCCTCTTGTACTGAACTGAACATAGCAGACATTTCAGCTGTGTACGTGTGAGGTCATTATAGTCTACCAAGGACGAAATGGGGTCATTCAGTAAAGGTCTCGAGTGCCCATAACTGACACTTTCGCTCGTCCCGTAAACATGGTTATGGAATTCCTGGTAGTGGTACACGCATCGTGAAGTGTTGTAATTCTCATATTCCCGCGAAGTCCAGTCTACCACGTCTACAGTAGGTCAGTAGAAAACTCTCCCATAGACCAGGGAATCGTAGTAATTCGTACACCACCGCCCCGAGGTTGCTGTAGACTAAAAAAATTGAACTACTTGGTTTCAAACTCAGACTGCGTGAAGTCTACTACCCTTGCGGTGATGAGTGATCGCCGTTCGGTGATGGCTTTTCTTGTGTTTCTACTACTAGTAGATCTACATAATTGCTCACAATACCTGGGTGATCATGTACGGTATGCTGTTGGTCTATTCGCGTTTCTTTTTTCGTAGACTAGTGAACAAGACAGAGCAAGGGCGCTTTTTCTCAACAGCGCTAGCAAGTTGAACGACGTCCAGTTCCGAGCAACGCCAGTCCCTCTCAAAATGAAGCTACAAGGTGAGACATCTGTGGTGAAGTAACCAGTTTAGTTGGCCGTTTTGGTCACTTCAGGCGAGAAGCAGTTGACAAACATTCTCCGTCGAATAAACGTCATGCAATTCAAGGTCACACTCGTAGGTGAATCATCGGTTCCTACTTCCTTTCTTCGCTACCACACTGTAACATCCACATGTACAATGTACATATCAGTAGATCTACTCGTATGATGGTTCGTGACCCCATCATAGCAGGAACCATTCGCCATTCTCTATCGTGCAGTGGTCTGCCAGAGATCTTCGAAATGAGAAAGTAGTTTGGCAGCTTCGTGTTCGTTCGGGGCCAGGAAGTTAGTTGTCCGAACTGACCTGAGCAAAAAAATGTTACGTGTAGAGAGTAATGCCAAACACCAACACGGTCATAAAATACCTGCACGAGACATTTCTGACACAGCAACGCACTAACTGTTATCACTGGCTTTGTCCACAACAGGACATCGAGCACGATGCAGCTTGAGGAGTTTAGACACCCGAGCTGTGGAGATTACAGGAGACATTTAGATACTAATATGTAGTGTAGTGAATTATGTAGTGAATCATGGGTAGTAGATCTACAGTGTACAAATACCGGTAGGTAGATCTATAAAGTAGGGAGAGAGGGAACACTGTTGTTGTTGTTGTTGAGTGTTGCAACTCTGAGTTTCACGCTCTGGGCGACCTCCAGTCCAGTATACGCATGAGGCCGCTACAATAAGACTTCGTGTTGTGGTTGTTTCTGCGTGACCGCTTCTTCTGCGGCTAGTTCAAGTAAAGTTCATGGTTGGCGCGGTGTTATTTTTCTTCACCTGTTTGCCTAGGCCCTTGTTGCCGAGATCACACTGGCCTGTGATGTGGAGACGTTCTAGCATTATTGGGATACTACTGTAGTACACGATTATTCGACTCTTGAGACTGTCGATTTGAGTCCCAATCGTGAAATTTATCAAGGACAGTTTCAGCCCACGATTATAGTCACTATCATAGTTTGGAAAAGAGACTAGAGATGTCTTACTTTCTTGGCTGGCATACAGAATCTCTCGCACACAACAGAAGTGGACTGGTTGCAAGCTTCGGCAGTGCCTTCAGTAGGGTGGCTGAGGAATCGGGTCTCTTCTCGAAAAAGGTCTTCGTTGGTGGTCTTCCTCCGGACATCGATGAAGGTGAGTCTGTGACAGTGTACAGTAGAGTTGACCCCGTTATGTATGCGTGCGTGTGTGTGTGTGTGTGTGTGTGTGTGTGTGTGTGTGTGTGTGTGTGTGGTGCGTGTCCGTGTCTGTGCACAATCATGTTAATCTCTAATAGTAATCTGTAATACGTTCATACGTTCATCCATTTCATTTAGACATGACGTCAAACAGACACAATTCTCTAACAGACCCCTTCTGCAACAGCGAATAGAATGAGGCGAGGGGAGTGTGTGTCGTGTACGTATATGCGTGTGAACATCATGTATGGAAATGCGGATCGCAAAAACAGTGCTTGGTTTCGTTTCTAAAGCCTCCTATGGTATTGCCGCTCAACATTGCTTTGACTGGCTATGTTTGCTTGTTGATGTGCAGAGGAGATCAGCCGCTCCTTCTGGAGGTTTGGACCGCTGACAGTGGACTGGCCAACTAAAGGCCAAACCCGACACATCTTCCCACCAAAGGGTGAGTTGTGTGCTGCATGGTAAAGGGGCCAACGTTCTGATGTAACTTCAGTGATACTTCCATACTCCATCTCATACATTATTTTATTCAACCCGTGGTCTCAACACTGTCACTTCTCGACAGTACTGGCTGGTTCAAAAATGCCATTACACGCTACGTTCACATATCGAGCCTTTGCATGATGCTATCAGCTTCAGCCTAAGCGGCCGTCCGTAAACTTTCTTTTCCACTCAGCCCCTCCCTCCCCTCAGAACGAAAAAATGTTGGCCTAAACATGCAAAATTGCAAATACAATAAAAGTCGCGAGTGTGTGACTGCTCATACTTCCATGTACATGTACTAGTACATGTATCAATGTTTTCTGAAACGAAATTGGTCAAGCCCTCCCACCCATAACGAAATTATTTCGTTTTGTGGAAAAAAAGTTCGATATTTATGGACGACCCCTTTTCAGGCTGAACCTTCTTTGAAATGATGCTATCTGTGCCGCATGATGAAGAAATGTGTTCAGAGATCCAGTCCATGATGTAGCTGTGCAGTATAACTGTTACGTTGCCTTGATGAGGGTAAATGCCAGCCCAGCCCCGTGTCTCCAAGCTCATGCCCGGATTGCGGTAGCAATAACCGGTACAATATTCATTTGATGTTGCATCTGCCACTGTGCAGGTTACGTGTTCCTCATCTTCCACTACTCCAAGTCGGTGGAGAAGCTTGTTGACGAGTGCTACTGTGAGGGTGACGACTACTTCTACGTGTTGTCTAGCGCGTCGCAGAAGAACAAAATTGTAAGAAGCTGCTGCAGGTGCTTGACTTGGCATTGTTGACAGATGCGTCAACCCTGCGCCTGCCTGACAGGTTCAAGGAAGATGTGAACTGTGTGTATTACTATCAGGAATGCTCCTGTATGATGTAGTCGATTTCCTCTCCTAGATTGGATTTAGCCAAATTCTCTTATGAACTGGAACTGCTCCTGGCAGTTCTTTGCAGACTGCCCTACACCAGCAGACAGCATATCGTTATCTACAATCTTGTAATGGGGGGGGGGGGGGGGTCTTTGGAAGGGGACCCGTGTGGTTTGGGGGGGGGGGGGGGCGACGTGTGGCTACACTATGTCAATAGGGAGGTTTCGCTCTACGTAATTACGTATGAAAATCCGTATGTCGTACGCGCCGGGGAGCGAGGGCAACTTTCATACGTAAATCTCTCTACGGATTTCCGTAGGACTTTTTGAAATATGTTTTCGCATTTTCCGCATTTGTCCATGGCAACGTTCAAGCCGCGTGAAACACAAGGTACACACACCGTACACCACGTGCAAAATAAAATGGAAAATGCTGTTTCGGTTCACGGTGCATGCGGTGGGCGCATGCAGCCAACGCGTCTCCAAAGCAACAACGCATGTTTAGCAGTCGTGGAGAAATCACGTAGAGCGAAACCCAACAGCTCTGAGTTTTACGTATGAAAATGCCGTGCAGTTCCTACGTTATTTTCATACGGAATTCCGTAGAGCGAAACCTCCCAAATGACTCAGGCCGGTGTTGGAATCGTGCACCAGCCAATGGCAGCCATGCATTCCCTGCTTTTCCTCACTATCCTCTGTTCACCTGCCTGCAGTCTTCTCCAGCAGCTCTGCTCTGATGCGTATCCTTGCTGTTGTCTTGAAATTGGGATATGCTTTTGCTTACCTATTGCAGGTACAGGTCCGTGCATGGCGTATATCTGATGGCGAGTGCCATTTTGACAAGTCGAAGGAAGTCGATAGTCGGCTGACGGCATTTGTTGGTGGCGTACCAAGACCTCTCCGCGCTGACCAGCTAGCGAAGATCATGAACGACCATTTTGGCAATGTTTGCCATGCCGTTATCTCAGTTGACGAGACTATGGATTATCCAAGAGGTGAGTGCTGAGCCGTTGTATCTTCATAGCACCATTACTATTAGTGGTGCCGCTTAGGTGTGGTTTTCCATGCACTGTGCACAACCCTTCAATATGTCTCCGTACTGCTAACACCAAGAGTACATAACCCCCCAGAGTGTGCAACTCCACTATGGGTGCTGTCCCGACAGAATTTCAAGTTGACGTCATTTTGATGATGCAATGCGCGCACTGTACACGGATTATCAGACAAATCCAGAACCTGTGGTTGACCGAAGCCGATCGATCCTGTACAAATTATTGGAAAGAAAAACGTGTGATGCGTTGACACCCGTACACATGTTGTAAATCACTGGTGCAAGGAGCATTGCGTCATAAATAATGACGTCAACTTGAAATTCTGTCGGGACAGTAGGGTATGTAGGAGTTGCACACTCTGGGGGATTATGTACTATTGCTAACATTGATACCTTGCTTGGACCTTCTCTCACATTGCTGGCTAAGACATCCCAGTCGTCCTGAAAAGTTACTCGGTTACTATGGCAAGGACGATGTGAGTGTCAACCCCTTCTGATGGTATACTTTTTCTGCCATGCCGTTGTCCAACAGGTGCGGGCAAAGTAACGTTCAGTAGTCAAGACAGTTACATCAACGCCATACAAACACGCTACGTTGAAGTCAAGCTGGGCGAACTTCAGAAGAAAGTAAGTCAAGGCATTTGCAGGCACTTTCAGATCTAGGCAATAACTGCCAAGGCCTAGAATGCCTCTTCTTGAGGATCATATGGGGACTATGGTGATAGAGTGAAAAAGAACCCCAGCTAAAGGATAAACACACCACTGTATGACAACATGACATGAAGCACATTGGGAAATTGTTGAAATACAAGTCCTATGTGTTTGCACATGCGTGCATGCCATTTCATTTCCTTTTTACGATACATGCGGTACATGCTGCTAAGAGCATAGTTTTGCACTTGGACAATGGCGTGGCGCAAAGCCTCTTCTGCCTTGCGGATGCTTCTGTTGTATTGTTGAGGGATATGTGGGAGACTTCCGCGGTGGCTCTTTGTGACACTCGTGGACATGTCAGAACCTTACACCATTCAGGCTGCCGTCGGCACAAGCTGTTACTATGTGATTCAGTTGGGTACACGCCGAGCCTTTCTTGCACTGCTTCCAAGCATTTGATTTGATGTTTTTGTGTTGGTTCTGTTGTTGATGTGCATTATAGGTCGAGCTGAAACCGTACGAGGACACCGTGTACGAGCGCCAGCGACCGCGCGAGACCCACCGACAGAGCCACCGGAGGGCAACGTTCATGCCGCATATGTAAATGCCGCCTTTGCCGGCACTTGAGTTTCAGCCTGCTCCTGCATTTTGCCTGCATGCCATGGTTTGGCTTGCGAAAGTGTTGGGGGCATTCGTTCTGTTGTTTCTTTCTCTTTCGCAGCTTGCATTTACAAGTAGTACCATGTGTTTTTAGCATGCTATTTCACAGTTGTTCTTTACCATCTCCACCGTGTTTGGTGGTGGTTGACTTCTGTCACATTATAAGAGCTTGGTAGCCGGTTATCTGCTATCACCCAGTGCTTTTTTTTTGTTTCTCCGTTTCTGTTCCCCTTTGGTATCTTAGGTTGAAAACTAAGTAAATTTGGTCATGTTTAGACTAACTCGAAGGATTTCCTGCTCATCATAACTTTCCCCATGAATCTTATCTCTTTTAGGATGATAAATTTGGCTGCATGCACTCAGTTTTGACCTCGTGTGTTTTCGGCTTTTGGAGTGAGATTTAGCCTTTAGAGTATATTTGAGTTTTCGTATACTGATTTAGTCTTGCTTTGCCTTTTCACGTGATTTAGAGTTCTAGGCGATGGGGTGATGCACTCTTCTTCTGGAACTTCAGTTCTTTTCTCTTCCTTTTGTCCTTACTAGCTCCAACATAGTATTCTTTCTGCTGTGCTTCTAATAATGTTCACTGCCTTCTTTAACATTGACTCGAAATAGCCTTCATTCAGTTTGATATTATACCCAATTTCAGATTTTCTCTTCTTTCTTGACACTATGAAAAAGGATACAATAGTTACTTTTACCACTGAACGAATAAAACTGGCCCGGCTGGCGGAAAATTACCATTGGCTTCTATCATTATTACAGTATGCATACATCAGGGAATTTTCTAGAACCGCCCCAACCGGTTTTCGACCGGTTGAAATTGTTGGCGACCGTTTGAAAAGTTACAAATCAGTTCCAACCGCCCGTACTTTTCTGTGGGTGAATGGAGCTGCTTATATCTTTGCTACACTCCAGCACCAAAAAATCTGTTAAATTGCTGTCGAGTGCCATATTTGGGTTGTATTTTGAAAAAATTTTCCGGGGGGGACCCCTCGACCCCCGACTCTTCATTGGACCGTAACCGGTTGGAAATTCGTCCTAGTGTACATGTACGAACACCGGGGTAGAGTGCTTGGAGGTAGGACGGCCAAGAGGGCCACTACTATGCCACCGAGCTGGGTGTGAAACTGCCCGAGTGTCAGTAAACAAAGCTAGCTGGTTATTGCATGGTTTGTCTCGAGGCAATGCCGGTGAGTCCGGTCCACATTGCTCCTTTCTTCATGAGATTACCAAGATGACATAATGAACAAATAATTAATTTGCCAACTGGGGGAGGGGGAGGTTGGGTGAGATAGCATAGATCATTATTAATTTCAGAGCTACAGTACAGTCGACTCCATTTATTACACACTTGCATATACTTTGAAGTAGGGAATTTCGTGTATGAGAACCATTGTCCACATCTCTGAACCCATACACAATTGACCCTTTGCAGCGAACTGTTTTCGTAACAAAATGGACCCTTTTAAAAAAGCCAACTGTTTTCGAACCATATCTTGTAGGGCCGCATGTACATGTAAACCGAGTGCACTCATAGCAAGAGTACATAACCCCCCTGTACTCTTGCTCATAGGCATGCGCCGGATGCCGGTCACGACGTGTACGGGATGTTGCTTGTATAGTGTGAATGCATTTCTGTTATAAAGAACTAATTCTGCACAATGGCATACCTATCAAGTACTGAGAGTGCTTTTTCTGGACCACCAGGGCAAAATCCCGGGATTTGCCTTGATTTTTCGGGATATGCCATATAAAGTTCCTTTTTTAAACTTTCTTTAAAAGTTTAAATGATGACACCAATATTTTGTGACATTATTGATAGATGATCGGGTGATGATATACATAGCATTTTACACATGTTGAAGATTCAAGAGAGGTTTTTCGGGGACTATTCATGGAAGGAGTACTAGAAAATCCACTGGTACTACAGCTATGACGGTGCAGAATCAACAAGGACAGCTAGACAAGTCACTTGATGTGCTCCAACTCCAAGAACAATATCAAGACTTGTTTCTTGTGACAGTGATTTTTGGGAGAATCGACAGGAATTTCGGGGTCACGGGAGTTAATCCAAAAGTGAGGGATAATCCCCAAAAATCGGGATACTCGCCAATTATGCAATGGTGTTCGAGTTATCAGGAGTCGACTGTATTCAGTGTGATGCTGCTGTCTGTGATCTAGGAGATCCAGAACTACAGTACATTACGCAGAGGTGAATAATAACATGTTCCATACGAGTACTGGTACAATGTAGTATGTAACCAGTCATACAGCAGGGAGCCCTACACATACGTGTATGTGTAGGGCTCCCTGGTCATACAGTGTTTTTGATGGGCCACTCATTTGGCCAAGTGCACCAACCACCGTTTAGCAACTAGGCTACCACATGTTTACTCTTGCGGGAGTGAGTTGTGGCAGCTGGAGAGAGGAGACTCTGAGCGCTCCAGCAGGACACACATGGTGCACTTGGGACAGGCATGTTGCAGAGCCTTGGTACACGAAGCCATGCAGGGCAAAGGCGGCTTGAAACTGTCTTGCTAGCATGCTGTGACTCTGTGTTTCAAGCACAGACAGCTCAGTAGCGCATGTCTAAGTGCTCAATACACTGTACATGACAATAGTGTGCCACTCATCTCAGGCTCCAGCACATGACGTGCATGTTATCAGGTTATACATGTACTTAGTAACTTATCCAGCAATATTATTTTTACTGTACAGTGTATGTCTACAGTAATAATTATTATTATTGTTTACTTTATGCCATGCATGTACCATTGTGTACTGACTGTGCATGTGTAGCATGCATGCTGCCTTTGCTGCTGGGGCCAGATGACCTCGTGATGACAATCACGTGAGTTACATGCATGCACGTACATGAGACATACTGCAAGCTCTCGGACAAGACAGTGCAAGTGTCACTGTTCCCTCACCATCATACCACCGACACAGGTACCAGAGTCAGTGACTCAATGACTATTATGTTTGCTGCCAGAGTGTAGTCTAGAGCTAGACTCACCTAGACTAGAGCCGAGGTCGATTGGAGTATGGAGAACGACCAAAGATAGGGAGAAAGAGAGGTAGAGAAGCGCTTTCGCGATCGAATGAACTCGGCAAGGTTTCACACTGTGATTTACGTTAGCCGCCATAGCCACTGGTTCAAGGTGGATACTAAAAATAATACTGTTTCTCCACAAACTGTACATCTACTTGAACGTTTGCTTGCTATATCTAGCTCAGTAGTAGCTGTCTACATCAATCAGTCATAATGGTTACGAGTAATTATCCCTGGACTGGAACTAGCACGCTCTTCCTGCAAATATCACTACGCTTGTAGTACTGTACCTCAAATCGTCCCAATCCTTTTAATTTTCACAGTCGTCTGAGTGGGTCCAGCCCGCCAGCAACGCTTGCTGTAATCCTGGACGCCGAGCACTTATCTTTCCTACTCACCCAGTGTTACCTACCTACAGTACAACGGTGGTGCACTATCCTGACTGATTCCTGAGCAGTAGATCTAAGCGCCCGACCTGGCCATGGCTGACCTGCTGCTGTCATCTCTCCTGCAAACGTCCAGGGCCACGGCGTGTGGACTGGGAATTCACGCCGGGTCGTCCATCGTCTCTTCAATCCTCTCCGGAAAAATAACCAAGTGAGAAAGCAATGTTTAGAGTGTTCACAGCAAAGAGTAGAGTAAATCAACCACTCTCTGGGCTGGCTCACGCACGGTCTACAGTCCATTCAGAAAAAAATGAACTTCTAGCTTTTGGCCATAAATGGGTCAAACGTTGAGTTTTTTTAGAATTTTTTTCTGCAATCCCATATGGAATCCTCTTCCAATTATGTTTCTGAAGTTTTTTTGTCCAAAAAGCAAGCCATAGCAAGAATAGGATTTCGGCCAGGTTTTGCCCCAAAAGAACTGAATTGGGAAAAACCATCAAAATCCAGGCCGTTTGACCCCGCCTGCAACAGTGCATTCTGTGGTTCGAACCCCAGTTCAGGCACCCTTTTTGGACCCTTTTCAAATTTCAAAGTTCGCAGCACTGCACTGTGTACGATGAAATCACGAAAAATCGCCAAATACGGGAGCTCGCCAGAGCCAGGACCCATTTTTTTATGAATGGACTGTAGATTGCGCTCCGAAAATAGTAAACTCTGACAAAACTTTTTCAGAATGTTCCAGATTTGTTCATACCGCGTACCGGTAATCATGATAAACATTACCTACAAGTTGTAGTACTACATGGTTGTAGTACATCCACTGAGAAATTCAAATTTGGTGTGTGTGATTTCCTAGACTTCTCTGTTCTCTTCGGCTGGGACTTGGCTCGGGTACTTTCCCCAATTTTTCTAGGACATGGGAAATCGTCATTGAAGCTTCAATGCCGGCGGGAGCGTATCCTGGATATTAATGGGAAATCGTAGTACCCAATTATTTTCGTGGCACCTGATCAATTAGAACCGTCATAGCAGAAAAGAAAGAAAGCAATTGTATGCATACATCGAGTGTAGATAGTTGGCGGGAAATGTCGGACACCTCAAAGAAGGAGCCCTTGAAATGCATCTCAACAATAAACATGCTGAAGCAATGCAAAACAATATGAACGGTCGCTGCTAGGATGACGACTACACCATACAGGGGCGTCACACACGGTACGGTACGACCAGTACCACTTCTCGTCCGGGTTGGTCCGCCCAGAGCGCCTTTTGGGTGCTAAAATGTGCCCTGTTGGCCGAAAAATCCGATCCCCCCCCCCCCCCACAGGACCCCCACGGGACACCCCCCCCCCCCCCCCCCCCCACGGGGACACCCCCAACCCCCGGTCGGACCACTCCCCACTGCCTTATGACGCCCTGCTATAGTGGTAGAGCATTGTTGGCCATGAGCGATGGTCCCTGGTTCGAGTCTTGGTGGCGGCAGTCAATTTGTTTTCTTCAGACTTTTCCCATTAAACTTATGACTACACCGGTCATATGAATGGAATTACAGTCCAATACAAGAGAGAGAGAGAGAGAGAGAGAGAGAGAGAGAGAGAGAGAGAGAGAGAGAGAGAGAGAGAGAGAGAGAGAGAGAGAGAGAGAGAGAGAGAGAGAGAGAGAGAGAGAGAGAGAGAGAGAGAGAGAGAGAGAGAGAGAGAGAGAGAGAGAGAGAGAGAGAGAGAGAGAGAGAGAGAGAGAGACAAACGGGAAAAGTCTGAAGAAAAGTTGACTATCACCACCAAGACTCGAACCAGGCACCCTCGCTTATGGCCAGCGATGCTCTACGACTAAGTTGTATGGTGTACACTACTACTGTAGTAGTCGTCATCCAAGCAGCGACCGTTCAACATTTTCAGTCAAGCCCGTGAATAGCAACCTCAGTGGTATAACAAACTACGTGCGAATAGCTACACAATCTGCACAGACCTAGTGACCATTTGACTGCATACATTCAACAACTCACGAATAACAGCAACTCGTGAATAACAGCAACTCACGAATAACAGCAACTCGTGAATAATAACACTTTTCTCATGCACAATCACCAGTCGTTATTCGCAAGGTTGACTGGAAAACGATAATGGTGAAGATGAATGCGGCAATCAATTGGCGAAAAAAACGTTCCCAATGTCTCTACTAAAGCGAAATTGTGGTAGCGACCTCGGCGATAAATTTAATATAAGGAAGTCGGTTGCGCCCACACTGGAGCTCACGCTTTCCCCACCAACCGTCCTATTCTTCTCCTCTCATTTCACACCAAGGTGGTGTTAGTCTTCGCAGTGTTTGGATGTTGTCACGACACGTGTAGTTCCGTAAATACCTATGCACTGGACCTTTGCTGTTCCTATCTTCACCCTGACGATGGGCCAGGAAAAAAATTGTGGAAATGTAAAGGTATTCGCAGTGAAAAGACCGTTTTGGAGTTGGAGAAATGAAGAGTTATACATATCTGGTACTTCGAAGTACTATTTCTAATTTGAACTGAACACTAGGCCACGATGATTATTGACACAAACTTGGAACTTGCACTCAATTCCATTACGTTGTGCTCATCTGCAGGAGCTTCCGGGAATGGAACCCGGCCACCGTCAACTGCCTCAGGTTTGGCGCATTCCTGGGCGGCTTTGCTGGCATCTACCGCATAATACGTGAGCTGCTCCAGCAGCACGGAGAGAAGTTACTGGTCAGTGACCAATCTGATTAGATTGTTGTTAGTGTTGGTGGTGGTGGTGGTGGTGGTGGTGGTGGTGGTGGTGGTGGTGGTGGTGGTGGTGGTGGTGGTGGTGGTGGTGGTGGTGGTGGTGGTGGTGGTGGTGGTGGTGGTGGTGGTGGTGGTGGTGGTGGGTGGGTGGGTGGGTGGGTGGGTGGGTGGGTGGGTGGGTGGGTGGGTGGGTGGGTGGGTGGGTGGGTGGGTGGGTGGGTGGGTGGGTGGGTGGGTGGGTGGGTGGGTGGGTGGGTGGGTGGGTGGGTGGGTGGGTGGGTGGGTGGGTGGGTGGGTGGGTGGGTGGGTGGGTGGGTGGGTGGGTGGGTGGGTGGGTGGGTGGGTGGGTGGGTGGGTGGGTGGGTGGGTGGGTGGGTGGGTGGGTGGGTGGGTGGGTGGGTGGGTGGGTGGGTGGGTGGGTGGGTGGGTGGGTGGGTGGGTGGGTGGGTCAATCTTTTGAGAAGTATGATGCGTTTGACATTTGTCTCAGCAGCGCATCAGCAGTCGGCAGCTTAAGTCCTCGCTGCTCAATTGACTTGTTGACCTGACAGAGGGCAGTCGGCAGCTTAAGTCCTCGCTGCTCAATTGACTTGTTGACCTGACAGAGGTCCACACACCAGCGATAGGTGCGATCAGGCTTTGGGACCGCCACCAACAGGGACACAAACCGCCTTCATCCACCCGGTAGGCTGGCTCCACGATTCCCTGCTGTACCCAGACATCAATTTGAGCACGCAACTACGGCATGAGTGCAGGTATTACTCGGCGAGACGTTTGTTGTACCGGCTCGGCATCTTTATTCATGTAGGCGTTCACTGGTGTCTTCATTGGGGGAAGACTGTCCATCTCCTTGGTTGGTGAGCACCTGCATAGTCCATCGCGGTCATCATTAATTAACAGCCTCGCTGGCTCAGTACCAGGCTGGCTCGTTCTCCAATGAGAGCTGGTAGATAGTGTTCCGAATCGCCGTCTATGGTCTCTTTTACTTCCAGGTCCTGGTTGCTCAATAACCCCTTAAACATGCCGGGGGAGAGGGGATAGAGAGGGGGGGGGGGGGTGGAGCGAGAGCGCGCGCACGAGAGAGAGAGAGAGAGAGAGAGAGAGAGAGAGAGAGAGAGGGGGGGGGGGGGAAGAACTCTGGATATTTGCTCAAACATTCATTAATGGCAGAACCTTTGTGGAGAAACAAACCCCTCCGACAACTTACACTAATGAATTACAATAATTGTCATAAGAGAACGAAGCATGGTGGCCAGTCTGATAGGCGTACACGTAAAGAAACCCTCTTGTCACATGCTATGCTGTCCTCTCTATCATACTGAGACAGAAAAAAACCTGTCTTTAGCTGTCACCCTGTGGTGCATTGAAGACGGGTCTTCAAAGGCAGATGGTCTTTCAGCACAGGTTGCAATGCAGGTTTATGTATGGCCTGGGTCCGAGGCGAGCGGTCTCTCAAGGCAGGTGGTCTCTCTACTACTGGGTCTAAGTGGATGTACATTTTTGTTGTCCGGAATTCTTTTCGCCTTTTCGGACAGTGTGGACCCCGGACCGTTTCAGCTTGTGTTTGGTCATGGAAAGGTTTGTGAAACGTTTTGTAAAAGTTCTTGAATTTGGTGGTGATTTTCCTGTGCAAACCTGCAGTCTAGGCAGATGGTCTCTCAAGGCAGGCCCTGTCTCTTAACACAGGTTTTACTGTTCATGTATTTGTCTTGCCTATCGCGCAGGGTAACCGTCAAGTACTAGTGGCCGCAGGCATTGCCAGCCTCGTATCACGGATACAGCCGTCGGCCCGTCGCCATGTCATCACATTGTTCTTGGGTGGAAGAGCGCTCAGTGCCGTGGTGAGGCAGTGGGAGAAGCGTACCGGGACGACCATCCCGCGCAGTCTATTCCTGGCCGTGTTCTTGATGAACACCACCGCATTGATACACGCCGGCGTTCTGTGCCCCGACGTTTTGCCAGCTTCTTATTATCGGTGAGTGTGTGCGCGCGCGTGTGTGTGTGTGTGTGTGTGTGTGTGTGTGTGTGTGTGTGTGCGTGCGTGTGTGTGTGTGTGTATTTTCATGTGGATGTGTGTGTGTGTGTGTGTGTGTGAGTCTGTGTGCCTGTCTGTGTCTGTGTCTGGTCTGTGGAACCTGAGGATTTGGGCAGATGGGCACATGTAGTTTATGCAGAAAACGATTCTTCACTTGCATACAAGGACCCTGAATGGTTTTTGACCGGAAGCTTGTGCTACTGGATAGTGTAACGTTATAGCATTTCTGTTGTCATTGCACGCTGTTCTCCCTCACTATCTTCAGGTCGCTCTTGCGCTGGTCTTGTCGATTCAATGACACTCAGCTTGCACAGCTCTTTCGGCCATTGCCCAGTGGACTGGAGCGACTGACATGCCACGAGATCATACATCCGGGCCAGACGTGCTTTCACACCAACGTCTTGTCGTTCCTGACGGCCTGGCGGTTCTCCTTGAAGCTGTACGCAGTGCTGTGCACCGTTCCACTGCTCTTTCGCTACAAGCAGCTACTCAAGAGGTACTAGTAGTAGTAGTAGTGTGTTCATTCCTGTGCAGAAACACATGTACTGTATGTGGAATGTGGTGGGACTGTAAAGGATTGGTGTTGCACAATAGTTGCCATGGTGGGTGAGTAGCAAGAACACAGAATAAAGCTTGCACGTCCGCGTTACCACCGGTTATACAATTATGTTTATAAACGCAACCGGCTGCCGTGTCACTGATGATTGATGCCTTGTTAGATCGGTGCAGCAGTGGATCAACTAACTTACTTCTGTGTCGTACTTTCGTTACATGTACAATGGGTGTGTGTGTGTGTGTGTGTGTGTGTGTGTGTGTGTGTTTGCATGTGCGTGTGTTGTGCCTAGGCCTGTTCCTATGTTTGTGCAAGCAATAAAGACGACGGCGCGTTCCGGCCTCTTCCTGGCCCTGTGCGCCCTGGGGGCCTTCATCACGACGTGCTCGTTTTCTCGCAACGACTACATCCGCCATCTCTTCAACACGCCACAGCATGGCCTGTCGCACATCTTCGGCCTTTGCATAGGTGGGTGCTCTGCTAACTGTTGTGTTGTGATATTGTTGCACTATAGCAGTTACACACTCGCAGGCCATAGGCATGCCATAGTCTGAACCAGGATAGATCTACCGGCAAATCTCCTCCCACCAGGTCTGCACTACTCCTTTCAGCTGTGTTACTGATGCGTTCTCATTGAAATCCGTCGGCACTCCCAAGGCCGACCCACCACTGGTGCCTATCCACGCTCAAAGTCGTCACAAGCACGGCCTTCAGGTATCTTATTGCCTGTGGCCGGAATTCAGCTGGGAGGACATTGGTAGTACCACTGCCTCGCATAACCCAGTGTAAGGCCACCCTTTGTTAATTCATTGTTTAACGTCCTTTTTTTCGCGAAAAGGTACGCGGGAGGCCGGAAAAAAAACAAAAGCCCATTCCAAAAACTGGAAACCCGAATCAAACATATTGACCAGTAAAGCATGTAATATATACAATTATCCATATAAAACCGCTCTGTGAGCGGTTCTGAAAAACCTGTACTGGTACTGCCCCGTCGTAAAAGTAAGAAATTAGAACTGGCCCATTGTCCCCCCAAATGCGAACTGATTCACCTAAATCGCGAATGACGGGACCCGAACGCACCAGTAGCACGAGGTCGGGAGGGCACAGGACAGCAATTATCATAGGGTAACACCACCTACCGCTAGTACAGTACATGGCCTATAGTCCGGACCAACGTCCCCATCTGCATCCACAGGTAGGAACCTCGTGCTACTGGTGCGTTCGGGTCCCGTCATTCGCGATTTAGGTGAATCAGTTCGCATTTGGGGGACAATGGGCCAGTTCTAATTTCTTACTTTTACGACGGGGCAGTACCAGTACAGGTTTTTCAGAACCGCTCACAGAGCGGTTTTATATGGATAATTCCAGTTCTTTTTCCGTTCCCTCCCCACCCCAACCCCGAAGGTAAACATGATGACCACGCGCGCAATGTATTGTATGTAGCCATGAGACTGCAATAACACATTGATACATACCAGCCCTCCCCGCCTCGCTACCCCGCACACAGATACCGTGACAAACATGTGTATGCAAACGGCACACACACGTGGCCACGCACATGCACACGACACAAACAGGAAATTCTTCATATATAATGCCATGCAAAGCAGTGGCCACCGTACTTGAGGAAGTCAGTTGTGAAACAAAAATAATTCAACTACAGCGTGTAGACAAGCCTGCTGCTGAGCTGACGGCCAAAGCACAACATAGCAAACATGACATTTGCCCAAGGATTGCAGTTTGCAGACCACGCCATGGAAGCAGCGAATACAGAATGTAATATCATACAAAGTGACAAGCAAGGAAGTGGCCATCATACACCAGAAACTTGCAGAAAGTCACACATCCAACAGATAGAGAAGTGAACAGCAATCTGATACAGCCCACACAGGACAAAGCTGACCTGATACTCGTCCCAGGATCGCAAGTGGCAAATCCTTTTCAATGCATAACATGCAGGTGTACGTTAGACACATGGACAACATCTGACCGTGTCGCCAGCATACAATGTCATCACATGTTTACCCCACAAGTTACACACATGCACAGTAGAAGCACAATGAAAGCAATGGAAAAGTACGATGTGGTTGCTGAAGCATCTTCACACTTCAAATTCAGACTTCAATGTGGTCGTCACGGGATGATACACCTGCAAGATACAAGTGATGAAGAAAGAAAGCAGAAGGTCGTGAGGTAGGCTATGAGTAGCCCTTTCCCAAAGGTGCCATAGTTTTTCGCAACTTATGCTTTTCGCAACCGTGCCAAAACAAGTGCTAGTTGCTGAAATCGCATCCATATTTTCAGAAAAAGCTCAAAAGTTGCCAATATCGCAACTCAAAATTGGAGAGTTCTTGTGCAAAACCTACAAAGCAGGGAGCAGAAATAGCAGAAATGCAGCGATGCTGCGACAGCAAACTCGTACAACCCTTCCTGCTGTGAACCACCACTTTACACATTGCCAGTAGCCTGTTGCATGTATCCTTCATGTACATGTACATCATTACAGTGAACGTAAAAGGGAATGCACATAATTATCATAACTACCGTTGATCTACTGTTTCTCAGAAATGAGCCTAAAGGCAGGCGAGAAATGAGCGAGCACGAGTATGTATTTGTCCAACAATGCAACATGTAGCCGGTGACTTGACCTTTTGACCCCATGCCATGGGCCAATTGCGCCAAGGTTGGGGAGAAGTTGCGAAATATGAGACACCACAAACGGGTCACCTACATGTATGTTCAGGGCTAGTGCACTCACACGCAGAATTGTCATAATCGAGCATTTCCCAAACTGAGAAGTGCAATGAAATCCACCTGCATGCACAGGAGCAATTTTGCAATAATTATTATGATGCGCAATTCGACACGATCTGCGATGCTGCGTGCGATGTGCCCTGCTGTCATGATGGTGACAGTCACCGCGGTATGTTTTGTCAATGTCGCCCATGCACTCTTCTGTCAAGTCCAAAGTGCTCACATACTTGGCAATGTCTTTGCAGTGATTAACTTTTATCCTAGTTATGTCACGGGTAACTTTAATGAAGTACCCGCAGGCCGTGTCGATCCGCACATCGTCCACTCTCTCATGTACTTGGCCTGCTTTGTCTGTGTATCCATTTCATGTGCGATCCACAACATCGACTAGACAGTGGGTGCAATACCCTCTCTATCTGAAGACGTTCTTCTGGCGACATCTCGCCATGTACTTGGCCTGCTTTGTCTGTGTATCCATTTTCATGTGCGGTCAACAAAATCTCAATGCACTACAGAGACTAGACAGTGGGTGCAATACGCTCTCTATCTGAAGACGTGAACCATTAAATTTTTTGGAAAAGTTATAACTGTTACGTACACCTGAAACGTAATGAAGTACAGGAATAGAGAGAGTGACTACAATGCGCTCTCGACCTGATATAGTGATAACGTGTTAGATTTAGAAGGTAACAGGTCTACAGTCCCACCGTACCCTTCCGACACGACTGTAGACCATTACATTTTTTTGAGAAATTATACGTACACCTTAAACGTAATGAAGTACAGGAATAGAGAGAGTGACTGCAATACGCTCTCGACCTGATAACGTGAGTACAAGACACTCTCCACCTGATAACGTGTTAGTAGAAGGTAACTGGCAACATATCAATGGGTTGCCTTACCGTGGTCTAGAGGAGACGTCTTCGCAGCAATATTTTCCCTCCTGCGCATTCAGTCGCCGACGCGACAGCGTTTACTGGGCCGTTCCAGTTGCGGAAGACATTCGATTCATCGGGCCAATTCAGCAACAGGGCCGTGGACACACAGGGGGCAGAGGAGAGACATTGTTAGTGGACAAGAAATATGCAGTGGCAAGTGGCGAGTGCCGCATGGATGTCAAGTTGTCATGCACAATTCAGCTATTACTTACGGTCCAGCTAGTCCTGCCATTGCTCGCTCGTCCTGGTTCCTCCTCGTTCGTCTTCCTGCACGTCTGCACTTCTCCTTCCCCACCGTTGGCTTTGCGGTACGGGGGTGCCGGAAGGAATTCCCACCATGTATCCATGTACATGAAGTCCCACCATGTCTCCATGTACATGTCCACGGCCACGTCAGCAGTTTATAGTACCGGAAGGAGTTCCCACGATGTCTCCAAAGGCCTAGAGCGGACGTCTTTTTTTTTTTCTTTTTTTTTTTGCAGCAATTCTTTTCACCAAGCACATTCACTCCGCCGACACGACAGCGTTTACGGGGCCGTTCCAGGTGCAAAAAGGCCACGTCAGCAGTTCTCAACTAATTCGCGTACGGGATAGTCGCCGCGACAGCGTTTAAGGGGGCGTTCCAGGTACAAAAGGCATCCATCGATGGCACTTTGCAGTACGGGGTACGGAAAGGGGCCTCCTCGTTCGACTTCGTCGACTTCTGCAGTTCTCCTTCCCGTCAGGGGTACCGAAAGGGGCCTCCTCGCAGTTGTCCTTGCCGTCAGGTCCACGTCATGCAATTCTCAACTATTTCGCGTACGGGATAGTCGTCTTTGTCGTACGCGACATCGGCACAAAGCAGACCGTTGACGGGGTCACGTGTCAAAAAAGTATCAACGTGTCGACTACGTGTCGACCACGTGTATAGCGGTACACTCAGCGGTACACTAATTCTCGTGCCATTCTCGTGTCACAAAACTGGAACATCGAGTACCAGTATGGAAAGGCTTCAGACAGGAAGCCTTTCCAATATTTCTGGGTCTAACGGCACTTGCAGGCATAGAACAACACTCTTTGATGGTACATTGGAGCACATGCCTGATGAATCCAACAAAACAGGTACATAGCATGGAGTTAGCATGTCATGAATTCATTACAGTCATCTGGATTTTTAAAAGGACACACACCGTACGATATTTAAAAACCAACAAAAAAAGAAAAAGAACACAAGACAAAGGCATGCCCGGGAGGCAAGATTATAAGTTTAAGGTCATGATCGGCACACTGTGAAACTACACAATCATGTATTTACAACTTCGCATATTATTGGTACTACTACTTTCTTGTTTTTTTTTCCAGTCTGAGGCAAAAAGGTACGCGGGCGCGGACGTTAAACAACGAAAAAAGAAAGGGTGGCCTAATGCAGATGCTTCTGATTTTTCTTGGAAAGTAGTTTTTTAAAACCATTTTGTGACTTTGGTCTTGTCAAGGGGTCTAAGTGAAACATTTTGTTAGTACAAGTACTGTACTAGGACGGTCTCAATTTTAAAATGAATTAACTATAATTACTTTTCTGACGCAAACACCCTTACCTCCCCTGAAAATGGCTGTCCGTACATGGTGAGTGATATGGCTTTCATTTAGGCATACACTTCAGCATGATGTGCCCGGCTGGAAAGCAAAGTGGAAGCTGTAGGGATACCGATTGTACACTCTACTTGACAAGTACAAGTACATACACTACTGTCCTTGCTCACGGGTCCCAGCACACCCTCAACTGCACACTGTGTGTACTGTGCATGTGCTTGTTGTATTTGCCCCGTCCCTGCGCAGGATTTGCGGGTGCATTGCCGGTGATAATTGAGCCATCGTCGCGTTGGTACGAGCTCTGTATGTACACAACACCCATCACCATTCACATGATCTTCCGACACCTGCAGCTCAACAAGTTCATTCCCACGACGGAAAACTTCTCCGTCTTCTTCTTCGCCACATCTATGATGGTGATCATGCGGGCTTACGAGCTTCAGCGTGACATAATTCCGCCGTGGATGGTGTCCTTCTTGAACATCCTGCTGAGGTAATACTCGTGTGTTTATACATCTAGCGAAAATCTGGAAGTTCTGTGACGTTTATGCCGGCGGACCAATGTCTTTTGAGTCGATTACTTCTATAATTTTACTTTATGAAATTGAGTTTTGACCTGAACAGGGCCGAGCCTAGGAATCAAAATGGAGTGGAACATATACATTTGTTGATACTGTGTGCTGTGTAGGTTGATTGTTTCTATGTTTTATTGGTAGTACTTCATAGTATAGTAGTCATGTACAGGATTTGAATATTTCCTAACGCTGGTCGCTGGTCATCCTTCTTATCATGCTTTTTAATATCATCTGTGAAAATTTGCCGTCCGTATACTCGGCTTGAATATCCCCTTTACTCCTGCCACGCTTCCTTTCCTCTTTGCACAAGAGACAACTGCCTATATGACTGTGGATGCAGAGCACAGATTTATTTACCTGCCCACGGCGGCGGCGAGTGCGGATTACGCAGCGCCGCCTACCTGTCACATCGAGTCTATTTACCGATCATGCGATTTATGAAATATTAATTAGCCATATCACCACGTCCCTTGGTTGTCTGTTCGAGCTGAGATCCATGGCATGGCAGTTATCCACATGTGTGTGCTCCGTCACGGTTGTCGTAATTGATTGTCTAGGTGGAGATAGCAAGCATACCGGGAATAATTGATCTACTACTCTGTACCGTGAGTCGTGTGACTCGTGTGCAACTTTACATCCTTACAAGGGAACACTTTTTGTAGCTCTGGTAGTCTGGATTGGTGGGAGTCAAACTCTCCCCCCCCCCCCCCCTTCGAATGTGCGTGTATAACCACAAATCTGCGCGTACTGGATGCGAGCCGGGGTTACAACCAAGGAGTAGTAATATACCGTATGTTTACTACTCCCTGGTTGCAACAAAAAACGTTCCGAAACGGTTTGTACGGTGGAGCAGACCCTACCGAGCCCCACCAGCTGCGGGTGGGAACATGAACTCACCATCCTTCACTAACCATCCTTCACAGTGGGTGCGTCCTCCATCGTACCATGTGACTCGTCTTCATACATTCAGTGGACAAAAAGCGTGAATGCAAGGGAAATCTGGACAAATGTATCATTATTTTTGTTGTAAAAAATCCGGCAGGTGATTGGGTAGATCATATATAGACCTATCTCGCATTATTATTGTGACCAAAAGAGTACATAACACCCCTCCCCACCCACACACAGACACACTAGCTTGTACTTGCTCACTGCCAAAACTGGTCACGTGGGTCTCCCCGGGAGAGGAGAGACAGAGACTCAAAAGGAATCTTGGAAAGATTACTCGGCCCAATGGCTGACACCCCCTGAAATCCCCAAACGATGGGTGGACTTGAAAAGGACCTCACTTATGGGCTCACCACACCTTAAGTGGGTGGGGACAAGATGCAGAAAAAGTATTGACGGCATCAGGGTATCCGTCCCGGGATCCAACAATATAATTATTATATTTGTGCTGCTAACGCATTTAATAGGTACTTTTTAATATTGAGTTTTTTTTAACAACTGTTGTTGAGATCAGTTTTAACCAGCACTACTGCCGCTGTGGCCACCATCGTCACCGTGGCAGCACCAGCACGACCCGGCACAGTACAATCATACACACTTAGATGAAGTGAATTGCAGCAGTCGATATGTACAGTGAGAGAGGCGTTCCACTTGATGGTGTGATCAGGCTTCGCTTGCCATACTACTAGTGTTTTCCAGGACTTGAATAATTCTATGAACTATTGCTGGTCCTCCGCATCTGTGTCACCAAGAGTACATACATGTACACAGTCTGAGTCTAGCCTGGAGTGGAGGCCCTGCTCTTGGTGATACTCATCACAATCATACCGTTGGCCTTTGGAGAATTCTTCAAAAGTAATGAATGCCATGAATGCCACGAATATCGTGTGAGTGTAGATGGCGTATTCGTACTTTCTTTAGTTTATCATTTTTCAGAGAGGAATTTAGAACTTTAGTTATTGTGGATATCATCAAGAGTACATGAAAACCAGAGTGTGCAGCTTGGGGCCTTTTCTACTATGGGTGTCTGTCACGGCGGAATTCCGTGATTACATCATATTTGTCGCAGATCTGAGGCGGGAAATGGCGTATTGCGTACAACTGAGCTGCAGTTGTGCAGAAAGAGACCTGCTTGAATCATGCTTCAACGGTACGCACAACATCACTAAAATGATGTAATCACGGAAGTCCGCCGTGACAGCAACCCATCCGAGCTGCACACTCTGGTTTTCATGTACTCTTGATACCATCATCCATGCATCATCGACTACGCCATGCACAACCGGATCGATGGTGGTGAGAGAATGAGCACTCTACTGTCTAAGTCTTTGCTAGACATTGTGCAAGCAGGCATGCATTTACCAGGGAGTAGTACAATAATGGTATTGTACTCAGACTCCCTGGTATTTACCCCCAGCGCCATTTCGCCAGGTGTGGCTTCATTTACACAACTACTGTAGAACGGGTAATTAGAGCGACTATTAATTTTAGCGTTTTCCCATTGTCAACCGGTTAGCGACGTTTTATTTTAGCGATTTGCAGCGATTTTACTCACGGATCACCAGTGTACTACGGTGTACTACTGTCTCAACGGATTAGCGACTTGAAACTTTAGCGAAAATGAGTAGATCGCTAAATTCGCTGGGGTTTTTACGTCGCTAAAATTACCCGTTCTACAGTATTCACTGTACTTCAGAAGTAAATATGATGAGTTGGGAATCATGCGGCAATGATATTCACTGTACTACCAAGAGTACATAAACCCAAGAGTATGCAGCTCTGTATACATGTACTTGTGCACTTACAAGAGTACATAAGCTCCGCTTATTTTACTCTTGTTGCCACTATGGGGCTGTTATTTTAATCTGCTGTAATACTTGTACGAAATACTTAGTAACCAGTGATAACCATGTGGTCGTGACACAATAGCTCCCATTGTCATGTTTTGGGATGCTTGCCTGTCACTCGCACGTCGACTGTAGTTTGCAGTGTAGAATAGTCACTGTAGCAAGTGGCAAGTGAAACTATGTGCCAACCGAACATGACCACTGGAGTTAAATGTCACGAAACAGACTTGCATAGTTTGCGACCCGACAGCAGGCAGTGTAGCACGGAGTCATCAACTGCCAAGACCTAGGCCTTTCAAGTTTGTATAGGGAGTTGCAGACCCGGCCATCGATAACCCCAACACAATGGCATGATTATGCAGCAGGCATAGTTCCGCACGAAGTCACGTCAAAAGCACGTCGGACCCGGATTTGATGACCCGCGGCTTGTCCATTTCTGGAGAAGGCACTTTTGCACTCTAGTCTAGCCAACAAGGCACGGACAGAGATGGTGCGAGCCCGAAGTTGCCAATCGATTCAGTCGGGTGGATACTGACTACTGTTGAGTCGCTCCTGCAGTTCTGGCCTTGGCTTCACACGGTATCTTCAGCTTTTTTTTCGCCTGCGACTGTTCAAACATCTGCGCTTTGCTTGCGCGGATAGAATCAGTACTCTCAGTGCGCAACAGACTGGCTTTTCAAGCACTCTTGATAATGTGGGCTTCGCGGTCACAGTCAGCCTGAGTTTGAGAAACGAAGGTGAAGACTGCAGAAGCCAGTTACCAATGCAGTAGTCGATAAGTCTAGCAGCTCCAGCTCTGACCAAGTACTTACCGGTAGCAATTACAGTCTTGTTTTATCACGGTTCTTGCTGCATCTTTCTTCTAAAAGCAATGTCGGACATTCTGCTGTCATCGGTGGTTCAGGGCTCGCGAGCCTGCGTTTGCGGACTGGGCATCCACGCCAGCTTGTCGCTGGCCAGCACCATTCTCTCTGGGAGGATCTCCAAGTAAGGCCAGTTAGCTAAGCGGCTTACTTCTCAACTGCTCATTTATCCTGATTTCTCAAACACAAGAAGGATTTTTGAAACACTCCACCACTCCACATATGTACCCCCACCCTGCGCTCTTGCCCCACATTGGCCCACAAAAAATTCAAAAAATTCGCATGGCCAAGTACCTCGCAGTTTCGATGTTACAAGGAGGGATTTTGAAACACCAGGGTAAATGCGTACCTGGGACCGGGAGTCGTACCACACATACATGTAGGTTGACGACATGGGCAATTTGAACGTGACATGGTGTGGGTTTCGCTTTTGGGGCACCTGTTCCAGGCACCCTTGGGGCAGGGCATACTCACAGGGCGCTCACACAAGGCTGGCATCACGGATCACGTCGACCCTCCAAAATCTAGGGTCGGGCGAACTCCGGAGTGCTAGATAGTCCAAAAGAGTGTGTGACTTTGCATGTGGCCCTGTGGGGTCTGTGACGGCGAAACTTGTGACTCACATCACGTGTTCCGAGCAGAAAGTACTAAAGTATTATTATTTTATTACTCCCTGGTTCCTAGTACAGTGCGGCTCAATGAGATCCGATCTAGTCACTCAAGTGCGTGCCGGGCGTTGCGCAGCCCTAGTAGAGACCTGCGAACACTGGGCTGCGAAATGGTGCAAGCGCGTCCTTGAGTGACGCGACCGGATTTCATTGAGCAGCACTGTACCGATGCTGTATGTTTCATACTGACTACAACGCCACACTCGGCCACTGCGGCACACCTCCTGTCCTGCCGGAGTCCCACCTAGTCCAGCTACTCACCGAAGCCTGCTTCAGCTCGCACACAGCCTCATTCAAGGGGATCTACCCACCCCGGCGAGGTGTGAACGCATGGGTCAGCACCAGACATGCTAAATGAACTGCCCATAGTCGGAGCTGAACCGTCCGTTGGATCAGCTCGGAGACTGCAAACGCAATTGCACTGACGCTCCAAGGGTACTCTCGGTGATCTTTCAGCAGGCCCGACAGACCCTGAACAGCTGCGGAAAGGGCAGAAACAAGCGAAGTACTCCCACCCAGCGCTAAACGGTAGCAATTTAAAATGTGTCGAACAAACCGAGGACTTGAAAACCAAACCTATCTAGGGCTCAGTGGAAATAGGAAGGCAATGATCCTGGGGTGGGCCTGTATTTTTGGTCTGGGTTCGATGAAATGACCGATGTCACAGGCAACACACTGTTGCATCTCACTTCCGCTCCTCACACAACTCCTACTTGGTTAATGGTTAAACATGTGCATGTGTGTCTTTGTCTGTGCATGTGGTGTGTGTGTGTGTGTGTGTCCATGTGTGGCGTGTCTGTCTCTATGTATGTGTGTGTATGTGTATCTATGTGTGTATGTGTGTATGTGTGTGTGTGTGTGTGTGGTGTACGTGTGTGTGTGTGTGTGTGTGTACGGTGTACGTGTGCGTGTGTGTGCATCTGTCTGTATCTGTCTGTACGCTCACATAGAGTGCTTAAGTACAATCCAGTCAATCCTAATTGCCTCAAGTTTGGAGCGTTCCTTGGCGGTTTCGCCGGTGTGTATCGGCTTGCCAGGGATCTTTTACAGCGATACCAGATTCTCTATGGGCAGGTAAAGAGGCTGATTGTGCGATAACTTATAAAATATTGACAGTGGTGCAGTCAACTACTTCACCACAGTCAATTGCATTGCCGATGGGATGTATCTTCCGCTGTAGCTCACACACTTCCTATGGCATTGCAAAGGCTTATGGGATACATCCTCCGCTGTAGCTTACACACTTCCCATGGCATTGCTATGGCTTATGGGATGTATCCTCCGCTGTAGCTCACGCACTTCACGTGCACCCGTTCCTATTCATGTATGGTTGTATACAGGTCGTCCCTCGTTAATACATAATCTCTGGGACCTGACAAATGTTATGTATTAACGGGGTTTATGTACTAAACGAAAGTGTACATAACTTGCTTGTGTACCAGAATTTTTCACTTTTTTCAACTTTTCTGAGTGTTTCTTGCTACCATGACCAGGGAGCGAGATATTCTTGATTCCCTCAATATAACATAAAAATTATGTTATAACGGTCACAGTCAGCGACGATTCTACAGATTCCCTCAATATAACATAATATAATTATAATACAATTACATAACAATTTGAAACTCGGATGTTGAGCCATAAATAAATGTAGAAAGGAAAAGGACATAAGGATACGAGTTAAGAGTTTGCTGCTTCGAATTGTAGTTAGACCGCTTTGTCAAATATCGTACTGGTCTCGTCATCGTCCAGTAACAAGCGACATTCTTTGTTCCGTTGGGACTGTAGCTTTTGCTCGTTTTCGTTGCGCTTGCCTTCCCCTCTTTGGTCTTTCCATAACCTTGAACCTTCCAAGTTGGAAGGCTGTCGGTTAGCGCTACGGAGATGTGTTGAAGCTAGGTGTCAGGACGTCGAATGTCTCAGTACTCTTGTCAGTTGTGTGCCCAGTTATTGCACTTTCTGACTGTATATAGTATCCAGTTACAGTGATGGAGAGTTACTCTTAACTCGTATCCTTATGTCCTTTTCCTTTCTACAATTACATAACAATTATGTTATAACGGTCACAGTCAGCGAAGATTCTACAGTTTACATGATAGCATGCCAGCCGCGCCTGTACAGTCACTCGGAAAAAACAGAGCTTTCTCGCCTTGTGATGTGCGCTCTGATTTCTGAGCTAATTGCGTCCACAAGTAGAAACTAGAACACAATGTGCCTCCACTGGAAGGCCGAAAGACCAACAAATTATGTATTATTGAGGTAGGTGGCATGCGGGTACGGAGAAATGTTATGTACTAACGGGGTTTATGTACTAACGAATTATGCACTAACCGACAAAATTTGTATGGAAGTGACCACGTTTCGTCCGGGACTTGAGATTTCTTATGTACTAACCGGACTCGTATTAACGGGGGACGACCTGTACATAGAAGTTTGCGCTTGGAAGTAACTTTCATTTATTTCGTTTAGCATCCTGAGTGAACGAAAATCAGTTCTATATAAATACAGCTCTGTTACACGTAGCACAGGAGTGGGAGCCCACAGTTGTTCTGAGTGAATGAAACACGCTAAATTAAATGGATATGTATGACTTTGACGAAAAGTGGTCGCGACCAAAACTTATTCCACAGCATCTCCGACTAAGGCCGGATCACAAATAATGGCAGGTGATGCGTTTGTGCTTCAATGCACCAAATTACAGCATAGCACCATCTACACGGCATTATGTGGTTGTGCATGCAGCACATCTTTTTCTGCCTGTTCCGTTTTCACTGCTCACTTTCCGCGTGACTGCAGGGCAAAAACAGTAGCTACATAGCGCTGGCAGCGGCACTAGCCGGCCTGACCTCTGCCATCCAGCCGGCCCATACTCGTCACACCATCATGCTACTCCTGGCCAGTCGTGCTCTCGCCTCACTGCTAAAACGCTGGCAAGCAGCCACTGGACTGCGCATTCCCAGTGCTGTGTTTCTTGCTATGGTCATCGTCAACTCTACCATCCTTGTTCAAACTTCCCTGCAGCATCCCGACGCGCTGCCGCCATCCTATTACAAGTAAGAGGAATGGTGTGACATGCGATGGCGCTGTAACAAGTCGAGGGGCCCCCACTGTGAAGAGCAATGCTCCTTACTACAATCTAGACTGGTTGCTACAGTCCATTTCAAAACTATAGACGCGTACCTAGGCAAAAACCGTTATGCCAGCATCTATACCACATAAAATCTGTGATCACTTTGTGCATAATTTTTTCCAAATTGGGCGTCTGTTATCCAATCCTTTAGAAACTATATGAGAGTAATTGTGGAGCGATCCTGAGCAATATTCCGAAAACTATTCTCAAAAAGTTCCAGCCAAATTTGAAATATTTCAAAAACCCTACGCGTCTATAGTTTTGAAATGCACTGTAGGGCCTTGGTCTATAGGACCATGTGAGCCATTAGGACACCTTTGTCACGTTCCTGTCTTATGCCACACCATGTACATAGTCATTGACAGACAGGTCGTGCATTCTAACCACAACTGAGAACAATGTAGAGAGCCCTGTGACGGTAAGCAACTCTGCTTGTAGAGCAGTGGAGTGTCCTAGCTAGTACTTCGCTAGTAAGCAAAGGTTTTGCTCATCACTAAAAAAAAAACCTTAGCAATGGTCATTTGTCTATCCATAATGGATAGCATCTAGGCAGCTTGACAAATGACCGTTCAACAATGACTCAGGCATTCAAACTAATCGCTTCACCTCTCTTAGAGACCCTATCAGTCACAGTCTATTGGGCAGTGGACCGTCTCCTGCTAGGCACTTGTATATTGCTTCTGTGTGTCAAACACAGATTGAAGGAGCCTTGGCGAAGGGCCTAGCGGAGTCCTTTGAGCTTCCTTGCAGCATTCTTCATGATCTCTGTGCGAGCATCAAGCACGTGCAGAGACCGATGTTCTGAAACATTCCTTTGTAGAACCAGGCAACAGCCGGTGGAATACCCTCATTCCAGAATGTACCAGTACATAGATCATGATGCAGGCTTTAGCTCACCAGGAAGAGGCGAGTGACCCGTGCCTAGTAGGTTTGGCAGTGCCTAAGAATACGGTGAGATCATCCCTATCTGAGACGTGTTGCTTCATCATTCTGTTGTGGCTCTTCTTTGTTCTCTCTCTCTCTCTCTCTCTCTCTCTATTTCCACTCTGCTGCAACCCGGAAGGTCTATACAGCGATGGTCGTGTGTATACAACGACACTAACATTACGCAGATATTCCGTCCGTGTCCTGACCAGTTGGAGCGACTCACGTGCCACGAGGTCATTCACCCGGGGCAGTCGTGCCTTCAATTTAGCCTGCTGTCAACCGCCATGGCCTGGAAGCATGCATTGAAGCTATACATGACACTGTCAGCTATTCCACTAGTGTTCCGAGCCAAGCAGTTGCTCAAAACACCCGCTCCAATGCTGGCACGTTTGGCGAAAACAGTAGCTCGCTCCACAGCTTATCTGGGTGTGTCTTGCACGATTGGTTTCTCAACGATATGTGCAGCATCACGGAACAAGTATATTCGGCAGAACTTCAACACACCACAAGGCAGGCTGCCAGATTTAGTTGGCCTTCTGATAGGTATGTTTCTTGTTTTGAAACGAACCGTCTTGGTACTTGTGAGCCCCTGCCAAGCCACCCTCTCTGCAGGAGCTGCAAACAGAATTTGGAGAGATTGATATTTGAATATTGCTGGAAGGGAATATGCTGGTCCTTGAGTGTTGACTTTGTAGATACATTTATGTTATGATGGGATAACTCCCAATTCTTCTCGAACCGTCTTGGTACTTGTGAGCCCCTGCCAAGCCACCCTCTCTGCAGGAGCTGCAAACAGAATTTGGAGAGATTGATATTTGAATATTGCTGGAAGGGAATATGCTGGTCCTTGAGTGTTGACTTTGTAGATACATTTATGTTATGGTGGGATAACTCCCAATTCTTCTCCTGTGGTTGAACATGTACAAATACTTGAAGAATTTGATGCATTTGCGCGTCTTGCTTTCTGCTTGGTTTTTCTTTTAGGGCTCGCTATGAGCATCCCAGCTGCAATAGAGCCAGCATCCCGTTGGTATGAACTAGCTATGTACACCACGCCACTCACTTTGCACGTCATCATCAGGCACATGCAGCTCAACCATCTGATCCCGACCACGCGCAATTCCTCCGTGTTTTTCTTCGCTGCAGCAATGGCCGTCATCATGCAGGCCTACGAACGCCAACAAAAGACTATTCCAACATGGCTGGCGTCCTTCCTGCGCTATCTAGTTCACTAGTCAGGTTTTTTTAAACTGAGGTTAGCCGTGTTACATCCTGCTGGCCAGGGAACACATTTCCAAGTAGTAAATTGGTAGTCAGTTTAAATGATGGTAGTAGATTTGTTCGCACTTCTGACTGATGATTTATTGTGTTGAACACGCCTTTGGTTGAAGTAACTCCACCTTTTTTTCACGGTTGTATTGCAAACTATCTCTGCTATTAGATAAGTAGTCCAAAGGAACGAAACAGATAGGCTGTAGGGTGAGGTACCTGTGTGGCAAGCAACTATTTTTGTGACTAAAGTGACTGGTTTCGTGTCACTTGTGTTCAGGTACATTGTAGGCGCGTAGCGTTGTTTGAGGTCGATCTGGGTTTGAGGTCGATCTGGGGATAAGGGTTTCATTTCATGTTTATCATTATTTATTTTTTGCTTTATTGTTTTATCTACTCTCCGCATAATCATGGCTGCACAGATTCATTGTTACCAATCAGATCTGAATCATGTGAATTCAGCTGGACATCAATAAAATTAATGCTTCAACAACCGCTATTTACCAATGTGCTACCCGTTAGGCGTTACCTGCTTGCTTGGTCCTCATGTAAGACAAGACTTGAAGAACACAAGTTGAACTACCGTATTTTCCCCACACGTCTCCAATACTGTAGTACGTCTCCAATTGTAGTACATGTTGAGAGTGGATCAAAAATATAAAAAGACACGTCTTTATTAAAGACTCTTTAATAATAGTACATGCCAGAATGATTGTAATGGGCAATACTGGGGTACAGGTACCAGGGTTCACCTTACTTCGTTTTTTTTACCCGTTCATCATCTTAGTGTCTTTCTACACTGTTCCTTACCATGGTTGGATGTATTTACAGCCTTACAGTATCATTATCACGAGTTGTTTGCCACCCAACCCAGACAATTAATCTTTCTGGAAACAATAAAAGTAAACGTCTCCAATACCAGTACAGTCTCCTATAGTACTGTAAGTACTACAGGTCTGACCACCTTTGATGACAAAATACAAGTACTGCCTGTAGACTACGTTAATTTTATTGCGGGAAAATACGTTAATACGGTACATGTAATGCCTAGCCTGTGCATTGTACTAAAATCGAGCTTTAGTGCTCCCTGACCTCATTTCGAGATCCCCTGACCCCAGTGCAAACAGCACCTCCCATCGCACTGCAACAGGCCTGCGACTAAGGGGCCGTCCGTAAATATCGATGTTTTTTTAGAGACGATATTGGTGCGTCTGGGGGGGAGGGGGTTTGAGCCATGTGCGTCTTTTCGAGCATCAGAAAAATATCGATGTAAATATCTGAAGTTTCGCCGATCCCTAGGCCCTGCACGCGGACGTCTAAATGGCTATACAAGAAATGTGAAACCAGCTTCCGTTCGCGGAGCTAAAACTCGCGACACAAGAACAAAATCAAAAATTGGAAGCTGTACGCCCACGGCGAATTTCAAGAGCAAAAGAATGAGCTATTGATTGTGGAAATCGGCCGAACGATGCCTGCAGGAGACCTTTTTCAAGACGTAGAGGCAGTGCGAACAAACACGGACTCCACAAGAGTTTCCAGTCTTCACTATCTAAACAAGGATTTGAAAAAATTCAAGCCAGAGCGTAGCCGCTTTGGCTACACCAGTACACGATGGCTGTGAGCACTGCATGCAGCGCCAACCCGGTTCGCTCCCCCCAGGCGATGCAGCTATTGCGTGAGTGCGGCGGGATTTTCACGCCTACACCGGACCCTCAACATCCTGGGCACTTCATGAGCATCCAAAAAATTAATATTGATTCCATGATCTAGATGTACATGTGCGTCTTCTGGGGGGAGGGAGGGGGGTCAAGGGAGAGAAGCACCAATATCGTCTCTAAAAAAACATCGATATTTACGGACGGCCCCTAAGTGCTTGAAAGCAGCTACTGCAAGCCCCTTGGCTTTATGTTGGCTTTCTGCTACCGCACCGAGCAGAATCATGATATTGATAGTTCTAAAAGATAATGCACCGTGGCAAGAAATTACAAAGGCAGAAGAGAACAGAGACAACCGGCTATCTCTGTTCTCTTCTGCCTTTGTGGTATTGCTCCATCCTTGTGGTGTTGAGCACTCTATAGGCAATCTGGAATTCTCGCGCTATTGTGTGGCAAGAAATTACATTGATTGATTGGTAACAGGGAGTCGTATAGACCCTCCCTAGTAAGAATCGAGGTGTAGCTCTGCCCTAGGCTGTAGTGTAGATACTAGACCTTGTAATGCTGTAGATCTACCGGGCCTGGTCCGAACTGGCGATAGTTCATGTAGATCTACCAGCAGGCGGATCCTCTATTAGCTACAGTGTAGATCTACAAATCAATAGATCTACAATCTACATGAATGGTAGATCTACAGCCAGTAGTTCCTAAGCGTCCTCGAAGCAAATGCGGCCTTCCTCACGCTAAATCAGACGGGCGTCGTTTGACCACTTGTTGTTTTCTTTATTTTGAATTCGCTAAAACCAAACGGACAGAACTGTCCAGTGACACGGGAGCGAATGATGAGCGTCATAATCACTACGCATCAAAACATCTCAGGGGAAAATGAGACAGACTATAATAAAGGAGGGTTTGCACAACACTTGTACATAAAGGGGAGTACGAGAACAAAGGCGCGGCAGAAGTCGAAGCAGGAAAGCAATCAACGCCAGAGATGTTTATGTCCACCAAAAACAGAGAGAGAGAGAGCGAGCGAGAGATCCGAGAGAGAGAGACTTCCTGGTAGATCTACACCGTGGTAGGCACAAGCTAGTTAGTAGTCAGTGAGCACATTTTCGTCTGCTAGATAGTCGACATGGTTGTATTATCACTACAATCATGTATCACACCTTTCGCACTCCTCCGAGACGAAACGAGTATGACTACCGGTATCCGTATCATGTCACTGCTAGACGAATCCCACTCGACCAATCGATGCCGCTGTAGCTTGTCTGGTATGTAGTCTAGTGTTAGTTCGTGAGAAAGTTTTAAAAGTGCGAAAGGGTTAGCGCTATGGCAGTGCCAGTACGGCAGTAGTCTACGGCGTAGACCTATCACCATGATCACCCGGGATTCGCAGGACTCCCTGCCTAGCGCCTATCACATCGCCCGATAGCCGTGGCGGACGTCGACGACTACTCGTAGATCCACCTTGCTTTCGACATTACTTGCACCCAGGCAGCGCAGAGCAAGTCAGTTCAGGTGGACAGTACTGCAGTGGAGGCTGTTTAGTTGCTTCAAAGAATCACAGATGAGAGCGACGAGGTCAGTGCATTATGTGCGCCCTTCCTCTTCCTCTTGAGCAGCCTTTGGGCAGTTTCGAGTTATCGTCTTCTCCGCAAAGCTCTTCCCGACAGTGCAGTACCGGTATAACTTATAACGTGTGCTTTGTTCGAAGCCCGGGCCGAGGCAGACCAACTGGAGACGCAGCGACCTACATGTACCTCACCGTCGGACCTCTGTCATGACTATGGCCAAGGTACAGCAGCACTGAAGACTCGCCCTAACTGCTACTGAGCGGACGACCTACTACTAGTAGATCTACGCCCGTACTTCCAAAGCTGAAGCCGTTCGCAGACCTGTGCTGCTGCGGGGATAACGACGCGGGAGTGCCGCATGGAACGGGGTAAGGCTTCACTGCCATTACCTAGGCTGGAATGTACTGTAGTAGTAGACTACAACCAGGGAGTCGTAAAAGCCAGGTCGCATTCACTTTGTTTCACGATTCCCTGACTCACCCATGTAGATCTACCAGAAGAGCCCATAACCACAGGAGAGTGCCGATTATCATGGGCCGCACCCCGAGGGGTGCGGACTGTCTCCAGGTGCTTCGGATGAGAAGAATGTTTGGATAAGGGAGCAGTAACACATCTATCTAGACATGCATATTTTGGCGTAGTGGTCTTTGGGACAGGTGGTCGCCTTATCCGAGTGGTCACCTTGACAGGTTTTACTGTATAATACAGTTCAGTCACGTGACAGCACGGTAAAAATCTTCGTCACGCGTCATGCATGCATTTATGACGTGAGCATGGCACAAAAATGTGCCACGTGGAAATATTGATTTTTTTTTAGACTTGTAGTTTGTTGAAGAAGGAGATGACAGCCATTTGACAGAGGAGATTTTTAGCTTTCGTTTGGTGTCTCACTCGAGGTCACAGTCGTGAGATGGGACTTCCCACGTCTTGCCGTAAAACTTTGAACGCGATTTTGATGTTGTTCCTTTGAGCGTTGACGGACGGTGATTCTTCCATCGTGTTCCTCGTCCCAAAATTAGGTAAGAACGATCGTCTTTCTTCATCTAGTTTGCAGCGGTTCCAGGCGGTAAGGAATATTTGTCTGCTCTGTATTTCTCTACAGCGAGAATTTGAATATTTGAATTCTTCATGGCCGATGAGGAGGAGAATAGCCCTGGACCTGCATGTCGGAGGCTTGGTATTTATTCAAGCAAACTGAGAAATGCGTTGAAATCAGACGAAGCTCTTACCTGTTTGAAGACGAGTGATTTTCCTGTCACCAACGATGTCGTTCTGGAGCTACTTACATTCAAAAATGCTTCGAAGTTTTCGTTCAACGATATGTTGAAATGGACTGGTTCTCTGATAGGTTCCAGTACCAAAGATATTGCTGTTGGCACGTTTGCCTCTAGAGTCCGTTCTCTGCAGCAACGTCGAGCAAGGCTGCTGAAGGACAAAGCCAGCGATCAGATTGCTGTCCTACTGGCTGAGCCCTTTATACTACCCTCTCCATCATCCGGCCAGTCGGAGTCAGGTGAGCGTCAGGAAGCAACTCCGCTTGACCCAACCGGCCACACCAGCAGCTCGGCTCATGTTGCAGGCAGTCAGCACGCAACTCCCCTGGAGCCAACCACTTACACCACCAGTCCGGCTGATGTGGACAGTCAGCGAGCAGCTTCGTCAGAGCCAGCCGCCAACACCACCACCTCGGCTGACAATGTAGATTGCGAGCTGGAGCCAACAGCAAAACGGCTCCGCGTTGAAAATGAATAATTTTATTGTCCAAAGACATGGTCAAAGACATGGTCAAGACAAGTTTGTGGTTATTGTGTTGACTGTTTTTATTGTCTTTTTTGTGTCTTCCCGTCTTCCAACTGTTCTCTTCACTTTTTTCCTGTTCCGTTGCTATGGTAACAATGCTAGAATTTCCCGTTAACACTGTTAACCTACATTCCATTTTTGTTTTACCACGCTTGTGCAACGTTTTCACTCCATATTGTCATCATTGATATGTTTCGTTGCGTTTCTGCAATGTTGCTAGGGGTTGCCATGGAAACAATACACGGCGACGTGCCGTCAGGTAGTTGTTGTACATAGAAATGTTTGTACATTATTGCTTATCATATAGGCCTGTCATTTGGGCTCTTTTCAGCGAACTTTTTGTTTTTGTCACTATGTCCCCTGGTCAACTTCCCCTGGGTCCGTTTGTCAGTTTGTGCCATGCGTGCTATACACGTTTACATACAATTCAACACAATTCTATGATGATTGGCACCACAATTGAAATGACTGTATCTCAGGTTTGCTTTGAGATTTTCACATGAAATTTTCTGTGTGCTCTTGAAAGACGTGCTTATTCGATTTCCAACAGAATTTTCCTGGGAATTCTGAATTTGATTTTTTTGCCTGAACTCCCTGGGCGGCGGTGAGTAGACATGCATATTTTGGCGTAGTGGTCTTTGGGACAGGTGGTCGCCTTATCCGAGTGGTCACCTTGACAGGTTTTACTGTATAATACAGTGTGTACGGTAAAGTCCTGGATAAAGGCCGGGATTATTCCTGCCACAAAAACCGATGACTTTGTGTGTGTAGAGAATGCTTGTATTCAAACTTGGTATTTCTATTCTTGATATTGTCAACACAAAAACCACCGCGACGCTCACAAGGCAAAAAAAGTTCATTTCAGTTCAACACTTGCAGTTTGGCCAATCGCACGGCCATCACCGTATGCATTGTGCTCAGCACTTCCGGTGTGCTGAATGAAGTGTGAATCGAGCTTTATGCACCGAAGGTCTACCTTGAACAACATCAGGCCGCTTGTATAACTATAAGCCTTATGCACATTATACAGATGTACGAACTACCGTAGACATGGTTAAGCGTAGAATGTGCAGGCGGGACCGTGGCCTACCGGTATGCTTATGCCAGTAGTTATGGTGTTTACTGCTGTTCCCACTACCAAACGTGCTCTGAATGCATTTCACACGAACAAAAATTCGACCAAAGATCTAGCTAGTCATTAGCTCTATTCAAAGTGATGAAACTGGAGAAGTGATCGCCTTCAATTGATTTAATATTGGGCGAAATCGGTCAAATGTGCATGACTTTGTATAGCACACAATGAACACCCAATCGGGCATGTACACGTTACAGGATTTCGTACATCTGTACAACGTGCATAAGGACCATTGATAACAGGCATGAGCCGGTCTTTTAACAAGACTGTACGGTACAGTGCCGGGTAGAGCCACACAGTCGCTTTGGCTACAGCCCTAGTTGGCAAAATATGTGCTTCAAAGTACCTCCTTGCAGGAGGGAAAAGTGGTCGACCTTCGCTGTTACGTGTGTTGCTTTGCATTGAACCATACTTGCTGGGTCCAATATCTGTCCCCACGGAAAAAAACCTTTGAAAGTTGTGCAAATCTTGCGGTGGTTATTGAGCTGAATTTGCCGCAAAATATGTGGTAAGGAGCTGAATTTGTAGTAGAATATAACGGAGCTTGCGGTTGATTTATCGAAATCATTATATTTTCCTCAAGATTCGCGGCGATTCAGCAAAATCATCACCACGGTGAGCATGACATGCACTGATGTGGAAGGCTGCATGCATGCCGCACTACACGCGCCAGTCAGTCGATCATATGAGCAGGCGGCTTTCTCGTACACTCGATACGATACCATGTACTTCGAAGTACTATTAGTCGGTAGATCTACATGCCCTCATCCTAGGAGTTTTAAAAGCTCCCAAGCCAAGGGCAAGAGTGTGCAGCTCTGTATGGAGAACACTCATATCACGTGTTCCAAGTACGTTTTGTACTACATGCAATGAACTCAAGCATGCGCAAACAGTCCAAATATCTGCCCGCATGCCATGATCATGTTGATGACTCGCATAAGCTGAGCAGGTTTTTGTCGGGAGTGCTACGTTTTACTACTCCTGGGATTGCTAAAAAAACGAGCTGGGAATGTGCAATGTGAACACTGCACCACGTGATGTGAGGAGTTTTAGCCGTTCGGCGCACCCCATCGAAAGGCTATCCGGAGTTGCACACTCTTCGGAGCTTATGCACTCTTGCGAATACTGGTAGCTCCATGTGTTACTGGTGATCCTTGCGATACTGACTATTAAAGAGCGTTGATAAAACAGTTGGTGAGTCTACATGGGTTTTGCAAAAAAGATGAGTGACGGCATCACCATCAGTATGGCCGACATACTGCTATTGTTGGCGACGCAAAGTTCACACAGCCTGAAGGCATCAAGTTTCAGTGGTTCATCGGCCAGTATATCTGTGGTAGACGTTTGCACAAAGGACCATCAGTGTACTGAAGTGATAACTTGCTGGGTCTCCTGGGCAAAGAAATCCTACGTCCCACCGGTCCCCTCCAACACAAGGGGAGGTTGTGTGTAATGGGCGTTACGAGAACGAGCGTGAGCATGGGTTTGTGACAGCGTAGCGTTGGGCATAGTCCCAAATACTGGGTTCTCTCTATTACCCATACATGTATTTCAAGTAGTATCCCTCTATGTCCTCATTCAGCTGCAGCCTATGCTTGTGGACTGGCTTCCAAGTACAATGTGTACATGTGTGCTGTCAACTTGTTAGCCATCAGATGTTTCAATTCAGCCACCCTTCCAAGATTTCTCTCCCCACTCCCAAGTGCTTGGGGAGCCGACGCACATGACCAGTCCCTGGCACAACACGTCTCATTTTTAGTCTGTTTCGTCGAATGGTGCTGTGCCATCCTTCTTGTCACTGATATTCAGAGAGTTTAGGCACAACGTGAGATTAGTTTGTTGAATGATGAAAAACAATGACTGGTACATGGATGCTCGACTTGCATCAAAACTTTATCAAAAGGCTTTATAAATTTCGCACTAAGACTACTCAACAAGATAAATTAACACCAAAATTCATCTCCACAACATGGTGCGAAAAGTGATGAATCATTCCAGTGACACTATGACAGGAGAGGAAGCTAAGGAATAATATACCACTGGGCATAGCATCCACACGGCGGCACAGTTGGGTCATTTTACTTTCCTCCCTGTGTGTGTTTGGTACTTTCTGAAGCCGTTGCCCTAAAGAAGTTACCAGACAAGCAGTTGTGTGATGCGTAAAAAACGAAAAGGGTTCCAAAGTGGAATTGTCAATCAGCTAACATAATCAATTGTATCATGCTACACTGTTCAAGTACTGTAGAAATGTTTCCTCTTCGTTGCTGTTCGCAACGGTGTATTTAGAAGTGAGGCTGTGAAGTGCTGTCTGGCCATTCTCAAATGACACCACCTGCAGTGGTGCAGTAGACGAAGACGCACATGCACACACACACACACGTACACACGCACGCATGTGTGCACCACATACACATGCACACTCACACACGCATGTAACACACACGCATGCACATACATACACACAAGATGCACCAAAATAGAAGTAGAGAGTGGTGAGAAATTTATTCAACAGACTCTCTTTCTGAAGAAGACCAGCATGGTCGAAACGTCCACGCAGTCGTGATCACTCCTGTGCAATAATGGTCCAGTCACTTTTTCCACAAGAATCTACTACAAGTACCAGTTTACAGCAGAAAAGAACTTACTACTTGTGCTGGACGGCTTGTATTGACATTCTCTTCATACAAGGAGACACTCATTGAGGTGATCCTGCAGAGTGTAGAAGCAGATACGCGGCATTGCAGCAGCAGCAGCAGCATTACTATACAGAACATGTACTGCACCCAGATCAAGCCACACTGTTGATAGCCCAACCTGACTCTCCGCCAAAGCTTCAACACTACTATCTCGTAGCACATGGAAGAACTAACCTGCGAGTTAAAGAGGACATTTCCGACAGACCCAACCGAGCAGTCAAAGCCCCAAAGATCGTCATATGGGAGGCAACGACCGAAATTCTATGACTACGACGTGCATGCAACAGCCAGGGCTAAAGCAACCACATATCAATCCAGTCTAAGACACGCACGCACACCTGGACCGTTGAATGTGTGTGACAGAAAGGGGAACAAACGGATCATTACACGTGCCGGTATGGGTTGGGTGCTAACTAGAGAAGGACCTCCTTCAGCTTGCACTCCTAAGCAAAATGCACTTGCTGTCGGAATAATGTAAAACCGGAAAGTTAACGGCCAAAAAGTTCAACGTTTTTGTAATTTTGGCATGATAACGAGCAGAAAGTTTAACGATGGCTACCTGGCCACCCATCTGTATGCGCATCTTTACGCAGACATCTCAAACCGGGTTCGCGGTAATGTTTCTTCAAATAACGAAAAACAATTGGTCGTTAAGACATTAGACTTTCCGGTTATACAGTAGTCTACACTCTGTAAAAAGTACTAAAAAGTTGTAAAAAACTTACCTTCCGAAAGAGGACAGGTCATCCTTGAAGCTTGGTGCGGTGTCTGTATCAGATAAATCCCTATCAAACCAACACAAAAGACATTTCCACATAGAAATCAGCACTTGTAATATTTTTGAATATAACTTTTAGTTGTTATTAGTTTCCACAGTAGTTTGAAGAAGGGCTGAGGCTTCCTGCAGCTTCATCTGTGAAAAGAATTCGGGTGGACACACCCATTCCCATAGCGCTGCACATCACATCCGAACCAGTTCCGTTATGCAGTAGTGACACTGTATTTACAGCAGGGTGCAGCCTTCTCTCAGGGTTCACCATCACTCCTGATTTGAAGGCTTCGCAAGACAGAACTCAATCAACTGGCCCATCGACAGCAGCCACATGTTGCCATATGCATAGCCAGGTCATGTTTTGTTTAGATTCAAAAGTCTGACTAGTGGCATGCATTAGTGCAGCACAATTGATGTTGGACAACTCACATATGGTGGCACAGTCTGGCTTGGTGATTGCCATTGATTGCTGAGTGTGTAACATACCTATGCTAGATTCAAGTACAGCTCCACACTACACGCATAAAGAAATACTTCTGCACTCTGTGCATTGAGCGCTTTCCCGGCAGTTGCCACACACATCCCCTGCATGTGTTCCACAATACACTGATAGGCTGCAGTTGTTAACTTGCTACATGAACAAACAGGCCAGGCCGAGAGAAGTCAAAATAATTCTTTCTACCCGTGAAGTAAAACTGGGCTCCAGCACGGCTTTCACAAGACCTACTGCAGCTTCTACGAGGCATTACCATCATCATGATCATCACAATCCGATCACCATCATCATGATCATCACAATCCGATCACCATCATCACAATCCGATCACCATCATCACAATCCGATCACCATCATCACATTGTAATGCTCACCATGTGAGTAGCCGTGATGACCGGTCCACCACCATGAAGACGCAGGGCCGATACGGCAACCAGCGTACGCATACCACACCGGTGCAACTGCTGACGAACTGAGGCCATGTCACAAGTGGCTCGGCTGCAGGATACAAAGACAAAGAAAGACAAAATGGAGAATGCAACACACAGCAAAACTACCAAGATCAATCAAAAGACAAATGAACGCCCATTGAGCCAACTGAGATAAGCGAGACAAGACCCATGCTACTCCCGCAAAGGATAGTAGCAGCACAATGGGGAATGGAAACAGTTCGAAAGACACTTATGAAACATACTGGTGACTGCCACGGTGCTTTTCCCGTAGGCACATTGACAACCTTTACACCAGAGCACCATGCATCAGGAAACTTAACACAAATCGACATACGCCACCAAAGGAAAGAGTGCTGCCTGCCAGCAACTCCGCAAGATTACTGCAAGTTTTGCGTAGCTAAAGTATGTTAACGCGGTGACGTAATGTTTTCACTGTATGCTGATGTCTATCACGCGCGTGTTCGCGCCAGCTCACGGATGCGCCGTTGTGCGCATGCGCAAACTCTCCCAGCAGCTCGCTTTGCATACGTACACCCTTCAGCAGCCGTCGTGCCTGGCTCTCTTTGTTAGTTGCATTGGCTCGCATGACTCTTGCTCCGTGTTTTCAGTTTTCAACTCCGGAGTTCTTCAGTTCTGTTCAGACTTCCTTGTACAAGGTGACATCGTCGTTTCGGTCTCTTGTTGCCTAGTTGTGGTGTCCAGTCCCTGGGCGGGCTGGAATTCTGAGTGCTGTATCCGCGGAGTGGTTTACTCAAATTTTCTCAAATTTTCCCACGCTGAGGCAAGAGATGTCGCGCAGGTCCGCCAGGTCATCTTCTAGCCCCTACGCTAGAGCAACATCCTCCTCTGCTCCTGGAACCACCCAGGCCGGAGCCCCGGCCCAGAACCCCGCGCCGCCTCGTGCTCCTCGTGCTCCGGCTCTACCTGGCCAAGTGCCTCCGTCTCAGTCAATGCCGGCCGGCCAACCACCCCAGCCCACGCTGGCGAGCCAGATCTCCGCCGCCGTGGCGGTTGCTATTCAGCCTCTGGCCGACAAGGTTACCCTGCTGGAGCAGGCTGGCGCGGCCCAACTCGCCGGCCCAGGAACTGGCGTCAACTCGGGACTCGCTCATGTTCCGACGTTCAGCGGGGCCTCGCTTTGTGCTGCCGGATCAATCGCCACTGCAGCGCCGGTTTTACCAGCATCAGTACCGGCTGCCAGCCACCCGCCACAACAGTGGCCGTCATCTGGAGATCTCCCCGTGGTGCCGCCTCGCCTTCGAGACCGGATTGTGCGAGGTGAGTTCACAGAATTGAGTGATTTGCTGCCTGAATCCCTGGGTTTCGAGGGGGATCATGATGTGATGCAACTCGACGTGGGCGCGGGCCGATCTGTGCAGCTCGTCCCCAAATCTTCCCACCGGCAACCCGCCAAACGACACATCTATGATCTTGCCACATGGGTGGAAGCGTTCACCACCTACTCGAGGGTGCTGGCCGACGCCTCACCACAGCTGGCAGGTGATCTCTGGGCGTATCAGGCCATCATTGTCGATGCCAACGTCCGGTTCCACAATGATGCCTGGCTGTCCTACGACCGCAAATTCCGTATGGCCAAGGCGTCCCTCCCTCACCGCTATTCCTGGTCCGTCATTGACCCGAACCTGTGGCAGTCTTGTCTCACGGGCCGTGGGCGGCCTCCGTGCCAGCGTTGCTCCATGGTCCATCCAAGTCAGCCCAGCAGCTGCCCCTTTCGTGGGGGGCTCCCAGCCCCAACAGCGCCTACTGGGAGCCAGTTCTCGCACCAGCCTCGCTTTGACGGCAAAGCCATCTGTCGTAATTTCAACTTCGGCAGCTGCTTGCTCTCCCCCTGCTCCAGAGCACACGTCTGCATGCAGTGCCGCGGCCGTCACCCCGCACGCCAATGCTCCAAGTCTGGTGACTCGACCAAGAAATAACTCTCACCCCAGTGGTGACGCTGCTTTACAGGTGCCCACTAGCACGCCTGTTCATGTTCGGCGCTTTATCAATCTTCTCTCTCCTCATCCAAATGCAGTATTTCGCTCTTATGTTTCACAAGGCATGCAGTATGGCTTTCGTATTGGCAGCTCTCGCCCCATTGCATCTTCTGTTATGTCTCCTAATCACCCTTCGGCTTGTGCTTGCCCTGCTGAGGTTACTACTCATCTGCTTACCTGTTGTGACCGCGGAGAAACTGCGGGCCCATTTGCATCTCCGCCATTCCCTCACATGCATATTTCTGGTTTGGGTGCTATCCCGAAGTCTAATGGCAAACTGCGTATCATCCACGACCTCTCGTCCCCTGCCGGCTTGAGTGTGAATGACGGTATATCTCGGGATGAATTCAGCCTGCAGTACGAAACTGTCGATACAGCTATCTCTCTGATAATGCAGGCAGGGCGTGGCGCTCTTTTGACGAAGGTCGACATCAGGAATGCATTCCGTCTCTGTCCTGTTGCCCCCTGTGACTGGCCCTATCTAGGCATCTTCTGGCAGGGACAATTCTATCATGACAAAGTGCTACCATTTGGATTGCGTTCTGCACCATACATATTCGATAAATTCGCCACAGCAGTCCAGTTTATTCTCGAGGATGCATGCCACCTAAGCCAATTACTCCACTACCTGGACGACTTTCTGAACGTTAGTCCGCCCCACCTGCCCGTTGCGGAACATCATCGCTCACTTATCTTAGACATGCTCCGCTATTTGCAGATACCGGTGGCCTCTGAGAAAGTCGAAGGCCCATCCACATGTCTCACCTTCCTCGGCCTGGAGCTGGATTCGCTGACGTTTGAGATCCGGCTACCGTCCGCCAAACATGGGGCGTATCTCGGCAAAGTCAACGGCCTCCTTCAATCAGGCATGGCGTCCCGGCGCGAACTCGCCTCCGTGTTGGGCAATCTCTCGTTCGCGGCCCGGGCTATTCCTGCCGGTCGTACCTTCCTGAGGCGCCTGTACGACCTTGACCGTGCAACAAGCAACCTTCCAAAGCACAAGGTTCTCACCCTGTCAGCCGGAGCAGTGAACGACCTCAAATGGTGGCAGCGTACCCTATCAGTCTGGCCAGGGAAGTCGTTCTTCCTCCTGGACAAATGGACAAAGGCGCCCAACTTGCAATTGCAGACTGATGCCAGCGGTAACCAGGGCTATGGAGCGTACTTCCAGGGACGATGGATCCGTGGAGCATGGTTGCCCCACCAGCATTCAGAGTCCATACAGTATAAAGAACTGTACGCTATTGTCATCGCAACCAGTACATGGGCGTCAGAGTGGAAGTCCCTCCGTATTGAGTTTCAGTGCGACAACTCAGCTGTTGTAGACTGCATCAAATCCGGCACCAGCAGATCGCCACCCATGATGTCTCTAGTTAGGTGTCTGTATCACCTTTGCGTTGCTCACGATTGCCTGATTTCAGCAGTGCACATCCCTGGTGTTACTAATACCATTGCCGATGCTCTTTCCCGGAATCTGTTGCAGGAATTCCGCTGCCTGGCACCCACGGCACAGCTTCATCCGGACATGCCGATCTTGCCCACACCGGACTGACCGAAGACGTGGCCAGGCTGGCGTCCCTGGCAATAGCACCGTCATCCAGGAGGACATACTCAGCTTCAGAGCGGCGGTACCTGGATTTCTGTCAGCAGCATGGCGTCGTGGCCCTGCCTGGAAGCGACGTTACGCTGTGCTACTACGCAGCCCTCCTCATGCGCACACTGCGGCCGGCCTCGGTTCGCACATATATGTCAGCCATCCGGAACTTACACGTCGAAATGGGCCTCGAGTACCCGAATCAGCCGACGTCCCTGCTGTCACGAGTGTTAAGAGGCATAGCCCGTTCGTCGGGACCTGGCCGCCCTCGTTTGCCTATCACAACACCCATCCTCCGGCAACTCTGCCAACGCCTCCAAGTTTCCTCCATGCGGCACCCAGTTGACCAGGCAATGCTGCAGTGCGCCTTCACCCTGGCCTTTTATGGCTTCCTGCGCTGTGGTGAGCTCACCTCGTTGACGTTTGGCAACGTGGCCCTGGACCAACAATCATTTCGTATCACCATCACGCTGCTGCAATCAAAGACGGACCCGGACGGTAGGGGCACGGTAGTCCACGTGGGCGGCTGTACCGATGTCATCAGCTGCCCTGTTACGGCGATGGTGCGGTACCTGACGGCAGTGTCAGCGGAGTCCCAATCTCCTAGAGATCAGCTGCTCGTCTACCACAATGGCCAGCCTCTGACACGAGCGGACGTGACGAGGGAGGTGCGGACCCTCCTACCGCTTTGTGGGATTACAGATCCGTCCAGCTATGCCAGCCACTCATTCCGGATCGGAGCAGCCACGTCTGCAGCTATCGCAGGCGTACCAGAGCACGTGATCCGCCATATGGGGCGATGGCGCAGCGACGCCGTGCTGCGCTATATCCGTGTTGAGCCATTCGAGGTGCGGCTAGTATCAGAGAAGCTGGCCACAGTGAGTGACTGACCAGTAGCGCTGCACCTTGACGAATGTCTCCTCCGGTATACATACCAACTCTCAGTACCGCTATCGGTACCTAGATTTCTCGACTGCTAGCAGCTCCTGCTATACTCCTCGTTCAATGCTCGCGTTATTTCTGAGCACTGACTTATTTGGTTGGCCAACCAGGGTAACTAGCTTGGGCACTGAACTCTCAGTAGCTGGCAGCATTCTCTCTACTCTCCCGAATCACTCTATTCGGTTACTGCCCTTGGCAGGTCAGCCGCCATTTCGGTCTCACTCTCGGTCCCCGCCTCTGTCGGGTCGGCCGCCTCCATGGTTGCACACTGCCAGCTCCTTCGCCCAGTTACCCTGTGGTGCCAACCAACTACTGCTGTGTCTGTGTGTGGGTCGTGTATGCCTCCGCGTACGGAGCATGCGTTAATGCAAGTTTTGCGTAGCTAAAGTATGTTAACGCGGTGACGTAATGTTTTCACTGTATGCTGATGTCTATCACGCGCGTGTTCGCGCCAGCTCACGGATGCGCCGTTGTGCGCATGCGCAAACTCTCCCAGCAGCTCGCTTTGCATACGTACACCCTTCAGCAGCCGTCGTGCCTGGCTCTCTTTGTTAGTTGCATTGGCTCGCATGACTCTTGCTCCGTGTTTTCACCCACCCACCCACACCGACTTCATTGTGTTACAATTCTCATTCTGTAGCACCCCGCTTATACTACTAACCTCATTCGTCTTCCAAACTCACTCTGCTAAACAAAAACAAGCAGGGATTGGGCACTGAACTCTCAGTAGCTGGCAGCATTCTCTCTACTCTCCCGAATCACTCTATTCGGTTACTGCCCTTGGCAGGTCAGCCGCCATTTCGGTCTCACTCTCGGTCCCCGCCTCTGTCGGGTCGGCCGCCTCCATGGTTACACACTGCCAGCTCCTTCGCCCAGTTACCCTGTGGTGCCAACCAACTACTGCTGTGTCTGTGTGTGGGTCGTGTATGCCTCCGCGTACGGAGCATGCGTTAACGGAAAGTTTGAGTCTTTGCCAAGTGTACTGGCCATGCAATGTACATGGCATACTAGAACTCGCTGAGCAATCAACTACAACAGGTTCTAGGGCATGTAAAGGAGAACCGTGAAATTATTCAGCCATGCCCCATGCTGGACAACAATGTACATGTACAACACAAACAAAGCTGTGCTCTCTGATCACCACTCGGTTTGCCCTACCTTCGCTGATGTGATGCAGTCTCACAGAGCCATCACTGCACCCAGCCTGCAAGCAGTGTAGCCAGAGAGCACACAAGAACAACACTCTCCTGCAGGCTGCAATGAACTAAAGATGTGAAGATTCAGGAGGAGGCCAGGAGCCCTATGCTCAGGATCAATTAAACCTTTCTTCCCCGGCAGCCCAGGAACAGGATGCAGGGTCTGAGGAAGCAAATTATTTTGACGTCATAGAATCCAGCTTGCTGGTTCTGTCAGTGGTACCGGGGAAAGGAGACCCGAGAATGCGGCTGTGGCTCACTATAGCAATGGAAGTGAAGGATTTGTCGCTAGGATAAAGCTATAGCATAGCATGTCAGCTATTATAGATAGCCAAGGCGCATGCAGCACACACATGAAATAACAATACAGGTAGCGAGGCTGTGAGTCTAGAGTGTTTGACGCATACGGTATTCAAGAGTCTGAGTGACATTTGAGCACCACCACTGAAGACTCAGCGGCAACTTGAGAGGATATTACCAGGATCGTACTCTACCGAACAGGTCTGCGTATTCCCCCCAGTGGCAGCATTCACAGCACTGGGTATTCCCCCAGGCAGTGGCAGCATTCACAGCACCAGGCTTGGAAGCATGCACCGGTACATGTGGTGTGTATTGCGCAACACACTACTACACTCTACACTACAACAACATACTACTACTACACTCTGACAAGACACAGCACAGGTATCTTACCAAGAAATAGTCTGGCTGCCACGGTGAGAAATCCACGCTGGTGACATCGTTCACGGCGGGGATGTCTGCCGTGTACTGATGCGGAATGGGGCGCGTCTTGGAACGTAGGCCGTGAAGAACAGAACCCTAGCGTGTAGAATCCAGTGAGAGCAAACAGGAATGCGTTAGAAGAATGGCAAAACCATGCCAACACACTACACTCAGACTTAGCATGAGAACTTGATAGCTGAGAGCACGAGTTGAGGTTCAAAGGCATGCATTACATCAGAAAGGGTTAAGTTGCCTATCAATATAAACTGTGTTTGGTACAGAGTGAGGGGGGGGGGGGTGCTGTCTGATGCTAGAAATATGCAAGGCAGTTGACGGTGGCCTCCCCACATGTACAGTCAGTGCTGCTCAATGAAATCCCATCATGCACGTCAATACCACCCCGGGCGCTGTGCAACCCCTGAGCTGCGAACACCGGGGTATGCTCTGGTGCAGGGCTATAGAGGTTATGCGAAGGATTTAGCTGCGGATTTTCAAATGAGCACTAAGTGTACAACGGGAGTCAGCGGATTTTCTAATGGCCGCTATGTATGCACCTTAAGTATTAGTTGCTTGTCCAAGTGCAGCGCTGTGCCGCGAGTTTGCAACTTCGCCAAAGCATCTCAACTGATGGTGTAATCGCATAACCTCTATAGCTAAACTCGCGCAATCGAATTTCATCGAGCAGCACATGTATATCAAATTACTACAACTTAGCCATGCTACTTCCATCTCCTATTCCTGCCCATTGCGCAAGATGATAGCGCACAGCTATGTTAGATATAGCAACTTGTGCTGGGCATGCTCACCGCATCACTGCCAACGAGGAAGCGATTAGCGTTGGCCGGCTGGAAACGGATCACGTGTGACCTGACGGCGACTTGTGTGCGTGGGTCCAGCGCGGACGGTATCGTCATGGTAATCATGGCGCCGAACACCACACACACATTACTGCCAAGCGACAGGCCTGCAACCGGGCGAGACAGCATGACATCATTATTTACATCATTGCTCAACGCCGTACAATTAGGAGTAGGGATCGTTATATCGTTAGTGACAGCGAACGATAATCGAACCTTTCTTAGCGATCAGCAAACAGTTAATCGATCATATTGTTTCGGCGCTACATGCAATACATGTACTGAAAGAGGTGAACGTCCTTGCCGCAAGATTTGAGAGATGGCTTCTTGAGAGCTGGGTTTGGAAACTGGGCAGATGTGACTGATGCAAGGGTATCGGGAGCTTTGAGCAAGATGTGTAAAAGAAGCACATACCATTGTGTTGCCCTCAAGGCTTCATCATAGAGTGAATACGTGTGAGTCAGAGACAGAGCGGTAGCCGTGATGGTGATGCGATTCAACATTGGAGATACACATTCAAACAGGTATGCGTGTGTGTGTGTGTGTGTGTGTGTGTGTGTGTGTGTGTGTGTGTGTGTGTGTGTGTGTGTGTGTGTGTGTGTGTGTGTGTGTGTGTGTGTGTGTGTGTGTGTGTGTGTGTGTGTGTGTGTGTGCATTATAGGTGCTAGTCAGTGTGTGGACTTACCTATCTCCGATTGAGATTCCTGTTCTGATCGGTTGTGCGACTCAACGGCAACCTACACAAATACACAAATATACCAGTCACATAGCATTACTTTGATTAGTTCATGTGAAATGTCAGTACATGTGGCGTCAGAGCGTACAATACACGTAGTGAGGAGAGAGAACGTCCTAGAAAGCCTGCCGCCGGCAAACAAACAGCAGCAGCAACAAACAAACAAACAACAACAACAACAACAACAACAACAACAACAACAACAACAACAACAACAACAACAACAACAACAACAACAACAACAACAACAACAACACGGGCAGAACATGATGTTTGAAGTTATTGATCACGAGCAATGTTTCCGTGTTGGTCGAATGCCACAGATGTGTCACAGTGACACACACTGCGGATCACAGCTGTCACAGACGGGCCAAAGCAATGATTCTGTGACTCCACACAGCCATCATGGTCTTACCCAGATTCTGACGGTGCCCCACTCATCCAAGCTGGCGAGTTGAAACGACACTGTGCTACTGCCTGATGGAAACAAAGAAAAATCAGTATAGACAAGAGTCACAAAATAACACCTACACTACAGCTCCTTATCCACATCCATAATATGCATGCGAACCCAAACACCTTTGTGTTTACCAGAATTAGTCAACGGTTTGGCCATAGAGACAGTGAGCATCATCTGAAAATGGGCAAACAATTTTAAATGTGTACAATGTACATGAAGTAGGCAGATCTCAACATGACAACTTACTATCCAGACCAACAGATGGGGAACTGCAGAAAGATGTGCACAGGAAGGCAAAAGAAGAAAGAAAACAGAAAACAGAGTCACAACCATGTGTACACTGGACGAAAGGAAAAAAGATCAATATCTTTCATACGAAGAGGTTCCCTTTTCGTGAACAGAGAGGTTCCGGAGTACGATTTTTCGTGCCAAAATCCGTAGAGGCCCTACAGATTTTTTATACGTCGTTTTCGAGCAGTGAAATATTCCGGAGTACGGAACTTATGTCTTTGCCGTCATTGCCTAGGTTACGATCGCAAACACGTCATATTCCCCGCGCTATGCCTTTTTATTTCGAAAATTTGTACCGAAATCAAAACTTCCCGCGGAAAATCGTATGGAGCACACCTCGAAAAAATCCGTAGCGCCCATACGGATTTTTGCACGGAAAATCGTACCCCGGAACCTCTCTAATATCTATTATAACGTGTTTCGAGCAGGGAGTGATGCTTTCTTGCAGGTTTGCCGAGTGGAAGGTTCGATGCGCTCCTCGTATGATCCTGTTTTGCAGTCGTTAGTCAGTCAAGCGTGGTTGTAAGTCGACCCCGCTTATAAGTTGACCTCCAAACGCGGGGCCTCGATTTACCGGTTTAAGGGCAGTTATAAAAAAAAGAAGAAAAAAAAGAAACAAGAAGCAATGTTCTGTCGAACTTCGAATATTCGCGATGCTTGTTTCATGTGTACCGTAAAGTACCGCCAGAGCGCCCCATGTTGCTCTCAATGGCGAGCGAGGCACGGCCACTGAAGTCTGTGATGGCAATGGTGTTTGTTTTCTCCCCGAAGTAGACTTTTTGGCAGTATCTAGCACTGAAAAATTGTGTTCGTTTCAGCACCCAAATTTCTAGGTCATTAAAGGTCGACTTATTACCGGTAAAATACAGTAGCCCACATTGGAGCGGCCAACTTTGTCAATTATTTCTGCCAAATTCGATACTTTCCTAAGCAGTGAGGTACCCTAAATTTGATACTCCTAAGTTTATGTCTTTCAAAGATCAAACAAGCAGCGTGTGACAGCGTGTGCAGCGTGTGGCAGCGTGTGCAGCGTGTGGCAGATGATCTGAAGTCAGTACCACATCACTGCAAGAAACACACCAGTGTCAAGTTTCAACTTTGCTTACGGCAACGGCATTGAACACCTGCAAAAAGGTGGCCTCAGCTGTTCCACAATGGCACTGTTGTCATAGCGACAGAGCTGTTCGAAGCACTGGCAAAGACGAAAATGAACAGACAATGATTGAGGTGCAGAGACACTTACTTGGTAGCTTCTATGGCAACCAGATCCACAATAGCAGAGCAATGGACGTTCGACACACTTGTACCGTCTGTAAGGTAACCAGGAATAAGTGAAAAAATTCAGTCTAACCACAAACAACTCCCCCCCCCCCCCCCCACACACACACACGCACACACAATAGCAACACGAAACAGGCATCATTTCACTTCAGAGAGACACACGCGACAGTAATCAAAGCCCACTAAAATGCAAGTAGCTGACAATGCCGTGTAGATTGCTCCGGTCTTGCCAGGATGGATCATTGAACCGGACAACAAACTCACAACTGTACACGCCATACCTGTCGAGAACGTAGGCCGCTGGCATACGCACCAGCTATCCCCGGCCATCTGCAGGAGTCGGTGCGACGATGCTGACTCGCGTAGATCCCACAGGGCAATGGCACCGTCGCTCTGCATGCAGTCCAGGCACATATGCAAGTCACGGACAGTCACACACAACATGTGCATGGACACCTGCTTAACCTAACACGCCAACAAAACCAGTTGTGACGGCTAGACCTAAAAAAGAAGGAAGAGGCCTTGGGGCGCCGGAAGGATCACTTCGTTTTGAACGAATTAAACCGAACAAATAAAAAACAGTCTCGCTGGCCATATCTTTCGTTTGGCCCCAACTGCTCCTCCACAGCTGGCAGTGGATATGTGTCTTCGCTTGGCCAAAGACGAGGACACTGAACGTTTCAGGGGTCGACCTCGGACAACTTTGGTAACGGTCTTGCAGACGGAATTGTCATCATGACATGGACTTACCCTCCACCAGCCGCTAGATGCTGACGCAGTCCGCACAATGGCAGCGGGCCGACAGGTATGGTGTGGTGCCCGCCCCACCTAACAGGACTGATTCTTGTGATTCACGTGATTCCGCCAGACATGTCGTATGTATATTGTTTTCCATTAGTCCGATTGGTATTGTTGCTAACGGCTTCTGTTGACGTCATTTCTGTCATTTCATTGTATAGTATTACTCTTCAGACGTCAATCCTGAATGGCATAAGCGAAAGTGGCACCCCCGCCACCTACGCGGACACGCTTTTAATAATAATAATAATAAAATAAATAACACTGCATAGTGGAGAGAGATCAGTGGTTAGAGCATCGCTGGCCTCAAGTGAAGGTCCCTGGTTTGAGTTCTGGTGGTGACAGTCAATTTTTTCTTCAAACGTTTTCCTTTTCCATTCCCTCAATTAGTGAACATAATGGAGATCTTACACTTTTCAATGTGTGAAGTGCAACAAATATTGGTACACAATCAACATCGAAAACAAACAGAAAATCAAATCCAAATGATCCATCCGTATGCGACTAAATTCAGGAATTGCTTCCACTACAGCATATTCATGCACATTCACTGCAGCACATTCACACACATGTTCATGCATATAGACAAAACATGCACATACACACACTTCTCGCGACTAAAACAACACAACACAACACATACAAGTAGCTGTCAGGTCAGTGAGGCTTACCGTTCCAGCCGCAATAACAGCCGGTTTTCCAGGACTGAAGCAGCAACATGTAACCTCCCGTGTTATACATGTCAGTAGTCTGCATGTACAGTAAGTACGCACCACAGCAGGTAGCATTCTAAACACCTTGCATCAGCACTGAAGCAAGCCCATTCTTCAAGGTGAATGCCATTCTGCATCCCGGTCAAGGCTAGAGTACTTCATGGCGTACATGTACACGTTAGTTGTCTGGTGATACGGATTCCGGGGATTCTCTGTCTCTGTCCCGGTCTCTCTCCATACCAGTCTACCAGTGGTGCCTGATAAGTAAGTTAGTTATAACTGCCTCCCACGAATCAACTGATACAGATACAAGTCCCACATCATTGAAATCACAGTAACATCGGTGAGTCAGTGACATCATTGCATCAATGTTTGATTTGAGTTCACATACCTGCGTGGAGTTGACAGGTCACTGAGGTGCCATACAGCTAGTAAACCGGAGTCACCGAGCACGCTTTCAGAGCTCTGCACAGCCAGAAGTTTAGAACATGCACCAGATAAATGCCACAGGAAAGGTGTAAAACACCCAACGTTCCCGAAAGCAATTATTCAACAAAAAATGTGGATCGACAGCTGCATAAGTTGCCATTGCAAGTCACCCAACACTTTCAGACTCTTTTCAACTTTAATAGGTACTTTGGCTCACTCTAACTACTCCCTATACTCTCTTCTTGTCCAACTTGAACAGAACAGAAACACTTTGTGAAAGTTCAAAAAATCGTCATTGTTTTGATCATTGCTGCTATCAATGACAAATTAAAATAATAAGAGGACGAAAAAGTGTTTTTACTCCGCGTTTCACGCACTAAGCGATCATCAGAAAACAGAAATTATTAAGGTCTGTTTCAATTCCCATACAAGGTAGGTGCACGCAAACAAGCCCATATTGGCCACACTGAAAGGCGGTACAACTCACAGCAGGTGCTGGACTGTAGGCAGTGAGCAGTTGATGGTCTTGCTGACTGGTGAGCTGTGTGCAGACCACATGACGTTCTGTATCATGGGACAGTGGGCATACACACACACATACACACATACACACACATACACACACATACACACACACACACACGCACACACATATACACACATACACACATACACACACACACACACACACACACACACACACACACACACACACACACACACACACACACACGCACGCATACACACATAGTACTAAAGGCACATACATGGATATATGCACGCGCGTGCGCGCACACACAGACACACAGACACACACAGACACACGCACATGCTAGCACGCACAACCCAACCATAGAAGCAGGACCAGGCAACGGGAAACACCACACGGTCAAATGATGTCATCAACCACGCTCACCGGAAATATCCTTCCATGTACATGACATGGTCACATAACCAGAAGAGACATCAGACTGTGACCTGCAAGGCTGCAGCTGAGTTGATGATTCCACGGCCGCCTTCTCATCCAGCAAGATGTTAACCACCTGAAGTGACAGAAGAAAAGACAGATTATTCATTTTGCTGTTGCTCACGGCGACCAAAACACTGCTCATGTGCATCGGGAGAGTAAAACTAAGACAAGAACTAGCGTGCTGTACCAAGCAACGGTCACCAACATGAAATTTTGTAAAATGTACAGGGATTGTCAAACACCGTACCATGCTCCAAGTGTGCAGCACTTGCCTCACGCGCGACCAGCAAATCTCGAAAATCCAACCCAGCCAACAGACCACGAAGCGTAGAATATGCATTGAGTTACTGTTTGATTAGCTCACGGACTGCTGTAGGCTTGTTTCATTCTTCATTCACGTACTTAATTTTGTTGCAGAACACTGCGAAAATATTATGAACAGCAGTGGAAATTGAAACGCAGCACCATGTGAAATCTAGCCTCATGAATCCAGCCCCATGAATACACACAGCACTCCGGTACTATGCGTGCATACACGGGTACACATACTGTGCTGTTGTGCAAAGACTGCAGCTCGCCAGTATTCACTTGGAGGGATTTCACGTACCTGCCCAGCATTCTGCAGGAAGGCGGTGAGTTTCTTGGATGTGTCTGCCGTGAACGTCATGGTCAGATCCATGGCATCATCCTCGTCAGCTCTTTGAGCATCGGCACCAGCAGAAGCGGGTTGAGCGGAAGAGCCTGTTCCAACTGTACACAATACACAGCAATACAGCACAGCACTGTTCCAACTGTACATAATACACAGCAATACAACACAGCAGGGTGATGAACAGAAGCACCAAGGCATCGCCATCAATAGAGATGCTGCGATGACTAGCAAAGCATACGTTCTGTTTATTAACACACACACTAGTACACATACAACACAATGATGGTGGTGGACGCATGATGGCAGCGGAATGGCATGGCAGCTTTGGGGTGCAGTTGACAGTAATGCATGGCTAGGGCACCCAGGCTTGCTCACAGGCACCAGCCTACTGTTCTGACTAATCAGTCCTCAAACAAAAGAAAATGAGCAATGAGCTAAACTTCTCGTTTCTTCTACTTGATCATGCACGAGAGGCTCACTGATTGAGCGGTGTTCCCTTCATAAGCCCCGTTTCTCTTGCAGGCCCCAGGGTAAGGCTACACGCAGCGTGGTCGGTGAGTATGCTCGCACCTCCTTTGCCACGCAAGTCCGCGGCGGGGCACTGGATCCATTTGTCCTCCGTCACGATGTCATCCGTCTGGATCTCCTCGTCAATGACATCGTCATTGCACTGAATGGCAACCTGCAGTGACCGGGGGCAAGTGGATGACATGCGAAATGGCAAAAAGTGATAGAGGTGTCATGTTACAACACTGTGACAGCATGTACATGTGTGACTCCACACAACATCATCACTCTTATGCATGTATCACAGTACTACCAAGAGTATATAACCCCCCAAGAGTGTGCAACTCCTGATACCCTTTCTATGGGGTACGCCGACGGCGAAAACTCACATCACGTGGTGCAGTGTCGCAGTTGTACGTTTCCAGCCCGTTTTTAGCGAGCAGCGGAGTACTAAAAAAAGCACTCTCTGACAGAAACTCACTGCACGTATGCAAATCCCCAGCATGATCACGGCAGATTTTCGGATTGTGCGCAAGCTATCCTACGTTTGTACGTAGTACAAAGGTATCTGAGACACGTGATGTGAGTTTTCGCCGTGGGAGACCCCATATGCAGAGTTGCACACTCTTGGGGGGTTATATACTCTTGCTACTACCATAGTGCATAACACACTTGCACACAACACTGGTGTACGATCGATCGAGTGGTCAGGCGGGGTACAAGGAAGCCGGAGACGGAAAAAAAATACAGCCACCACCCGGATTCGAACCGGGGATCTCCTGTTTACTAGACAGGCGCTTTAACCAACTAAGCCATGGCGGCAGCTGACAACGCCCCAAATCCAGGGAATGGTATTTATTACTCTCTCGTGAGAGTGACTTGCATACAAAACAATGCCTGCTGTGGCGCAAGGCATAAACCCACGGGAGTTCCTGTGGCCCACACGCGGCCAAGACATAATACTAGAGAGGTTCTGCTATACGTGAAACATAGAGAAATCACGTAGAGAGCAGGCGTCTAGGTTAGAGTCTACGGCTTCGTGTGTTTTGGGTCCAGATTTCTACGCATAGATGAAGTTCTCTACGTTGTGCCACACGCAAAGAAAATGACTATGTACTCGTGCTTCGCATGCGCAAAGACTGCATCATAGCATCATGAAAACCATGCATGAAAATACATGCAAAACGTGACAGCATGAAACGATAAAAGAGCGTGAAGGGCTGAAGGAAAGAGGCGTGAACGAAAAAGAAAAAAACCAGCCACCACCCGGATTCGAACCGGGGATCTCCTGTTTACTAGACAGGCGCTTTAACCAACTAAGCCATGGCGGCAGCTGACGACCAATAAGATTTACATACTACACTTTATAGTCTAAATAGTCAACTGTTGACAACATTGAACCACAAATGCGTATAATATTATCAAGAGTACATAACCCCCCAGAGTGTGCAACGCCTGATCCAGCTCTGCATAGGGTCTTGGTCGAGCGGAATCGGATCTTTGCGTCATAATACCGTACACATCTGGGGGGGAACCCGGGGAGTCGCGGGTACTCTTGGATCAAAAACAATGGTGCCCTGCCTCGAGACCGGCCTTGCGCTGGTGTGAAGTGTACGCATGACATCAGAAGATCCGATTCCGCTCGACCAAGACCCTACACAGAGCTGGATTGGCGTTGCACACTCTGGGGGGTTATGTACTCTTGATATTATGTTCCACAGTGCTGCCGAAAAAAGCCCGGGCTTGTGAATAAGCAAGTGCTCTGCAGCAGTGCACAGCCCAGTGTTTGCAGGCCTGGGGCTGCACAGTACCTCAGTGCTTGCTAACTCAGCCCGACCAGGCTTCATTGAGCAACACTGTACTTGCACTCAGTACGGTTATTGAGGATATGCAGAAGTAATTAGTTCACACTGCAGGCAATCATCGCACATACCTGGGTGGTGTTGGACTTCCCAAAGCGTTTCATGTAAAGCTCATACTCTGACTGCGGGGCTAGCTCGAACAGGTCGAATCCCACTGAGTCAAGCTCAATCAGCTGAGCCAAGTCCTGCACCGCAACAGGAATACAATAGAAACTTATTCCCGTAGCTATGCAGAAGACGTTACTTCAGTAACGTCTGGCGCTAGCCAGGGTCCACACAGCTTTGATTTGGTGTTTGTTTGTGTGTTTGTGTCACGCCTGGCGCTATCCCGTATCTGTCCCGTACCGTACCGTACCATCAAACACAGCTGGCCACACACAGCTTGCCGCACTATTCAAATAGGGCTTTCAAACGCAAGATCATAACGTGAAGCAACTTGGTAGAATGAGTATGAATGCGAAGTGTATGGGGGAATGCATGTAGGGCGATAGTGCGGGTTCGAATCCCAGGTAATGCCTAAAAAAAATCGGAAAATTGAAAAATTTATAACATCCCTATTCTTTTTTTGCCGTCATCAAGGCGGTAGACGGTGTCGTATTACCCTCGACCGTACCTGTCCCGTACCTATCCCGTACCTCTCCCGTACCGTACCGTATAATCAAAGACGGCTGGCCACAATACATATTCAAATAGGGCTTTCAAATACAAGATCATAACGTGAAGCAACTTGGAATAATTGGTACATGTATGTATGCGAAGTGTATCGGGGGATGCATGCAGGGCGATAGGGCGGGTTCGAATCCCAGGTTATGTCTAAAAACAAAAGTAGAAATTTATAAGAATTTAAGAACATCCCTATGCTTTTTTTGTCTAGGTCATCAAGGCAAAAAAAGCATAGCGCAGGGCCCTGAGCTTCCAAGCTCTCTCGTTAGAAAGATACGCATGCACGCACGAAACACACACACACACACACACACACACACACAGACACACACACACACACTTGTTTGTTTGTTTGACCTTGTTTTGACCACCTGCCGTTTCAATTTTCCCTTCGCTCTCAACAAGGGATTGAACAGTCCAGGATCCGACGCGGACCAGGCAGCGTCTCCTCCTCTCTCTCCGTGCTGGGGCAGATTTGTTGAAGCGCTGATCATAGCCTCTGTCCACTCGGGGGTTTGACAATCCGCCGTGAGTGGGAGATTCAGGCGCAACAAAAAATGGTGCCATCGTTCAACACCCCGTCTTCTTGTTGCGCTGCCCCCGAATCTCTTGCGCTGGGAACTACATGTCCTGGGACGGCCCCGGTGGACCAGAGCCGCCCCAGAAGACTCGTGTAACTAACTTTCGACAACCAGGAAGGGAGGTCGAAAACTTCAAACTGACCCCAAAAGGAACAAAAAAATTACCCATCCCTCGTAGCCCAGCCAGACCGAGGATGAGTACAATGTACAGGACACGAGCGTATAAATAGATCGGCACCCCCCCCGTAGGTAGGTACTCTGTTCCATACTTGGTAACGTGTTCTTTACCTCACCGCGTCGGCGTGTTCTCTGTGCCACGGCCGCATTCACCTGCTTCTTCTGCGCCGCCGCAAAGTCCATGAATTTGCCACCAGCACGATGACGAGCAGCAGCACGATTACTGGATACTGTAACATAGAGAGAAGAAGAATCGAAGGAAATCTCACGTGAAGTGACAGCTGGAAGTTTCAACATTTCAACACCATGTAGTCTAAGTATGATGTATAATTGAGACTGAGTGCTGATGTTCGCACCTTGCAAGATTCTAACGCACAAATATATCCCAGCTGGAGTGTGAAGCCTGAGTGGTGCTAGTGGTGAAAGACAGCAGCATGTTCATGATTCAAGGCGAGAACAACAAGGGGAAAGCTATGGCGTACACGTGCATGCACAGCAGTCTCCGTACCAGCAGTGCTGTCCACCTTGCTCTTTGTACGGCTGTCCAGGATGCGCTGGTTCTCGGCCTGCATGGCTCGGGAGATCTGGATTACCGTGAGCACAGACACAGACAGCATGACATAGTGATACAGCCAGCAAATGCCTGTAGAGAAATACGGTGGTACCCACACATCAAGAGCAGATGAATACAGAGAGCAAACAAGGCTATAGTACAGGGTTTGCCCAGTTTGCTTCAAATCCGACCTTATCAATAAAGCAGCATGGTGCTCAAGCGGAGAGTATATTGGTAGTGTTTGTACCGCAAGGGCTGTGCAGTGCATCTGGTGCATAGAGCTATTTCACTCATGGCGTCGAGTATCACTGGTCAGTACATGTACTTTCGATCTGGGTACTGCACAACAAAGTAAAAACTGTCTTTAACACAAGAAGAGAGTCACCAGTCAGCCATGCAACTGAGCAGGAATAAGGAAACAAACTGCGACGGGTCCGGTGCGACGCCTGCTGTGTTAACTTGTTTTCGCGCACTCGCAATGATTCATTTATCAACCACCGCCATTAGAGACCACCTGTCTCCAGGGACCGGTAATCTCACACACCTGGTCACCATACCTGAACATTTCGACTGCACAAGGACCAGCTGTCCACTAGTACTTGGACGGAGTCGCTATGCACCATGTGGTCACACAAGAGAACTTTCACTACTTCAAAGTACAAACACCACCCCACCGGCGCATGCTAGTGTTAGCAGTCGTGTTAGAAATGAGAAGTGAGCAAGTTGACATGCTGTGGTGCACAGGAAAATCTCAATTTCAAACAGTTAAGAGTCTCACCTCGAGAACTTCCTGACTTGGAGTCTGTATGCATGACAAAGAGGACACAGCATGCGACAAAGACACGGCACACAAAATCAGTGACTTTGCCTGCCGGAATACAAGTTAGCTAGACTGCTCATGACATTACATGTATTCTTTATTCCACGCTGGCTTTTGGCCAAAACTAAAGACATCTACCGACAAAGTAATGTTCACAATTAGAGGGGAAGAAGAACAACAACAGCCACGCATTAATCTGGAGAGAAGCTCACCACATCGATCTCTTCTTCTTCTTCAGCGGGCTCCACGTACGGCTCAAAATCTTCATCATAGTCCTATACAATAGAATTCAACATGTAAGCAGCGAATGTGCGTGAAAACAAAATGGAACACAACCGAAAAATATTCCATTCCTTGTCAGCATCAGGGCAAAGCCGATATTGAATTGAAGACATGGATCAGGGCTAAGCATAGTAAGCAAACATTGGACTGAAGATGTGGTGGTCCCGGGGGGGGGGGGGGGGGGGGGTAGAGGGGCTGGGTTACGCCTGTTCAGTGTTCATGGCTGTGCAAACCTGTATTGCTGTTTTGTTTTTGTTTTTTATCACACTGCACATACCTACTGTACACATGGAGTACGCGTGACAATGTAGGCCCAGCGTCATTCTTTAGTCCACCGTTTTCACTGAACCAGAACGTTGGTTTACTCCTCAGTGACTACCATACATGCTTGCCATGTATCGTGGATAAGGACAGTGGTGGTTGTGTATTCAATATTGAAGGGGGGGGGGGGGGAGGGGCATGGTACCACACTTCGTCGGTTTGCCTAAAACCCTGAGCATGCGATCGGCGTGTACAAAAGTCATGTGCAATGGGTAGCAGAAGTACGTGTACTGAGTACACACTTCCTCAAACCAATCCAGAATCAGAGGCACAGGCGCAGGCTGCAAAGAAACAGTACCTCAAAGTCGTCATCATACTGGTATTCATCCTCGATCTCGTCCTCATCCTCGTCGTCCTTTGCCTCCTCGACATCAGAGTCCATGGACGGTGCCACTGGAATGCGCGGGCGTGTTTCGTCCGCGAGCATGTCCTCGTCCGAATCCTGCAAACACACATGCCAGCATTGAAAACAGATTGACGAATAGAACACACAGGCCAGGATAGAAAACAGATTGATGAATGGGAGCATGCTGGTAGCGGCTACCAGGAACGCCCAGCTCAATAGCATTGCGGTCACGGGCCAACGATCCACATTGTTCTAAAGAAAGCTCAGCACCAAAACAGCGCAGCGGTCATTCTGATCAGATTTTTGCCAAGTTGAAGTTTTTTTCACGAGGAAATCTGAAATGTTCGCCAATCAACTACTTCATGGCAACGAGCCTTTATTCGAGCTGATCCGATAATTTTCAGCATAGACATGAAGTACCGGTAATTCTACGCCATCCACAGGTGCTCTGACATTCTGAAAGGCGCACCATGGACTTGCCCAAAACATGAAATAGGTAACGTTTTTGGACATACTGAAATGAAGGGCTCGCAAAGTAAAAATGCTTTAAAAAAAACAGTGCCGTCAAAGAGACTAAGCCACGATCTCCCCATTCTCGTACCTCTGCTTCCTGGCGATGCTTTTTCCGGGACTTCTCCTTCTCCTGCTTTTTCTCCTCTGCCTGCTGCTGAGTAATACAAGCCCAGCAAGAACAAAAGCAGTGAAATCATTGAACACTATCACCTGGCACAACATGGCATGAGAGCAGGTGCAGTTGGGAATACCAGCTACTTATACTGTTCAAATTCGTTGACAATGCTGGACGGCCCCTTACTCCCAAGCAATCACGGATTAGATTCTGTGACAACGAAAAGAGCTACGGCAAGCAGTCTGGAGTCCGGATGACCGCGATTGGCCCATATGTTGTAGTCTTTTGGACGCTGAGTCGACTGGTTTTGGTCCGAAAAGGCTGCGATGCAGCGTTCCTCCTTTATTCCCAATCGAACATGGTTGAACAAGCGGTCACGTGCTCCTGCGTACACCAGTCACCTGGTCACCGTGCCTGCAGGGTACAACTTACTAGCCTGTTTGACCTTTTTTGGGTGCAGTCCTGTCACTCGAGTTGAACCTTGGTGTGAAAGTTGTCGCCTGCTGGCGCGGTGACCAGGTGATTTGGGCACCCAGGAGCACGTGACCGCTTGTTCAACCATGTTCGATTGGGAATAAAGGAGGAACGCTGCATCGCAGCCTTTTCGGACCAAAACCAGTCGACTCAGCGTCCAAAAGACTACAACATATGGGCCAATCGCGGTCATCCGTGCTTTTATAAGAACGAAATGGCGCTTTTAGTGACATTTTGCATACAAATCCCCATCTAGTAGGGCGCAGTCACCCAGTTTCGGTGGAAGTGCGCGAGTTCGATTGGGATTCAAGTAGGAAGGGAGCGTCGCAGCTTCCTCGGACCAAGACCATTCGACTCAGCACCTCGAAGACTACAACTGGTGAAAATTTGATTTCAGGGTATACTTCCCCTTTAATGAACATAATCTGATCTCATGATGTGGAAACTGATCTGTCCAAGGAGTGCTGTCATAACTGCGACAACCCGAAACTTGGGCTGAAAGTGGTATCTCCCATAATAAATGTCTCGATTGGTTGATCGTGTGTAGTTTTAGCTCCATGTCGCCATACAGCACTACCGACGTCACACAACACTACCGATGTCATGCAACTCACCGCCTCAGCAAGCTTGGCCATCAGCTCTGCTTCCCGTTGCTTCGCCTTCTTCTCACTGCATTTGATCACAGCACACAGTCCACATAGCTTAGTAGAAGTCAAGTAAAACTGTTCGGTTTATAGAATAATGGATATAATACAATGGTAGCCCATAGTCAATTCTGACCGTAAGGATGCGCTCAATAGAATTCTCCTACACTTAGTCTGAGTCATCCTAATCACACAAGCCCCCACACCCTCCCCTACCTTTCTGAGTCCTTCTCGTGCCCAGCGGCTGCTGCTTTCTGCGAGAGGTAAGAATGCACGCGCACGTATGCACACAAACACGCGCATGCACACAGACACAGACACACAGACACAGACAAACAACCATGTGCAAGCACAGAGCATACAATCGACATCTTCAACAAGAGTTGTGATGATACTAAAAGCAGCTACGAGGAACGAGATCTCAGTCTAATGTCACTCACACACGAGTCACTAGGGGCTACACCATTAGCTGTATGAATGTTAGGCCACGCCGTTTTTTTCTATGTTTCGCGTCACCTTATTCGATGAAATCAATGAGGGAGGGCGAAAAAAATAAAAAGCCATCCAAAAAAAATGTACGTGCATTGCATTTGTGTACAGTGAAGCGACGCGGCACTGTTCATGTACAGACATGTTCAATGTACGTGTACATGAATACATGAGTGTATCCCCTCTGCCATGCTTGTGGTCCAAACACAGGCAGCATGATGATTGTGTGACTTGCGGTCCAGCTTATTGCACACACATGTACAATGTACCAGGTACATGTGTGTGAGCTGAGTTACATTTTCCGGTTTTCTGGGTTTGCATTAAATTTGTATTGCATTTTCAAAAAAAAAAAATTTTTGTTCCGTTTTTTTTTTTTTTTGAACTCCGGCTGTGAAATACATGCGCGCGGGGGACGCGAAACAGAGATAAAAAACGGTGTGGCCTTACCTCTTCTTCACGTTTTTTCCTTCTCTCTCTGCGCTCCTCTTTCTTCCGGCGTTCTTCCTCCTCCAGAGTTAGGCCATGATCACTTGCAGTAGCTGCAGCTGCTGCCTCACTGCCCTCCTCCTTCGGTTTTCGCGAGCGATGCTTCCTCTCCTTGTCATCGTCTTTGCCACCATGTTTAGATTCCCTGTCCTTGTGGCGATCCGAGCGTTTCTCTTCAGACCGCTTGCTAGTATCCCGGCTGCTTTCGTCCTTGTCACGGCGCCGCTCTCGCTCTTTGCCCTTGCTCTCGTCCGCAGCAGCCCTATCCTTGTCACGGCGACGGTGTTCTTTAGAATCGCTGGTGCCTGTTTCTTTGGGCTTCTCATCACGATGGCGGCGACGTTCCTTGTCCTCACCGGATCGGTCTTTCTTGTCGTCGTCTCGGTGCCGACGCTCTGCTTTCGCTGGGTCTTCCTCTGTGCGCTTCGGAGCCCGATCCTTGCGGTCGCTCCGCTCCTCGCCTTCTTCGCGACGCCTCCGATGGCGCTCCTCCTTCGCCTTGTCCCGTTCGTCCTTGCCACGATGCTCCCTCTTGTCACCGCCACCGCCATCAGTTGTTTCGCGTTTGGACGCCTCGTCCCGGTGTTTTCTGTCTCGATCCTTACTCCGGTGTTTGTCTTCGCTGGCCTTGGCGGGTACGGTGGAAGAGAGCGATGCCCCTCCAGCGCCACTCGCCAGCGCACTGGCAGCTGCAGCGGCAGAGTCCGAGGCAGCCTTGTCCCGTGACGGCTTCTTGCTACCACTACCGCTGCCGCTGTCCTTGCTTCTGCTTGGCTTCCCCCCACCGGCCGCTGCAGCGGCCGCAGCCCCGGTACCACCTGCAGGACGCTTGCTTGTGCCCGGACTACTTTCTGCACCCTGCAACACCCAACACACATGTACAGTAGAACACAGAGAAAAGCAGTCAACCGATGCAAACAGGCCACACATGGACGGTACTTTGCCCATTGCTACAAACAAAGTACCGGCAATACCGTGAAACAGCTCAGTACTTCAGTACTCTCCGGATAAAGCACACGATGGGCTACTAGTTTTGAGGACCCTGCAAACGCTATACAAGTCCGCTGACGTTGGATACACATTTACCTCAGCTATAAAGTACAGTGTTGCAAGGCGCCTTGAAGTTTAACTGTAATTTTAAAGTTTTAAAAGACAAGCGCACTTGCCATATTTCATGCCACACAAACACCCCACTGGGTCCAGCATCCACACAAACACACAATGATGACTGGCCCGACGTCAACTAAGTTCCTCGGCTGGAAAAGAGCTCTTGAGTCGGTGCTCCTGTCCTACCTTCGGTTTGAGATGTGCTGCCAGTTCTGCCGGCTTCCACGTGTCCTCCTTGGACTTCTGTCAAAGCACACAAAACATAACCGGAATACTGTACAATGAAAGAGGAGAGTGCCTCCACATTACACTTTTCAAACTCAAGAAAAGAACAAATGTCAGGCTCCTCACAACTAACATGATTCAAAAACCTTTCCACTACATGTAGTACTTTCACTACCTTCTCATCAGGTGGTATACAGGCAAAAAGAAACTGAACAAGGAACGATGAATAATACACAGTAGAAATGTGATAGAAACAGCGCGGAGAAGAGTAGCCAGAAACAACACGGTAAAAAGCGTGACCTCGTACATTTAGAAGGAATGACAGAAAGGTGCGAGTGCGAAGAAGCCAACCAAGTGTGAAATGTATGGCGACAACTATAGACATCCTATGGACAAAACTAGAGTTGTTTACGACCTACCAAATAATCTAAGTATGAATTTAATTTGTTTTTGTTTGCAGAGGCTCGGCTTCCTAGTGTGAATAAAAATAGCTTCAACAGCATTCGATAATCTAGCACTGCGTACACGTGACAAAATAAAAAACAACCATCTGAATGCACAGGCATTCAGGATGCTCAGACAAAATGACTAGCAATGGACGACTCGTGTTTATCAGAACTACACTCATACCTCGAGTTTTTGAGCCCTTTTTGGTAGGGCACGCAATCGATCTACAGGCGCTCTGCACTGGTACTGCATGCATATGCGCGCGGTGTATTACATCAAGAGCACATGGACCCCAGAGTGTGCAGCTTCTGACTTTTTCTGCATGCGTGTCTGTCACAGTGAAATTCCGTGATTTACATCATATTATTTGGTGCAGATCTGAGGCGGGAAGTGGTGTGGTGCGTACAACTGAGCTGCAGTTGTGCAGATAGAGACCTGCTTGAATCCTGCTTGTACGGCGGCATATTGCTGCATACAAGCCATTTGCTGAGCTCCTGCCAGCCGTCATTGCCATTGCCGTATTTGAGGGGATTGCAACGGGCCAAGGATGGAACTCGGAGTCCACATGAAAAGCCAATAGCCTCTTGGCCGCTATTCGGAAGTTCCTGTTTATCCATGCCTTTGTTGTCATCAAGCACGGTCTGACATTTGTCAAGGGTTTCATGACATCCCTGGCTTGTAGCCCCTTTGCCAGAAACAGTGAAAAAATGCTTTCGAATTTCGTGCTGATGTTGAGGCCGGCGAGCGTCCTTCTCTTTTATACTAGCTATTCCAGCTGAAGTTCATCACTTCAGTCTGTTTGATTCCGGCCCCTTGATGTTTGCTTGGCAGAGGTCTTTCGAGTGGGTGTCAGACACGTTGATGTAAAAAAGAATGGCTCTGCTGTGGGAAAGATGCTGACACAGCGCTAAACAGACATAAGCTATTTCTCTGCAATGCGTGCGAGGAACGCGAGGCGTCCCTCCGTAGTCTAAGCAATTTCGGTCCTTATTTTTGTAGATAGGTTTTCAGGAATCACTCTCAACAAGGACGATGTGGTAACTACCCAACTTTGGAAGAAAAAACGCTAATCAAAAATCAAAGACTGCTACACAATTGACATTTTGTATAGCATAGCAAAAATTGCTATGCAAAATGACAGTAAATTCATCCTTGTCATACGTGTACCGGTACTACCCAAAACGATGTGGATTTTGACCCCGGACTTGGAAGTCCTACGTGATCCGTGGTCTATGCAACCCGCGATCGTGGCTGACCTGCTGACCCCGAGCACGGTCCAGACAAGCGATGCTGTATGCGAGCATGGATAGGTCAGCCCTGCCCCAAAGGCGACTGTAGCCGGCAGCCTGGAAGCCAAACCCACATCACTTGGCGTTACAGTCACCTGTGTGGTCTCCCCTGTACGCTATGATTCCCTGGTGTACACTACACTGCTAAACAGATTCCGAGCCTATGCGCCAAAATGGCTAGTTTCCGTGCTAAGCTGCCCAGCTAGCAACGCAATTTCTCCCTGCATACATGCAGTTGGTCAGGTTATCTCTGGACCAAAGTTTTGGCCACCAGGACATGTTTACTACTGTGGAGTGCATGTGTACCCGCCATATCATACACAAACTGGCATGTGCACCCGCCATATCATACGCAAACTGTATGAAAGGCAATGATACTACCGGGCCAATCAAAAAACTGCTTTCGACGGTCCTGATGTAAGGCCAGGCACCCTGGTCCGGGCTAGACTGCACTTTCTAATTACAGTAAAACCTGCAACTAAAAACCACCGTGACTAGCGACCAGCCTGGTACTACAGACCACTTTGCCAGGCACGGACGGTCTCACATTCATAAATTATATTATTATGGTGCTGCGGTGAAAAACCTCTTATCTAACTAAGGACCACCTGCCACTAAAGACCGCTTTCTCTGGCCCCAAGGGGTGGTCGTTAGTCACAGGTTTTACTGTATTTAGCAAGCCCTTCTGAATTTTAAAGCGAACTAAAACGAGCTCAACTTCGTACCCCCCCCCCCCCCCCCCAAAAACTCTTTGAAAAGGCCACTCACCGGCTTTGGAGGAGGCATTGTGGGACACGGAGGCTGCAAATATCACATCGTGTGTGGATAATTCAAACAAACTTCTTATTCACAGCAGCACTTGTCGTCTTTCATTCATGTGCTGCGGACTTCCAAGCTAACTGCGGCCGTGCGGGTGCAATCACGCATCAAATACCACTCCAGTGCAGACTGAACAGACCCGTCTCTTGTTCCGTTCTCCACTTTATGAATTCAAGAACAAAGTGGTAGCGCTGTGAATCACACACGGTTATTGATTTTGAGCTCGTTTTGTCACTTTCCGGGAGCAAATACCATGAGTATTGTATTGTACTGCTGCAGTACAGTGGAGATCGAGAAGTAAAAATTTAGTTGTCGGGAAGAAGTTTTTGTTGCGTCTCATTTGCGCGTGCAGACGCCTTCCCGCTTTTGCCGTGGCAACAGTGAATTGTCGCAATTATTTTGTCGGTGCCGCGCGGTACGCGGTGCAGGTACGTGCGCTCACCGGTGCACGGCGCCGGCGCGCGCCCGGGTGAGCTGACGTCATATTTAGTTAAACTGCTTTCTTTTTTTCAAACGATCCATTCACAGATTCAGCCAGGTTCGGGAAAATTAGTACGTTTCAATAATTCTTGACTAGTTCAATAATTATTATAATTATCAGTCTTGCTCAAGTGAATCCTAGACAGAGAGGTGACGATGGATGTGACAACTACAGAGAGTGAGAAAGCTAGCCTTCGCCACTGTGTGTGCGACCAAGGTCTATTGACGCGCTGTGATGGATCTGCTCGTCTGAAACAAGGTGAAGATCTGTTTTTTTTGGTGTTCTGTAAATCGTTTATTGATATGATTGTAAATTTACTGACTTACCACTAATTTATGACTCAATGTATCCATCTAGCTAAGCTGCTTTCATCATTAGCAGTTTGTCTCCAGGTGATGCAGTGTGTCAGTAAACATGTTAATATACGACCCTGGGATTCTACATCCTCAACCCGTCACCACCATGCGCTCTTAGCAGAACCAATGCACAGAACATAAACATGCTAGCAAAGCAAAGACACTTCTGTTGACATTATCATCATTAATATCTGATTCATTATCATCCTCTACTGATGAGCTCGAAGGAGCGAAACAGCTGTCTGGAGTCGTAAACATTATCTGTCAACGGAAGTGTTTTTGCTGTGCTAGTGTGTTCATGCATTGGTTCGGCTAAGAGCACATGGTGGTGACAGGTTGAGGATGTAGTAAAGTGGAGTACAGTGGAGGCGCGCGCTGAAGAACGTGGAGCCCAAGAACGTCTAGCCTGAAATTCTAAGAACGCCATAGCCTAAAGCTAAGAACGTTGGTGTTTTTTTCTTGCATCTTGTGGGATACAGATGATCCAGTACGGATTGTTTCTAAGAACGTGCTATAAGAACGCAGCCAGATTGCTGAGAAATCAGAACGTCCCAGGCTAACCCTTTAGAAATAACGTTCTTGGGCGCCCGACTCTACTGTATGGCCGGAAGTTTTGTCGCAACATGTTATTGTGATCATGGGATAGAGCACAGTATTCAATAACATGGGCGTCCATACGAACATACATGTACGCAACTATCTGAAATAATTAAACCTTACATGTGTACAGCATGTGAGATGATAGTTTTGTTTAAATTTCGTCGCACTTTCTAAGACAAATTGAGGTTTTGAGGGAGTTTGCAAAAGGAAACAAAATCGAAGGTATGTGGAGATTTGTACAGTACAATAAGACCCAGTTCAATCGAAAACCAAATTCGCGAGTTTTGCATAGAACGCTAGTTTTTCTAAACCGGGAAGATGTGAGAAACAACCTGTGAAAATTTGTGAACCCAAAATTCCAAGGCAATCTAGAGTTATAGTCGATTGAAGGTCGGAAAATGGGGGTGAACACAGTCACGGAAGTAAATGCAAGTGTGTATGTGGGCCATGTGGTTTTCGTCCAGCACTCCACTGTCCCCTTGGAAAAACGCGATTCCGCAGCCGCGGCAAATTTCGCAGAAATTCTCATCAACCGCGGAAATCACAGAATCCACACTTTTGCCCGCGGAATCTCAATTTTTAGGGTAAATTAGTAAAATTACTACAAGCAGCAGGAAGACTACTTTGCGATCTGTTTGAGCACATTGCTCTTACCAGTATAGGTGAGTGCAGGTCTCTCTAAGATTCTTCACTCTCTTTCACGGTTTGTGACTGCAAAGGATAGTGTGGAAAGTGCTCCTTCGTGCAACTAGTTGTCATATCCTCTACAAAAATACAAAAAAACCTTTTTCCCGCGGAATTTGCCGTGGAAATTTGAATTCTCTGCCGCGTTTTTCCAAAGGGACAGACTCCACTATCTAGTGCATACATGGCGATACAGGATGTGTGCATACATGCAGTGTGCACACATGCCGTGTACGCCTACTTGCACAAGTCATACGTTTTCACCGTCGCCGCTTCTACGGTGTGCGCGCAGTTCACTCGATTTTTCGTCAACCACCAGGAAATCACCGTAGGCTGGTTTCTGTGATCATTTTCCTTCTACCGCTTTTTCGCGATAAAGCGCGAGACAAAGTGCTAAAAAATGTTCTAGAATCCTCTTGTTTTAGACTAATTCGAGGCCACTGAACACGAAAATCCGGGTGTTCCTCTCGGGGCTGAGTGCGCATCTGGTAGAAATTAGTACTTCGAAGTGCATCCGCGCAAAGCGCGGAGGCATTATTTTTGGACGCATGGCATGTGTGGCACCATTGGAAAGGTATTGACCTCAGCTACCTAAAAATAGCATCGACAAGGCCAAAAAGGCCACGGGGGAAGATACTTGGGCCTTGAACTGCATCCCAAACTGCTGCCACGAGGCGCCCATTCACTTTGTACAGGCGAGCTGTGACTGCATTTTTCGCTTTTCAGCGACCGGAACTGAACTCCCTAGCCTGGGGTTTACCACCTGCCGCTGAACATATGCGCAATTGCTTGGAAATGGAAGTGATGAAAGGCAGGAACCTGGAAGAGAAAGTACGAAACAGCAATGACATGAAGAGAGAGAGACAGGGACAGAGAGAGACAGACAGACAGGAGGGGTAGGGGGTAATTGCACAGATCATTGAAGTGGGTGCCTCGCTAAATTCTCCAGGGCTATGAATTGATTACCAAAAGGTCCCAGGATTGCAAGATCCTATTTGGCCGATGCTGCCAGTCCCATTCGAGTAACATTGTCTTTCTGTAGAGTGGCCCATTTCTGCATATCGACCTACTAGTATCTATGAGCTTTTCCAGAGCAGGTAACTCGACTTGATGCCCACACAAAGCTCTTATTCAGGTCAATTCTACTAGCAGGGTACCATAGTAGCAAGCGAACTTATCATCTCTGTGCAGTACTAGATCTACAATGTAGATAGAGAAGCATGTATTGACAGCGGTCATAGTCCTGTACTGTAGTGCAGCTTGATGGTTCCAGCAGGCTAAGACTACAAGTATAGTGGATCATGTCACCATGTTAACTGCCCTTCCTTGACTGTTTAAGTGTGCATGCCATACTGGCTGGGTCTGGCTCCTCTATTATACTGTAATTTCCTTTGTAATGGGTTTTTCTATCTATCATCTTGCTGTGCGCCGTGTCAGGAAACACGTCCGTCCTGGTTGGCGTCCGTGGCCCCACCGAGGTACGCATGAACAAAGAGATAGCTAACCGTGCCACTGTCGAAGTCACCTACAAACCCAAAGTCGGGATGCCAGGTAAGAATAATTATTGTAGAGCTGCTGTTTTTTTTGTACATTTGGCTGAAACAATGAAAGGGTGTGGAAGCAGAGCATTTACGAGTACTATTTAGTCCCGTCTGAAATAACCATCATACGACATATACGTTGCCAACATGCTTCTTTTGAAGTACACCAAATAAGCACATACATAGGTGATGGGTTACAACAATGGCGTGTTTACATTGTACTGTATGTGTTTGTGTTTATGTTTATTTGGTGTGTGCACACAGTGGTGAAGCATCATGCACTGGAGCAGCTGATTCGCAGCACGTGTGAGCAGTGCATCCTTACGACGCTGTTTCCGCGATCACTAATTTCAATTATCGTTCAGGAAGAGCACGATGATGGCAGTGTATCCTACCCCGTACGTTATGTACGACTGGGACAATAGAATGTGTTTGTTTGTGTGTCTGTGTGCGTGGTCGCATGTATTCTATTTTATTTTTTACTGGTATGTGTGTGTCTGTGTGCGTGAGAGAGAGAGAGAGAGAGAGAGAGAGAGAGAGAGAGAGAGAGAGAGAGAGAGAGAGAGAGAGAGAGAGAGAGAGAGAGAGAGAGAGAGAGAGAGAGAGAGAGAGAGAGAGAGAGAGAGAGAGAGAGAGAGAGCATGTATGTATGTATTGTGTATGTATGTGTACTAGTATTGGTTATTCGTCAGCGTGTAGTGTTGAGTTGTATTTTTTTTTGTGGCATGAACTCTGCAACACGTCTTTTTCAGTTATCATTTCGATATGGCTGTGCTCTTGAGTATGGTGATTTTAATGCAGCCACCAAACTAAACATTTGAATGTAACCACCAAGTCAAACATCTGGATGCAATCACCAAGCCAAACAGTGCCATTATTACAGACTGTTCCTTGACCTGATTCGGTTCTCGTAGTTTCTCTCCTGCACGTTGAATGCAATCTGTCTTGCCCTAATGGATGCTGGCGTCGCAATGGCCTACCCGATGGCGGCCGTCTCGTGTGCATTAATGGAGGATGAAGAGCTTGTCTTCGACCCAACAGCAGATCAGGAGAAGGTATAGCCAGTCTCATTTAGGACACATTGTTATGGGACAATCTTGTTTTCTTTCATCAATGGAAACCACTACAGTCTATCTTATAAGAATGTGAATGCCAAACATTCACCTGCCGGATTCCCTGCGGTGTAAGGCACACTGTGCTTGAAATGTGCTCTGCGCCTGATACCCGAACTTGCATTATTTTAGTATCCTCTAATGTACGATGCACCAAAGCAAACTTTCCGCGGGATGCATTAAATTTTGAAACGGCGCTGAATGCAAAGCAGTGTTAAAGATGGAATGGAAACTTGCCACTTTTCTCTGGCCGTGACAATTAGTGAGTATGTACGGTGAAACCAATACAATCCTGAATAAAATGACAGCTTGCCTCCAAGAGGGATACGGTTTATGCCCTTGAATATATGCTGGATGCCACTAATTTGCTTCTAGCTCACCACTTTTCCAATAAATAGTCCTGCTCAAGCTAAACTCTTGTTTCTTATGGAATGCCGTATTGCGCAATGTCTTATGGTGTGCTGTGTGCATTGCAGGAGGCTAAAGCAACTGTGGTGACCGTGTTCGACAGGACCTGCTCCGATATAGTCAGCTGTCAGACGACCGGGGTGTTCACGCTTCCCCAGGTAGGGTTCAACTTACTTCCCGCATCGCCCCCATACAGGGTCACGTTGCTGCTTGTGACCAGGTGTACACCAGCTAGTGTGTATACTGTAAATATACCAAAAAAATTCGGCTATATTCGGCACCGGCCCAAAACGCCGAAATTAAAACGCTGATGGAATTTTTCACATCAACTTGCAGGTTTGCCGAGTCGAAGGTTCGATGGACTTCTCGTGTGCTCTGGATGGCAGTCGTGAGTCAGTCAAGTATCAAGTAAAGTCGGCGGAATAGCGCGGGCTCCGGTGTGGGGAGCAAACCTTTCTTACAAATCAACGCCGAAGTCGCAACCACTACTTCGAACTTAAAAGTGATTAGCTTTATTGATGTACTAGTGTCACCCTGTACCGAAAATAAATCGCTGCCGAAATGTCAAAAATCGTGCATTACCGAAATTTGTATATTTACAGTACGTGTCTATTATTGACTGCGTAATCGGTCTACAAGGTGAAATATTTTTCGATTTTGACAGCATGTTACAAGGCGAGATATGTAGTACTGCTCAATCAAATGCGATCAAGCGAGTGAATGCCATGCCACTCCGGACACCGTGCAGCCCTAGACCTGCTGCCAACACTGGTATGGTGTGCTGGTGCAGGACGCAAACTTGAGTGATGCGATCGGATTTCATTGAGCAGCACTCTGAGAGAGAGAGAGAGAGAGAGAGAGAGAGAGAGAGAGAGAGAGAGAGAGAGAGAGAGAGAGAGAGAGAGAGAGAGAGAACAGTGTGGTGTTAGTGTTATATTATTCATAGGTTATGGTTTCCCTGTTACTTCTGCATGCTGTAGCTGGATCGATGTATGGATGCCTCCAAGATTGCAGCGAAGTCAATACAACAGTTCTATCGTTCGAGCATGGAGACGAAGCTATCAAAGGTGAGAATGGGGTTCTCTCATGTGCCCCGACAGCAGCAGTAGTAGGATTTTTTTGGGTCTTCATTCACAACTTCCCATGATGAGGCTAGTGAGAAAATTGTCCGGTCACGTTTGTCTTTTCGCTGTTTCTCTTTTCTCATTGCCAGGAAGCCAACTAGTTGTCAAGCGTAACTTCAAGAGGGCAAGAAGTCCGCTGCGACAGCATAGATTTGCTCCAGAAATTCAGCTAAGGCCTGTTCTCCTATGTGTGCTATGCTCTAAGACGGGATGGTGCTGATGACTATTGACTGCTGATTGACTGTGCTGCCGCGATGCATATTTTTTCGGTCATGCTGTCTACCACTGGGAGTTCTCCACTGTCTGCACGTAGGACTGTGTGTCCATACGCCTCTTCCCGACAAAGCTCTAAGCCTCAAGTGTATTTGCCCATGTGCTGGCATCCCTCATGTTGCCAACACGCCCACCACACACCCCCGCACAAGTTGAGTCAGACACATCAGCTGAGAATCCTGGAATCCCGCCTAGCACACTGGTTGGGCTTGAATTCCTTTTCGCCACGCATTTGCAGCCAATCAACGTCATTGCCACCATTCCTCTTGACCGCTCACACATTCCGCCAGCATTGTTTTTGCTTCCTCAAAACATCTTGGTGTTGTCGTGATTGTAAGACATCGCCGTCTCTACTTTCACCAGTGACAAGTGATATGTGCTGCCTTATTTTATTTTATAAGTTGCTGCACGGCAGGGTAGTACGCATTGGACTCGTATACCTTATTTCTGTGCTGTGTTTTTGGGTTGTGTGAAGAGAAGGTTGAAGTAAATTAAACTCTGGGTTCTTGTTGTGACTGCATTCTTGTTGATAGCTTAGGGAGGTACATGGCCCGTACTATTGGGGGGGGGGGGGGGGCTAGGGAGCCCCTTTTCGGTACCAAGAGTAGATAAACAAGAGTGTGCAACTCCGGATCTCTTCTGCACAATCTGCAGATACCCCCGCCCACGGCGGAATTTTTTGTTGACGTCACCTTTTTTCAGGGAAACGCGGACTTTGCCGCAGAGCAGTGTGAGAGCACGTGCTGGGCACCGACCTTGTAGTGTAAAGCCCCGCTAAGTGCACGAGGGAAACCTCTCCAAAAGGCTCGCAGCGCGTGCGTCGTCGAAAAGATTACGTCAACAAAAAATTCCGCCGTGGGCCAACCCATCCGCGAGTTGCACACTCTTGTTTATCTACTCTTGTCGGTACCTATAGTGAATTTGCTTCATGCATGACTTGCACCAGCTGACGTTGACCATTGCAACAACTGCTGCCTGTCGTGTCGTTCGAATGGTTTTAACTTTTATAATAGTTTACAGCTCGCCCCAGCCTTTCCGGCGGGCCCTAACGTCCCATATCGTCAGCATTACGTCAAGGGTGAACTAGGCTTAGCCTGAGAACTAACCTCCATACCATGCTCTAGTAGGGATGCTAAGGATGATAGGCAGAGTTTTAGATGTTTGCCATTGACTGTTCTATTCCATACACTCAAATTATTCTGCTCATCATCATCAGCCATTTCGCGTTGCCATTAGGCTAGTTGACATCGCCAAGCAAGCGGCACAGAAGCTATAGCACTGTATTCCCCCAAATCTAAGTCACACCGTTTTCTATGACTGTGGTGGCTACATGAATACAGTCTAGTCATGGTGCAATGACTACCGGTATGTAGTTGCAGCCACTGTGCTGGGAGTTATGAAACCTTTCACGACTCCCTGGCACCATGCATCATGGTTGAGGTTAAAAATGGGATCATGTCGGTGACCAGTGTGCTGGAGTAACTGTTTACAAGTCACATTTCACGATGCATCGATGATTGTACATCACATTTGTACATGTATATATAAAAAGTTTGCACCTAAAAGTCTTTGTACAAGTCATGACTCACTAGTCGTATGGCCATCTTTGTACAAAATACCAAGAGTATAACTTATATTACCGATAATAATTATAGTTTAGGGGCCGTCCGTAAATATCGATGTTTTTTTAGAGACGATATTGGTGCGTCTGGGGGGGAGGGGGTTTGAGCCATGTGCGTCTTTTCGAGCATCAGAAAAATATCGATGTAAATATCTGAAGTTTCGCCGATCCCTAGGCCCTGCACGCGGACGTCTAAATGGCTATACAAGAAATGTGAAACCAGCTTCCGTTCGCGGAGCTAAAACTCGCGACACAAGAACAAAATCAAAAATTGGAAGCTGTACGCCCACGGCGAATTTCAAGAGCAAAAGAATGAGCTATTGATTGTGGAAATCGGCCGAACGATGCCTGCAGGAGACCTTTTTCAAGACGTAGAGGCAGTGCGAACAAACACGGACTCCACAAGAGTTTCCAGTCTTCACTATCTAAACAAGGATTTGAAAAAATTCAAGCCAGAGCGTAGCCGCTTTGGCTACACCAGTACACGATGGCTGTGAGCACTGCATGCAGCGCCAACCCGGTTCGCTCCCCCCAGGCGATGCAGCTATTGCGTGAGTGCGGCGGGATTTTCACGCCTACACCGGACCCTCAACATCCTGGGCACTTCATGAGCATCCAAAAAATTAATATTGATTCCATGATCTAGATGTACATGTGCGTCTTCTGGGGGGAGGGAGGGGGGTCAAGGGAGAGAAGCACCAATATCGTCTCTAAAAAAACATCGATATTTACGGACGGCCCCTTAATTTATACTCTTGAAAATACTAGTAAAATCTTGGGATTTCATTGATATGACGTGAGCAGCTCTGACAAAAATAATGACGCACAATTACAAGCTTGCAAGGCCAAGCATGCTCGCGCTCGGTCAAGCTTGACCACTGTAGACTGTATGGTTATTGTCCTTCCTTCTGCATCATTATCATTAAAAAAAATTGTCGCTTTTCTTTCAGAAGATCGTGCTTGCACGCGGCGTGAGTACGTCTGGGATCCCGGGAGTAGAGCAGTACAGTCGGCTAGGTGAGCGTCGAGTTTTATCATGGTGTCCTGATGACTGTTTGTCGCTGGTAGCGCAAGGCCGGAAGGTTTGTAGTGCGTGCTTCAGTCGCAGCAGCGACAACTTCAGCCCAGGATGGATCGAGTGAACACCTGGGTGAAGTCGGTATCGCGGGAGGGATACGGCGAGGAAGACAATCGGGGCAGAGTGGCGGAACGGTCGGAATCGTCCGGATTCGCGGAACGCTCGTCCTTATCGTCGTTATCGCGACCAAAAGGAGGACGGTACAGAGAGCCCGAGCAACCCCGACATGGCCATCAGCATCGGCGACAGAAATCTACGTCCGACCGCTTTCCACTGGCTGCTGGTAGTCAATTGTACGATAGTGCCGAGCCAAGAGCAAAACCACCGCGTCCGAGTCAGCATCAACAGCTGCAGCACCATGATCGTGATCGGCAGTATCACCGTCACCCGCACAAGCATGGCCGTGACGAGCGCCATCGCCATCACGCACATCACGTAGCCCCAGCCAGCCGCAGCAGTGTACAAAAAGCCGCCGACGGACCACGTCGATCTAGCGGTAGCAGTAGCTCGTACACCACGACCGCCAGCAAGTACCTGGCTCAAGACAGCCGTGCTCGGTCTCACCGGCATGACCCACCCATCGCCCCCGCTGCTGCTGCGAAGGTGCCGGCGGCGTCCGCTAGTGCGCGGAGTGTGAAGTCTTCGCGGAGTAGTACTGCTGCTGCTGGCACGGGCAAGCGGCTAGACTTGGCGCAAGAGAAGGTGCGAAAACATCGTCAGCCCAAGCAAGGTGAGATAGACCGGGGATAGATCGACAAAATATCATGCATGTGTAACAGTTACCACAAAGTCTACATGCATTTTGTTTTTGATGGAAAATGTGCACCTGTTACAATCATAATTATTACACTCATGAGCTCTAATAGGTTTTTCATTTGACCCGACGAGACCACACGATGCTTGCAGACGTGCTGTGGTCTGCAAGCGTCGTGTGGTCTCGTCGGGTCAAATGAAAAACCTATTACTACTATTTGACGGACCTATTGAAGATGGCCCAAAGACTCATGAGTTCATTGAGACCCTGCGGCATGCATGTGCCAATACAGTGTCGCTCTGCGCATCTCTCCAAACTTCTCCTGCTTTCGATCATGGAGCGGACAAACACGACCGGCTCGTGTGGTTTATCGGCAAAGCACAGCCTTTCCGCTTTCTAACCATGCATGACCGAGCTTGCTTGGCGATGTCAACGCGAAAAGGCTGATAGTACCGTAAAATCCCGCCAGAGCGCCCCGTCTCTCCCATCCGCCCCTCCCTGACTTCTTGTCAGGGACGTGATTGATTGTATCCTCGTATGACTCTGTCGCAGTCTGTGGTGCCGTACTGCACTGCAGACGCGTGCTCGACCCCGTTGGAAATGTACGCAACAGTGCCCACCCTCCTGACCAGGGAGTGTGGTATTGTACTACTCCCTGTCCTGACCAGGGATCGCACAAACCCTGCGTTTTCACGGTCGGGTCTGTACGACTCCTGGCTCTTGACCTTTGGTCGGTGTACGAGATGCACGAACAGTTTTCGTAGGGTGAGTACTTTTTCATGTAGCACTGAATGCGGCAAGTAAGGACTCGCCCATCCGCCCCTCCCCACCTGAAGCGTCGAGGAGGTAGGGGCGCTCTGGCGGGATTTTACGGTAATAATAACAACCGTGCATAGGCACGGCGTGAAGTTGCTCATGTGTGTGTGCGTGTGTGTGTGTGTGTGTGTGTGTGTGTGTGTGTGTGTGTGGTGTGTGCGAACACCGGGCTGCAGATGTAGGACTGTACGGCGAAACACCTCCTTATATTATCGGCACCTTGAATGGCAAGGGCGATTTGGTGCCAATATCTTCATAGCTCAGCCTTTGTTAGAGAGGACTGAACCTACAGTGCAGTCGCTCAATGAAATCCAGTCGCGTCACTCAAGTTTGCGCCTTGCACCTTTTCGCAGCCCAGTGCGTGTCTCGGGCTGCACAACGCCCGGCTCGGACTTGAGCTACGCGACTGGATTTCATTGAGCAACACTGTACTTCTGTAGCTCTTTGTTAAACTACATGTAGTGTATGTTTGTGTGTGTGTGTGTTTGTGTGTGTATGTGTGTGTGTGTGTGTGTGTGTGTGTGTGTGTGTGTGTGTGGGTGTGGGTGTGGGTGTGGGTGTGGGTGTGTTTGTGTGTGCTCAGACTATGCTGTTCCATACTATGAAGACGATGACAGCATCGATCCGAGATCAGTTCGTGGACTGCCTCCGGCAAAGAAGAGGGGGAAGTGGATGCCAAGACCAGCACCATCGGCATCACCATCACCACCACCACCGCCAATCCATTCGCAGAAACGCCATCACCACCACCGCCACCACCACCGCCAATACCACCCACAGCCATCACCGGTGCCAGCACCCATGACAGCGGCTCCTGACTCCAAGTCCAAGGCAAAGAGCAGCAAGAGAAGCGACGATGCAAGGAAACGGCATCGTTACCATGACAGCCATGATATCTACTACCATCCGAAAGGGAGTACTGGTGCTGGTAGCGCGCGGAAGGGGAAAATCCCTGCGCACTTCAGACCTGTCCAGGCCTCTCGCAGAGATCATATTGAATACATAGATATAGATAGCGACTACGCGCACAGTCATGGTGGAAGTATGGAGGGTTACTATCAAGGTGATTCTACTGACGGCAGCAGTGGCAGCTGCAGCTCAGAGGCGAGCAGCGCTCAGACGCCTGTACACCGTTTAGACGAGGGTGGCACAGCGAGTGCGAGCCAGCACACAACCGACAGTGATTGCAGCCAGCGCTCGTCGTCGACGTCACTATCATCGGATGCCTGGGCGCAGGGCATGACCAAGCAGCACTCATCAGCATCCGGCTCTAGCTCTGGGGCATCCATTAACAGCAACAGGGCAGTGGCAGACGCTAGCGACCATGTACAACATGTAGTCAGTGGTAGCCGCAACTCACACCATGCTGAAGAGGAGGAGGACAGCTGTGAGGAGGATAGCTTCTCTTCTGGTGATGGTGGTGCGGAGGAGAGGCGATACTATTGCTATGATCCCAACCATCGCTCTTCTAGCAGCAGTATTCTCAAGCAAGAGGTTAGCTCGTCATCGTCCGACGACAAGCTGTGGACGCCAGGAGCCAAGCCCATCGCACCCAGCATGCGTCTAAGGAGGGGAAAGCGCAAGCGCATGTACAAAGTGAAACGTAAGCATATGCGTGTGTGGGGGGGGGGGGGAGTGTGTGATGTGCGTGCGCGTGTGTCTGTGTGCATGCCTCCATTGTTTGTGTTTATGTCAGCTTTCAATGGCCAACCAGCACACTGTGATATGGAATAGCGCGGATCATCACTCGTACAGATCCACATTATGCATGCTTTGTGATACACATGTACATGTATATTATGCTATCATCCCCAGCAGTCACACACGCACACACACGTCACTCACTTCCTTTGTGTTTCTACTGTGGTTGCCATGTGTGCAAACACCACTAGGAAAGCCACGCTGGGTATACTACTACCGAGAAGGTACTGGGCCAGCTTACGGGGAGAAGGCCCCAGACAGCGCGAACGAGAACGACGTTGACGATGGCGGTGAAGCACCACCCAAGAAGAAGGTGAAGAGACAGCCATACGCAACCAGAGACATGACGCGCGTTGGCAAGGAGCATATGAAGCATTGCGGCAGCGTTCAGTACTATAGCGTGCTGTGTCCAATTTGCAATGCGTACGTAGAGCGGCACTTCAACCTGCCCAAGCACCTACAAAAGCACCTGAACCAGAGTAAGTCGTTTGCGCGGCTGCTTGTAAATGCTAGTCGTACTACTAGCCATATTTCAGCTGGGCGTCGTGGAAATACTCGCAGCATCGTGCACACTCTGTGCGTAATGTTTGGATACTACTTCAAGTACTTCAACTATGCTGTTACAGTTCTGGATGGCTCTTCTGGGTCTTCTCGTGCGCTGAAATCCTGCCTTGATAACATTGTTGCCTCGATTTAGTTGTACATCTGACAGTTCAGTATTCCACTGAAGAGCTGAACGTGGAAATCGATTCTGGAATTTGGATAACACATGGCAACTCTACGAACTGTTGCGGTCTGTGGTGATATCTGCAACAGTGATACTAAGTACTCATTGCCCTTCACTTGCTCACCCATTGTCTCTCTTTCTGTCCCTCTCTCTGTTTTGCACGTTGCCTGTGCATGCTCAGTCGCCGAGGTACAAGACACTGAGGAGATCAAAGCCATCCGGCGTCAAATCGAGGATCTAATTGCCAAGTGCTACAAGGAAGGTCCTATCAAGAAGATGTACGCTGGGCTAGTGGTGAAGACAAAGTGCACCATCTGTAACCGGCCGTATAACGACACCCTCGGTGCACGGGAGCAGCACATGAGGCGCTGTCACCCATCTGAGTGTGGTGACATGAGTCTGTTCAAGAGAGAACGCTGCTACGTGTGCATGCTGGAATTCCCACCGCAGGAGATCGACGCACACTTCAGGAGCCACATGGGCGATGCCGGCCGCACGCACATCTACTGCTACCGTTGCATCCGCAACAACTCTGTGCCGGCGCCGTTCCAGGAGCACGCCGAAATGAAGAAGCATTTCCAGGAGCAGCATCCAGAGACCCACATCAGCGCAAGGAGCGTGTTTCGCCACACCGCTCCCCACGTGGCTATCCATTGCCTAATGTGCAGATGCTTCTTCTCGGGTTTTCGTTGCTACAAGCAACATATCGTGCCAAATCACCAGCTGCTTCATCCGATGCCTGAATTGCCGGCTGAGTGTTCGCTGAAGGTGGAGCTGGCGAAAGACAAGTTCTATCCGCTGGACAATGGCGTGTGGCCCGATATGCACATGGACCAGGACGGTCGCCTGCGGTGCGTGCCATGCGAGCAGTCGTTCAAGATGTTCACGTCATTCCGCCGCCACACACGTATCGTTCACTCGCACACGAAGCAGCTGACATGCGAGCACTGCCACAGGAACTTTGAGACGCCCGGCGGCCTGAACAAGCACCGCAACTCGTTCTGCCCAGAGCTGGGTGGCCGTGCTGGTGCTGGTAAAGGTAAAGGTAAGAAAGGTATGCTGTCGACCTGGCTGGAGGGAGCAGCAAGTCAGGCTGCGGCCAGCTTTGCAGCTTCAACTGGCGCCGCACAGTCATCGCTTTCTCAGAATCAAGCAACTCAATCTGAACATGACACACCACAACAGACAACACACTCAACTGCAGAGCAACCACCTCCGCAAGCCGAACAGGAGCAGCATCTGCAGCAGGAGAAACAGCAGCCACAGCAGCCTCAGCAGGAGAAACTGCTACAGGAGCAGCAGCTGAAGGAGCAGCAGCTGAAGGAGCAGCAGCTGAAGGAGCAGCAGCTGAAGGAGCAGCAGCTGAAGGAGCAGCAGCTGAAGGAGCAGCAGCTGAAGGAGCAGCAGCTGAAGGAGCAGCAGCTGGAGGAGCAGCAGCTGGAGGAGCAGCAGCTGGAGGAGCAGCAGCTGGAGGAGCAGCAGCTGGAAGAGCAGCACTCTGTTGAAGAAAACCAGTCCACATCATCAGAATCCTACATGGAGGACAGCTCCAATCTTCACAGTGGATACTTCAATGGAGAGCTGGCCCAGGAAGATGATGAGGGAGGATTTCACTGTGCTACAGACAGTCCACACACAGACACTGATACGGAGAGCACCCCCGGTGGAAATGGTGACTACCAGCATAGCTACTCTGAGAGCAGCTATGATTCTGAGCAAGACGAGTATATTAGTCGTGATGAACGTGAGGATGGCAATAATGAGCATGATGCTGGTGGTAGTGGTGGTGGTCACACGGGTAATATCGCAGTAAGTGATGGCAGATCGGACAACCATTCAGTCAATATTTGGAGCAGATTCAAGCACAGGGAAAGTAGACAGAGTAATCCAGAGCACACCAATCCGCCATTACGGCACCGGCCTGACATCAAGTCAGAATCACCCAGTGACCCCGGTAAGGCAAGGCCATTGACTGCCTCTATACCCCACCGCGGTGGTGGTGGTGGTGGTGACGTTGGTAATGATGACCATGCTGCTGCTCAAGCACGCGCTTCAAGACCGCGCGCAGCACAGCGACCTGGCACATGGTCCAATTCCAGTGGGTCAGGACACGATGCAGAGCTCAGCCGCCAGTGCTATGTGCAGAAAAGACACACGAACAGGACTCTGAAGCCGAAAGGAGTTCCCCAGCAGACGGCATGGAAACCTCGCCATGGCACAGCTCCCAATCTCCGTGACCTGGCATCATGCAGCACGGCAAGAAAGCTTACCACCAGCCGCTCTGATTCTTCCTCGTCACGCTTGGCCGGGCAAACTCGCTCTTATTTCTCCTCGTCACAATTGGTCGGGCAAACACAGCACTACATGCCAGATGTTCCATCGCCATTTCAGCACTCCGCAGATGAATCAACAAGCGGACGCTCGTCTCCGCTCTCCGAGGTGCACTGGCCTCCCAATACGAAAGGCATGAAGGGCGTATCAAATGCACGTGTTGATAACGTTAGAAATAATCAGCCTAGATCTCCAGCCGGTGGAGGACGCCAATCAGGGACACACCATGGCAGTTTGTCGCGTAGCCAACGGGGCCGCGATCGAAAAGTTGATCTCGTGATCAGCATCGATAAGCTTTCAGCTGCTCGGAAGATGTGGGGTGTTGCTGACGAGCAAGAGAAATGAGAATGTTGTGGCAAACATTGGTTGCCAGTGTGTGTGTGTGTGACGGTGTGTGTGTGTGTGTGTACGTGTGTGTGCGTGCGTGTGTGTGTGTGCGTGTGTGTGTTCCATGTTAGCCTCACTCTCTGCATGTTTCCCGACCATCATACTAAGTATATCCGACAAAGGTTGCACGCATTCCAAGGAACATTTCTTTTTTTTCATATTTTAAAAATCACTATGAAGCAAAATAATGTATGGATGGAGGAGTCTTGGAGCAGCCACGAATTACCGTACAGTATCACTGTCAATGTGGCAGATAGGTTTCGAAATCCACCGACAATTCTATTTTTGATGATTCCAAAATTTCGAACCCAGAGTTCCGCCTAGGATGTCAGTAAACTGGTTTTTATAGGTATCTAATGCCAAACAGTTTTTTTGCTTTTCTTGTTGTTGAGAAACTTGAATTACTGCTGATGCGGCTACTGCTGCCATCCGGCCAGCACATCATTGTCAACTTCAATGCCATTAGTAGTGTTTGGTTGTGGTGTTGCGACTGTTGCCCCAGGTGTCAGCAGTCCACGACTTGCATACAGGCTTCGTTTCCTATCCACTGACATGTTTTGACCTAAGAAGGATCAGATCTGAATGGGACAGGGCCTATTGGGGGTTTATTAATTATTATGCTTGCGTCAATATAATAATATTATGGGGGGGGGGGGGGGGATTTATGGCACATACCGGGTAACCCAAAGTTACAAACCTTGCCTCCAGGGACTCACGGAATGTATGTCAGTGAAAGCAGTGAGTGGGATCTTTGGTCCTTGACCAATTCTACCTTTTCTTTGGACACTGACTGGAAAGTAGTGCTAGTGCTAGTGCATGCACTGTCACAGAGTGATTTCCTAATGTGGATGTCATGTACATGTACATGCACGACTTGTGCATGTACATGCATGACTTGTGCATGTACATGCACGACTTGTGCATGTACATGCACAAGTCGTGCATGTACATGCATGACTTGTGCATGTACATGCACGACTTGTACATGTACAGGGCTTGTTGGCTGACAGCATGTAACAAGGTGGAGGACACCGTGTTCAGAAACAGTGACCTTACTACTAGTACCATCCACGGTTGGTAGAGCCCCGGTCCGTTGGGACCATCTGAACCATATGGGTGTTGAACCCGGTTCTGACCCTCATTATGCTAGGGGAGTTTTTAGACTTCTCCTAACGTCAGTCGTTCCAACGGACCCAGGCTCTACCAACCGTGGATGGTTGTAGTAAGGTCACTGTTTCCGAACACGGTGTCCTCCACCTTGTTTCATGCTGTCAAACCAACAACATGTGTGAAGTATAACAAGGCTTATCTAATACTAGTACTGTACATGTACTAGTATTGGGTTGTCTAATACCATGTACTGGGCTGTAAACAGTGCTGAGTCTGTTGTCAGCATAGTACAGTCACGTCACGTACTGAGAAGGTTCTTTAAGCTTGAGTCACAAGCAGTCTTATTCTTGCAGGCTTGACGGAAAATGTGGTGTTCTGTTACCATGGCTACACCTGTGAACAACATGGCGTAACTCTGAAACGAGTGCTGATGGAGGTTTATCATGGAGCTGCACATGCAGGGACGCTACGTCGTCCTGACATGTTATCCACATTCCAGCTGGACGGTACCACTGGACAGGGGTTACATCTTAAAACTCGCCATTGCCAGCCACTGGCTATGCAACTGTGTTGTTGTTGTTTGCTGTGTTGTACGGGCGGAGTACAAAGACGGGGTTACATCTTAAAACTAAAACTCGCGGTATATTGCCAGGAGAAAGGTGTTGAATCGAACCTAGGCCGACGGAATAGGATTTTTTATAAAAATAATAATAAAACAAATACGTACCATGTGCCGACCGTGGTATTGGTCTGCGCGGTCCTTACTGGCCTGCAGTGGGATAGTGTGTTATAGGAATTTACCGTAAAGAAACAGGCTAGTTTGAGGTTGGTCTGAGACGCTTGGAACATCGCTCTGCGCGATACTAGACATTTCGGGAAAGGGCTAAGTGCCCGCGCACACCTGCAAAGCAGGCAGGCACGGGGATGACAAAGGCAACGTTACTGAGTTAGAGCATGCCACTAGTAGGATGGGAGCATCAAGACATGGAAAGACATTAACGATGGCACAATACTGAACGGCGGCCGTGATATCCAATGTGCGCACTGTGACAGGCCACAGTCATGGTCATCACAAGCTATGCTGCCTGCTCAGGCAGATGTTGATGCTGGCTACAACAAGACAACTATTGCAGTGGGAGGAATGGACGATGACCTGCCGTTAGCGGCCACTGCAAAGACATGAGTGGAGCACGGATGATGACATTTGTCGCTCTATTTTCCGTCTTGTCCGTCTGGTAGCGCCGGTGGGGCAGCTGAAAGTTGGCGCTGCTTCAAGGGAGACAGATCCAGGGGCGTTCCACCATCTTCATCCCCCTCTCCGCTGCCAACCATCATGGAGCCAAACTTTGCCCAGGAGTCCTCCATGCTACCAAGAAAGGATGACGATGTTCTGCCACCAGATCTCTGCAGACAAACAAAGGCAAAGAATACTTGATGTGAAGCAGTCCACTAGGTGTGCTAGTAGTGCTTGCACTTGTATGCCTATCAGGCAGGCAAATGGCAACAATGCACAGCTCCATCTTCATCAATCATCACGATCCACACACCCACACCAAAACACCCACCCACACACACACACACACACACACACACACACACAGAAATACCCGTGTGCTCGCCCGGCAAAACACTCCCGACTTACATCTCCCGAGCCTTCAGCCATGAACGATTGAATGGGCATCACCGCCAGTGCTTCTGTAACTTGTTGCTCCAGACGCCTGCACTCATTCCTCTTTTCATCGAGCTCCTTACGCAGGTCACGATTGGTGCTCACCACTGCCATTTTCTCCCGGTGTTCATTGCTCAGCTTCCGCTCGATCTTCACACATTCCGCCTTTGAACAGATGGAAACAAAACAGTGTCAGATAGGGTTTGTGCGAGCACCACCACTCCACTTCATTGCTTGCAAGTCGCGGCTTCGGTGCTTCAACTATAAAAAGCACGGTTCAGACTTGTAACCATGCCTGTTCAGACTTGTAACCATGCCTGTTCAGACTTGTAACCATGCCTGTTCAGACTTGTAACCATGCCTGTTCAGATTTGTAACCATGCCTGTTCAGACTTGTAACCATGCCTGTTCAGACTTGTAACCATGCCTGTTCAGACTTGTAACCATGCCTGTTCAGACTTGTAACCATGCCTGTTCAGACTTGTAATAGGCGATTCACACGACAGGCAAATCCATGTTCGTCATGTGCCCGCAGGAAGTGAAACGTGAGGCTGCAGTTCACACGGCCGCGGGTGGCGGCCAGAGCTCCCGCGAGTATCCGGTGAGTATACGACGTTACTGTGGTGATTTGGAATGAGTAGCCAAAAACAAAGGCCAAACAACCAGGGTTCAAGACTACCGTACTATAGTACGACCTTACAGCCTCATAACTGTAAAAGTGCCGGCAGATGAGGGCATCCGCGGGCAAAAAGCCCATGGACACTTTTGATTCCCGCGGACAAATTTTGGTCGCCCGCAGGAATATCTCCATGGTGATTCTCCTGTAAACGTGGACTTGCCTGTCGTGTGAATCGCCTATAACCATGCCTGTTCGGACTTGTAACCATGCCTGTTCAGACTTGTAACCATGCCTGTTCAGACTTGTAACCATGCCTGTTCAGACTTGTAACCATGCCTGTTCAGACTTGTAACCATGCCTGTTCAGACTTGTAACCATGCCTGTTCAGACTTGTAACCATGCCTGTTCAGACTTGTAACCATGCCTGTTCAGACTTGTAACCATGCCTGTTCAGACTTGTAACCATGCCTGTTCAGACTTGTAACCATGCCTGTTCAGACTTGTAACCATGCCTGTTCAGACTTGTAACCATGCCTGTTCAGGACCTAGTGAACATGACCAGGCAAACAGTGTGTAGCATAGGGCTGACCCGAATTTGCCAGCTGAATCTCGATATTTTGCGGCATAATTTTGCTCGTGCATCGTCGAAATTTTGCTTTCATTTTGCTAGGCCACTCGATATTTTGCTCCCTTTTTGCTCCAAAATTTGTGTCACGTGTGAGAAAACTGACCGAAAGTGGGTTACGTGTTGGCAAAAATGAGAAAAAGTGAGTCACGTGTTGGTAAAACTGTGCCGAAATGAGTCATGTGCACCGTATATGTGTAAAATCTCCCAATTCCCAGCCAACACACCGATATTTTGCTCCATTTTGCCAGCAAATTCCCTTTCAAAATTCTTCGATATTTTGCTAGAAGAATTGCTAGCAAATTCGGGTCTGCCCTAGTGTAGCAAAGCAGTGATAACAGCACACCAACAGACTGCATTACACACTTGATACACTCACTAACCCCCAGTGACTTGATACACACACTAACCCCCAGTGTACGAGGCTAACTAACCTTCAGCTTCTCCGCGTCCAGCATGACCAGCTGACTGCGACCCTTCTCTGCGGCCAGCAGCTGTTCAAGGTGGCGTATGGTGCGCGTCTGTGCCTCGCACTCGCGCTGCAGGCTCTGCTGTGTGCCGTGGCATGCTTGGTGAATACTGCTGCTGTCGGCGGCCACCTTGCGCGTGAAGTCTCTCAGGGCGTTCTCGGCCGTGTCGTGGGCCTGCCGAGCAGCCGCCACCTGGTCCGCTTTGGCCTCGCATTCCTTCTGTAGTGTGCTGTTGGTCTGGCTGGATAGATTCAGTCTGTACGTACACACACACACAAACACATGTGCGCACATACAGATGCACGTGCACACACACACACACACACACACACACACACACACACACGGCTGTGATGCAACGTGACTATGCTGGAACGACTCTTCCTCTGGCTACACAGCAGTGTGAGGAGTATGAGGAGTGTGGAAAAAGGAACTCACTGTCGGCGCACACGCTCCGCTTCGTCACGCGATTCCTTGAGCTCCTGCTGGGTCTCCTTCAGCTCAGACTGGATCTTGCGCATGCCATCACGCAGATCGTCCACCTGATCATTAAGACGTTCTTCACGCTGCTGGCTGGCCTGCACAGTGCACCGTGCGCATACAGCAGGGAAGAAAGGCAGTGCGGTATGAGAGGTAAGTTGGGCCAGAACTATAGAAGCATCACGTGTCCTACACCTGCCATGCATGCAGTTTGCACATAGACCAGGAGGTGAATGGACAGTGGTGACAACCCAAGCAGATTGTCATGGACCATATTTCACTACAAGATCTGTAAATGAAGACTAAAAAAAAAAAATCGACGGGTTCGCGTACCGGGCAGGTCAAGAACAAGGAGTCGTTCAACTCCCTGGTCAAGAACCACCTTCCCGCTTCCGTGGGGCGCCACCACCCCATGATCAGGCGTCAGATGCGGCTCCTAAACGGTGGGGGAGGAAAGATCAGATCCACGAACCAGAGGCCAAAGGCCTAAATCCCATTTGCCACATCCATGTGTTTACTCATGTGAATGAAGACTATGTACATATAAACGATGTGGCGATGGTATAATTATAATAATAATAATAATAATACCACAGCACGCGTAATAATATAATTATGTGGGTATAATTATACGTTCCGCTTCTGTCCTATCTCCTATGATCAAATTCCATTATCAAGGTAATTATTAACACGGCGCACTGATGACCTGTGACGCCAGATCATTAAGTATAATTATAACATTACTATAATTTTGTAGTTGACGCTACTGCGATGAACGCTGAGAGTAGGCTATGGTGCTCCAGTGCGCTGGATCTATGACAGTCTCTACCTCGCCCTGCGCTAAGCCATCCTGTCAAGCTTCGTTCTAATCAGCAGCTGCTCAAGCTGAGTCCGAGACATGCAGCTGTAGCAGATACGGAGGCTATCTACTCATAATGTAGACACACCACCAGCATAGTACGTCTTCCTCGAACTCCTTGTCCTCTACTGTGTGACTGCTCCACTCTGAGTGTGTATTTCTACACATCGAGAACTGTCAGAATGATGCATTGTACTCCGGTGAGGTTCTTCCTCTACCAGTGGGCTGTGCATAAGCTTGCTCAAAGTGGTCTTGTGTGTACATGTACACTACCCGTGACATCAACCTACTTTTAAGTCATTCGTACCGATCAGCCGACATGTACAAATGTGTCCCAGCCTGTCATACTAAATTGTAGTGTGACTGGCGAAGACACCATGATTTGTATACAATACACCACTGTCAGTGTCACCCTTTCTTGTTTCTAAGTGCTGGAAGCATTACGTCGGTACACTTTGAAGTACACCTGTTATCACCACTGCTACATCCTATAGATCATCTCAGATCCCCCATTACTGAGACGGAGCAGAATCCCCGCGAGGCCCTGCTGGGAGCACTAACCGTGAATTTTGCCTTGACCTGGCTCAGATCCTGCTGAAGTCTGAGAAAAAAACATACAAACACATACAATGACGTTAGAATGATTGTTATAGGATACTAGTACCTCCCACTCGTATCACTCCGTTGCCTATTCTCAGAATCATTGCAAGCCAAAGACATGACTACAAATAGAATGCCTAATGCAGGACACACACACATACACGGCATGCACACCATTAATAAGCACCCAAGAAGCGCAACGTTTAGCACTGCACCTGGACTCTTTCCTGGAGGCAGGCTGCTGATGCACGTGAGTTGAAGCAACAGGTGCTACAGTAGCAACCGGCGATGGTGACGGCGCCTGTGCAGTAAAATATTGGTGTAAAAATCAGATACGCACCATACACTATCTAGTTAGTCATGACAGCAGTGGAAATTCTACATTTCAACTAGGGCTGAGTCGGGTAGCATTTTCTTCGGGTATCGGGTCCGGGTAGTTTTCCACGGGTAGCACGGGTACCCGATCGGGTAATGTTTCCATGGTAAGACCACAATGCACACCGGCCCCTTCCCTTGCGCATTGGGTAGACATGCGGGAATTATTTGTACACGTGCACTGTACATGATGTCATCTGCGACCTCGGGTTTTCGGGTACTATTCGGTACCCGACTACCCGAGGTCCTCACGGGTAGCACGGGTACCCGACTACCCGTGCACACCACTAATTTCAACACACACACACACCATGCAACACATACACACACACACACACCATGCAACACATACACACACACACACACACACACACACACACACACACACACCATGCAACACATACAAACACACACACACCATGCAACACATACACACACACACCATGCAACACATACACACACACACACACACACACACACACACACACACACACACACCATGCAAAACATACAGCATTTTTGTTAAGGGTGCAAGATCATGTACATGCGCGGCTCAATGAGTAGTATAGAACAGGGACGAAACACATGCATAGACACATGCAAGGACACACCCATACACACACACGTACGCACACACACGTACGCACACACACAGGCACGGCCGGCGGAGCTCTCCAGACCTCACCCTCACCCCCTACCACCACCACTACCACCACCACGGCTCATGTCTGCATGTTTCTACTGCTGCACTTCATGATTGGTCAAGTAGTCTGAAACATGCACATGCACACACACACACACACACACACACACACACACACACACACACACACACACACACACACACACACACACACACACACACACATACACACACATACACACACACACACACACACACACATATACACACACACATACACACACGGACACACACAGACATACACACACACACGGACATGTACACACACACATACACACACACGAACATGCACACACACACACACACACACACACACACACACACACGCACGCACGCACGCACGCACGCACGCACGCATGCACGCACGCACGCACACACACACACACACACACGGACATGCACACATGCAGGCATATGGGCACACTCAGGCAGTTCTCACCGATTTCTTGGCATTTACCACATTGCCAACAGTCCTTGGATGCAAACTGCGATCCTCGGAAATCGTCACCAAGCCTTCTGGTCGGTTTCCAGTAACTCCAGAATGTTCTGAGCAGGATCCAATTGAACCCAGCCTGCCACCACCATCACTACTATAAGCAGCTGATTCCGATGGTGAAGATGCCTGCAAAGTAGCTGCATCGATATGCTCAGAATGAGCGGCTGCTTTTGACTGTTTGCCATGACTCTGAGCACCAGAGTGCGCTCCAACTGCATTTGACGCTGGTCTGTTGTCATGACGGCGACGATGTGTCTGTACAATACTGTCTGTATTGGAAGAGCTCCCAGCAGCACTGCTTGCGTGCACGCCGGCAGATGCATCCCGTGCTGCAGGCACGTGTGAAGCACCACTACCACCGTGACTGCCACTACCAGAAACAGTACTGCTACTACTACTACTACTAGCACCAATGTCTTTAAGAGGGTTTTGTCCATCACCACTACTAGCTGCAGTGCTGTTACTACCGACATTACTGCCGTCAGCAGTAGTTTTATCACCGCCGCTGCCAGCACTCTCGAGCCAGCTCGAGACGTGCCGGAATATAAAGCGGAGCAGCCACAGAATGAACCCACTGTGGGTTTGACTGTGCACTTCCATGTCCTGCGCCGTGGCCAGGCTGATCGTTTTACTGCCGCTAGCGCTGCTAGCACTGCGCTGGTCACCTGGTGACAGAACAAAAACAAGCGGCATCACAACATTCAATGATGCACAATACAGTACTACACACGCACACAGTGATGCCAGTGCATTCAAATCCCAATCAATCAAGGTAGCGTGCAGCACGTGAAGAAATAGACGGCGACAGCGATTCTCTTTTCCCGGTATTTGTACAATCACGAACTTATCTACATCGTACAAACTACTACAAAAGATGTTGTTTTGCACAATGAGTTCAGTGGTTGCAAACTCATCTAATGTAGATCTGCCTGTGGTGGTCACTAACACCGACATAGATTCAATGTGCCCAGAAGGCATGGAACCAGACCAGAAGTACCTTTACTGGACTCGGCGTAGTCGTTACATTGAATTCTGAGAGGCGCCGGTAAAGAGCCTTCCACCAGATGTAGGTGGTAACGATTGTCAGACTCGACCTCTTTTCTCCGACGCTACAAAACACATGTGCAAGAAAAGACAGTACTGATGATCAGCAGCACTCTTGTGTCTGGCACAGTTGATCCCGGCGAGGCATGGCCGCGACCTACACATCTATTACAGGCATGTAGCACCCGCCGTTGGAGGTGGTCTGGCCGGAGGGTGTCCCCCGGGAAAAATATTGAAATTAGGGTGCAAAATCCTGCATTCTCGTGGCACTTCTGGGCAAAAACGTGGTCTGGCCAAAGCCGTACTGGCCAGACCGGCTGCTACGCCCCTGTATTAAAACTGACAGAGACAGGTGCCAGGATGAAACATTGTCATTAACTGACTTGGCTCCTTGTGAATTACTACGGGGTTTAATACACACCCGAGTAGGCTCATCTTTGTCCTATTTCACAAGTGCACGACATCATAGCATACAGTGAAATCATTGCTCCATGCTATCCGGGAGTCTGGGTGCCTATTTCACAGCTCTCGCATCCTCAGTATGTTCATCCTGTCACTGAACATGCCTACCTTTCTGAGATGAAATTTTAGTAGCTCTTTGACATCCAATACAAGCATTATGAGCGGCGAGCCGGTACTGCAAAAGAAAACATTGGTAAGCGGTGGTCGGTTGTTTTAGAACCTTATCAAACCCTATGGCTAACAGGGCATCAAATGCAGATCCGTGTAAAGACGTTGAGTTTTACGCGGCATGAACAGCTAATGAACCGGCAGTGCTATGCACTGTACATCTCTGTCATTGAGGCGCTTCTATACAGGAGATAACCGGCCCATATACTGATACTAGTATAGCTAGCTGTATTGACTTCTCTTTGGCACTTCCCAGGCAGACATGGTCACAGTCCAGTGACCACAGTGCACGGAACAAGCAGCTTGCGGCCATCTGCTCTGCTGAGACAATCCACACGTGGATAGGAATGGTTGCCACTGAGTGCTCATCCATCCCTACTATGACTGGTTATACAGTTGAACATCGATTATCCGCACATCGACTATCCGACCATTCGATTATCCGTAACAGTTTTTTTGGGCGCACGTGCCGTAGAGTACGCACTGTGCATGTAGTGAGCCATTCAAAAAATACGAAAATTTTGAAAAGTAGCACTCTATTCTATTTACAACGTACATGTACATGTATTTACAGTGTGTTTTCTTATCCGGAACATTTGCCTTATCTGAACACCGCCTGACAGTTGTCTGCCCAGAGGTGGTCGGATAATCGATGTTCAACTGTATAGGAAGTTCACAGCTGCTGTGAGTGGGATACTTCTAACAAGTACATACTAGTTGATTACGGAACATTCTAATCGGCCCTGCTGCCGTTCTGCCAAGATTCAGCAGCAATGAATGGGAAATAGGAACAATGTGGCTTCCTGCCTTCCGACCACTTCACTACGGCAGCTATAGCAGCAGGACAGGCACGAGAATACATGTATAGGAAGTCAGCAAGGCGACCGTGTGACTACTCTCAGCAACCAGACTCATCAGCCATGAGAATGAAATGCAAACTGCAGCATATACATGTTTCTTTCCACCGCCAGCCTTATTGATCAACACGCACTTGGCCTACTGTGCCACTCTCCCATAGCCTATAAAACTCCTGAATAAAATGATGCAAATTTTGGTGAGTATTTATTACCAATTCCGGCGCCAGATGTGTTTCAACCACCACTTCTCTGCTAGCCACTAAAAAAATGGTTTCCGGCAAAAATTCGATCACTGCGTGCCATCCCCCGCAGGATTGTTATATTCAGGCCACGAGTGTACTTACCAGTGTGCCGCCAGCAGCCTGTATACGTTTATAATAGGCAAGGTGTGGAGGCGTATGGTTGCCTCCACGTATACAAAACACACAAATAGAAGTATTGTCGCCACATACAGGTCGCTGTCTGCAAGGACGACAGGAGATGGAGCAGAAGAGCAACAAAGATGTAGATTAGAAGGAGGAGTGGCAATAATTCGGCAATGCTCGGTGCGGAACTCAATCATACACGTACCTTGGTGAGCCATCGACTACATGTCCTAGTGGTAATATTGCTGGGTGATAACCAAACCCATTGGGTTCGAGTGTTTCGAGCAGTAGTGTTGTATAGTGCAGAATGTAGGATCCCTTATCAAGCCCATACAGGATCCGGCACCTCACCTGCCTGCCACAGCATCTGGACCCATATATGGACGCTGCCGATAAAGAACAGCCAGTGTATGGGGACACACCATAGGCACATCCAGTCCACAAGCAGACTAACGCCGAGAAAGAGGCCAATCATCACCTGCACAATTGCATTTTAGAGAACAAAATAACAGAAACAAAACTTAGACTCGCATGGAGAGCCAAGGATTAAAATAGAAAAGAGAGGAACAAAGGTACACGTTATCCATTGTTAGTGTTGGACACAAACAACGGATGACTTGTAGACCTCTGGTCCTCTCTTTTTTGTAACAAAAACTTTTTCAAATTAAAATCTGATGAAAGTTCGCAGAGCTCTGCATGCAAAGCCAACGTTGGGATACAAAACTCTGGTCCCTATGAAGTGCAGAACAGAGTGGGTAACTCATGAGTAGGCAACCTAGAATACTAGTAGTCACTACATGTCACTGTGGGCAAGTTAGTGCTAGCAGCTCGGCTGCCGCATTGACCACTTCATTTTTTTAACCTCCATAGCTGCACTGGTGGAACACATGCCAGGAGGGCCCGCACGCTGTGGTGCATGGAGTCTCTTGGCGCACAACACAGGGGATGTTGGTTGGGTGTAGTCCAATCACCATCGGCGTATCGATATCTCTAACTTCCCGCAATGCATGTCGCTCTCATTGTTCAAGGGGGGGGGGGGGAGGGGCATTGGCAATAGGGCTTGAAAGTGCTACGTCACAGCATAGCAACAATTTCAAAAATTCAAAAACTGGATCCACTTGGATCCAGTTTTTGTATGGATCCAAGCACATTTCAAGCGGTCTTACCCACAGCATGGTGATGTAGCCAGTGAAACTGACTGATTTGGCTACTGGGGGCGGGGTTACAACTGGTGGCGAAATAAAAGTCACACCTGCATGCGACATGAGTGGGTTGCTATGCACCCACATACTTAGGCAATAGCAAAGTCACACCTTAGTGGATCCAAAAATAGAAATCTGATGTCAACTTACTACTCCCTGCCCGTTTTGACGTCATCACTTTCAAGCCCTATAGAATAGACACAGTTAGCTTGGCACGTGCACGCTAGCTCTGGCAGTCTACAGATAACACAGATGTGACCAGCTGCCCCTGTTGGTTGCGCTTGACCTAGCACACGTCCCACTCAAGTCACACGTACTGAAGTTATCCCTGACATGTACATATACATGACGCAGCTGTAAACTACCTGTTCAGTTCAATGCTGTAAGCCTTGTGTTAATGCCTTGTACATGCACACACATTTCAGGATCGTTCATGCTACAGTAAAACCTGTCAAGGCGACCACCTGTCCAAGAGGACCACTACAACCAGGACCAAGGGATGCTATTCTCAGTCAAATAACCCTGGATAAGGAGGCCACCTGGTTACAAAGACCACGTTTCGAAGGTCTCTTGAGCGGTCGTCTTAGACAGGTTTCACTGTGTGTTCGTCCCAGTATCTACAGGCCCGGTTTCAAGCATCACAAGTATTATTTATATAATTATTTTATTAATAGCCAGGGTTTCTTGACTCTCCATGAATGAACAGTTCACACACACTGCACACAGATCAGGTGCGTAGCCCGTGAGGGGCACAGGGGGAATGTGCACCCCTCCCCCCCCCCCCCCTTTCCCCCAAAAGTCTTTCGACCTTCGCTCAGCATGTGTTTGTTCGGATCCTAGGGATCACTGCCCAGTGCTTGCTGTCAAGCCAGTGCATGCCCCTCTAGAGGGTGAATCAACTACAGCACTGCAGATTACGAACACGATATGTGCACACGACAAAACACATGATCCACTGGTATACTGGCGATCCCGGCAGCCACCAACTACATTATACCCGCGCACGTCAAAGGACTTGGTGTGGATGCTGCTGCCGCTCATTGCCTCCATCTCTCTGCGAGCCTTCTGTGTCAATTCCAGTCTACGTAACAGTATGGCCCTTCTCATCCTGGCCGTCTAATACCGAACTCCACACTGGATTCAGGTCCTACCATTGGCGCTGAGACATATCTCCGAGATTCCCCAAATTAACAAAACACTCTTGTCCAAATTACGTCACAAGTCGCAAATACATCATGTATCAATCCCGGCACTCTGGACACTGGGCCGCCATGTGGACTGGTTGTCCTGAAAGTCTGACCCATGAGATTCTACTCAAGGATGTTCTTTGCACAACAAACTAAGCAGGAGCTAAACATAGTAAATAGTACTAAATACGTACACATGTACCGTGGCAAGCGAGAATACAAGCACTTGTCTCTCGCTGACAAACAGAGTTTTTCACATACCGGGTGCATGTACATGTATGCCCACCACATTACGATAACATGCTGGAAGACCGTCGCATTGCGCTGACATTTCATGTGACAGGTTTCCTGATGAAAGTCCTCCTTGACTTGTGGACACCTCGGCCAGGCGTTTAGACATCTACATACACAATACAAGACTAGGCTTACATTACAGAAGGCTCCAGAGCAGTATATTGGTGGGCCTAAATCACTGTGCCTTGGCACTGCACTGCATTACAACGGGCTCGAAAAGACTGTCCGACTGGAAAGTTGCAAATAGTTTCTGCCATACATGCTAAGTGGTCTTGTGTGCCATGCCATGGGTTATGCGTTACGGTAGGCGGGGAGGGAGAGACAGAGGGGGGGGGGGATAGAAATTTCATGTCCATCTTTATCCGTGCGGGCGCCATTGTGTGCAAACTGACTGCTAAGATTTGCCAAAATCGATCATGGACAGAGTATTTACAGCCATGAAGCACACAGTGCATGGCATTCGACACTGGATACATGTGCAGTGGCTAAACTTTATAATTATAAATTATCACAATTATCACAAATTGTCCATTTTTTGTATGCACCTGTCTAATACAGCGTGAAACGCTGCCTATTCCACAGATCAAATGGAATGCTTCGTTAATTCGCTAAAGGTGATGCGTTACAGGACAAACAGTGCAGTGGTAATGCTCAGTTTTACCGCTCCATCGACGCGATGAAGGTAGAGGACGGATCGCCAGAGGGAGTAGAGTGGAATCAGCAACTCCAGGCGCTGCTCAAACAAGTGGTCAAGCAGCAGTAGAGCGGCCCAGGCAGCGAACACCTTCACATACTGGGCGAACCTGGAGAAAAATCCGAACACGTACACCTACACATTTTCTCCACGCCACTTACCACTCGCAACCTTGGGTTCATCCACTTATTCCAATTGGCTAAACGCATGCAGCGGTCGAACAAAACCTTCAATTATCAAGCTGTGATGAGTGCGGAGCGTAAACTATCTGCATTGTGACTCAAATGAAAACGTTCAGTTCACGCTTACCCTGGTCCTTGCTCTGTAGGACGTTTCACAATTGGCCTCTTCGGTGGCCGACTCGCGTCCGCTTGTCTACGTCTCATTTTCAGCAACCATTCGATGTTTGTTTGCTCGCTGGCGTCCCCGAGCTATAGCTAACGTTACTAAAATGTGAAAGAAACTCACTACTTTCTCTCTGCTTGTACCTGGAATTTTGCAGTGTTGTCGACCGTCAGTCGGTACTGGACGGTATGTCTACAATGGTCTAGGCAGCCCTGAGCTGATCTGCTGAGAAGCTTTGCACTGAACTGTCTGAAGCCTGTGAAGGCTATCAGCCTATCACCCGTCGGCCGTCACTGACTTGCCAGTGTTACTGATTTGTGCTCATCGCACAGGCATGGCATGGGCACGGCAAGTGGCATGTCGCATGATGAAGGACAGACTCAGTGCATTGGTGCAGTGCACATCTGGCCTGGTAGATCTACTGGTAGCCTAGGCCACGGCTGCTATGCTGCGGATTGCTGGTACTACCAGTGGTAGTGGTAACCGTATGGGGATAGCCAAGGCCTAGTATCGCCTTCGCCTTCGGTCAGACTCCGTGAGTCAGTGACCATGACACACAGTCAGCTGCACCCGGACCGGGCCCCCCCATGGAATGGATAATGATTATGAGTGACCAGCACTATTGTTACATGAATGATGAAAATAATATTAATTAGATTTGAAGAAGAGGTTGGTGGGCCATGGGACTTCGGCGATACTTGGGGTGTGTTGCGATTTTTTTCTACAGGTACATCTACCTGTGCACGTGTATTGCCTATTGGTGTCCCTGATAAGGGTGCCTTTCGCGAGTTTCGGCGGTGGAGGTGGTGGTGGTACCTTGGGTGGCTGTATTTTAATAGGTAGAGGGATCAACGGTGAGCAACGCCAACGGTCACCAACCTCAAGTCAAGACCAGTAACACTGTCCTCACCACAGTAGATATCTGTACTCGTCACTTATCAGTACCGGTATTAGCAAGGGAAGGCTGCACTTTGTGGGTTATGTTCGATAGTCTCTGGGTGCTACAGCCTACAAGTACAAGACTTAGTACAACTACAAGTGCACCCAAGCATGCATCTACAACCCATTGTTGCAATCACTTGTGTGACTATCACAATAATATTATGCTTCAACAAAGTTCAAAGCATCATAAAAAATATTACAATGACTGTATTGTTCCCAGCGGGGACCATATTTTGACCACTCCCTGGTCGCCACTGGGACAAATATCCTCGAGTGTCACAAAGACTTTCACTGGATGCCACTGAAGATGAAGATAAACTGGCGTGTTTACAATGCGTTGTATCCACCGTTCCACGCAGGTCTCCCTAGGCTACCCTAGGTAGGTAGGTAGGTACATTTTTATTTGAATTCGCAGAACCAAACGGGCGGTGTCGCCCAGTTACATGGAAGCGAATGGAAACAATAAAATATTGTAGGAAATAGCCTAACATGATACCAGCAGGGTGTAGTACAAAGCAAAGAACGCTCAGTCAATGAATAACGTTAACGTTAGCTACTACCATTCTATGATACATGTAGTAGCAAAGGAACCATGCATGAATGGTCAGCAACACACAGTCAGTACACTGATTCTAAAACTACAAATCAATGTCAACACTCAGACTCATACTGACAGCACAGACATAGTGGTCGCACTCATACTCATAGGCGCTGCTAGTGCTGACAGGAATAAAAAGAGGAAATGCTAGGGTATGCTTGAAAAACGCTGTACTTGCATAATGCATGCACCACAGGCATACTGCTGGGCGTTGGAGAACAACGGGACCAGCTAGTGAGTGTTGTCCTTCAAAAAGTCTAGGCTGTAAGTGTTCCTACACAGTAATGCTATGAAGATGGTGTTAGTCACGGAGATCCGTAATCTGTTGGGCCATAAACCTTGTGCCATAAATGTTCTGGCATCGAACTTCTTCATGTCTGATGCTTCATACAAGTAAAAGTTCCACTAACTCTCTGTCTGTTGGTCTGTATTTCTATCTGTCTCTCTGTCCCTTTCTCTCTCTTTCTTTACCTCCGAGTCCCCCTCCCTTTCTCTCGCTCCCTCCCTCCCCCCCCCTCTCTCTCCGGCTCTCTCCCTCTCTCTCCCTCACTCTCGCTCCCTCCCTCCTCCCCTCTCTCTCTCTCTCTCTCTCTCTCTCTCTCTCTCTCTCTCTCTCTCTCTCTCTCTCTCTCTCTCTCTCTCTCTCTCTCTCTCTCTCTCTATCTATCTATCTCTCTCTCTCTCTCTCTCTCTCTCTCTCTCTCTCTCTCTCCCTCCCTCTCTCTCTCCCTCTCTCTCTCTCTCCCTCACTCACTCTCGCTCCCTCCCCGAGTCCTCCCCGCCCCTCTCTCTCGCTCCCTCCCTCCCTCCCCCCCCCTCTCTCTCTCTCTCTCTCTCTCTCTCTCTCTCTCTCTCTCTCTCTCTCTCTCTCTCTCTCTCCCTCACTCTCGCTCCCTCCCCGAGTCCTCCCCGCCCCCTCTCTCTCGCTCCCTCCCTCCCCCCCCCCTCTCTCTCTCCCCCCCCTCTCTCTCTCTCTCTATCCCCGCGCTTGCATGCTTCACACTCTCATTATCTCCCTTCTTCGTCATTCGGTGGGGAGCTTGGCACTTGCCCATGTGAGAAGGCAGCAATGCCTGCTCCGATGGCATTCTGGCGACGTAAATAACCGTATGGCAACCAATCATTCCCACCGGCCTTGTACATGACTATAGTGACGGATTAGTCTCGGCTCACTTTACTTCTGTCCTGAACTCTTTCGGCTTTTGCAAATGTTACGTAAGTCGTTCAATGCATAATGTCTATGGGGATGCTACCGGCACCAAAGTACATGACATTGTACAATCATCATACTGTACTAAAGTCTTCGAGTCCACAAAGGACGAAACAGTTCTGTCCGCAGATTGTGTACTAAAGTCTTGTAAGTTGTACACACGGCGATCGGTTTTAGCGCCATTGTGCTGCAGCGCCGTTTTGTCCCACGCCGCTGTGACAAATCATGTAAAGAGAGTCGCGAAAACACTACTCCCAGAGCTAGCTGAACCCAAGTGGAAGTAGATATTTTATCACTTGTAAGGCCGGTTTTCAGCTTGACAGGGTACGAGAGCAAGCTTTCCTGCTCAGTTCCTCCTTTTTACTCAAGCTCTGTTCGTAGAGCACCAAACAAAAATGCAGATCTTTGTAAAGACCCTGACGGGCAAGACCATCACTCTTGAGGTCGAGCCCAGTGATACTATCGACAATGTCAAGGCTAAGATCCAGGATAAGGAGGGCATCCCCCCGGACCAGCAGCGTCTGATTTTCGCTGGAAAACAGCTCGAAGATGGACGTACACTGTCTGACTACAACATCCAGAAGGAGTCTACTCTCCACTTGGTGCTCCGTCTCCGTGGTGGTGTTATCGAGCCCACTATGAGAATCTTGGCCCAGAAGTACAACTGTGACAAGATGATCTGCCGCAAGTGCTACGCTCGTCTTCACCCCCGTGCCACCAACTGCCGTAAGAAGAAATGTGGACACACCAACAACTTGCGTCCCAAGAAGAAGCTGAAGTAGATGATGATATTGATCTGCTACTCTAATAAACCTATGGATATAGAAAACATCAGCTCCAACTTTTGTGAGTGCTATGTGGAGGTGCGTTTGTGTGTGTCAGTACATGTAGACAGGTTGATTTTGAGAATATTTTCAGCCACAATTTCAAAAATCTATTTATGGAACAATTACAAGGTGAAAATCAATGAATGGAAGAATGCACACATATGCACCGGTAGCTAGTGCATGATATTGAAGATTTCTATGAATAGTGCACGATATTGACGATTTGTGGTAGTTTTGGAGCAATGAAAGCCAACAGGAGCCGATATGACGACCGATTCTAAGAATTAGTGTTTATGGAACCGTACCGCAGTAAAGGGGGAAGTAAAGTTTGCATGTCGCGGTTACTACCGGTCTATTATTATTATCATTATAGACAACTAGTGGTAAAACGAATGTCAAAACCTACTAGCCGAATATTCTTCGCCTTAACGAACGAATGAACGAACGAATATTCTTTTGGTAACAGAGATGACATCACATGCCCTCCTCCCAGTCATTTGATGGATACTGTCATTATTATTAGGTATGACAAACGGTAGTGCCACATAAAATGTACTGCCACATAAGGCTACTTCGAAGTTCATACATGTTACGTGCACCATTGGCAGTCCAGACATACATGTGCATGCATACAGTACAAAGTCACAGGCAGGCTGTACGCACTGCAGTGTACCGTGTTCGGCGTGCATGTACGTAACGAATACTCGAATGTGACTTAACGAATATTCGAATGTGACAAACCGAACGAATGTTCAAATATTCGTTTCACCACTATAAACAACACCTCATAGCATGAAAACAAGGTGAAAATCAATGAATGGAAGAATGCACACATATGCACCGGTAGCTAGTGCATGATATTGAAGATTTCTATGAATAGTGCACGATATTGACGATTTGTGGTGGTTTTGGAGCAATGAAAGCCAGCAGGAGCCGATATGACGACCGATTCTAAGAATTAGTGTTTATGGAACCGTGCCGCAGTAAAGGGGGAACTAAAGTTTGCATGTCGCGGTTACTACCGGTTTATTATTATTATTATTATCATTATAGACAACACCTCATAGCATGAAAAGAAAATCAGCCAGTACGGGAGATGTGGGTGTTAACCAACCATGGTGAATAGAATAATTAGAGAAGAAAAGTAATGGTCAAGACGGAGAAGCAAGGGAGGGACAGGTGATGGTGAATCTAGTGAGCAGATTTAAATGCGTCCAGGGTACTGGCATTGCGCGTAGTAGCGGGCAGCGCAAGCCAAGCAGAGTAGGCAACAAAGAGTGGAGAGTGTATAAGGGAGGACAATTTAGCCAAGGGAAGGGCAACAGAGTATCTTGTCTGGGGGCCATCTGTGGTTCGGAACCAGTTGTACACGCTAAGATGAGGAGGATGTAGAGCTAGTTTAAATTTGTGAGCAAAAGTGCAAGTTAATTTTTGGTGGTGGGTTGACAGTGGGCAAACATTTGCAAGGGCATACAGGAAAGCAGAAGAGTAGAGAGGGGTTTATATGTGTTAATAACCATTCCAGCTTGTGCTAGACAACCCCCCATCGCTAGATGACTGTAAACACTCTATCAGAAGTAAACGGATGGCACCATTATCGCTGGCCTGTGCAAGTCATTGTGGATATACTGTAAACTGCCTGGTGTTCACTAATTTCGCGGGAATAGCGCAATGCGAATGTTAACCATAGGGAAATCGAACTTTGAAAGTGTGTGTGTGGACACAGTGCTCCGCGAACATTTGCCATCGTAAACTCGTTGTTTGATGTACCTGTAGTAATATACAGCGAGTGTGTCAGCTTCGAGTACGTGAGCTTGAGACCAACGGTTAAGTCATAGCAGTACGATTCGTCATGGTGTTATGGCCTGGCCAGTTTGCATAAAACAAGATGTTTCCCTTTGATTTTTTTTCCAATCACTGCCCACTGCTTTTCGGTCAAGAGAGAGAGAGAGAGTTGTACAGATCCTGGTGTTGTTTGTATACCTTGGATGTCATTGCAAGCCAGCAAGAATACCCTTGGGCAGTGGGCAGTGATTGGCTACATATTCTCAAGACCAGGCACATTCACCTGCTTTATTGAAGTGATCTGCAATCTCCATTCAACGCTATATCAGGACATAGAAAAGGATACGAAATATAGGATAAAAGGTAATAACTAATATTAAGATTGCATAGTGTATGTACACAGTGATACTTGTTATTTTAGGATAGCTATTTCAGAAGAAGCTAACTTGAAGTACTTCACAGTAGTAAAATCAATCAAAATTTATAATGTAAAACCTATGTTAGACCAGTAACGGGCAACCATAACCTAGAATTAAAAGAGCAAACAGAAGCTACTGCAGTCGGTTGCAGTGCACGCCAAACTAGAATCATATTGATAAGTTGACAGACGGCAATGTCTGTATGACAGTTCAAGTGTTTTGTAGTGTACATTTGTGTTTTGGGGGGGGGGGGGGGGGGGTACTGGGGACCCATATGTATGAGATATTCGTAGTGGTCATTGGGTAGGACACGTGAGAGATACTCTTCGTCACAGTCTCCGTCAGCATTCACATTCTGATGACACCGGTGTCTGGCTTAGGTGCTTGTGTGCTCCTATACTCCATACATGCTTCCAAGCTCTGGCGAAGTACCTGCACAATTGTAATTACACAGTGCACACACATACGTACTTGGGCCAAAAATGCTTGCAGTGCTAGGGCCCAGTAGGGGCTCTGCAGTATGATGTGCCTTGCAACATTGGTACATGTACAACACACACTGTATGGTTACAGTACTGTCAGGCACTGAAAACGAACAGGCTAGGATATGTAAACTGTAGTAGGCTGTAGCACAAGGTGAAATCAAACCCAAGGTGCAAAGCTGGCGCGCTTGTAGTTGTAGGCCCGTTTCCATTACATTGCTGTAGTTGTACTGTGTGTGTTCAGCAGCATGCGTGCCACTTCCACGGTGTGCAAGTGAAAACTAACAATGGCCTAGGCTGCAACTATAACCCCTCGTTTTCCTCTCAATTCAGACCATTTATATGAGTCTTGGATGATCATAGACATGATACTACACTTGTAGACAGGTGCGATCTGTGACGGCAGCTTGGCATAGTAACAGCCCGTGACACAAGGTTTTGCCACGGATTTTTTACTCTTTTTTTCGCTATGGACCTGTCTTAGACCTGTCACATTGAGGGAACAATCCTCAAATTACCGTATTTCCGCGCATATAAAGCCATGGCGTTATATCCGAATACAAGGCCACCCTCACTTATAAAGCCATGGCGTTATAAATGAACAAAATTCAATGTGGAGGAAGTTGCATCTGGCGTTAAAGGTGAGTTCAATTCTTTCAGTGAACCTACAGTAGCGGTGATCCTCTCTGCATGTACCCATCCCCACTGTCACATGCCATACGGCCACCGCACCTTCACACAAGTTTGCATGCCACCTTGTACACAATAGGTTCACAATTTGTAGTTTTCAGGGAAAATTGAAAGTACGTGGATGCTCAACATGAACGTGCAACGGCCCTGTACGAGTACTCGAAGTTCATAGTCGATTTTTTGGAATGTACGCATCTCTCACTTTTAGCGCCATGGCGTTAAAACCGAGGCTATTTTCTCCAAAACTTTGGTCCAAAACAGCGATGTTTCACCTATAACGCCATGGCTTTATATGCACGGTAATACGGTATAAACCGGGAATAATTTTTTCTGCTTTTCATCACGGCCACACTGCATACGCACAATGAAAATAATCTCACCCACGCGAGCAATTTTTTTGTCACCATTCGCTTCTGGCTGTCTTCAACCCCGCTCCTGGGCCAGAGCTACATCAGTACAGCCTCTAGAGTATCGCTCCACTTCAGAACGCAATAAAAAACGAGGAAACTCAAAGAAATCCAGTGGAAGCCGCGGATGATTATAATCTTCGGCGGAAAAGCGAGGTCTCGAGCTGATTTTCATCGAGTGGATTAAATCTCTCAAATCTCCCGCTCAGCGGCAACTATCCATGGTAACCACGAATTATTTTCAAATTTTCCCTCAGTGTGACCGGCCCCTTAGGGCCTGGTCAGACTGCGGCAAAATCGAAAGAATCCTGGGATTATAATCCGAATCTTCTTAGTAACTTGCCGCCAGAGCGGCAAAAGCGAGAGTTGACGCTCCAAAAAAAAAAGCAAGAACGGACCACGCTTTTCCGCTCCAAACAGGAGTTTGACGCTGATACGCCATTTACGCTGATATTAACTGATTTTTTCATCTCGATATCGAGGAGCTAATTGGCCACGGACAACAACAAAACTCATAAGGATGGTTGCAAGGATTGCACTGAAGGTGTTGGCGATCCCCAAGGTGAAGGAATTTGACGTCGTTCGTGGAGATTACCACTTGACGCTCGAAATGAAGTTTGAATTTTCATTCTCCCCCACATGTGTAGTGTGATCGCGAGTCTACAGTCCATTTCAAAACTATAGACGCGTGAACTCATACGTACGAGCCGTACGTACTGTAGCGCACGACAGCCGTGAGTTTTGCATGAGTGTTTTCTGGTTTTCAGATGTGTTTTTCAGGTTTTTCTTCATCGCCGTGGGAAATACAAAAGATGCAAAACACGCAAAGTCGCAAATGAAAAGGTGTGAGGAAAGTCTCAAATGAATCTTCTTCTTGTTTGCATTTTCTGAGTGCCTGACTGTAATGGCTTCCAAGGCCCGTAAGAATCTCAGTGATGCCGAGAAAGATATGATTAGTCGTGTTCATTGTTTCTTCGAACAAGAGCTGGATTTTGATTGACGCTTGAGTATCCGAAATCCTCGTCGTCGAACTCACCTTGCAACTGGCATGAGTGAAACCACTGTCACTCGTTGTGTCAGGCGAAGGGAACAGGGAGGCTCAAATCAAATCAAAAAGAGAAAATATAATTATCATCTCTACTGTATTTCACCCAACAAGATCCAAAACATGCAGAAAAGAAGAGAAAAAAAGGCAGGAGGCGTGATGGGATTCGAATGCCCCACACTTGTACTGGAAATCACGGATCGAAACCACGAGGCTACCAGGACCCGTACAAAAATGCACCCGCGATGGTCTGGGCGCAGCACTGTCTCAGCAGGAGCAAAAATCCGAAACAAACCCTTCAAAGCAGAAATTACATGTAAAACTGGAAAACCTGGCCTAAAAATAAACTTCAATTGTAGCTAAAACAAAGTATATAGCCAGAATTGTGAAGCGATGCAGAGACGGAATCTGGAGAAAAACTAAAAATATTTAAATAAATCCCATCGAATTTTGCAAAACACTACGCGTCTATAGTTTTGAAATGGACTGTAATTCTGGACGCTGTTCTTTTTTCGTCAGGCAACCAAAATTTGCCGCAGTCTGACCAGGCCCTTACGTGCGTAGACTGCAAATTATGCTGTGACCACCTGCTTCTGTTACTAGTTACACACTCCGGTTTATGCACTGCTGTGTTACTAGAGAGGTTCTGCTACACGGAACTACGTACCAAACTCCGTGTCAACTGCAGTGAAGTTTGACACGGAATTTTCGTACGTTGCACCGGTTCTGCTGTACGTAGCATGCTCGAAGCATGCACGAACACCCCGCCACATGTACTCTGTACGCTCACTTTTCACACGGAGTCCAGTCCGTGTGAAGCGCGCTTCACACGGAAAACGGTATGAAAAAATCCGTAACAAACTAAATCCCGTACCGCGGCGAAGTTTCCATACATACTTTGGCACGTTTTACCGTGTGGCAGAACCTCACTATTGTTTAAAAAATAATGCATATTGTACGTGGTTGATGAACTGCACCACCAGAAGTATATGCAGCTTACCTCTCTTGTTTCCTCTGGAGTAATTATACCATCATCTAGTAGTCGGGCTGAGCAATGAATCGCTGAAGCTTTATCTCCACACCTGCATCATCATACAATACCATTGTGCATGTCTTCAGCAACAAATTCTCCTATTCTACTAATAGCAATACAGCGTAGCAACAAATGCGGTAACAAAGTGGGGTCCAGGTATCTTGTTCGTTTGTTTTAAGGATTTCAAATTCAGACCGAGGCCATGTAACTGCAGTGCACTCACAGACTAAAATGTGTCGCTCGTAAATTCATGATTGACATCAGATCTATGTATCTTTTTACTCAGTCTAACCTTGAGAATAGCTCTGCCTGCTGGCATGGGGAGCGGATTTCCCCTTCATCTGTAGTTGTGTACTGTGTGTGTATGTGTGTGCGAGTTGTCGTAAGATGAGGAAACAAACACAATGCCAATAATATCAGCATTGAAAGAAAGCAATACTACAAGTAGTATCCGGGTCACGCAGTTGAAGAACGCAATAGACATCTGCAAGCAACTACTAATACCAAGAGTACATAAACCAGAGTGTGCAACTCGGGATGGTTCCGGTGGGAGCGTAATTCGTGCAGTACGTCCTTTCTGACGGCATGGTAAGCCACAGGTACGGTGAAAAGTTGCGTAACCAGTCACGGCGGTGCAGGTCACTGAGTTTGACTGTCCTGATTTCAGTTTTTCGATACGGATAGCCTGGTGAATTTACTTGTCGGTGGATGTACACAGTCCCATAAAAACACCGAAATCCTGAAACATGACGTCTAAAATCAAGCAAACTTTGCTGATTTCCGGGCTATGTAACACGTAAATTTGAGCTGTACACAAGTCGCGGCTTGGCTGACCTCATCAGGGTGACGTAGTGCACGAACTGCGCTGTTTCAGATCTGATATGCACAGTTGCACACTCTGGTTTATGTACTCTTGCTAATACCGTAAAGTACCGTTGATCCGCCCCCCCCCCCCCCCCCCCCCACGCCAAGTCGCTTCCCAGCTTGTTTTTCATTGGGGGGGGGGGGAAATTCGATCAAGGCTGTTTGGTGCAGTGTCGTTGTACGACAATGCGGTGTTGTATCTTTCAGACGCAAACAGGTGAGAAAGGTCAAACTCGACGTACACATTCACACAGACTCTCACCCGAATGTTTGTTTGCGCACTAGAAAGTAGTACGAGGTTGGCTGTATGCATATGGACATGAGTACAGAAAGACGCATAATTTCTCTACCGTATAATTCTGAAGTCGCTTCAGAGACAGAAAATCGAGGGGGGGGGGCGGGAATTAGAGTGGGGGCGGATCAACGGTACTTTACGGTACCGGTCGTACCAGAGCAACACTGTCACATGCGAGATAGCAACATGTAAAGGGAAATAATTGAAGACATGCAACCTGTGTCGAACATGAACAAGGCGAATATTAACAGAGACCACTTACGCCTCCTTCAGCGTCCATTGCAGCTATGCGCGCTGACGGCCAGGAAAAGACAAAGTCAGCATCCAAGCCGGGCCCACACTAGATTGAGAACATGTGTACATTTGGACAGAAAAGAGTCTGAACAAATCAACAATGAGAGAGAGAGAGAGGGCAGAAATTGACAATGAGAGAGAGAGAGAGAGAGAGAGAGAGAGAGAGAGGATCAAGCGGATTCTCAATTTGAGTGGCAGCTGTTCATATGGCTACTCTTACCATGGCTGATCCGACCATTCCACAACTGTCACCAATGATGACACAGATCTTCGCAACCTGCAGCAACAAAGGCAAAAGCGGTTCAAATAGAAACTACTTCGAAGTACTAAAGTGGAGCACGTGAACATGTCATATTTTCTCACTGCAGGATCACTGATTCCAGCATGAAAAATTCAGTTGCTCGCATGTCCCGAATGGGAGCTGCCTTCGCATCAAAGTCGTGATGCGACATACTTCTGGTGTCAGCGCACACAAAAGAGACAGCCATCATAGCAGCACACTGGCAGTGTGCGTACAGTGCACATTTGTTGCCTAACCTCAATACAGTAGAGTCGCGCGCCCAAGAATGTTGTTTCCAAGGGGTTAGCCTGGGACGTTCTTATTTTTTCAGCAATCTGGCTGCGTTCTTGTAGCACGTTCTTAGAAACAGTGCGTACTGGATCATATGTATCCCACAAGCTGCCAGAAAATCAACACCGCCGTTCTTAGCTTTAGGCTGTGGCGTTCTTAGTACTTCAGGCTGGACGTTCTTGGGCTCCACGTTCTTCATCGCTCGACTCTACTGTAGGAGAAGGTAACTGCACGTTTCCAAAGGTCCTTTGACTCAACTGAAACTATTTATTAGTGCCCAGTGCATTTGAAAGCTGTCAGGAAAGTCTTCTGTGTTCTCCGGAGCAAGGTTCATCCCTCTTGTGTGCTACAAACAAAGTGTGGACTTCGAGCGGGCTTGACCCATTCGTTAGATTTTGTGATAATAAAGCAGCCACAAGGAAGTACACGGGCAGCCTGAGCAGCAACAGCATCTCACCTTTGCGCAGGACACAATTGAGACAAGCTTGGCTATGGCACGCATCCAATCTCTGTCAGTGTCGTGCGATGCTGAGCCAACCGCCTGTTCCGTGTGCTGCAGGAATACCATTGGAATGCCACGCGTCGAGCAAATCTGTGCAAAATGTGCACCCTGCAGCAAAATGGAACAGATAAGAGAATATTCAAATTCAAGAATAAATCCTACAGGGACTCGGTTTGAACTCGCGGTTATGTGGTGACTGGCCACCACTTAGGGGCCTTCCGTAAATACCGATATTTAGAAACGAAAACTAGTCGTTTCTCTTCAACCCTCCCCCCCCCCCCCCCTCCCTGAGAAACGAACACATACAAATGGTACATAGTATCGATATTTTTGGTCTTTTTTCTGGACATGCTCATGCATGCAAAATGTACATCGATATTTTTCGAGAAACGAACAGGCGCTCAACCCCCCCCCCCCCCTTAACGACTAGTTTTCGTTTCTAAATAAATATCTATACAGTCAACTTCGCTAATAACGACTGCGGATATAACGACCATTCGCGAATAACGACAGGCTTTCCATGCCCAGAGCAAAGTCCAGTCTACCTGTATACATATGATGAAACTTCGGGAATAAGGACACTTTTCTGATGCCCGGCCGAGTGTCGTTATACGCAAAGTTGACTGTATTTATGGATGACCCCTTTAACAATAATACACACTGTACTTGGCCTGTTTTGATAGACTTTTTTTCGTGTTGTATGAGAGATACTTGATAGGGTAGTCAGCCACACGCTGGCATTATGCAGTGTTCATGTAATCTGCAGTGTGCTACCGAATACTAGTACCGTAAAATCCCGCCAGAGCGCCGCGTCTCTCCCATCTGCCCCTCCCCGACTTCTTGTCAGGGAAGTGATTGATTGTATCCTCGTATGACTCTGTGATGCCGTACTGTACTGCAGACGCGTGCTTGACCCCGTTGGAAATGTACGCAACAGTGCCCACCCTCTTGACCAGGGATCGCTGCACAAACCCTGAGTGTTTTGACTGGTCTGTACGACTCCTGGCTCTTGCCTTTTGGTCGGTGTACGAGATCCACGAACAGTTTTCGTAGGGTGAGTACTTTTTCATGTAGTACTGAATGCGGCAAGTAGGACTCGTCCATCCGCCACTCCCCAACGAAGTGTCGAGGAGGTAGGGGCGCACTGGCGGGATTTTACGGTACATGTACATGTATGAAGCTTTCAGCTTGAGACTACCTCCATCGAGCATTTTCCACGCACTTGGTCGCTACACATGAAGAAAGTATAAGCCACGCTCGCGCAGGGACAATCAGCAGCACTGAGCTCCCTCTACTAAACAGGGAATCCACTGACGGCGTTCTATGCACTCACCTTCAACGCTGCATCAGATGACATCGGGCCATTGTTAGCAAGAACTCCAACCAGCCGCCTGCAGACCAAGGGAGGACCAGAACAATGGGCTTTTTTTTCTCTACAACACCAATCAAACTTTCAGACCCTACACAACCATGCACTAGTGGTGGGCAGCTTCCTTCATGCAGGTGGGCAGGTGGGCAGGTACTGAGTATACTGTTAGAGTTGAAAGTGTGATGAGTCTAACTACAGTTTAATGCTCTGCACATTTTCCCCTCTTAGCTGGCACAAAGTTTAACGACCCTGCCATAACACTCCTGTCTTATATTTCTCTAGTACATGTACAGAGGAGAGAAGGAACAGCACACTAGTAGCGTTTCTTGAGGTAACGATTTTTTTCCTCGTTAAAACGTTCAACTTTGTGCTCTGTTGGAGATTCAACTCGTACAGTACTTGAAGTATGCAGTATCCCACATACCCAGCGATATGGCCGAATCCAGTGATCAACGTTGGTCCATACAATGCTTTGAACTTGCGTAGTCGACTTCCATCCAACACTCCAGCAAGGATCTAACCAATGCCAACACCAAATCCAGCAAGGAGAAGGCAGACTGAGACACGCATGCATACTCCAGACCCATTCTTACATGCACTCCGTATTGGCCAGCATGAACATGCTTGCCACTGCCAGTACTAGAAAGATGGGAAGACTACAATGCGCCGTCATAATATAATAGTAGAAAAATGGTGGTAAAACACACCTGAAGCCTGGCGAAGTGGCGGTAAAAACACGCCTGCTCACACAACAAAGAGAAGAAGCACTCTTTGCCAGAACTTTGCGGCTTAGAGAGCGTTGTGCAGGCAGGCGTGTTTTTACCAGCATTACTCTTCTATGGACAGGCTTGCAAGGAATATCCTTGCTGCAGCCCGCGGGCGCTCGGGAGCATAGTTCTAGGATTTCTAACCTGGGACATATTGACTGGACCGCCTTCCACAGGCATGTACGATGATAGTGAAGCTGCCGGCGCACATGGTTCAGAACCTATGCACACGCGCAAGTAACAGTTACACAGCAAGAAACCGTAGTCATATAGACAACAAATGTCCACATCACACGCCAACCTCAATGTGTTACGGTTCGGAAAGTTGGGTCCACAGACTCCACACAGATAAAGAAAATTTGCTACAGCAATAAACCCATTAACTTGCTATCCAAATTCGGAACCTGCAACAAAGCGGACTGAAACCCCAGTCGCCTCCCACCACTTTAGGGCCTACATCATACATCTACACATTGGTCTTTGACGGTGGCGGCATTCCTTCTGATTGACTCTCACGCAAATTATACTTGTACTAGTGCAAGGATAGTACCTGAACCAGCTTGTGGATGTGGACTTGGAAGGCAGTTAAATGCCACTACGGACTGGCGTGCGATACTGTAAGCCTCTTCTTCCGTTTCAACATAGTGATCAGTTCCACCGCTCAGCCTTAACACAACACAATAGAGAAACCACATGTTCTGAAAGCAGCTCTTGCAACCAGGCTTGTCTTCTCTCAGCTTCACTAAAAGCTAAAAGTATACTACGATCATGCCTCTTATAAGCATCATTTCGAAACTGTTGCAGTTGTTAAAAGAGTTTGGGAATAGATAAAAGTACCGCTTTCCAAACCATGAACCAGATGCCGAACAAAATATACGAAAACTCATTTCAAATGCGATCCAACGTTTGTGTGGTTCGTGGTATGTTAAGCGGTACATTTATCTATTCCCGGACTCTTTTAATTTTCAACTGCAACAGTTTTGAAATGATTATTTTATTTTCAGGTTGCTGTTGCTGTTGCTGTTGCTGTAGTCCAAGCAGAAGAAGTGGTGCATCCATGGCGTAGAAAAGAAGAGGAAGAACAGGCTACGGAAGACGGTGACTTGACATTTAAAAAAGCAACCGTAGTTGAATGGACAGTGACTTTAAAAAGTAGCTGTAGTTGACCAGGCACACAGCGATTACACCCTGTAGGCCTTTCTCACTAACCTGGTCCTTGGCTGTCCGCAGTTATCCTCTGAAGATGACTCAAAATCATCCCGAGAGGATTGTACGAAAGGTGGTTATGCACAGAGCTACTGCATTTCCATGAATAGAAGTCGTACTTTGAAAACAAAAAATCCAAAGCAGAAGGGACTTCGACATACAATCAAGTCTGACTTATTAGTGACGGGAGTTATCGCATGTACTCCAATGAAAATATGCAACAAAGACCTGAAAACGGGGGGACTTCTAATAGGATATGAGTCATACGACCTATAACCAGGGAAATACACTACTGATGACACTCGTGAACAAGGTCATACTGTACCTGCAATGGACGTCTGCACCGCCAAGTTCTTCAGTGCCCACTATCTCTCCAGTTGCTGCCTGTGACGGTAGAAGGGCACGCACGCACAAAGAAATGGGTGATGTCGCCAAGGACGGTGGGTACAGGTAACGGCAACACCTGTCCTACTCTACTACAGTAAAACCTGTCAATGTGACCACTCGGATAAGGCGACCACCTGCCCCAAAACTTGGCCAAAAGACCACTGCAACGAGGACTAATGGCTGCTGTTTCCAATCAAACGACCCTGGATAAGGAGACCACCTGGTAACAGAGATCACATGAAGGTCCCTTGAGCGGGGGTCTTAGACAGTGCTTACTGTACGTGCAGAATCTGCTGTGCCATTACTGCCGTATAGTACTGGTGCTAGTAGTCTTAACTCTGCAAACATGAGTCACATGACCAACATCTGCTGGCAGTAAGTACAGTGGGTACTCTGCTGGCCTGTATACTTAGGCTTACTGCACAGTCGCGTACTATTCTTGAAGTAGCTCTATCAGTTGCAGTGTGCATGTACACAACTAGAGCTACAGCTAGCTACAAGCAAAAACAAATCTTGCACACCGGCACTCGATTCTGGCTTCACACAAGCCACTGAATAATTCAGAATTGCGATCCCTAGGCCACATGGCCCAAACATGCACAAGCTGAATGAAGGTCGAGAGTTCTTAGGGATTAACATGCCCCCTGTGCCCCTCACAGGCTACGTTCCGGCTAAACTAAGCAAAGGAATGCCAAACTAAACAGCATAAAAGAATCGAAGCCAGGTGAAAAAGTCCTTCCATATGGTCAGCAAAGTAGTAGGCAGACAATACAGTGAATACACCACCGCTTACCTTTAGCAGGGGTGGTCCAGCAAGAAACACTGCACCAATGCCTTTGATAATGATCGCCTCATCAGCCATGCTCGGGATATATGCAGCACCTGCCGTACAGTGCCCGCAGACGACTACCAACTGAGGTAAAATATAAAGTAAAAAGAGCAGACAAGAAGCACATTTAAAATACAGCACCTTTAGGCAGCAGCATTCTAAGTACTTGTAATATTTCAATACTCCCAACGAACCTCTTGTTGCTGTTGTGGGAAGTGCATGTGGTCGGCCACAGAGCGCAACGGTGATGGTAGTGAAGTCAACACAGCACCCGTACCGTATTATCACAATAATTCCATATTGCTCAATACAGATGGCTGTTCAGTCCACAGCAGTGAGAAAAGGCTAGACATACCAATAATCGTCACACAATGTACCAAACATACCTGGGGAATTCCCTTCGAGGATAGCAATGCCTGGTTGTAAAACGTAGCACCGCCAGGTACAAAGATCTGACTCTGTCACCAAGTGATGAAAACAAACAAAAGGCAACAAAAGCACCACTGAACTTACTTCCTGTACGTGTACAGGAGAACTAAAGCTAAATATCTCCCGCATTTTGACAGATTCGCAAGGCAGTATACAGGAGTCACAGTTCAGAGTCCCATTTTTTGGTCAACGATCACCACATTATCCTATGCCGGTCGTGGTGCATTCGTTGGGCGTCATCCCATACCGGATGAGGTGGCCTTGACCCAAGCAGAGCCACGGTAAGCATAGGCGATGGTTCGACGGTAAACGTGTCCAATGAGATTCAGCATGTGAATGTGCAGCTGCACATGCATTCTTAGTAGATGCTGTTTGATGTACTGCTCATTGCAGTGGTACCGTAAAATTCTGTTAATAAGCCCCGGGCGTATACTTTGCAGAGCGTCAAAAACCGGGCGTTTTTTTGGGCATGGGCTTATTTTAGGGCATGGGCGTTATTTCGGACGCAATCTGCAGAAGATCAATCTATCAGCAACCCACTAGTTTCAGTGAACCACCATTCACACTGAGCGCGGTACAGGTACATCAAACCAGAGCTGGAAATTTGGTCGTAACCAAGAATGTAGCGATAAATTACAGATTTGATAGGTAAACCACTTGTCCACTTTACGCCCTAGGCTTATTTCGGGCATGGGCGCTAAAACGAACTTGAAGTGTACACCGCCTAAAACTGGGCTTATTATCGGACATGGCGTTATTTAGGGTGGGCTTATTTACGGAATTTTACGGTAGTTGTGCATGCACCTGAATTCTGTGTGTGTGTACATGCCCATGGGAACATAAGTGCACATAGGCACCGGCATCCACAATTTCAACAATGCCCTGGCAAAGGGTAGGGTCTAGTGACTGCGGCACAGGCCAGAGAAGCAACTGAGATGCTGTTCTTGCTACATGTCAGCCCCAGCCCTCCCCCTCCCCCCCCCCCCTCCCTCCCGGATAGCACGTACAGCTTGCACATGCACACACACACACACTCTAATACCTGTAACGGCAGGAAGGCGCCGGCAGAGTCAGTCAGATAGACGATTGGTATCCTGTTCTTCAGAGCTATCTGCTGCACTCGCAACTGCTTTTGCAAGCTGATTGGGTAGACGGAACCGCCTTTCACGGTCGCCTCGGTTACAGACAGCAAGCACAGCGTCCCAGAGACACGGCCGATAACGGAGATTGACCCGCCACAAGGCACACTGCCATACTCTAACTCGTGACCGGCCGTGATGGACAGTTCGAGGAACGGCGAGTCTGGATCGAGCAGCATACGCAAGCGTTCTCTTGGTAGCACTTTCTTGTTGATTTCGGTGTGTCGGTGTATTGCTGTTGCTCCACCACCGGCAAACGCTACGCTCCGTGCACTGTGCAGGCTATCCAGCAGTGTTTGCTGTTGGCTTGACAACGGTGGGGGTGTGTCCAGGGCTGAGGAGATTCGAGGAAATGTAGATGCAAAACGTATCCCATCTCGGCTGCGCCTGGGGAAGCGTAAGCAACGACCAGCACATTGAACACACGGAACGGGCGATTTCCTGGCTGCAGAGAACATGGCTGTGGGTACGGGCGGTGAAAATGACAGTTATTTGAGATGTTGTGATTTTAGACTGTCCTCCAGAGCAGTCACACAGGTGTAAAGGCCTTTGAAACACAGTTTTGGAAAACGTGATACACCAGCAGTCTCAAAGTGACCCTCTCCAATCACAAGAGGATTGTAAATACATGTACATAGTTGCACTCCCCGTGCAGATTAGAAGGTCAAAATAGACCGAAAGGATCTTGTAAAGCAGTCTTCAAATAAAATTTAATTTATCGACGCTCCAAAAAATGCTTGTACGACTGTACGAGTTTTTGCTTTACGCACGAGGGTAGCTCGCGTGTGCACGGCCGCCTTGGCTTCTCCAAACTGGTTTGAAAACCGGTGGCCGTGGATAGTCGAGTCTTGCAAGCTTGGTGTCACACAAGTCATCACGCGTGTAGCTGCTGCTGCTTCGAGGCTTCTACTGTCTGTACACAGCGATAAGATCGCGTGCAGTTCTGGAAGATTCTCCCTTCGGCGTCGAGTTGACTTGGAGTTTGATCCAGTATTTAGCATACTATTACTAGTAGTACTTGTCGATCGATGATATGAAGAGCCAATCGCGATTCACAAGTACTATTACAGTATTAGTTTGTAAAAAGTATAAAAGGTAGCACCACAGCTCAGTGCGATCCATTGGACCATCGTGGAGCTAGCAGTATTTCTTTAGTTGTCAACACAACACTCAGTTTTATCATACTGTAAGCATGGCCGCCTCTACGCCGCTCAAGGTTGTTGTGTTTCTCGGCACCGTCAAGGAGAATCGCCTCGGCCTCCGTGTGGCCCGGTTCGTCATGGCTCAGCTGGAGAAAACGGGTCACGATGCTACCCTTTTCGGTGAGGCCGCATTCACTGCTGCTGCGTGCACGACGTGATGATTATGCTGCTGCTAGCTTCCGCTCCGGCATGCAGGAAACTCTGATTGTCATTCATTATTTCAAGTGAGGGAAAGGGGTAAACCCGGGCCGGGGCAGGGTACGTGACAGGTGCGCTAGCCTATACTATAGTACCGTAAAGTACCGTTGATCCGCCCCCACTCTAATTCCCGCCCCCCCCCCCTCGATTTTCTGTCTCTGAAGCGACTTCAGAATTATACGGTAGAGAAATTATGCGTCTTTCTGTACTCATGTCCATACGCATACAGCCAACCTCGTACTACTTTCTAGTGCGCAAACAAACATTCGGGTGAGAGTCTGTGTGAATGTGTACGTCGAGTTTGACCTTTCTCACCTGTTTGCGTCTGAAAGATACAACACCGCATTGTCGTACAACGACACTGCACCAAACAGCCTTGATCGAATCCCCCCCCATGAAAAACAAGCTGGGAAGCGACGTGGGGGGGGGGGGGGGGGGATCAACGGTACTTTACGGTATAACTATAAGTAATCACATTGTCAAATAGAGAATGTTCATGTATGAGTAATGCACGTGGCTACCTTTTGATCAGAAATGTATTGTTGCACCACCATGCGCAACCCATCTCCAGGTACTACAGTACTGTCGGGCGCCGAAGAACGGCCGGGCTAGAATTTTACCAATTTTTAAGAATGCGGTGTAGGCTGGATTTTTGCAGAAAAAGAACGGAAACTGTAATGTCTAATCTGTACAATCATGCAGTGGTCCTCTGAGGCAGATGGTTGCCTTATCAGAGTGGTCGCCTTGACAGGCTTTACTATACTTTGAGATTTGCTGGGCCAGACAGTAGTTAGTAGATGGATTCCACCGGCAATGCTGGTCCCGGGCCGAGTCCGGCTGCTCTGCTCTGCACCTCTTGCCCTGTGCGTCTTTTCTCAGATCCGGCCGACAAGAAGCTGCCGCTGCTGGAGAAGGCCGCGTTCTTCTACCGCGAAGGCGAGGAGAAGCCGGCCGTTCTCGCCGAGATGGAGCAGCAGGTGCGCGCCGCCGACGCCTACATAGTGGTGTCGGGCGAGTACAATCACAGCATACCGCCGGCGCTGGCCAACATGATGGACTACTTTGGCGGCAGCTGCTACGCGTACAAGCCCAGCGGTATTGTGTGCTACTCGCCGGGCATCTACGGCGGCATGCGCGCCGCCATGCAGCTGCGGTGCTTCCTGGGCGAGCTCGGCTGCCTGAGCGTGTCCAACATCTTCGGCATACCGCGCGTGCACCAGGCGCTGGGCGAGGACGGGTCGCCGATCGACAGCCACATGGAATCCGGCGCCGAGAAGCTCATCAAGGACCTAGACTGGCACGCGCACGCCATGCGCAATCACCGACAGACCGCCGGCAAGCCCACCTAATCAGTCAAGTTCTATATCTCAGCCGATTGCTGTGCAGTACAGCAGTAGGAAGGGACCAGACAGTTTTACATACCGGTATATCACACTCCAGAAACCATAGCAACCAATAGCTGCATAATAATTATTATGTTAGGCAAGCTGAGTTCACATCCGTACCATGCTCTGTGCAGACTAGGGTAAGACTTTCAGTATGTGGGTAACTACGGGAGTTTGTTTCTGGGAGAGGCCGGTAATAAGCGGGCACGCCAGACGTGTGCGGCGGAATGTGATAGTTTATAACATTGCCGCATGGCACTGCTTCGCTATGTTGATGTTTGCTATTCCTTCAAAATTTGAACTTAGACTTCCTTTGGGTGGTAGCAGATCACATTTTACAGGCAGTTGTGCTGTTGAACCTCATGAGTCATAATCAACCAAGACGGTGCATTGTGAACTTGTGATGGACAACTATAGTCACGTACACACATAAGCTGGCTTTGGCTCCGATATATAAATTAGCCCGTAACTCAAGTGGTCCTGGATCTACATGGCCACATCTCCGCTTTTACTGGGGGGGGGGGGGGGGGGATAGATTCTCCCCCGTCAAGTACTACACTTGTATTCAAGTATAGTATCCCATCCAGTGGCCGTAGCACCTGAAATCCGAAATCCCGGTGCTTTGACCCTGATCCCGGGCCCGGGGAGGGGGTAGGGCACGCGTTGCAGGCTGGAAGCGCGGGTAGAGCGAAACTGAGCACCCTACCTGGGATGCAGGGAGTCGTCAAATACACTGTACAGTGTATTTGACGACTCCCTGCTGGGATGCGAACAGTTTTTTAGTACTCCCGGGTCCAAAATCTCACCACGCACCAGGCCGGGCTGATCAAAACGTCTGCCGGGTCTGCAGCCTACATAACAAACGAGGCATCTACAAACGTGGATCTGCCGACACTTTGCTGTCGACGACATGTCCGGCAAGGCACCGGTGCACCACCTTGCATGAAAGCAAGGAACGCATTTTTTTTAGAAAGGACCCAAAATTTAAAAATTTGAAAATCCTTCTGAAAATATCATCGGGTTCTTGACCTCGAAGCTGACTGCTGAATGCGATTAGGAAAGAAGATTCCTGAAGATACACCAGACTGATTCTGTCAAGCCATCTGTCGTCTAGATATGCAGTTGTTCGTCATGGTCAGCAATCTTCTTCGTTCGTCCTTTCGTTTTCCTGACCACGATGATGACAAGCAGCTCTCATGCTCAGGTTAGTGCTGTACTTGTATGTCTGAGCACACAACACATCTGAGATTCACCCACTGACGTTATCGAACTGAAGAATGCAGCAAGGGTTCCTCGGATTCTCTTGACTTCGGAACAAATGTCCTTCACTTTCACGTACCCTCTCAGTCTCTTCCCCATGCCCTCCATGCATGCACAATGGAGCTTGCATTTCAAATGCTGTTTTTATACTATGGCAGTGCCTCTGCTACACTTTCATAGAGTGAGGTCCTGTAAATAGGATCCAACATTGTTGTTGGTGTGTGTGTGGTTGGTTGGGGGAGGCGGGGGGGGGGGGGGGGGGGGGGGGGGGACGTTTGCAGCCAGGATGTAGGAATTACACTTCTGCACAGCAGGTGGCAATAGTCAGAACTGGTCACTCTACAAATCCCATACCTGCCAACCTTTGCAAACCTGAGATCGAATGACATACCTAGGCATGAAAATGTATACAAATGGTGGAAGATGCCGCTCTGCCATTTGCCTCCATGTCTCCTTGGTTTTGCGGATCCGAACAGGGTATGTTGACTGTAACACGGCACTAGCTGGCGTAGGAGCCTTATGACACTTTCGCGATGTTAGCTATACAGGCAGCCTGGCGCTCGACTTTCAGCTGGATAGACAGGAAGTAGCAACGGGCGTGTATCACACAAAGGTCTAATCTCTCCAAACCAGTAGCCTATGGCTTGTCCTCGTATGCGAATACTGCCGCTTCTCCTTCATCCACCTCCTCATAGCGTCGGTCGTACTTTTCCGCCAACGCGCGAAACAGCGCCCGATAAGCCTCGGGCTCACTCTTCCGCACAAATACGTCCCGCATTGCCGGCGAGTGTATTCTCTCCGAGAGTTGTCCGTAGAGGAGACCACGACCTTCCATCTCCGGGAAGTCCTTTCTAGGCTGTCCATTCAGTGAGAACGTCGGCAACAGTCGTTCACCGCATTCTGGCCAAGAGTGGCGCAAAATTCGGTTGATGACGGTCATCTTCGGATACTCCACCGACAATGTGGACTTTTGGCGGTCTGTTAGTGTTGCGAGCTCCCTGAGAGTCGGAAGCGAATCTTCCAGGAAAGTTTCCAGTAGTACCCGTTGCAGTAAGTTACTTGCCCCAAGTTTTAGGGCAGAAATCTCTCATTTGTACCCGAAATGCATCTCCTTCTGCATCAGCTGCATCTCCATCTTGTACCCGAAATGCATCTCCTTCTGCATCAGCTGCATCTCCACCTCCTTCCCTTGCACGCGGAATACAAACTGGGGTATGTTGTCTGGCGGAACGCCTAGTCCTGCCGCCTCCTTTATTATGGCATTGAAGCTTATGCTTCTAGCCCAGCGAGCCCAGCGTGGGCTCGTCGGTACCCGAGGTGCCAACGCACGAATCGTGGAAAAAATTGTGGACAAGGCCATTCTTTCCAAGTTCTGCTCACATCTGATCGTGGCCAGCTAGAGCTGATGAGCTTTATCATTTTTTGTTTTTTTTTGTTTATGCATGTGACTGCATGTTATGTGGATGTGCACGTGCAAGTCGACACGCGTACGCCATGTTGGATTTCATTGGGCGCATGCGCATGGTGCGCGCTTCATGCTGTGGCCATGGCAACAGCTGATAACAAGTGCTAGCATCTTATGCCATAAGTTATGGCGCGCGCGGCGCATCGGCAAGGACTCGCTCGATTGCACGCCTAGCGCTTTGCCCTGCCGGTTCTTGCGGCCAGTTTGTGGACGTGGATCTCGGTACTGGAAGCAGCTAATGAGCTATATCGTGCAACACCGCGGCGCGACCACAGCTACATTTTACAGAGCGTTGCACCTCACTTGCGCCATGGTTTTTGTGCCCGTGCGCACAGCATGCCTCGCGGGATTCTTTTAACGTTTTTCGCCAGATGGTGCGGTGTTCCAAAAATCCTTTCCTTCACTTTTGGAACATGGATGCATCTTTGAACAAACGACGGGAGTGCCATATAACGTATGCCGAGGGTACGGGAGGCCGCGGCATGGCGCAAGTGAGGTGCAACGCTCTGTACTGTCACGGTCGAAATCATCACCCCTGTGTAGTAGTGGCGGGGTTGTGATTCCTCCGGCCCCGATTGGTGAGGGGCGTGGGCCGCCCTGGGGCCTCCGGCCTTCTGTTTTTGCGTCTGTTTTGTGAGCTGTTACGGGGGGGGGGGGGGTAGTCGAAGTTGACCACTGGGAGTCTTTGCGGGGCGGCTCCTATTGCTATAAGGTTGGTGCATTCCCCCCCCCCCCCCCCTGCTATATTTGCATTCAGTGTGAACTGCTACATGTGCGTAGTACTCGAACGAACATGTAACTACAGTCCATTCAGAAAAAGATGGGCTCTGGCTCAGGCGAGCTCCCGTATTTGGCGATTTTTCGTGATTTCATTGTACACTGTGCAGTGCTGCGAAATTTGAACTTTGAAAAAGAGTCCAAAAAGGGTACCTGAACTGGGGTTCGAACCCCACAGTGCACTGTTGCAGGCAGGGTCAAACGGCCTGGATTTTGATGGTTTTTTCCAATTCAATGCTTCTGGGGCAAAACCTGGCCAATATCCTATTCTTGTTATGGCTTGCTTTTTGGACAAATAGACTTCAGAAACATAATTGGAAGAGGATTCCATAGGGGATTGCAGAAAAAAATTCTAAAAAAACTCAAAGTTTGACCCATTTATGGCCAAAAGCTAGAAGTTCATCTTTTTCTGAATGGACTGTAATACTTGTAGGGGTGAAACGATTTGTTCGAATATTCGAGTATTCGGTCGAAAATTTCAAACGAGCGAGTATTCGAAATTTTGCACTCGATCGGGGGTTTTTTTAGTTTTTTTTTAGTTTTGGCATTCTATTTTTCAAAAACTTTTGTTGTACCGCTCGTCCACTGGTATGCATGTGTTATGCATGCCTTTGAGTCAGTATTTCATGACTTGGACGATGCGATCACCACGGCAAGTAACGTCAGTTAAGGGGGCACATCACCCAAAAATTTCATATGGCATTCAATTGACCGTAACTTTGGTGTTTCTCAGTGGATTTGAGTGAAATGTTGACCACACACTCCTGCCACTATGCTGGCCCTCAGGACATGATTTACAAGTTCTTGCGCCTCACTGACAGGCTTTCCAGGCCGGAAAAACTCAAATTTCCGGCATAGTGCTACGGTGTGCGAGCCACCCAGGAGCCAAACAAATGCATTTACATTTTTTTCACATTTTCGTGCCCATTCTGTCCGTGCGCGGGACCCTAACCTAAAACAAGTCCAGAAGCAGCCATGGGTGGTGGGGTAGGGCCCCTCAACGTGGCCCTGGAATCTGTCACAACGGAACGAGTGGGCGTTCTTTCACGGACTCCCACAGACCCAAGTCAATTTTTGAATTTTTTTAGGTTTAGCACGTGCTACGAGGTCGTACCTTTGATACAACATCCAGTGCTGGGACCTCCACAGCAAGCCATTTCCACAGCGCTGCACACCAAATCCAGGATGCCCTCAGAAACCGGCAAAGACTGCCACTCACGTTTCACTACTGCCTAGTACTGAATCCTACCTGACTTCTTGACACGACTCAAGCTTGCCAAAGTCACTAAATCAACGTCAACTACAGTCGACCTACCCTTATAACGATAACCTCTATAACGATATTACCCTTATAACGATATTTTTCTGCCAAACCAGATCACTCCATTGACTTGTGTATACAATGCCTTACCTCTATAACAATATTGCTATAACGATATTACCCCTATAACGATATAAAATGGGCTGACCAATCGACATTTTCCATTTTATAACAATATCTAGCAGGGAATAGCAGGGAATATGTAGAGCCCACTATCCAGGTAGGGCAAGCTTCACTTGATAAGTCGCTGGGACAGGACGAAATGCAATGGGGCACCAGTGGGCACCTTGCTGTGCACAGAATGTGCATGTATGTCATGTTTTTTATGCTTTGAAGAGTGTAAAAATGAACGAAATCCATGCATTATGACGTATGTGTATGAAATGAACCAGTTACCCCTATAACAATATTACCCTTATAACAATATTTCTTGGTGTGACGCAAATATCGTTATAAGGGTAGGTCGACTGTACAATAATCAAGCCACATATCTGCAACGTCACGAGGGTGCTGGCAAAAGTCCTGCTGCACGGCGGCGGGCTTCGCCCGCCGCCGTGCAGCCCAATACGTGGTTTTTTAACGTGATTTTTTGGACTTTTTTGGACTTGGGGCAAAATTCTGCACACTTTCGCGTGTTTCCATAATACGACAAGTTGCGCACGGTCTGCTCACATTCAAATACAGTGCTGCCAACAAATGACAGCATGCAACAAAAAAATCTTTCCTTGCAAGGGCACATTTTCGGCCATAACTCTTGAACGGCTGGTCAGATAGGGACACAGTTTTCAGAGAATTTGCAGCTATTCATGCTCTTTCAACTGACGTAGCACTCAATATGAATTTACAAATTCGATTTTTCAGCGAATTTTTGGGTGATGTGCCCCCTTAACGTTCTGAGATATGAAATTACTGATGAAAATCGTTACTTTACACTCTGTACAAGACGTTGGCGACTTTTGTTTTATGTTCACAGATAATTTCTTCCTAATTGGTCGAGAACCCACAAATCTAGCCCTTTTGAATTTTGATAAAATACTCGAAATAAAAAAAAATGTTTGTTGTATATTATACGGTGTAATATGCATTTACTTGAAGTAGATGTGGTCAAGTATGCTAACATGTATGTGTACATGGAGCAATTCATGAATATGCATGAATATATTTGGGTATTGCAGGGTTCTAGCCAGGTCAATATACAATGTAGTAGGGGGGCGGGCATGGGAAAAAGTTACCCCATGACCCATTTTTTCCATTGTCCAAAATTGTCTTGCCATGCAAAATGCAACATACAGGGTGAACCCCGACTTCACCCCTCACAAATGTGCCTTTATGAACCCTCTAGTAGTGACTATCGACTGTATTTTCGTTGAGTGGCATGAAAAAACACAAAAATCAGAAAATGAGTAGGGGGGCGGCACTTTTTCACAGGGGGGGGGGGGGCGCAAACGGAGTAGGGGGGCGCTGCGCCCCCTACCCCCCCCCCTTGGCTAGAACCCTGGTATTGTGTACATAAATCAGTGAAATCCAGCCATATATGCACATAAAAAATGATATCAGTAAAGCGGGATTCACAGAAGCTTTTTTGCGATGCGACGCGATCTGCGATGGACGCGTGCGATGCGAACTCGCGAAATACCATTCACAGAAGAAGTCAGCGGTGCGACAAAGTCTTGCTGATTTGGGTACGTCACCATGGTATTCGCGCAGTTTGGTACAACTTGTACAACTTTATAGGCAACTCCTAAACCTTTGTACAACTTTGCTGTAGAAAAGGCCAACATCGTACGCCAAATCGCTTGTCGCATCGCAAAAGTTGAGCCAAGCTCAACTTCCGCGATGGCCCTGTTGCGGCAGTTGCGTGGGGTCCGCGATGGTTGCGATTTGGGGATTTCCCGGTTTCGCGGCTGTCGCATCGCAAAAAAGCTTCTGTGAATCCCGCTTTATCCAACATGCCTGATTCCCGAAGTGGTCGGATAAGTGACATTCGACTGTACATGTAGCTAGCTGTATACATGACATCAAGAGTACATAACCCCGGGGTTATGTACTCTTAGGAATGGGTTTGCTCCCACACTGCAGGGGCGTAGCCAGGATTGTGGCTGAGGGGGGTGCTCACTGGAAGTGTGGGCCTGCGCCCGAAGGGCGCGAAAAATGGGGGGGGGTCCGGGGGCCCTCCCCCGGAAAATTTTTCGATATTGAGTGCCAAATCCTTCATTTTTGCATCTATTTCATTATTTTCCATTCCACCAATGATTCAATAAAAAGTCAGATAATCGTATGAAACGCACAGTACTTTGCTACAGAAGTTGGATGGTAAGAGATTGACAGGGTGTGGTTAGACCCAGAATATAATACAGACAATTGTTGAAATTTTTGAGGGGGGTGCTTGGGCACCCAAAGCACCCCCCCCCCCTGGCTACGCCACTGCACTGGAGCTCGCGCTATTCCGCCGACGACTTGACACTTGACTTGAGTCATCGGCGGAATAGCGCGAGCTCCAGTGTGGGAGCAAACCCATTCCTAAACAAAATCATCGCCGAAGTCGCAACCTCTATTTCGTACTGTTATGTACCCTTCGGGAACGGATACGATAATTTACTTTTATTCCCGCGTTACTTAAGTAACGTCTGGCGCTAGCCAGGGTCCACACAGCTTTAATTCCCGTAGCTATGCAGAAGACGTTACTTCAGTAACGTCTGGCGCTAGCCAGGGTCCACACAGCTTTAATTTGGTGTTTGTTTGTGTGTTTGTTTGTTTGTGTCACGCCTGGAGCTATCCCGTATCTGTCCCGTATCTGTCTCGTATCTGTGACTACAAAGGCTCTACAGGATTGTGCATAACAGCTGTCCACAATATTTGCGGGCTCCTGTATCTGTCCCGTACCGTACCAATATTCGTCGTATTATGTATACGACTCCCTGATGTAGAGGGAGATTTGGAAAGAAATAGGGAGACGAGGAGGAAACGAGAGAGCTTGGAAGCTCAGGGCCCTGAGCTATGCTTTGTTGCCTAGCTCATCGTGCATGTTGTTAGAACTGGTGGAAATGCTTTTTCCTTTGATTAGCTTCATCATTGTATTGCCAAAACGTTTCAATGAGATACTGAAGTAACGTCTTCTGCATAGCTTCGGGACCGGCGCTGACTCTGCCGATCACGGGCGTTCTGCAGTCGATGACGTTTCCTGGGACCGGCGCTGACTCTGCCGATCACGGGCGTTTATCTTCTTATTATTATTATACTGGCGGCAACCAACATCCATTCTGATTGCATTTACACGTCTCCCTACTTCGTATTTCTTTCCAGAAAATCTCCCCATACAGCAGGGAGTCGTTTACATAATATGACTCCCTGCTCTACATCTACATGACTGTATAATTATACGTTATAGTTATTATGCTATCCGCCTACATGCGATTCCCGGGCAGGTCGACAGGCGGCCCAGCCAGCCTGCTAATGGGATCTCGGCCTCGCACACAAATCCACACAAAATGTTACTGCACTGAATGCATTCCCCCGATACACTTCGCATATATACTAATGTCTTATTCTCTTGATGGTACCGTACTCTTGATGGTACGGGACAGGTACGGGATAGCGCCAGGCATGTCAATGGCACAAACACACAAAAAGCTTGTGGCCAGCTGTCTTTGCTGGTACGGTACAGTACGGGACAGATACGGGATAGCGCAAGGCGTGACACAAACAAACAAACAAACAAACAAACAAACAAACAAACACCAAATTAAAGCTGTGTGGACCCTGGCTAGCGCCAGACGTTACTGAAGTAACGTCTTCTGCATAGCTACGGGAATTAAATTAGAATAGACGCCGAATAGGTGATAGGATGCGTCAGCATAAACATACTTTGGAAGAGAGATCCCGTCGGTCCCAGGAAACGTCAGGACAGACATCCCGTCGACTCCAGAACGCCCGTGATGGGCAGAGTCAGCGCCGGTCCCAGGAAACGTCAGGACAGACATCCTGTCAACTCCAGAACGCCCGTGATCGGCAGAGTCAACGCCGGTCCCGTAGCTATGCAGAAGACGTTACTTCAGTAACTCATTGAAACGTTTTTGCAATACAATGATGTAGCTAATCAAAGGAAAAAACATATCCATCAGTTCTAACAACATGCACGATGAGCTGGGCAACAAAGCATAGCGTAGGGCCCTGAGCTTGCAAGCTCTCTCGTTTGGTATTTGTTTGTGTGTTTGTTTGTTTGTTTGTGTCACGCCTGGCGCTATCCCGTATCTGACGGCAAAAAAATCATAGGGATGTTATAAATTTTTCAATTCTCCTATTTTTTTTTCAGGCATATCCTGGGATTCGAACCCGCACTATCGCCCTACATGCATTCCCCCATACACTTCGCATTCATACCCATTCTTCCAAGTTACTTCACGTTATGATCTTGCGTTTGAAAGCCCTATTTGAATATTGCGGGCAGCTGTACATGTATGTGGCCAGCTGTGTTTGATGGTACGGTACGGGAGACGGTGTCGTATTACCCTCGATCGTACCTGTCCCGTACCTATCCCTACCGTACCGTACCATCAAAGACGGCTGGCCACAATGCATATTCAAATAGGGCTTTCAAATGCAAGATCATAATGTGAAGCAACTACTTGGAAGAATTAGTATGTATGCGAAGTGTACCGGGGGATGCATGCAGGGCGCGATAGTGCGGGTTCGAATGCCAGAAAAAAAAGGAATTTTTTAAAGAATTTATAACATACCTATGATTTTTTTGTCTAGGTCATCAAGGCAAAAAAGCATAGCGTAGGGCTAGGGCAGGGAGTCGTCAAATACCAGGGAGTCGTCAAATACCGGTATTTGACGACTCCCTGGGCTAGGGCCCTGAGCTTCCAAGCTCTCTCGTTTACTTTATGTACTCTTGATGACATTATAATTATGATGCTTTGCTTCACGGAAACGTATTTCATTGCGAAGAGCTGCGCTTCGGTCCTCTGAGCTGTGCTGATGAGCTCTAACAGAGCGAAACAATTGCTGTCCACAGATTTGTGTACATATTATGATATATTATGAGTACATAATCCCGGGGTTAGGGTTATGTACTCTGATCTTGATGACATACATGTATAATTTTCAAAACAAAACAAACAAAAACGAGCGACCGTAAAAAAATGTTTGCCCGTAAAAATGTAGAATTTTTTCATTTGATGGGAAAGTTTTTCATTCTTTGTTCAGCATTTCAAATAATTTGGGATTTGTTTCGAAAACTACTTGTGAGTTGTGTGTCTTTGATGACTTTGGTTCATGCCGTGTCTTTGTAAAAGTTGGTACATGTAGCTACAAGTTCTGCCTCTGGTGCAATTCTCCTCATCATTTTCGTACTACACTAGGTAGCTGAATCCATAGGCCAAAAGGCACCTGCTAGTCACTATGAGCAATAGCTCACCTACCAGGACGGTGGCTGAACCCAGCCCTGTGACGAGTGTGGCAGATTCGTCTCCTGCTGCGAATATTACGTCCAATGGTCCTGGGGCAGATAGTATGGAAGTGGACGAGCGATGCCGCGTCGGGAACGAACTGGATGCTGCACGCATCCTGAAGACGGACGGCGATGTTCAGTACTACTGCTACGTGGACGAGAGACAAATGCCGGCGATCATGACATTGATGAGTAAAGATCTCTCAGAACCCTACTCAATCTATACGTATCGCTATTTCATATGCCAATGGCCTCATCTTACATTCCTGGTAGGTTTGTGAAGGCGGAAAATTGCCAATACTGGCTCTGGTTCTCGAAAACAGTGCATGTAATTTTCATTCAATCCACCACACCTGCTAAACAATTTTTTTAATACAATGCTCGAAATGCGCCAGTCTTTGTGACAAGTACCGCCAAGAGTTCATAACCCCCAAGAGTGTGCAACTGGCAATCACATAGCGCTCGGCGAAATTCCTACATTACCTCATGCGCAACTTGTCATCCGAGGTAAATTTCGGTTCCTTGCGATATCTGGAAACTATACCTGGAACCGCTCCTAACTCAAGGCTATAGCCTCAACATTTCGAAGCTTTGTTTGAAGACATTTCAGACGTAAAAGTCGTACTTTCCGGGTTTGACTGCAAATTTTGGAAGAATTCATCGGCATGACTCATCGCACAGCACCAAAAATGACGCAATGAAGGAATTCCGCCGAGCGGGCCTCCATACAGGGGCTGATCAGGAGTTGCACACTCTTGGGGGTTATGAACTCTTGGTACCGCAGTAGCACTTTTGGGCAAGGTTTGTTTTACGATATTGGCATTGCCATGAAATTCGGCGTAACAAGAAAACATAGATTCCCGCCATTGCTAACTTATGTCGCAGGCTCCTCTTTGTGGGCTGAGCACTTTTTGCAAGTCAACGGTCACTCTGCGTTGTGACATTGGCATACATGTACCTGTGTACAGTACTAGCTGTTCGCAGATTGAGTGTACACATACATTAGTACATGTATACGTAGCTGCTAACTTCCATTATGTGTGTTGTGAAAGGCGTAAACGCACACACCCATTCAGTTTGTCGCTTCGTAGTTCGTGCTTTGAAACAAGAAATGGTGGGTTGTGCATGTGCTCCGTGTTCCGCCTGCTTGTGTACTTGGTGCAGGCTGTTTGCAATGGTGTCTACATGGGTGCCATTGTCTGCAAGCTGGACCAGCACCGCTGCGGGATCAACCGTGGCTACATCGCTATGCTGACCGTCGACAAGGCGTATCGGAGACGGCGCGTTGGTGAGTGAGCACCAGGGTTGCCCCTTTTGTGTCCTGCAATGACTGCTCTCATCGTGTACAGTGAAACCTGTCTTAAGGCGACCGTTTAAGGGACCTTGCAAATATGCTCCCGTGTACAGGTGGTCTCCTTATCCAGGGTCATTTGACTGGTAATAGCATCCATTGATTCTGGTTGTAGTGGTTCTCTATGACAGGTCTTATCAGAGTGGTCGCCTTGACAGGTTTTGCTGTATCTATGCACATGCTTGAGTTCACCGCCTTCCTGTGCATAAGATTTTAAGAAGGTCTTTGTTCACATGAACCACTGGAAGTGGTCCAGTTTTCCATTGTCTGCCACGAGTAGATTTCAGGTTCTGGTCGTGTAGAGTTACCCTTATCACCGCTCATGCTAGTTACTTAGTAGGGACCCATGAAGTTGAGCTCATTTACCTGTGGGTTGTAGCAGCTGCAAATAGACTTCACGCGTACCTCAGTTATTCGGACACCGAAGTTACAGGCACTCCAGTCTACCATGCACACTTTGGGCGAGTTTTAAATGTTAGGGACAGTGCCTGGTCCCGGACTGCCCGGAGGGATAGCCGAGGCATGATGGGTATTTGTGTACATAAATTGAATTCCCAAAGTGGACAATGGTCAAACCTTCGGTGTTACGGCGCGTGATTCGTTTTACTATGATATATTTGCAATCAAGGCCTGTGGTCAGGAGCTGACCAGTGCGTACATGGACACCTACATACTAGTTGTAATTTTATTTTCATTGCTATCAGGTTCGGCCTCATTTTCTCTGTGCTGCGCTGATGAGTTCACAAAGAACGAAACAGCATGCTGTCCTCAGATTGAGTACTAGCTGTATGATATGTTGTTTTGATCTCGCAGGCACAACGCTAGTTCACCTCGCACTGGACACAATGATGGAAGGTCAATGTGATGAGGTGAGCCAATGAACATGCACAGTTGCACTAGTGCACATGCATACGCATACGCACGCAGAGGTCTATGCCATGTAGTGTGTCCTGTATGTTGCTAGTCATTACTGATCCTGGCACTGTGATTACAGACTAAACTCTGACTCTTCTGTGCCTCTCCCTGGAAGAGGCACCTGGTTTCATGTGAAGCCATGCGAACACTCTTCCAAGATATACCTAATCAGAAAAAAGGCTCTTCGAACTGTAGCTGACATTCTCTACTGTACAGCCCAGGTCATGCTAGCGTAGATAAACTTGAGTATTGCGTTGGCCATTCACAATATGTATGCTATGAAATTATGAATATCATAGTATATTACCGCTACAATCACATCCGTATCAACTGCTGGGAAATACGAGACTGAATAATGGATATTTATTATTTAGACACGACTTTGCACATTTTGTGCGATCCAACCCCTTCCTTTTCTGTTCTCTTTCTGCTCTCTTCTTCTGGCCAGCATTCTGGCTCGAGCTGTCCCTTTGTTTGTAATGCCTTTGGTAGATGTAGGCTATGCGCAGCATAAGCGAATGTGTGGACTGAGCCAGTGTCTTCGACACTTTCTTGCCTGACGCGGCCGCGGGAATGCAAATAGTGATTGCATTGGCAGCAGATGTAAATGGAGGTGTTGTCTGATCTTGTGCGTGTGTGGGTGTGTGTGTGGGTGTGCGCGTGCCACACTCCCAGGTTGTGCTGGAGACGGAGGTCACGAATCAAAATGCTCTTAGCCTTTACGAACGTCTCGGCTTCTGCCGTGACAAGCGCCTTGTCCGGTACTACCTCAACAATGTGGATGCACTGCGACTGAAGCTATGGCTGACGTGAGTGGTGATCACAGCACCTCCTCGTATCTTCACACCTAACATAAAGCTTAGTGTTGAAGACTTGCATTGGCCCCCTGTCAAAGTCTTGATTCGCCAGTGTGCTCCCCACCTCGCTGAACAGAACCCAATGTGCTTGCGCGCGTACTATGCGTGTGTGTGTGTGTGTGTGTGTCGTCAGATTTCACACACACACAAAACAAGAGCTAAGAAATGCGGATATTATGCTTGTGCAGTTTTTCTGCTTGCCTGCTGAGTAAGTTCCATGTAGCATTTGGTTTGTGAGAGTCTTGTCAATTTGTCTCTGAATTATGGTTTGAAAGGTTATTTTATTTTATTTTTAACGGGTTTATACATGCGCTCGTACCAGTCCATAGCCAGAATGATGGACCAGTGTTGGTCTTCTCTAGCAGATTTATGAATCCAGAACAGTTAACTCCAGTACTCTGCGTTGCGATGGTGTGTGCTGTGCACATGTGGGCAGGTTGCTTTGCACCAGGGAGAGTAAGTATTTTACTACTCCACCAGGGAGAGTAAGTATTTTACTACTCCCTGCTTTGCACCCAAGCTCCAGGGTCGGAAGTCGAATACATGTACCACCAAGAGTATATAACCCCCCAGAGTCAACTCCCACATACCCTGTCCCGACAGAATTTCAAGTTGACGTCATTATTTATGACGCAATTCTCCTTGCACCAGTGATTTACAACATGTGTAAGGGTGTCAACCCATCACACGTTTTTCTTTGCAATAATTTGTACAGGATCGATCGGCTTTGGTCAACCACAGGTTCCGGATTCGTCTGATAATCCGTGTACAGTGCGCATTGCATCATCAAAATGACGTCAACTTGAAATTCTGTCGGGACAGCACCCATAGTGGAGTTGCACACTCTGGGTGGGGGGTTATGTACTCTTGGTACCACCAAGAGTCCATAACCCCAAGAGTGTGCAACTCTGTACATGGGGATCCGCGGTGGAATTCCAACATTACGTCAAAAATGACGTACACGTTCGTTGCACTTGTACTACTCCCTGGTTCCAAGCACCGCGGAATGTGGAGTTTTGTGCAGCTGTGCCACAGCGGCATGACGTAATGGAATTCCATCGCGCAGTGGGCCTACAGCAGCCAGACCCCAGTTGCACGCTCTTGGGGTTATGGACTCTTGGTACTACCATAGAGAAAGGCAGATTTTTCTGCTCTTTGTCTCGAACGCCAGGTGGGATGAAACTTAAAAAAATAATTTCACTACTATTAAAGTTAAAAGTTTGAAGTGAAATAATTATTTATTTAAAAAACCTCATCATCTTTCGAAATGAAGGACTCTGAACCAAGGAGTTAGAATTTGTATGACTCGCTGCTCTGAACTACACATGTAGCTCAGAAGAAAAAAAACTAGCCAGTAGGGAGTTTAGGACCATGAACCCAACTGTCTGACCTGACTGCAACGCTGCCACATGCATCTTGGTAAATCGGAGGGATGGGCCTGGACCAGCCACTGCTTGCTAGTCAACACGTCGACACCTCCGCACAGCAATCACACTCCGTAGCAGCCCTGCAATAGTCGACAGCACACAGCCCATTGCCACATGACCTCTACGTAAAAGGTTTACATGCATACAGTCGAGTCCACTTACAACGAACTCACATATACTGTTAACCGTGAAATTATTGCCATGGTCTAATTTCTGCGAAATTCGCGACTGCGTGGAAATCGCGAAATTTAGACAGCGCGAAAAGGAGATCCATGAACGGTTTAGCAAGAAGGCCACAGGTTAAGCAAGAATGCCATTCTGCAATCGCAAAATTAAAACCTTGCAAACCTGTCCGGATTCTGAAAACGCGAACTAAAAACGCCGCGAAAATTTCACGCTTTACAGTAGCAAATTCCGCGATATAACGATATATTGTTCATGTCCCAGTTCGAACCCACAGTGTAAGTGCATTACCCATATAAAAACCGCTCTGTGAGCGGTTCTGAAAAACCTCTACTGGTGCAGCCCCGTCGTAAAAGTAAGAAATTAGAACTGGCGCATTGTCCTCCCAAATGTGAACTGATCCACCTAAATCGCGATTGACGGGACCCGAACGCACCAGTAGCACGAGGTTCCTACCTGTGGATGCAGCTGGGGACGCTGGTCCATAGCCAAAGCCAAAGCGGCAAAGGTGGGCTTCGGGGTAGATCTAAAGTGTTGTATGGTAACTTGATCAGCGCCGACGCCGGCTGTGATCCTGTGCCCTCCCGACCTCGTGCTACTGGTGCGTTCGGGTCCAGTCACTCGCGATTTAGGTGGATCAGTTCACATTTGGGAGGACAATGCGCCAGTTCTAATTTCTTACTTTTACGACGGGGCTGCACCAGTAGAGGTTTTTCAGAACCGCTCACAGAGCGGTTTTTATATGGGTAATTTCAGTTCTTTTTCTGTTCCCTCCCCACCCCAGCCCAGCTCCGAAGATAAACATGGTGAGCACGCGCGCGATGCACTGTATGTAGCCATGCAACTGCAGTAGCACACTGAAACATTCCAGCCCTCCCCACCTTGCTACCCCGCACACAGACACCTTGTGACAAACACGCACATGCACATGGCACACACACACATGGGCACGCACACACATACATACATACACACACACAACCCAAACAGGAAATTCTTGATGAACATTGTATAATGCCATGGAAAGCAGTGGCCACCATACTTCAGGAAGTCAGTTGTGAAACAAAAATAATTCAACTACAATGTGTAGGTAAGCTGGCGGCCAAAGCACAACATTGCAAACCGTGATGATATTTGCCTAAGGATTGCAGTTTGCAGACCACACCATGGAAGCAGTGAATACAGAATTATGGTAATGTCATTTAAAGACAAGCAAAGAAGTGGCCACCATACACCAGAAACTTGCAGAAAGTCACATATCCAACAGATAGAGAAGTGAACAGCATCTGGTACAGCACACACAAAACCAAGCTGACCTGATACTCGTCCGAAGATCGTAAGTGGCAGATCCTTTTCAACGATAGCATGCAGGTGTACGTTACACGCATTGACAAAATCTGACTGTGTCACCGGCATACATTGTCATCACATGCATACCCCACAAGTTACACACATGCACAGTAGAAGCACAATAAAAGCAATGGAAAAATATGAAGGGGTTGCTGAAGCATCTTCACACTTCAATTTCAGACTTCGATGTGGTCGTCACGGGGTGATATACCTGCAAGATACAAGTGATACAGAAAGAAAGCATAAGGTCGTGAGGTAGGCTATGAGACACCACAAATGGGTCACCTACATGTATGTTAAGGGCTGGTGTACACACACACGCAGAATTATCATAATCGAGAATTTCCCAAACTACAGAAGAGCAATGAAATCCATTTGCATGCACAGGAGAAATTTTGCAGTATGATGCGCAGCTCGGGAATACACCTGTTGGCAATGGATTACATTCCCATTGGAATTCCCATTCACTTGGGATTCACAGAAGCAATTTGGCAGTGTGCTGCGTAATGCGACACGACCTGCGATTCTGCGTGCGATGCAAACTCGCACAAAATACCATTCACAGAATCACGACAAGACGTCAGCGATGCAACAGCGCCTTGCTGACGTGCCTCAAGTCAAAGCTCAATGAGAATGCGTTTGTCGGTTACAACTGGTACAAATGTACAAGCAATTTCTGAAAACTTGTGAAAATGCTCCTGTGAATCGTGCTTTAAGCAGTGCAGGAATGTCCCTCCTCCGCTCCCCCCCCCCCCCCCCCCCTCCACACCCTCAGGGAACTTGACAAGGAAGGGTGGTCTTCGCGGTTCCCAACATCTATTTGCAGTTTCTGGTCTCCACTATGTCTTTTCAATGGGGATTTGTACGTACCATAAAAGCAAGCCTAAAAAATGAACAGCACATTTGCCGTCCCCCCACTGGGGAGGATGCATTCCACAGCTATCCTGACAAGATATTCCGAGAAGCGGTGCTGAGTGCAATGCATTGTGAAACTGAAAAAGCTGACCAAGCCGCGGCATATAACGTCTAAACTTCAATTGTAGTTCGCCAGCTGACTACTTTCAAACTCCATGTAGGTTGGAGTACAGCTGGCTTAGAAGTTGACAACAACGGCGCACGCACATAAGCAATGGCCACCTTACCTGTACTGTAGCAGTACTTCCGAGTTCCCGTATGGGAGTGCCCACACTGTGTGTGCAATAGCAGCCTCATCGGACCAGTTCAATGCGACGCGGACAGTCCGACACTGAGGAGGACATTGAAGAAGTCAGAGACAGGAAGAATGGTTGATTTACAATTCAACTAGCAAGGCTGCACACCCACGAGGTTCCACTCACCATTGTGCCGTCCTTCTTGGAATGCAGAAATAACGCTTCCTCTCGAGAACGCAGCCTGTGACAGAGAAAAAGGAAGGAGCATCGCCATCGGCATTGGTCCTCTGCTATCACCGATTGCCGAGTTGCACAGTTCACTCTAACAAGACTGAGGATGCTCAAGAACTCCCCATCCATACCATTATTGGAGTAAGAGGGAAGGTCAGATTGCCTAGTTCCTAGGGCCTAGTATTCCTGGATGCCAGGATGTGCTGCCCCTCCCTTCTACTGCCTGGAAAGGGCAACATATGTGACAGCGTTCACCAGTACAGTCGGAGGAGAACATGGGAGAAGGCAAAAAAGGGCAACACACATGAATCCCTTATAAACAAGCAGTGGCAACTCTAGTACCAGCAATGTTGGACTTACATCCCAGCCATTGCCGCCGGATTCAGCGGCTTCTTCTTCTTCGTCTCCCATCTTGGAAGCACTCCTTCCCGTAAGTTCAGTCCTGGGATCGGGAGTACAGTCGGAGGAGGACGTCGGAAAAGGCAAAAAGGCAACACACATGATTCCCTTATAAGCAAGCAGTGGCAACTCTGGCACCAGCAATGTTGGACTTACATCCCAGCCATTGCCGCCGGATTCCCACGCTTCCTCTTCGTCGTCTTCCAGTTCCCAGGTTCCATCTTGCAAATACTCCTTCTCGTAAGTAAGTGCAGTCCTGGCCTGGGTGGATGCGCAGTACATTGACGATGGCGGAGATGGAGCAGGTCAGGGAGCCCTATAGGGGTCCCGAGAGCAGATTGTGGCCAAATTCGGGACGATGCCGGACGCCAGTCAGTATGAAGTAGCGAATTGCGGACCGCCACGTAGATTGGGGTCGCGGGGTCATAATCCATGGGCACTACTCGTACGTTGCTCCAAAAAAGGGCACTGCACTGTTCCACAGTTGCTGTTAGCGGTCGCCAAAGGCACTTGGTAGGCCGGTAATTGGGTCACGTGTCAACAAAGTGTCAACAACGTGTCAACAAAGTGTCGACCACGTGTCTTTAGCGGTACACTAATTTTGGTGTCCCCAAACTGAAAACATCGAGCACCAGTATGGAAAGGCTTTAGACAGAAAGCCTTTCCAATTTCTGTTATAACAAACTTCGGCTCTAAAGAACTAATTCTCCTGCACAATGGTGTTGGTTGTAATACCAGGAGTCGACTGTATGCACGCTGACAACTGCTAGCCGCTCATGACACACCTGGTTTCTCAGAGACAACACTGCATTGCTCTTTCTATGCTGGTCAACAGCACGCACAGACTATTATGATACATGATACATGTTGTATTGTAAGATACAAGGTATACAGGTACCGTAAAGTCGCAGATAAAAGCCGGGTTTGCATACAAGCACATCAAATCAAACGGGTCAAATGCATATAAGCCTGTCGCGCGTAGAAGCCTGGCTTCTATGCAAGCGCGGATCGGGTAGGTCAAGAGTGCATGCGCTATGCACGGTCGGTGCATAGTAAAACTGCCGCCATACCGGTAGTCAGTGGTAGATCTACGCGTGTCAGGTAGACTACATACTTGTAGACACGCAGCAGCAACAACAACAACAACAAAAAGCAAAAAAGCATGTCCTGACTAGTATGTACATGTATGTCACTCACCACATACTGGTAAGGAAAGCTAAGAATGGACACACACACACACACACAAACACACATATAATATATGTGTGTTTGTAGTACAGTAACACAATATCTTATGATGCAACCTGCAGCCTACATCATGTAGCAAGCAGTACACAGCACTGGCTAACCGAGACCCAGCGTGACCAGCACGCCAGCGAAATGAAGAGAAGTGCTAACGTGGCAAAAGAAAAACACTGCTAGCACAGGGAGTAAAGTACGGGGAATGTTGCAAGAGGTACAGATTGGGACGAGCAGGGATGCCTACAAGAGCATCGGTCTCGCACGGTGATATACACCAACACAACTGTGTTGACCAGGAGCACAGCTCTTTCAGCATACATGTATGTCCCAGTGAAGCACAGCTCTTTCAGTATACACGTATGTCCCAGTGGGGCACACCTCTCTCAGTACATGTATGGTCCAGCAAAGCACAGTTCTATCAGTATTAATGTATGGTCCAGTAGGGCACCTCTACCAGTGTACTCAAGTACACATATGTCCCAGTGGGGCACACCTCTCTCAGGATACATTGTATGTCCGAATGGGGCACCTCTCTCAGTATACATGTATGGCCCAGTGGGGCACAACAAGTTCATAGCAGGATACACACACCTTTTGTTTCCAGAACACGGGACTTTCCCGTGCGTCCACACGCCACGTTAAATAACCAATGATCAACCAGTCACTCGATCCTATCAGCTGCAGTCACCTGACCTGCAGTTCACTCTGTACCAGGCTGTAGATGGTGATAACCGTGACTACTGGGTACTGAGTAGCAAGGACAATCCACATCATGAGACTAACGGAACATGTGCAGGCACCGCACTGTGCCAGTTAGGCTACCATCCAGGACGTGAAGCCCAAAAGAGTCCACTCTCGTTGCTGCTGCTGCTGCTTGTACGATTGTGGTAGGATATGGCAGCGCCTGCAGATCAGTGAGTACAATTCTGCTTACTGCCGCTGTGAGGAGCGCCACATATAAAGCATCTCCAGTCCGTGTCTGTGATTGTACCAGCCGAGAAGGACAAGTACTGCCACTGTACAGATGTTCTACAGCACACAGACAAACAATCGTGAGCACGCACGCACGCACACACACACACACACACACACACACACACACACACACACACACACACACACACACACACACAGCATCCAGGTCACCAGCAGCAGCAGCAGAGCACATAAGCCAACACACATAGTGTACACATGAACTGTTCCTTGGTCGTGGCCAGCATGGTGATTAGCATGCGTACGTACATTCGCATACAGAAATTAACTGATGAGGGTTGATTTCCCTGAAACACTGTTTTTTTTGTTTTTTTTAAAACTTTGTTTTACTTCGCAAAATCCAAACGGGAATTTCTTCCCAATGACAAGGTAGCGAAGATAATTAATTTTATTGATCAATGATCAGAGAATGATGCTCTCTTGCACAGCTACCCTGGGTACAGCATACTGGTACCTGTATGTCTTTTTGCAGCGTCGGCTATACATGTTCCCAACTGCTACTTAAAAATCCCTACTTTCTCGTTTCAACAGATTTAGTGAGGTGGGCCAGAGACAGAGAGACAGAGAGAGAAAGAGCGCGCATGTGGTGGAGGTGGAATTGCCTCGTAGATTTAGGGCGCGTTTGGTTGGTACGAACTAGAACAGGATTCACCAGAACAGCGCGTTTGGTTGGGACTGCACCTGTTCTGGGTCGGCCAGAACATGTTCTGCTTGCTCCGGCCTCGAGGCCGGAGCAGACCGAGCAGTTTCACTTTTTCACAGTGAAACCTGGCGGGAACATCGACTTTGTTCCCAAATGATCACGTGCATACGCTTTTGGGTTGGACTCGTCGTACCGTACAAAGTGACCATGGTGATCCATACACATTTTGAAGAATGCACCAAGTTTGGCACATTTTTCCACAAAAATGTGCTCTGTTTCTGGAGTAGCGTTTGGTTGGCATGAGGCTGCTCCATGTGCACCAGCTGTTCGATCCTGTTCTAGATCGTACCAACCAAACGCACCCCTAGAGCCGAGGTACTTAATGTCCAAGGAGAAATATATTATATGGATGGAAAAGAATACCGTATTTTCGGAAATTAGCACCGATCTTTTATTTACACTGCCTGTCTGAAATAAGCACCACATCATTTCAGGGCTTTTAGCAGGGCTCGCAAACTACTAAGCACCTCGGACAGTATTGCCAAAAATACTTCATACAGGATCCTCGAAAAGCATTTTCACCTCAGCGATACCTCGGCTCTCCAGCACATGTGCCAGTGTTATGTGCTCAGAGATACGCCATACGTGTGTACTGAAGCCCTATCGCATTTGCCATACGCTTGCTGCTGAACATAATTTCCAACATGGCGTCCAGAACACGGTACACTGTAATACATCAGCACAACGGCATGCAACTGGCAGCATAGGGAGTTGTACGCACAAGTCCCACAGCATGTTAACATGTCTAGTCGTTACAAGACCGTTACCAGAACTTACTCAAATATTAGACTGTATTGGTGATCAGCAGCCGTCTGACAAACATACCTGTAACGACATTGCAAATAAGAACACATGCATGTAGGCATCACCATCATTCACCAACAACATTGCTATACTCTGTGCCTGGTTCTAGGTCAATGCAGACTATGAAAGACAAACTCCCCATTCAGCCCTCCTGCCCACGGCCATGAAGAACACTGAAGTGCTTGAGTACTGGAGTTCACTGGCAAATAGGTCACGTGGGTCTCCCTGGGAGAGGGGACTGGGAGAGAGATTCGAAAGGAATCTTGGAAAGATGACTCAATTGGCAATTGAACCAACCAACGGCCGACACCCGCTGTAGCACCATTGATTACGAAGGCGCTAATCTAGCCAGAAGTAGCTCATACACACACACACACACACACACACACACACACACACACGAGCGTGCGTGCACGCGTACACACATACACACATGCATACACACATGTACATCTATACACACACGTACATGTATGCCCACACACATGTACACACACGTACACGTACACACACACACTCACACACACACACACACACACACACACACACACACACACACACACACACACACACATACATACACATAAACATACGTACCAGGGCCGGCGCCACTGGTACGTCTGGTGCGGCCAGTTTTTACCAATTCCAGCATTCATAAGCTGCAGCTCAGTACGCAATTGATTATCTGGAAGTATGTAATAAGCGCTCCTCATGCGCTCCTCTCTAGAGTCTCTACCTTTTAAACTGTTCTCCTTGTAAAGTGAGGTCTACTGCGCTAGCTGCATATCTTTTGCTACAGGAATATGTAGCTGAAACAGACATATTATGCACAGAAATAGAGATGTATCCTGCCAGAATTTTGAAATTGGAAATGGGGAAATAATCGGCCTGTAGTCGACTTGGGGCCACACCGCCCCTCAGGAGCTGGCTCCGGGCCTGCGTACACACACATGCACACAGCCACACTTGAAGAAATGACTTACTCTAGATAGGGATGAGAGGTGTTTGCAATCGGGATAACCAAGTGACAATTGACCTGCGCAAATAACGCATGTGCACACACATACACATGCACACATACATACATACGTACACACACACACCCGCGCACGCACACACACGCACACACATATGCATATAGAAGCACACATATGAAATTCCTCAAAACTATCACAAGACACCTGGTACATGTAGTCAACCACGGCGCAGCTAGTGCCTACCGGTATGTATCCACAGCACGGCACAGCAGAGTTTGCAAGTCAGCAGAATAGAACACAGTACACTGCAACACATACCGTTTCTTGCGATCGACCTGGTACTACAACAGGATTGTTCACAGAGCAATTGGCCAGTGGCATGTAATGTGACATCTGTACAAATATATCGTGATACTTGGCTGAGATGTAATTCTTGTTGTATATCTTCAGGTCAATCTGCTCGCAGCAGCAACAAAAGCAAACGTACAAACGCACACAGATGGAAACGCACACACATACATACACACACACACACACACACACACACACACACACACACACACACACACACACACACACACACACACACACACACACACACACACCAGAGTACTCTGAACTTCATGCACAGCGCAGTCATTACACAACAGAACAATGAAGTGCCGATGTCACCTGAGCTGGCAGTTCGCACTCATAATTATATTCATGAACATTCGCCGGTCCCAGCTCTTCACACATACACCTTGTATAATTATCTTGAAATCCAGAAAATGGATTATACATGTACATGCACACATACTGTAAGACCACTAATATGAACGAAACTTTAATTCTAACGTTTTAACCAATTGCAAAAAATCAATTTGAAGTCGTTATGTGCAAACCGATATGTACATGTACAGTCATTTGCCGGTTTTGAGACAGAATTCGTTAGAATTTCACTTCGCTAACCAACAAAATTCCGGAGATCGTTAACTTTAGTTGACGTTAAAATATCTGGCATTTACAGTACAGCATATTGCAAAAAAACCCATCCAGGTATAGTAAATCACAGTACTACTTCAAGAAGAGGCAATCAAGGTACTTAGTGTACTACGATGTGTGTTGCGCTTACGTCAAACGAGACACTTGATAGTATAGTGGAATTGTCATCAAATTCATACTCTGCCTCGGCACGGTTCAACTCCACCAGCGATGTGCGCTCAAAGAGCAGAAACACCAGCACGGAGATGATTGCAAAACATATGGCAACTGATACACCCACTCGGAGCTTCCTATGAAGGAGGAGAACACACACACACACACACACACGCGTGCGCGCACACACACACACACACGCACACCCCCCCCCCCCCCCCACACACACACACACGCACACACAACCAGGCAACCAAGCAAGTGTGAACAGGACCAAGAATAAGCCCGTTGCGCATTTCCAAATACAGAATGTATGAGTGTGTGCTGGGATCAGGAATGCACTGTCCAGCACCGTACACAACCGTACCCAGGTGGCTGTGGACAGTGTTCATGGTACAAACACTACGCCATTGCACAATGGACTTATAAAGAAAGAAAGGGAACGAGATCCTATCGATAGAACAGCACTCTGACCACTGACAGTGATACTACAGTAAAGGAAGCACAGAAACTAACCTTCTCATACACTTCATAATTTATAGGAAATGAAAAGGACCAAGGAACTACAAGTTACGCTCTAATGTCCACTAACACCACCAGTTACTAAACCATCACCTCATGCTCATGGACATTATAGTCCACTAACACCACCAGATACTAAACCATCACCTCATGCTCATGGACATTATAGCGTAACTTGCAGTTCCTTGGTCCTTTTCATTTTTAATAAATTAATCCTTGGCTCTCCATCCGAATCCATTCTTACACTTCATAATGTTCATACACGTACATGTATGTTCAAAATTACCAGCCAATGCGCATTGTATGAATGAAAGCAATGGTGTCATGGGCACCGCCACACAAGCAATCTAGTGTGGAATAGTAGTGCTGCATGCTAGTACTGTGTACCGTTGCTCACCAAGATCATGACACGGACCATCTAACCATAGTGGCGCCGGCAACTTACGTTCGTTTGGGCTTGAGGCGCTTGTCCCTCAGCGATATCAACGCAATAGCTGAGCAAATACACGTACGTTCACACATGTACACGTTGGCGTGGCACATGTACACACAGATCAGAAGAATATGTAAGTGCAATTCAATTCGAAGATTGGCTACCTTGATGCAGAGATCAACGGGCTACATTGTTCGTTGGCAATACAGAAGGTGCAAACTGGAAACACAGATAAGCTAATGGAGTTTACCTAAGTAGGTGGTGCACCCATGAACATGTACGTGCTCCTTTCATGACATGATCATTTCCACGCCAACAAAGCTAAACCTTCGCATGTTGGTGTTTGACAAGCTCCAGAAGCTTATCTTCTAGTGCCATGACCTATCGTTCCACATCAAGCAGACAGCATCATCGTGATAACGTTGTTTATGTACGAATCTGGTGCGTAGCACGCAAATTTGGCTGCAGTCCGTCAGAAAATTGCCGTATTCGGAATGGGAAACTCTCCGTACGCATTCCAATGTGATTTCTTTGCATGAACGTTGAGCAAAATATTTGTTTGCGATCTGTGAAGTCCAAGAATGCAAGTGCTCACATCTTCACATTGCCTTCCCGCCACGTAGAGCAGAACCTCGCTTTTTATCCCGAAATCCGTACTTGAAAAGTACAGAGGCTGCGCTTAGTAAGCAGTGAAACGACCGACCTGAATTCCTTATGGACGAAGTTGAACCCTATCATTGACTGGCTATCTTCTGACATTGCGCCCATGCATGAACACCAGGGAGACGACACGGGCGACTTTATCGCTAAACCATGTGGGTTTCAAACCCGGGCTGCTCATTAACGAAGTGATGCTTTCAGTGAAAGTTTCCACATAAATCCTCGTCTAGTAAGGCGCGCTCGCCCAGTTTCGGGGAAGTGCACGAGTTTGATTGGGACGAAGGGAGCGTCTCAGCTTCCACGTCCCAAGATCATTCCACCCAGCACCTCGAAGACTGCAAGTACAGTCTGTATCGGCTATAGAGTGACCGGATATAAGAATATATCGGCTACAGTGATATTGGTACGAAGTATCAAAAGCAAAACGTATTTTATCCAGCACAAATATCACTATAACCAATATTATCGGATGTAATGATATATCGGATATTATGATGGCAACAAAGAATCAAAACATGCATAACACACTACATTATAATCGGCTATAGTGATAACTTTAAAATACATGTTGCAATAATATCAAGGGCCCAATCTTTTTACTTTCTTCACGTTGCTTATTTTTATAGTGATACAGCACACACGTACATAACATAATTTTGTTATGGAAATGCGGGCACTGTCATCTATGCAGCATGCTCATTTGTCAAAACGCCATGCTGGAAGTATTTCCTTGCCTTTCATGTGTCGATCGAAAAAAATCCATCGTATCGCATATAGTGATGCATCGGTTATAGTGATAAAATCACGGAAATCAAAAGGGTACGCTATAGCCGATACAGACTGTACTACAATATAGTAGTGAAATTAAATTATTTTGGTTTTAGGACACACCTCCCATTTGAAGGGGAATTGCATCGATTTTTCGAGTAGGCTCCAGAAGGAAGACAATTTGATATCGGTTCGAATGACATATCTATCGCTTCCATACGATAAGCCAAACTTGCCAAATCGCCAATTGTATACTCACGTTGCCATAGCGACCAGCGGAGTGATGACGTATGAAAGGCTTAGCTCCACCACAGAGAAGGTCGATCACTGCAGAAATCGGTCATTTTCAATTGGTTTGTTGTATTCACGAAGTGAAAGAAGGGCTGTGTTCAGTGCTGTTCGTGCAGTGAACTGTTTGTTAGTAGTCCTCTCGGTTGTGTACTGGGACGTGACACCGACAGGAGAAAGCTGGAGTGCGGAGACATCAGCAGACAAGCGAAAATAGTGACGAACAAAATGCTGAAATCTTGGTTGGGACAAATCAGACGTTCAGCATTTACCCCAACCACGGACCATGCCGTTTGCTCTTTCGGAAGTTTCCACTTCCTGAAGATGGATGTGGTGCTTCCTGGCGACTCTCCTATCTCTCTTAAAGGGGAAGTTAAGGCAAAAATTAAAACTTCACCAGTTGTAGTATTCGGGGTGCTGAGTCGAATGGTCTTGGTCCGAGAAAGCTGAGACGCTCCCTTCCTACTTGAATCCCAATCGAACTCGCGCACTTCCACCGAAACTGGGTGACTGCGCCCTACTAGATGGGGATTTGTATGCAAAATGTCACTAAAAGCGCCATTTCGTTCTTATAAAAGCACGGATGACCGCGATTGGCCCATATGTTGTAGTCTTTTGGACGCTGAGTCGACTGGTTTTGGTCCGAAAAGGCTGCGATGCAGCGTTCCTCCTTTATTCCCAATCGAACATGGTTGAACAAGCGGTCACGTGCTCCTGGGTGCCCAAATCACCTGGTCACCACGCCAGCAGGCGACAACTTTCACACCAAGGTTCAACTCGAGTGACAGGACTGCACCCAAAAAAGGTCAAACAGGCTAGTAAGTTGTACCCTGCAGGCACGGTGACCAGGTGACTGGCGTACGCAGGAGCACGTGACCGCTTGTTCAACCATGTTCGATTGGGAATAAAGGAGGATCGCCGCATCGCAGCCTTTTCGGACCAAAACCAATCGACTCAGCGTCCAAAAGACTACAACATATGGGCCAATCGCGGTCATCCATGCTTTTATAAGAACGAAATGGCGCTTTTAGTGACATTTTGCATACAAATCCCCATCTAGTAGGGCGCAGTCACCCAGTTTCGGTGGAAGTGCGCGAGTTCGATTGGGATTCAAGTAGGAAGGGAGCGTCTCAGCTTCCTCGGACCACGACCATTCGACTCAGCACCCCGAAGACTACAACTGGTGAAATTTTAATTTTTGCCTTAACTTCCCCTTTAACATCTTCTGAAGCCAGGTGAGACGACGGGTGGTGGAGAATTGACGAATGAAATAATGTCATAGGTTTGAAAGTTTGCTGAAAATGTCTCAGGAGAGAAGGCGAATAATGAGCATCTTCTCCTAGAGGAAACCATTTCCTAGGCACAGTCAGCCTAGGGAAATGCAGGAGAAGGTCGATAAACAGTTCACGGCACTAACAGCATTGAACACAGCACTACTTTCACATCGTGAATACAATAAGACAATTGAAAATGCCCAATTTCTGCAGTGATCGACCTTCTCTGTGATGGAGCTAAGCCTTTCATACGTCATCACTGCGCTGGTCGCTATGGCAACGTGAGTATACAATTGGCGATTTGGCAAGTTTGGCTTATCGTATGGAAGCGAGAGATATGCCATTCGAACCGATATCAAATTGTCTTTCTTCTGGACCCTACTCGAAAAATCGATGCACTTCCCCTTTAACCCTTTACCTTCTGTGTGTACATGAATCGACCGAATTTGGTCGATGGACATGCATGCACTAAAACATTCGTAACTTGATCAATTCTTGACGGAATCTCAAGAACTAAATATATAGGAAGAAGCCGAAGAGCCCAGCTGTTCATTGCAACAATCGGCGAAGAGCTGCGATGCCGCATTCCAAAGATATCGCGCTCGACATTTCAGTCACGGCAAAAGTCGATTTTTTTCTGAGTGACTGGCCTTGAGCTGGGGATTTTCCCTCTCCTGACATGCTGAGTCACCTGTGCATGTTTTGAGCGCGTGGGCAGCATAAAAAGAAACCCAGGACATCAAATTTGAAATGTTTACGATGAAGGAGTGAGAAATGGCTGACGAGGAGAGAATTTTCTCGGATACCCAGCGATGGGGAGTATTTTAAGCACCCTGGCGTTGGATATGTGATCTCAGTAGTGTCCAGTTTGAGCTCATTGTACGCAGCTCGTGGAGAGCTTTCCAGAATGCCCAAGAGTGTGAAAATCGGTTGATTATAACCAAAGATATTCTTAGAATGAGGTGAGAAATATCGTATTTGGAGCTGCCTGGGAATTATGGTCAGAAGGTAAAGGGTTAAGCTGGCCATCACGAAATGGAAGACGCGTTTAACCCTTTGAGGCCCATAGTACGGATATATCCGTACCAGTGTACAGTGCATACTTTTCAAAGCGCAACCTGGCGTAACTCGGCTGTCCCTTGACCAAATCGGATAATTGAAAGGTCTATCGACATTAGAATTGTCTCAGCTATCGGCTCGAAAAATCCCGAAGGCGATCCGAGGTCGGAGAGCGGAGTTATGAGACTCGAACTAAATTCGCTCAGCAGAGTCACCTCGGGCGCGTGCATTTTGAACTCGTTTTGGGGGGTTTTCCCTGACTCGCGGCCCACACAGCCACAGATAGTTCACGTCATCGCAAAGGCATGTTTCTCAGCTCTCATGTAAAAAAAATGAACGATCTGCGATACATTTTGTTGAAATGGCAGAGAATTTGAGTTGGGCGCTCGCAATGCTGGCTTTGGAGCGCCGAATCGCGCTGCGACGCTGGTTCTGTGGATTCCTTGATGGGTTTCTGGGTATCGCTGTGTTCCTTTGGCCAAGAGCTTTCCAGAAAGCCCAAGATCACCAAAATCGGCCAAAGGACACCAAAGTAACGACCAGATAAGTACCTGGGCTCGCGTATGCAGTGCATTCCTTGAAATAATTGTGGGCCCTAAAGGGTTTAAGGGAGGTGCCCGGATACCGGAGGTGGGCAGATATGGCATATATGGGAAATCGGGATACGAGAGGTTCTACTGCAGCTTGCAGTATTTAATACATTGTAGGTTCAAAGTTCAAACGTATCCATACTGTACAATTATATGTTTGTACTGTTCTAGTAAGTAAGTGACTTTTACTTACTTTACTGTTCTAGTACCCGACTTGTTTTTAACTGCTATTATCAATATTGAATAAAATAAATAAACCCAAAGACCTGGGTGTGGCTCGTGTATAAAAGTGAAATGGATTAATGTGTCTAGTGCACTTGACACACAGCCTGAACTCAAAAGACAAGTGCTTGAACCTGTCCCCACAGGATACCGCGATTCCGCGGACGCGGAATTTTCCGCGTTATTGGTTATCATCCGCGTTTTCGTGAGATTTCGCATAAATCCCGCGTTATTCATGAGAATATACAAGAAAATAGTGCATGCTGTTGAAAATGTAGTACAAAGTCGTATGGGTTCATGAGTTTGTACGACAAAGTTGTATTCTTTAATCCCGCATATTTGCCGCATAGTGGCCTGTTTTCGCCCGCATAATTATGCGCATAATTTTAGGATTTTGTCCGCGTTATTCTGTGGGGACAGTTGAACTAGAGGTACATCTAGGTATACATACATTTCTCCACCCAGTTGATAAGGCTTTGCCTTTACGGCTTTAGTCGGCTTATGTCTTTTCACCCCTACTATACTGCTTACATGAAGAACGGTCGCCTGCGTCCACCGTTCCACGACCTTTGCATGTAGGGCATTCTGGTCTTACGTCATCAGGATGCGGAGCAAAGTGCAAGATAGAGGTTGCACTTGCGAGGCTTTCTCTTCCCGTGGCCATCAGCGAGTTGCGTTGTTTGTTGTCCTTATATCGACTCCCCTAAACCAGATGACTGGACAGGACACTACGGTAGCAATGGATATCCACGTGTGGTGCTGCAGTAACTAATTACTTAGCTTCAACTGAATGCCAGTACTACATTATTCTTCCTGTGTGTGACCATAACAATGCCGGTACCTTTGAAGTTTCTCTTCGTCGAAAGTCCCCACGTGGAAATCACGTTGCGTGTGGCTCAGACAGCATCTAGCAGAGCTATCAGCATCTAGCAGAGCTATCTCGCCATTTTGCCACGCGGAGGCTGATCTTGTTCTGGACAACAAAACAGTCAAGGCTCTTTCTGACGTCCTATGCCTGGATATGACTCCAGGAGTTGTCTTTGGACTTCTTTTGCCAAGTTTTGGCTTTGCTTTCAAAATCGAATGTCGATGAAGACGAAAATGGATGATTCATCGATTTTTTTCCTTTGACCTCATCAGATTGTTTCTAGAGTGACATCACAGGCCTTGCCTGGCATGCCATGCACGGTGACGGTGCCACCCGTAGATCTACGCGCGTGGTACGCGCCGTAACCGCGGCCGGTACCGGTACCCGGTACACAAGCAAGAGTACATAACCCTGGGCCGGGGGTTATGTTACGTAGATCTACTCTTGGTTTTTTTTGGTTTTTTTGGAAAACTGACGTCACATGTGATCAGAGAGCTAGAGCAAGATCAAGAGAAGCATAGCATTACGCCATTAGTCCGCACAATCACGGGCCAAGGCTCAACGGGACACCCTATGCCTATGGCCTAGCCTCCACGACAGCCAGGGAGGCACAGCCATCCATCGGAGGCTGCCAAACTCGGCGAGCCCCACGCAGACACATGACACTCGAACGCAGCAGGGCGAAAGACAGCCTGCAGCGGAGGTGGGCAATAAGCACCCCTCCCACGTAGCGACTGGAGATGTGCAATCCGGCTCACCAGTGCAGCGGCACCCTTGCCGCATCCTCTGGTGGAAGAGAGCACAAAGGGGAGAAAAGTGGATCGCTCCACTTCTCGGACTCTCCGATCGTAGCGACGCCGTTTCTCTTGCTCGTGGTGCCGGTAGCAGGCAGAGAGAGAGGAGGAGGTGCGGTTCGAAGACGCATAAGGGTTGAACACCCGTACATCAATAAAAGTGCGTTCGAACCGACCCCCCCCCCCAAACTCCACTGGCCACCACATCCAAACGAGCTTGATCCTCGGTTGATGCAGACCGGAGCTGAAACTGCTCCCCAGTCAGGGGTTGGAGATGCGGCTCCACTGCGACGTTGTGGGCGGCACCCTTCAATGAGCTTGCCAGTATGTCGCGCACCTCGTTGTGGCGGATCGAGGGGAACCCACCGAAAGGACAGGACAAGGTGTGAGCAGTGGTGAATGCCTTCTCGCAAACACAGGTGGTGGGCAGGCGAGAAGGCGTCCAACCGTAACGGAGGCAGAGGCCATCCAAGAATTCCCCCTTCGACAAAGCGAAGCCATGGCGAGCGATGGGTCGGCAGGTGAGCCAGCTTGATGCTCCCTTCTCCTCTGCCAGACTGATAGCGAGATCGAGTTCGCTGTGCTCGGTGCGGAACGTATCGGCAGCTATCTTCATTGTCTTTCTGGCCTCAGAGCGAGCCTGACTCTTGGCCCTGCGGACACAGGCAAGAGCATCATCGAGGTGCTCCTCTTGCGCCATGATCTTGTCGTACAGGGCAGTGGTGATTAGCCTGGAGGTGCCGTACTGTGAGCCAAAAGTGGTAGGGTTGGCCACGCCGAGGCCTCCATGCCGGCAGGGGAAAGTGAGCAAAATGCGCTCAGCTTCACTGGGCGCCGTCCGTCCACTAATGGCAGGGATTAGGCGGCGGTGGATGATGTCCTCCAGGGGGTGCCAGCTGTTCTGCAGCACCATCGAGAACCCGACACAGGAAGGACCAGCGGGTGCAGAGTAAGCTGCTTGAGGCTGTGACCGGGCGAAATCTGTCAGCTTGCACAGCTCCTGCGACCAGGTGGCCACCTTGGAAGCTGTGTACTCTTGGTAGATCTACAAGTACATGTACCGTAAAGTACCGTTGATCTGCCCCCCCCCCCCCCCCCCCCACGCCATGTCGCTTCCCAGCTGGGTTTTCGGCAGGGGGCGGGAATTAGATCAAGGCTGTCAAGTGCAGTACGATGTAGAGGATCAGTCTCAATGACTATGTGCTGGATTGTGCACATTTTCATCCTGGATTGGCAAGTATTGTGTACAGCAGTGCATGCGTCGGTGCAACATCGTATTTCGTTGTATACGCCGAAGTCGCTTCACAAGGCTTAAGGAGAAAATCGACAGGGGGCGGGAATTAGAGAGGGGGCGGATCAACGGTACTTTACGGTAGTTATATTTTTTACGACTCCCTGGAGTCGCGACCATAGTACGTACATGTACGTGAAACGATTCATGAAAAAAAATAATCATGTCATCATGTGCGTTTTGCCCCCTGATTTGGAAGTTCTACGTGATTCGTGGTCTATGCAATTCATGATTGCGATCACGGCCTGACCCCGCCCAAGTGTGCACCATGGCCCAGACAAGCAATGCCATAACATGCAAGCATGTATACATCAGCCCTGCCTTAAGGGCGGCTGCAATGGCGAGCCAGCTGCTGAAACCCACATGAATACAGCCGACCTTCACTGCCGCCATTGATTACACAAGAGCCAGAGAAGTAGCTCGTTGGGCAGGAGGTATGTACATGTATGCCGGTACTTCGAATAGAAAGTACACACACACGCACACACGCGCGCGTGCACACACAATACAATAATGCCCATCCGCAGTTGATGGCAGGTCCTGAAAGGAACGACAGTGTTTCAGTCACGGAGAACAGAACTTTGAGTGGCGAGTGAGGTCCAGGCGACGACGAAAATCTCGGCCGCAGTGGCACCTGAAGTCCCGAGACACACGTCTACTTGTAGGCGGCTGGATGGTGTTGCAGGCCAGTCTCCACTCACGACGGTCCTCGGCTACGCTGTACCAGTCATTGCTGTGCCGTTCCTCTAGATCAGTTACGATGTTGTCACGCCAGCGCTTCGTGGCGAGGGCGCGTCTTTTGGAGCTCACCAAACAATACGCACTTCGGTATTCTGTCGTCACACACACACACACACACACACACACACACACACACGCACACACACACACCTGCCATCGCACGCTCTCTGTAAGCTTAGTGTCGCACGCTACCTTGGTCCAGAACAACTCATGTCTTGAAGAAATGACACAAAATGCTGCCTACCATAACGATGAGATGCAAGTCAAACAAAGTTGAATTACAAAATTGTACAGGCATTAAAAATTCCAAGCACTGCAGCATTGAGCTGAAGGTCACCCAGAAAAAATAACAGTACAACTACAAACGCTTTAGAAAGTTTGTGGAAGCCCATAAGTAGGAGACCAGGCTACAAGATAAAACTGCATGCGCTAAGTCTATTGTCACAGCGAGATCGAGGTAGTAAAAAATAAAAGATAAACATTGGAGCCAAAAACAGTAAACTATTTCTAAACCTGTTCACCAACCCACACCATTATGAACTCTAAACCATTAGACCAAGTCCAGTGCGAGTGATAAAATCATATGGGCGGCCCGGTTCTAGAATTTCCTGGCACAAGAGAAGAATAAAGAGGTGAGGGAGAACTACCTCCGGAAGGGGGCAGTCACTGGCATGGCGCTAGCCTTCCCCAGCGACGGCATCCTAGATGCAGTCGACTTGACTTACCGCAGATGTGCAGACGACGATCATGCTGAGAGTCGTACATGGATTTCAACTCGACCTTTGTCGCCGAGTGAAAGTAAGCAACTTCTGCCAGCGCCTTCCGATGGAAGCACTTGCCTGCGCACACAAGCACTGTCGGTGGGAACAAGTCCGTGGCTCACTGCTTCCGTACAACCTACTAACTGGGCGACAGAGGTGGACTACCGGAGCTAGGTGACGTGCAGACGCCGTGCTGTAGCAAGTCATCTCGAAGCAGCGACTGCTGCGAGCGTGGCTCGCTCAAGTCGTTGGCCACGCAGAAATCGTCCGGCAAGCTGTAGTGTTGCACCTGAGTTACATCGACATCACTCACCGTGGACATGCGAGATATGCTCGGTATGCCGGTGACATTGTGTGCTGACATTGGAAGATCATTGGTACTCTGAGTGTGGGTGACTGCTGATGTCTTGCGAGTGAGCACCTCACGGAACTTGCGACCAATGCCAATGGAGATTTTTGAATCGCGAACGCACATCTTTCTGCGGCCGTCAGGAACTTGGATGTGCACGTCAACAAGCTCATCATCTTGCTCATCGTCGTTGTCACTTGGCAAAAGAGCTTCATTTGCAAAGCTACCTGCTCCACTCCCTGGTTCCATAGCCAGGGGAGGTGTGTGAGTAGGGTTTAGTAAATAGGGGAATTCTAGGTTGAGGTCAGCTGCCAACGCAGTTCGTGTACTGCTCGTACTGTTAGCATCCAGGGCTGAGCGGCAGTTTGAAATGACGGAGCGTGCTGATAGCGCGCGGCTGGCATTCCTATGCTTCATATCTCTGTTCATACCCGCGCGTGTACGCATCCTGGAGACCTTGGCCCGGATGGAGTGCAGGCTCTTGGCCGCCTTGCTTGTATGCGTGATCTTCTTCAGCTCGCCAATCTCCTGTACACGGATATACCAATTCGGCGTCACCAAGCCGATAGCACTTCCAGGAAAGCCAGATCTAACCGTCAGCTGCTTTGGCAAGCGTCGCTCAATTAGCAAGATGATGGAGGCAAGCTGAGAGGAGGGCAAGAAGAAACGACAGCAAAAATCTTAATCAAACCAGCACACCATCACCACATTGAGCACCAAAACACCTGAGAAATAGTTGGCTAAAGCATACAACACTCAGACTAAGGCTACGTTTACAATCTTTACATAAGAGTTTTCAACTCAACACGTACATGGATTGACTGGAGCGGCCGTGTGTGGTCCCAAGTTGATTTGGGAAGGGTTGAAGGCAAGGACACGTACAGTCAACTTCGCTTATAACGACACTCGGCGGGGCATCAGCAAAGTGTCGTTATTCACAAAGTGTCGTTATACCCGAAGTCTCATTTTGTATTTGCAGTTGGATGGAACTTTGCTCTGGGCATGGAAATTCTGTCGTTATTCGCGAATTGTCGTTATATCCGCAGTCGTTATTAGCGAAGTTGACTGTACTACCAAACTCATATGCATACACATACTTGGTGGTAGGGTTGCACAACATTGCATGACATTGCACAACACTGCCCCCCCCCCCCCCCCCCCCCCGCCAAATTCATGACATCATCATGCAAGACTCCACACATGGACCTTTGTTGGCAAGCTAATAGTCTCCTCGCCTCGGGCTAGCCCTCTTCATGTACCTGGAAACACACACTTCTTCAAACCGTACCGAGTGTCAACCCAGGTTGAAAACTCTCATGCAAACACAGCCTGTTAGGGGAGTAAAATTACTCCACTCAACCAGTTATGCCACAAAAATCAAAACATGTTTCCAAATGGTGCTCACCTGTCGCTGCCAGACACCCACGCGCTCATCTCGAATCGCCTCGTGCGTGGCTGCCATGGAAGCAATGAGCAGATTGACGAGCGTGATGAGCATGAGCAGCAGGTAGAACACCACCATGATGCTGACCAGCGCTTCGTTGCGCACCTGAGAGTCCTGCTGATTGAAGTCGGCGATGCCCAGTGCCAGGCGGAAGAGGAAGAAATGTGACCGGCCCGTCGTTCTGAAGTTGAATGGCGGCTGCGGAGAGGTGTCGGCAACAAGGTTGTGTAGTCCTGAGCAGGAGGACAAGACAGGTAATTCCACTCCACAGTTATGTACGCAACAAGCCATGACACGGCCCTCACTACTGTCTAGGCAGTTGGACAAGTACTAGTACTCGGACAGAGGCTGATTTACTCTCCATACAGTACTGTAGGGTGCCGAAGAACGGAACGCCGAAGAAGAACGAGCAGGCTAGGATTTCACCAAGCACAGCACACCGATATACACGCCCGTGACTCAACTGTACATACATGACGACGTGTACATGAAACATAAGAAGGGCTTTGCCAGAACTCCCCAGTTCTCCCTTTCCCAAAGGTGCTCTTTTAATTCGCACTTAGTGCTCTTCGCGTCCCTCAAAATATGCTGAAAAAGTGCTCTTATTTCAGTGAAAACAGGCAAAAAGTGCTCTTTTTTCAGGGAAGGATAGCCATGATACATGTTCAGATATGAACCCAAGCTGAGAAATGAATACGCACTCTTCCATTTATCGGTCCACGAAAGGCAAAACAGGAAGTAAAGTTCAAAAAAACCACTTCAGCGTTCTAGCCAAAGGGGGGGGGGGGGGGGGGGGGGTAGGGGGCGCAGCGCCCCCCTACTCTGTTTGCGCGCGCCCCCCCCCCCCCTGTGAAAAATTGCCGCCCGCTACTCATTTTCCGATTTTCGTGTTTTTCGTGCATAGATGGTTCATAAAGGCACATTTGTCTGGGATGAAGTCAGGGATTCGCCCCATACGCTGCATTTGGCGTGGCAAGACAATATTGGAAAGTGGAAAAATGGGATATTGGGTAACTGTTTCCCATGCCCCCTACTATTTTGACCTGGCTAGAACCCTGCCACTTTTTACAGCATTGTGTACAAGCGTCACCAACTTGTTGCCCCCCAAAAAAGCGGCGTGCCAAGGCCCATCGTCGGCATCGAGCAGACGAGCACTCGGAAACTGTGATCGCATGCATGAGCAAACAGATTTTAGCACTTTTTCAGCTAAAAAAGCTCGAAAAGGGCGATATTCACCACAAACGCAATAAAGGGCGAAAGAAACGGGCTTTTCCAAAAAGGGCCAAAAAAGGGCGAGCACCTTTGGGAAAGGGCTACCGACAGTAGTACCGTAGTGTGTCACAACGAACCGTACCACTTGCTGCCACTCGTGGCAATCAACCACCACACAATGGTACATTCCATCACAGACTGGCCTATTTCCCAGAACATCCTTTGCAAGATTTCAGTCGATACGATTGCCACATAAAATGTCGGATAATTCGAACATTGAACTAGTCATGTACGTCTAATTAGAAGTCCCACGAAATCAGCTTACATAGAACGTGTGTTCGGGATACTGAAGTGATTAGAAGTTCTTCCTGGGCAATTTGAGGTTCGAATTATGGGGGGGGGGGGGGGGGATTTGCACTATTAGGCCTGGGTTGTTTATTTTGAGTTCAACATGTTTGGCAAAGTATGTCTTGCGAATGTGGAAAAAAGGAGACAGAGCAGTTCATGCATATACTCCGTGGTGCGAAAGCTGCCCAGAATGTGCAAGACCGACTACTCACCCTTGCTGAATCCCAAATCTAGGACAATGTACAGCAGGAGAAAGCGAAATACGTCGCCAGTCAGCATCTGTGGTAACACAAGATCGAGGGCACAAACGTGTAGATCATGTTGCGCAATTGATTGAAAATCATTCAAAATACATGTACATGTACTCCATTAGGACCAGCATGGCACATGACATTGGGTGCATGTTAGATTTATAGAGAAGATGGTCTCTGGAAAAGTAGGAATCTCCAGGTATCGGCCCTTTGATTTTCTTTCTGCACCGCTTGAAAAGCACATGTACGCATGTTCTTATAAGGCTTCATTCGCCACCACTGCAACAAAAAGAAGAAGAAAGTAGGAAGAGTGCTAGAGGGGACTGGTCGCACTGTAAAAATCTAGACATACCGGTATTGGAAAGATTTGCACTCTGAACACCCAGAACCATTCATATGCACAGAATATCCGTGTAGTATTGTTTCTTCTTCAGTCCAAAACAACATGAGTCCCGAGTCAAACCATGCACAGGAACTAAAAGCCGCGAAGTCCGTTTCACGCGCGCGCGCGCGCGCGGGGAACGGCACATGCTACATGCATAACAAATCACGATGTACTACTACTACTACATGCATCATGAATGTCTGGAGTGGCCAAGGAATGCCACAGCGCGTAGGTAGACGTGAACACTACAATCCGCAAAGAGAGGTCGAGCCTCACCAGTTGTGAGGCGAGGCCCCAATCACCAGTACGAGTGATACTGTTAATTTCACGAGCATTTTAATTTCACAGTGAGCCAGCGTACAAACGTATCCCAAATTAAAACCGGTACGAGATATTCTGGATACTAGGTACTGTGTATAGCACTTGTAGTAGACTGCGGACACTCAGCAAAGTTCTGAATGGAAAAGTCAATTGTCTAGTGATCAACACGTACTCTGCTAACCCTGGTCCACTGTTGTGAGAAGGAGACACGGGTATTGCTGTATACACATTCAAGGAGACACGGGTATTGCTGTATACACATTCAAGGAGACACGGGTATTGCTGTATACACATTCAAGGAGACACGGGTATTGCTGTATACACATTCAAGCCTGCCAATGGGTGTGAACAGGTGTGACTTCAGCACAGGGGATGCAATTCCGAGTATATTTCAGCCGCGTGCACAACGCATACCTTCTGAATCATGACGATGTACGGTCCTAAACGCTGGAAGCCGCGTGCAAAGTAGAGCACGTACGTCCATCCGAGCACCAGTGCCAGTGACTGCGGTATCTCTTCCCGATCGCTGCCGGTTAGACGCAGGGCACAGGCTGTAAACACAAGTGCTGCATAGCACCAGCTGAGCACAAACAATATCACATGCAAGACTGGAAGTGAGCACAAGCCTTTGGCGATCCACATTGCAGCAGCACTGAAGGCAAGAGAGGTAACTATTATCCTGATATAGCAGTTGCTCGCAAAGGACCACAAACCCACACGCCAGTTTTTGTTGTTTTTTCTACAAAGAACACAAACCCGGCTCGAGACGATAATAAGAACAAGAAAGATAACAAAGTTGCATGCAGGGAGAACGAAGAAACGACTAGAACACAGAAGTTGTGGGTTGACAGAACAAACAACTATTGAGTCGGGGCTGACTACTACTAGTATCCACTAGCGCAGCTTTGTAGTCTACTAGTACATCAAGGACATCAAGTTTGTGTCATCTGTGACTAAACAGACTACAGTCGACTCCTGAAATAACGACCACCATTGTGCAGGAGAATCAGTTCTTTATAGCCAAAGTTCCTTATAACTGAAATGCACTCATACCATACAAGCAACACGTCATGACTGGCATGTGGCCCTACAAGATCATGGTTCGTTATAAACGAAAACTGTTCCCAAGAGTACATAAACCAGAGTGTGCAACTGTGCATATCAGATCTGAAACAGTGCAGTTCGTGCACTACGTCACCCGGATGAGGTCAGCCAAGCTGCGACTTGCGTACAGCTCAAATTTTCATGTTTCACAGTCCGGAAATCAGCCAAGTTTGCATGATTTAGAGATTTTAGACGTCCTGTTTTAAGATTTCGGTGTTTTTGTGTGACTGCGTACGCTGTGTACATGCGCTGGCAAGTAAATTCACCATGCTATCCGTCTAAAAAAAACGAAATCAGGACAAACTCAGTGACCTGCACCACTGTGACTGGTTACGCGACTTTTCACCGTGCCTGTGGCTTAGCATGCCGTCAGAAATGACGTACTGCACGAATTACGCTCCTACAGGAACCATCCCGAGTTGCACACTCTGGTTTATGTACTCTTGCTGTTCCTTATAAAGGGTCAATTTGTATGGGTTCAAAGTTCAAACAGGGACATGGACACGGGTTCACTATAATTATATGTATCACAAAATTCGCTATAATATACCGTATATTCTCTATTATAAGCGCCGTGCTTATATTTTTTCAACACCCCTCTACCCCGTGCTTATATTGGAGACCGCGCTTATATTGGAGACCGTGCTTATATTTTTTCAACCAATGCATCCATACAGAGCGAGGAGAAATACATGCTAGATATCATGCATGCAGCATTGATTTCCACCAAGACCGTGCTAATAATAGAGACTGTGCTTATAATGTTTCGAAAGGTGCTCACAGTGTGCTAGTATTATAGACTGTGCTAGTAATGGAGACCTGTGCTTATAATAGAGAATATACGGTAAGTGGAGTCGATTGTATATGGAGGAGTACACATGTACAAGTAATGAGTTAGTTCGCCAACCTTATAGCATGAAATATGCCGGAGCCGATGCTAGAAAAATAGTTCCTGAAGCCCCGTGCAAAGAGATCTGGAGCCTGGTGGTATTGCAACAAAAGACAAGAGAAGACACCACACACCGCAATGATGAACTAACGAGTATGCAAGACAATGCCAACATGGTTATACAGATGTGGCATATGCCAACATATGTACACATACAAAAGAAAAAGGACCTCTCCATCCGAGTCCATACATGTACACATAAGGAGACTTTTCAAATCAATAACATGTATAGTACATATGAACTGCAGCTGATGATGGAATTACATTGTAAACTGCCACACCCCATACAAAGCAAAGGAAAGCCGCCGTAGACTTACCTCCAAAGATATGGACAAGAGTGCGCCACCAACGGCGATCACCTCACCGGCTAATCGTACATAATCAGAGCTTGAAGAATATGCTTCCTTTTGTTGCAAAGAGGCCAGCACACCCACACACACACACACACACACACAGAAATCCAAATCAGTCTATGCCGTGAAAGGGATTCGACACCTACTTAGTATCTACATCAACAATCGTGATAACGATGCTCGGCCTTGCGACTAGTTGGTTTGGAGGCAGCAACATTGTGAATGACCAACGATCCTCGGCGCTTGTTCTGGACCTCGAGGGGCGACACTGACCCACACTGCTGCCTGGTATTTACAAGTTGTGTTTTGAGCTGGAAACGGAGCACTACTGTACATTGATGAGAATACCACAAGCCTGAAGCGGAGAGGGTGTTCAACGTTACTGTACGCCCCGTAGAGGGCGTCCAGTAGTGATGTCAGAGATCATGAATGGACTGCATGCGCCTTATGTACCGGTACACACTCCATCCATGCATGGGCACTTTTCTACCTCTCCCTTTGGCTCTTTGCAGTTCGTTCCACTCCATACTGGGGAATACCTCACGTTCTGCAGTAGAGTCGGGCGCTGATTAACGTGATAAATAATATCCGGTATGACAGGCATCTAAGAACGTGCTATAAGAACGCAGGATTGCTGAAGAAATAAAGAACACCCCAGCTTGACCCCTTGGAAACGATGTTCTTCGACGCACGGCTCTACCGCAGATCGCTGAGCCTGCATGATATATCCACTACAGGCGTGCACCGACAGCTGCTAATTCTACGACCACGCACGCCAACGCAGGACAGGAAAGGCCAGGCCACTTACATTTATCGGTCTCTTCACGCGTGGAAAGCAGGCCCCCGTGCCATTCGGACCGGCCGGTGGCGGGGAGAAAACAACAGAGGCCGGCGTGCAAGGAGAGTACTTGACTGGCCGGTAGTCCAGCACCAACGTGACTATGCTCATGTACATTATATAAATCAGTGCCCACAAGCCGAAGTAGAAGAAGCCGAACTGCGCCCATTTCTGGCGGAGCAGCTGTGGAAACGGCGGCACCCGGAGCAGCTCATACGCCTACACAAAGCAGATGCAGAACAAACAGTGGGAACAGCAAACAAGAAAACAATCACTTGAACGTAAGTCACTTTATAGTTATAGGAGAACAAAAACCAAGTCTCAGCCAGGAGACAACCATTAATTACGACACAAACGTTGCTGGACACTGAAACGAGTTTGAAAGGAGCATGCTGATTATCCCCCCTGAACCAAGACCTGCTCAGCAGAGGCAAGCCGGGCCTCTCGAGCCGAAGCCATCTGGACGACCTAAGACAGTTTGCTGCGGATCGCAATGGATGGCAGCAGATAATCTGAAGGAGTCGCCTTAACTGCCGGATATTGACATACATAATAATTATATTATATTGGACAGAGCTAGAGAACAGCAGCGGAAGCATGTATAGCACGGCTGTGCATGTTGTACGCGTATCTGTGTTATTATTATTATTATTATTATTATGCTGATTATGCTGATTAGTTAATAGTAGTGATTGCCCAGCAACATTCGTACAACTTCACGGGAGGTCAATGGGCTATGGGCCGGGTGCCAATCATGCCCTTTGGGTTGGGTTTCGCTTGGCGCATCTGTACATGTACAGACCGTACCCCCACCAGGTACCCCATGCTGCGTTGCTTCCCAGGTGTTTTCGAGCAGAGGGGGGATTAGATCCAGGTTGTCAAGTGCAGTACAATCCACGATCAACAGCTCCATCCACAGGAATTCCTGCACTGGCATGTATCGCGTGCAGCAGTGCATGCGTCAGTTCAACACCGTATTCTGATGTCTATACCAAAGTTGCTTCACAAAATAGAAATTCGATGAGGTTTTTTTACGGTGCTACATACCCTGTGCGATTGGCTACAGACAATGAGATCGATCACACTCTGCTTCTCGCCAAACGAGTCCAGTTGAGACAGGTTATATACAGCTGATGTCACCGGGCCATATGTCCAGTTATTCGTTTTCTTCTTGTTGACAAGGTGCTGGAAGATCTACATACCACATACAGAATTCAACAAGCAAGAAGGGAGTAATGCATACCAGGGTTCTAGCCAGGTCAATATAGTAGGGGGCGGGCATGGGAAAAAGGTACCCCATGACCCATTTTTCCATTGTCCAAAATTGTCTTGCCATGCAAAATGCAACATACAGGGTGAACCCCCGACTTCACCCCTCACAAATATGCCTTTATGAACCCTCTAGTACTACTAGAGGGTTAGTAGTAGTGACTATCGACTGTATTTTCGTTGAATGGCGTGAAAAAACACAAAAATCGGAAAATGAGTAGGGGGGGGGGGGGGGGCACTTTTTCACAGGGGGCGCGCAAACGGAGTAGGGGGTCGCTGCGCCCCCTACCCCCCTTTGGCTAGAACCCTGCATACAATGCAAACGTTCCAGTCTCGCGTGTACCACACAGGGACACTGCATCTTCCTGTCTACAGCGCGCTTTGGCCAGCTGGTGTGTCAACATCACTATGGACTCACAACCCCTCATCTCACCTCCTACCAAGCTACACGGAGTCAGCTACTATTAAACCAAGCAAACATTTTCAGATGGAAGTGACCAACACCACACACTAGTTGTTTACAATGAACCAACTCTATACCCAACAGCTCAATGCCACCAGTTCTTCATAACTACGAGCAGCTGCTTCTGAACAAGAAAGTCAAAACAAAAAATAAAAACATTACCTCAACATAGCCACCATAGGCAGCCAGCTTCAGAGGTGTGAAGCCATTGCAGTTGAGAACGTCCTCAAGAAAGGAGCCACGGTGCAGGAATGCCTGCTGATCAGCGAGAGTCTCCACCAAGTCATACATCCTGTCACTGATTTCAGGCTTGTTCAGCTTGACAAGTAGATGTAGAATGGAGCTTTTCTGCAGTGAGAACAGGAGCATCAGCACAAATATGAAAAGAGCGTAAAACTCAAGCACAGCCCCCTCCCCCCCCCCCCCCCTACATAATTCGGTTTTTGATCATAATCTTGAAGCTATGGTAGAGTCTTTCATAAGGTCAGAACACAACCAGTGCACAGCAGGGCCATGAGGCAATGAGTGCACAGCAGGGGCATGAGTCAATGTGCCGTAAGAAGAGACAAGCCAGGCATGACATGCAGGAGAGGATTAATGTAGTAAAGTCCACGAGTTTGAAGACTATGTTTCTGGTATGTGGTGCATTATTCTCCTTCCCTGCCAGGCCCAGGGACAAGATATTTCTGCCAGTTTTGAAGCAAAGCAATGTCAATTATGTCATAAAACTGTGCGCGGATAGCAGACAGGTAGAGCCTAGACAAATGGGAACTACATGTAGTTTGAATGCTGCCTGGACTATGGTGCTGCAGACTACTGGCACTGCACCAGCATAACCCGATAGTGTATGATTGTAATTAGTGGTGTGCACGGGTAGTCAGGTACCCGTGCTACCCGTGAGGACCTCGGGTAGACGGGTACCGAATAGTACCCGAAAACCCGAAGACGCAGATGACATCATGCACAGTGCACGTGTACAAATAATTCACGCATGTCTACCCAGTGCGCAAGGGAAGGGGCCGGTGCGCATTGTGGTCTTACCATGGAAACATTACCCGGTCGGGTTCCCGTGCTACCCGTGGAAAACTACCCGGACCCGATACCCGAAGAAAATGCTACCCGACTCGGCCCTAATTGTAATGGTAATGGAGATAAACCGCACAATCCACGTATAAACATCTCTGGTGTTTCTGTCACCTCCGCTCCACCACTACCAACCACAGTGGCGCCATACGCACACCAGGCAGCGATATCAGTGCTAGAAGCACACAGGCACTCACATGACTGTCCTGGACGTAGAGATCTGCGCCGTTGTCGACGAGGTACTGGAGAATGTCCGCCTGGCCGGTGCAGGCAGCAAACGCCACCGGATGCTCGCCATAGTAGAACGAGTTCTTGCCAGCCGACGGGTGGAAGAACGTGCCGACTGCTCGCGGTGCATTGATGTCAGCACCGCGCTCAACCAACTCCTGGACCATGCGCAGGTTCTGGTTGATGATGGCAATGTGCAAACAGTGCTGGCCTGTTTGCGACAAGTGAACACAACGACAAACGGAAAGCAGCAGCAGCACGCACACACATACAGTAAATACTGGATATAACGTGCCCCTTTGATTTCGATAATTTATCACTATATCCGGTGCATCACTATAGCCGATTTGCATGTATGACCCCACACATGACACATGACTGTGCATGAAATGATGCGTACACGCTGGAAAAAGCATGAAAAGCAGCCACGTGTACATGTGGCTGCTAACAGCATACAGGGAAGAGTTTTTCTCTCACTCACGTCTGTTGCCAGATGCATCCAGGCAACACTGGATCAGTTTTGGAAGAAGTGAACTTTATTGGAAGAACACTTGTTTTTGTGATCATCACTCTTGATCATTATATGCGATATTTTCCTGTACATTTGATATGGTTTGCTTCCTGAAACCCATCACAATAAGCGATATATCGATATAGCCGATAATAGTGTGTGACCCTCGCTAGCTACAAGCGAGGGTCCCTGGTTCGAGTCCTGGTGGTGACAGTCAATTTTTTCTTCAGACTTTTCCCGTTTGTCTCTTTCCCTCAAACTAGTGAAAATAGTGTGTATAGTGATATTTTAGCTGTATTTTTTTCTGATATGATTTTGACGAGTTCTATCATTATAGCCGGTATATCGTTTAATACACCCGGTCACTTTATAAACGATACTCACTGTACACAGTCGGATCATCCACAGCGACAACTACTAGCACACATAACTGAGCCAAAGAGATGGGATCTGCAGCCTAGTGGCACACAAGTAGCTCAGGGTTGCAGCCAAAGCAACATAGTGTTGTACTACATCCCAATTGATCTATGAGTGCAGAAATCGCTGCACCCATTCCTCATCCCCCCCCCCCCCCCTCACACGTACGGTTTGTACAGTTGAGATAGATGATGACAATTGTAGACGGCTCTCAATTAAAGAAGAAGTCCTGTTGGTGACAGTCAGTTTTCTCTCCAGACTTTTCCCATTTTCAACTCCCATAACTTATGAAAGGAAGACATGTGACACTCCAGGGGGCCGGCAGCATGGAAAAGAGCACACCGTAACCCAACATGGTCACCTACCACTGTAAAGCATTCCCTCGTAGGTGATATTGATGAGGGGCGGGTGCAGCTCCATCAGCCGCAGCGCAACATCCTCGTTGTCACGCTGCAGGGCCAGATGGAGTGCAGTGTTGCCAACCTCTGCTACCTGCTCCAGGGCACGCATGTCACCATTGAGGGTGGCGACAAACCTATCCAGCAGGTGGATATCATTCAGGTATGCTGCTCCGAACAGATCGCTCTGCCCAATACTAAACACGCGCACGCGCACATACACACCACACACACACATACACACACAGACACACACAGACACACACACACACACACAAGAAGAAGAAGACAAACGCCATTTGAATTTGAACTTTTGAAAGCTGCACACAGGTTCCGCTTTCTACTATAATTATACCAGATACAAACGCAACAATACCAGAATCGATTTTTCAATAGGGTCAATACCTAAAGACCTCTTGCAAGAACATTGGTGTGGCAACTTCGTGTAGCTGTCCCTAGCAGCTGTTTGTTCAATCAGTAACGTGTACGACGCACTACTGTGGTAAGTTGGTACTCAGCATGGAAAGGTCAAAATGTGATTACAACTAGCCATGTGCTGTCAACGATCATGAGTTTCATGTTCCGACATCACCACACATAAGAGTTGATACTGTGACTACAATATTACAACACTTCACAAAGAAGAGTACCTCAGCTCCTGCTTGGCATTGGCTGCATCCACTCCTTCTATATCATGGTCACGATCCAGAGGATGGGCACTAGCACTATGCTTCTGTGGGCGCTTTCCCCAAGCCAGCCTCATGCCATTCTTGATCATATCCAAATACTCGCGGAAACTTGCTGGACTCTCCATAGTTAGGCATGAGGCTTGCTCGTGAGAAAGTGTCCGAGATGTAACTACTCGTTTCCGAATCCACCAGTGTTCACTCAGTCTTCACTTTCGCCCACACAACCCCGAGATCCGGGGGCAACAGCTTTCAAATCATGCCACGCCGGAGCGGCCGAGTCCTTTCACTCTGCCCTACACGAGGTGATGGACGGAATTTCCCCTTGAAGGCCGATTCCAGCCGACGAACGGAAACAAAGTCCAGCAGTTCGTTCGCACTTTGCTGCACTTCGGCTTGTTCCGTGAACGTTGGCTCTGAAGAACACAGCAACGTCCTTGGGAGTCAACAACCTGGTTCGCCTCCTGAGTAGTCACTCTGTTTTCACAAGTTGATTTACAAACGCCCAGACGAAAGTCACAACCTCGCAAAAGCTAGCCTTGTAGCCGTTTACTTGGCCGTTTCAACTTGGCTTTTGGCTGGCGATCTGCTTTTCCATTGCTTCTGCGAAACCTGCATGAAGTCCACAGAATCTCCACGGACATGATGGTGGTACGACGCTTCCTACAACAGTTCGTACCCGTAGATCTATGTTTCGATCTGTGTTGCTTCGATGCGAGGCTAGCCGCGGCCAAGCTACGATGGATCATTAGTACGAAAGAACCGTACGACGTACAGAACAACCTTCCTCTTCTTCTTCTTCACCATGTTTCGTTCGCGACCTGATTCTGAAAACAAAAAGCAATCATCGTCTTGTTGAACTCTTCGATCGATCGGACAAAACGACACACTCGATCGACTCGTATCATCACGACACAACTACAGCTGTACTTACTTGTTACTTGCTCAAAATTAAAACCGAAGAAGGAAACGCTGAATAATGATTTTTTTGAAATGCCCGCCGCGCCATGCGCGCCAGGCGAATGTGCGTGCACGTGGCCGATCCGGATTAGTATAGGGGAATTCCCCGGGTGATTACAAAGAGTCACATTTTCAAAAACTGTTTGAGCAGAGATAAAAATTAGACTTCTGTGGACATACATGTACGTATTCTGTGTGCTGGCATGGCGAATCTTATTTTTGGCCATGGAAGAAGACGGGTTCCAGTTAGTCTGTCGCAAAAAAGCTGCCCGAAGTCGAAAGGTGGAAAATAAACGGTTTCCCGTAGATGACACCGAGACTTGGGATGAAGCTGAACTTCGTGCTTGTAAATCTCGATTGGATATTGCAAGGTGAGAACTAAAATTACTAGTACACGCAATAAGAAGCAATGGATATGTGTAACCTGGCGTGGTTTTGCATTCATTTGTTTCACCTCAGGATAAGGTTGTAATTTATTTCTCTCGTCATTCGCCTCAGCTCATCACTCATCATTTTGTGCTTTGCCTTTTTTATGGTGATTTTATTCACTGCCTGATGAGTGATGACCGAAAAATAACCATTTATTTTTTATTGTAATGCAGCATGCATGACATTCCGACTGCATGGGTAAAGCAGAGCATAGGCATCGGAAGCTACTACTATAACATGTATAATGTACCAAACAATAGGAGGACAGAGGAAGTGTTTTTACTCAGAGTTTCACGCACTAAGCGATCATCAGAAAACAGTAATTGGCCAATTACTGTTTTCTGATGATCGCTTAGTGCGTGAAACTCTGAGTAAAAACACTTCCTCTGTCCTCCTATTGTTTGAACCAGCTCTACCACTCGGTATTGAGCACTCTCTTGGACAGCCTGGAACCTCTCTGTTTTACATGATTGTATAATGTACCGTAGTTCCGCGCATATAAGCCCATGGGCTAATATACGAAATAATGCATTTTCCGGGGAAAAAAATTAGTAATAATGGTTCGTTTTTTTAGCCCTGGGCCTATATTCGAATTTTGAAGGCAGCTGGCACGCGAAAAAGTACAAGTCCGTGCGCGGTTGTCCGCCTGCCGTAGGTACCGGTACCGGTAATGTAGTCAGCACTGACATGCTGTACTATCGGTTCCGTAACGGTGTTTGGGTCTGTTTATTAGCCCATGTGCCTATAAACGGAGGTGGGCTTATATCCGGATATAGGCCCATGGGCTTATATGCGCGGAACTACGGTAGTAGTTTTTTCGATTCGTCGAGCCGCATTCACTGCGCAGGCGAGTGTTCATAGTGCGAAGGCCACATACCCCCCCCCCCCCCCAGTTACATGCACAGTGAAACCTGTCTAAGGCGACCGCTCAAGGGACTGTGCAATGTGGTCCCCGTGTACATGTACGAGTGGTCTTCTTATCCAGGCTCATTTTCACTGGTGGTGACAGTCAATTTTTTCTTCAGACTTTTTCCCGTTTGTCTCTTTCCCTCAAACCAGTTAATATTTTATGACTTGGGGCTCCCCGCATGCTAGTTTGTACGTGAAGTGTGTGGGTTACAGTGAGGGCTGCGTCCCACCCGCCTGTGTGGATTCACAGGAAGTGTGAGTTACGAAGTCTGAAGAAAATGTTGAACGGCCTCTGCTGGGATGACGACTACACCATAACTCAGTGGTTAGAGCATCGCTGGCTACAAGCGAAGGTCCCTGGTTCGAGTCCTGGTGGTGACAGTCAATTTTTTCTTCAGACTTTTCCCGTTTGTCTCTTTCCCTCAAACCAGTTAATAAATAATACCACAGCACGCGTAATAATATAATTATGTGGGTATAATTATACGTTCCACTTCTGTCCTATCTCCTATGATCAAATTCCATTATCAAGATAATTATTAATATGGTGCACTGATGACCTGTGACGCCAGATCATGGATTGTCGGCCAGATTTCTCCATGTACTTCGAAGTAGGCTTGTCCAGAGCGATGGCCCTCACATTCTCCAGCTGATTGCTGCGCTTCAAGTCGATGTTCCTTCTCTGTAAGTCGCTTGTGATGCACGTCGCAATGGATGTCCTTGGACGTCCACGCCCAGCCTTGGCATCTCCTGCAAAATAGCCCGTCAGCGCGATCCATGGCGGCGCATCTCTGTCCATACGGAGAATATGGCCGGTTAGCTGCCATCTTCTCCTGTCCACGATGTCAGATAGTGGTTCCGTGTTGCACCTCTCATACAGCTCAGTATTTGATATCCTGGCTGGGTAGACTATGCCAATGAGCCGTCGGGCAGAACCAGGGCATTATACAGTCGGATGCGCCTCTGCTCACTGACCTTCCCACGCCTCAGCCAGAGGTTATACATCCTGCCGTATGCACTCGAAGCGAGGTCTTTCCTCCGCTCCAAGTCCTCACTGTCGCCAATGAGGGACCCTAGCTGCCTGCTGGACCGCCAGGAGCCTGAAGTTGATGTCAGATGCAAGAATTCGGAATATCGAATGGCCTTGCAAAATGAAAGCAAAATATTGACAATGAGCCAGCAAAATTTTGCGGCAAAATATCGAAGCTTCACTGGCAACATCGAGCTTTGCCTAGTCTGTGCGGCAGAACTTCACATCACATGACGCACCCGTACACCCTATTTGCAGTATTTTGCACCCTGTGCATGATTGATACAGGTTTGTACGCAACCCTGCTTTGGGCTCAACTCTCTTGCGGTCACTTTGCACTGTTTGCCAGAGTAACCTTTTGAGCCATGTCACGTGGTGTGAAGGTCTGCCGTCGCAGCACTGTATAGAGGTTGTGCAGGCAGTTGCACACAGTCACTGTTGGGGGTTATGTACTCTTAGTAGTGTGTATAGGTGTGCCCACCCAAAACTTGCATTTCTCATTCAATGACACGTGGAGACTGTATAGACCATAACTTTTGGCTGTTTACGAAGAACTCACTATAGACTAGAAGCATGCCTAATGGTGCTTTGATTTGTGATTCATGCTATAGGGATGAACTCCGAGCGAGCAAGTTTATGACAGGCTTCCAAGGTAAGCATGTTGTTCATGACCTCACCCACCCACCCCAACAGAGTTCTTCAATGAGATCGTGCTCAATGTCAATGTCACACGGGAAGGTCATGTTGAAAAAAGGTCTCCACGCATTCTATGACCAATGCATTGACAACAACCGCCTCCTAATGTATCTCATCCCGATTGGAAGCTATTCGTTTCTGTGAAGCATAGCTCCACACTAATGATACCGATCGATATTGCTGGTGGAAGTTGGCAAGTACTGTGTGAAGCTTTTATGTTCAAGTTAAACTTCGAAGGAGCGTCCAGCTGTGGATATGGCTGATGGGGATTGAAACAGATCTGCAAAACACACACACACACACACACACACACACACACACACACACACACACACACACACACACATGTACCCAATCTGCTGATATCCTTATCTGTGCTTTTGTTCACAGCGAAACTTGACACGCTAATCAGCATATGGACAACAGCTAAGTTGCTTGGCACCAACCCAGCACCAGCTACGGGTGGCGGGTGCGACCAGGATGCAACCAAGGGCACCGAGCACGAACCCGGGCGCATCGATGTGGTGTGCTACGGGATTGGTCCGTTCGCGCAGTCTCTGCAGGCGCGTCACCAGATGGGTGCCCTGATGCTTCTTGTGAAGTACTTGCAGGTGCGGTGATAGTAGCAATAGTAGTAGTAGTGCAGGGAAACTTACATAAGTTATAAACTAATTTCATATCCCCTACAACAATTTGAAGAGGATGAATAATTCGTTGCAACTCCAAGTTTCACGCACGAGGCGATCAGCAGGCAACAGTAATGAGATAAATCTGAATGCTGGTTTATTTACCCACAGATTACAAGTAAAGGTGCGTATCCCCTATAAATGAGCGGCTAGACACTACATGTACTAGAGAGGTCCTGCTTCATATGAAACCTGTAGAAATCACTTAAAATTCATATGAAACCTGGAGAAATCACTTAAAGGGGAAGTTAAGGCAAAAATTAAAATTTCACCAGTTGTAGTCTTCGGGGTGCTGAGTCGAATGGTCTTGGTCCAAGAAAGCTGAGAAGCTCCCTTCCTACTTGAATCCCAATCGAACTCGCGCACTTCCGCCGAAACTGGGTGACTGCGCCCTACTAGAGGGGGATTTGTATGCAAAATGTCACTAAAAGCGCCATTTCGTTCTTATAAAAGCACGGATGACCGCGATTGGCCCATATGTTGTAGTCTTTTGGACGCTGAGTCGACTGGTTTTGGTCCGAAAAGGCTGCGATGCAGCGTTCCTCCTTTATTCCCAATCGAACATGGTTGAACAAGCGGTCACGTGCTCCTGGGTGCCCAAGTCACCTGGTCACCACGCCAGCAGGCGACAACTTTCACACCAAGGTTCAACTCGAGTGACAGGACTGCACCCAAAAAAGGTCAAACAGGCTAGTAAGTTGTACCCTGCAGGCACGGTGACCAGGTGACTGGTGTACGCAGGAGCACGTGACCGCTTGTTCAACCATGTTCGATTGGGAATAAAGGAGGAACGCTGCATCGCAGCCTTTTCGGACCAAAACCAGTCGACTCAGCGTCCAAAAGACTACAACATATGGGCCAATCGCGGTCATCCGTGCTTTTATAAGAACGAAATGGCGCTTTTAGTGACATTTTGCATACAAATCCCCATCTAGTAGGGCGCAGTCACCCAGTTTCGGTGGAAGTGCGCGAGTTCGATTGGGATTCAAGTAGGAAGGGAGCGTCTCAGCTTTCTCGGACCAAGACCATTCGACTCGGCACCCCGAAGACTACAACTGGTGAAATTTTAATTTTTGCCTTAACTTCCCCTTTAAAAAGAACAGGTGTCTAGGTTAGAGTGTATGATTTAGCCTGTTTGGGGTTCAGATTTCCGCGTGGAGATAAGGGTCTCTAAGTTGTGGCTTACGCAAAGAAAATGCGTACAGGTCTGTGGCGTATCGGAGCAGGCCTTCAGGAAACAGCCGAATTTGGTACAGGAAATTCCCAGCAGCACGTTCCACATGTCTTAGTGTGAACGTGCATGTAGAGCGGAACATCTTCTTCACAGCCAGTCATTCTTGCAGGCATTTGCAAAGTGAGACAAAGGCTTTCTCATGTGGGAAATATGTAGGTTGTACTGGGCCGTTCAGGGTGAACTTTCATCTGATAGCGTGCTTGGCTTTGTCAATTTGACGAGTGTCTTTTTGGTGCATTGTGTTGCATGCGCAGGACCGGCACTTGCTGCAAGACCGTTTCCTGTATGATCCAGTCTTGCAGCGCGGAGAGGCTGACATTGTACAGGAGCTTGGCTTTGAGCTGATCAAAGTGAACGAGGTAGGCTCTGTGCATGTGCATGCTCTCTCTCTCTCTCAGTCATGTACCCGGACAGTGCAGCCGTGTACATATAGTCCAAAAGGCATCTTATGGGGTGTTCATGCGCCTCGAGCAGAGAGCTAGCTCTCAAAACAGCTAGTAGTAATAAATTGCTAGGAACAGATCCACATCAGGATTGTCCAGTCACTGTATCGCATACATGCTCCTGGTCGAACTGTATGGATTGGTGTACACAGTGTAAACATCCTGCCAGTGAAACCTTGAGCACCACTATACTAACTCTGTGCTGTCGTCGGCATGTACCGGTGTGTCGCTTGCATACAGGAGGGCCGTCGGCGTGTCGTTCGGCCCACGCTGTTCTTCATGCCTCACTGTGGTCGCTCACTGTACGAGAATGTCCTTGCTAGCAACTGGTCATGTAAACAGCTGCACTTCGTCGCCATCATTGGCAATGAGTTCTCCTCCTATCTACACAGGTAAGTAGACTGGTACATGTGCTGCTCAAGTAGTAATGTGTCGGCACATACTGACTCGGTACAGGCGCATGCTGCAGATTGATAGGGCAAGTTTGTAATGTGCATGGTTTTATGATTGTGGGCAGTGCATTGGTCATCAGTATACGGTGTCTGTTGATACCGTCAGTCCCTTTTCTGCACCTTGCCCTCACCCACTTACTGCGGCATGGTGAGCCCATAGGTGGGATCATTTCCAAGTGCACTCAGAGTCTGGGGATTTCAGGGGGCGGCGGCCATTGGGCGCAATAGATGATTAGTTTATCTTTCCAAGATTCCTTTTGAATCTCTCTCCTGCTCCCTGGGAGACCCGTATGACCAGATTCTGGCAGTGAGCAAGTATAGTGTGTGTGTGTGTGTGTGTGTGTGTGTGTGTGTGTATTTGTGCGTGTGTGTACATGTGTGTGTGTGCACACCTGTGCATCTGTGTGTGCATGTGTGTTTGTATTTTAGAATGCCAACCCATGTATTTCGATCCGAAACACCTCACTTAGCGCACGGCCAGAGCATCGTGAGTGAGCTTGAGATATTGCCTGGTGAGTTTATGGAGTCATTCAATGATTCTGCACTGCATGTCTTCGACCAGCACAAACTGCCGGCAGAGGGTGATGCGTTCTGGACATGTAGCGTGGGTAGCTTTCAAGATGATGACCATGTCTCGTCACAGCAATTATCTGGCTGGAGGTGGGCAACGTGAGCAGGAGCAGGGAATGGCAAGCAATTGTCAAGGCCTAGTCTCTAGTATCGGTCTCTGAATCCTGTGCTCCTGAAGTAGTCTCAGCAATGACGCCGAGTGGCACGTTAATCGACCAGCTTAGTGTGTGGTGCGCGACTGAACTCCAGATACCACAATGCTACTAGCAGTACGGTGACATTGAAACACACACAGGACTGTATAGGTGGGTGGTAGCTGTCAGTCTGGAGACACACGGAGACTTGAGTTGAAGTGATCCACAGGTACTCGTATGGGCTTTTCGGTGGAGGAAGCACGTCGGCAAGGCACCCAGTGACTCCCCAGCTATGCAAGGTAGCTGGTGACTCCCCAGCTTTTGCAGGGCACACAGTGACTCCCTAGCTGTGCAAGGCGTACAGTGACTCCCCCAGATTCGCAAGGCACCCAGTGACTCCCCAGCGTTGCAAGGCACCCAATGACTCCCCAGCTTTGCAAGGTACCTGGTGACTCCCCAGCTTTGCAAGACATCCATTGACTCGCCAGCTTTCTGAGGCACCCGGTGACTTGCCAGCTTTGCAAGGCATATAAAACTCCAACATCCAAGCAATGCAGTCACCGATGACATCAACAGTAGCATTCAATCATGAATGCTACATGGCTGCTCTAGCCTCATTTACTATTTATACACATGTCCATATCAGAAGAAAGTGGCTTAGAGTGCCTACCTATCTTTTAACCTACTAGGCAACGACAGTCAAGGTCTCTCCAGAGCCAAGGAAATGCTCAATAACAGCATACTATTCGTTTCGGACAGTCTAAAAGAGCTCGCATGCGGGAGGCTGCACAGCGGTCTATCAGTCAATGAGGCATATTCAGACCAACACCTTCTTACAAACCTGTGAGTTTGAGGCTTCTTAGAATTTACCTCACGACTACTAATATTGTCTCTTTGCGAACATGATCTGCTCATGATCTGCTCTTGATCTGCTCATGATCTGCTCTTGATCTGCTTATGATCTGCTCATACTTGCCGTAAGTGGGAAATCGAAATTTGTGAAAATAGGTAAATACTCCAGGTGTGTTAAGAATGAAATAAACAGTAGAAATTGAATAAATGTGCTGATACTTCTTTTGAAGTAGTTCTATTTTTTAATTGTTGCTACCCATTGACGTCATCTGATTGGTATTCTACTCTGCATATACCCTGTGTACAGTTTATCATGAACATGAATTAATGGAGGTTGTCCTGACACTGATGTACATTGTACTACGTCAAAGTACCTACACTAACTAGTGGGCATATGCTGTGCATTGATGGCGACTGCTAAACAAAAAAAAGAGATTCTCAATTACCTGCATGATACTTGCCCGCTACAACAGATGGCCGTGCGCACGAATCATGATGCTAGTATATCGTTACAAAGTATATGTACAAGGAAGGCCCTGGTGCCATTACTCAGCTGCAGGCATCCAGCGTGGTTCAACTCACAGGTCCTCTGTTGTTGCAGGCGTAGCGTTGCCGAGCGCTTGTCCTGTGGTGTACTGCGGTGCGGCGGGCAGGTGAGGAGACTGACCGGCCGGTCGCTATGCCTCTTCTTGCCAGAGATCTTGTCCCGACACGGACACGGTGTCGTCCAACATCGGCTGTGACTGGATGCTGGTCTCGGAGTTGGGTAGAAGTGGCTTGCGCTGGCACTTGCGCAAGTGCACGTAGCCGACGATCAGCAGCGCTACACCTACAATACTGCAGGCTATCAGTATACCAGTGAGAGCTCCGCCGGATAGCCCTGTTCAGTGCCAACCACACAATGTACACACACACAGCCATCATCCGGCATGTCCAGTGAGATTTCACAACGATTACTTGGCTCCTATCCGGTGGAGAAGGACAACTTCCGATCGACCAAGTCTACAAAACTGTACTCATTGTCATGGATAACTGAGGGCCGAGGGTGCGTTGGGTTTTAGCCTGTACAGAGCTGGTCACAAGGTCAGTAGAGCACACTGCAAAGTCATCAAACTACTTCGAAAATAGCTGCTGATAAAAGAATCTATCTCAGATGATTCGCATTGAAGTGTATTCCTTGTTACCTTTTTCTGGAGGTGTGGTAGGGCCCATCGTTGGTGCTGGTGTTACTGCGGAGGGCACGCAAACAAAGAACATGGAACGAAACAAGGCATCAAACTGATACTTCGCATCATATTATGAAAGATTCTAGTATGTAACTCAGAAGTAGCGACAAACTCGGCCATTTGAAAATAAACTGAACCGTCCACCTCTCCACACTGTGCTCTTGGCCCACATTCACAACACCACACACCATAGCGAGGAAGTTCGTTCTTGGGATGGATGAATGCCAAGTGCGGTCATTGGACACTTCCAAAAGGTCTAGCATTACCGACAATAGTCTGGCCCTCAGGTGATCCACAATGTCTGTGGTTACAAACACCACAGTAACAATCGACATTCTTTGTTCCGTTGGGACTGTAGCTTGTGCTCGTTTTTGTTGCGCTTACCTTCCCCTCTTTGGTCTTTCCATAACCTTGAACCTTCCGAGTTGGAAGGCTGTCGGTTAGCACTACGGAGTTGTGTTTAAGCTAGGTGTCAGGACGTCGAATGTCTCAGTACTCTGTCAGTTTTGTGCCTAGTTGTTGCACTTTCTGACTGTATATCGTATCTGGTTACAGTGATGGAGAGTTACTCTTAACTCGTATCCAAATGTCCTTTTCCTTTCTACATTTATATATTATTGGCTCAACATCCGAGTTTCAGATAAAGGAATGAGTATATTTATAAGGTTAAGTGGCGCAATTGCAATATGCAGTGAAGAGACCGTGTTGAGTGTTGTTCAGTTGAGGAACCCTGATACTTGTACTTACTACTTACTGAAGTTTGACTGTAATGAAGACATGGGCATGCATCGTGATGCACTTTGTTGGCAACTGTCATTGGACTCACCTGCTTGTGCAGCGATGACTTGCCGGTACAGGTCGCGTAGCTGTGCATGGTCCGGCGTTGGCCAGTCGTCCAGCTGTGTAGCCCATAGGTCCACATGGTAGTCACCGGGTATGTTGTACCAGTCACGCGGCAGAGCACACTCGCCCAGGCTAGCCACGTACATCTCAAAGGTAGTTAGGGTGAACTGAATCATTAGAGGATAGATAGGACACAAACACAAACACATATACACACCAAAAAAGCACGACTTCAAATAATGTAGCAACACGATCGTGTGCTTTGCAAGTTACTATTAAAAGTGTACAGTATAGCACATGGTTGTGGGGATGGAAGGGGGGGGGGGGGGGGGCAGACCGTGCCCCCGTTGGTGATCGTATTTGCACATCTTTATGACTACTTCAAAAAAGTAGAATACTCGAACACTACAAGTAGCATGCTGAGTTACCGTAGCGGGCACCGGAAGTCTGTCCAATTCTGGGAACGTTGTGTTGGCCCTGAAAATGATCTTGCCGAGAAATTCGGACAGTCTGATCTGCAACACAGAGAGACCGTGCCCCCGTTGGTGATCGTATTTGCACATCTTTATGACTACTTCAAAAAAGTAGAATACTCGAACACTACAAGTAGCATGCTGAGTTACCGTAGCGGGCACCGGAAGTCTGTCCAATTCTGGGAACGTTGTGTTGGCCCTGAAAATGATCTTGCCGAGAAATTCGGACAGTCTGATCTGCAACACAGAGAGACAAAGAGAAAAGGCATGTACAAGCCGAACCTACGCCATCGCCGTGCCAAAGCCAGGTACCTACGCATGGTAGCAGGAGTCCAGGAGTATGCAATTGTGGTCTCTTTCTTTTGATCCAGCTGTTCGGCACACTGCCTCTTGTGTAATATTTTCATTTTATCATGCGACTCTGTCCGCACAAAGTGGAAAATCAAAAACCACACGTTCCATACATGTACTAACGTTCGTACATGTAGCTGGAAGCTAGTCACAGCTGCATTCCCTTGGCTATGGACTCTGGATGATAGCGCATACAACGGCAATTTTCTACCCGTATGAAATGTTATGTATACAAATACACTAGTCCACTCATGCAACACTGGACAGTTGGACAGGCTTTCGTATATTGTGAAACTGTGTACATTGCTTAGACAACTTCACGCCATGCATAACCCCCAGGTTGGCGGATTGGTGATCACCGCACTCAATGTAGTATCAGATTTATTGCTTAGAGTGCGTACCTTCTCCAACTCCTCAGGCCAGTCCTCGACAAAACCTCCGGTGAACGACGTGTCCATTGGCTCGTTGTAGACTCCACCGAGTGTGGTTACCTTGGCTCGTCCGTCTAGCTGCAGCTTGGAGAGCAGCAGGGCACACGCTCCGCCACACGTGCCGTCCGTCAGGAACAAGATGTTCCGGAAGTAGGTCTGCACGGCAGTCCAGAGATGCTCCTTCTCCGTTGCTGGCACCGTAGTGAAGCAGCTCTCGTAGCTAGACAAACAGACACGTGTAAGCGAATACTGACAGGCTTGTACATAGGCTTGTACATATGCACGTGCACGTGCGCACACACAGTGACACACACACACACACACACACACACACACACACCTACCCCCCCCCCCCCCCCACACACACACACACGTGCGCGCACACACACACACACACTCAAGCACTTACAATCTCTGTGAGTAGTTGGACACCGTTCCGCCGCGTAGGTACTGCACTGGCTGCCGATAGTACGCCAGGTTCTCGTAATTGCTGCCGCTGGGACGATTACGCTGTGTCATCGGGTACCACTCATAGTATCGATTGTTGTAGGAGTATGGACTGCGTGTCAATAGGTTAGTCAAGGCAGTACGAACTTCTTTCAGTTGGGTGTCGGGATCTGCAGCACAGTAAGGAAATGATCACCATCGGCTGGGTGCTTAGTTACTGTTCTGTCGAGCCAAGAAATCCAGCGGTACTTCAAGGACCCTACCGGTCATGTATATTATTCTCGCACTGGCTTTCAGCAAACTATAAGTATAACACGCACCTGAGTTGCGTGTGTTCTAAGAACCAAGTGGTTTCGTTCAAGACCTCTGTGTTTAGCAAACTACTGATTGTGTATGTGTGGCATTGTGAGTCAAAGCCAGTAGAAATACAAGACAGTGCAGCCATCACCCAACTACATTCTATTACTTAGGGATGCAACGTGTTTTCGTTTGAAAGCCCAATGGCAATACTGCACGTGTTGTCGGCACCATGCGAGCAAATTCAACCTACACTCTGCAAGCTGCACCATTACACACACGGCACTGGTTGTACATACCAATACTACATTTTTTGAGAGGACTTTGAAACTCCGCTGTAGCCTTGTCATCTTTCCACGCAACGCCTAACCCGCAACACACGAACAGTCCTGGACTACACATGAACAGTCCTGGACTACACCTCTCAAAACGATTGTATCATCACTACAACTGTACATTATATTCAATTATAATCATGTTGTATTTGTAATGCAAGGAAATGCATACCCGAGATGCCCATGGCCTTCTTCAATGGGAAGATCAAATGTGGCTGCACCACGCCCAGGTAGAAGATGGAGAGGCTGGGGTCGAACATTTCCGCAAACTCGCTTTCCCGCGTGACGACCATTTCCAGCAGCTCTTCAACTTGCTCATACGTCAGGTTCTGTGTGACCGCACGCACCCAGCGCTGGCTGGCAAAGGACTCCAGCCAGCGATCCCACACTGCACTGGCCTGAAGCACAAGCAGAAGTGATGGCAGGCAATGTTTATGCGAAAACACTGGCCAGTATACACTCTGTACTCTCCACACCGTCAGCACAGTTAACTGTTACCTTGGCAAGTCGGACACTCACCAGGAGACAGTCGTGTGCAGCGGCTTTGCACCACAGCCATACATACAGAACGGCGACCACCCGGCTGCAGCGTTCTCTACTGACTTTAGGGTTGTTCCCGTCTGTTCCATGCATCCATGGTTTGTGGCATGATGCCGTGCTACTCTCTCCTTCATACTTGTGTGCTCGAAGTAGTCAATTGGGATTACAATTCAGTGCCTGATGTGAAGTCAGAATTGAGTGCCCGTGTGCAAAGCCACTCGTCACGGCCTGTAACTACCTGTAGCTGTATACCTGTACAGCGTAATTTCAATCACAAACCTCGTACTCAAATTGCTTCAAGAGTATTTGGACCGTGCACCCCCACACACACCACATGTACTGTTGACCAGCCAATGTTCATTTTACTGCATTTGCTTAGCACTCTTACCGCAGTGTGATACACTCGAGTTGCACATGCATGGGACCAATACTCACTTTCATGTCATAGGTAACACAGCGAGCTGCGTCACTGGTCTGATATTCTGGTACAAGTGCTCCCAGCAACCAGTTTGTTAGCTGCAGCTGACCGCCATTGTCGCCAATCACATCGAAGAGAATAGTATCGATGCCTCTCTCCTTGGCTAGCTTAGTAGCCTCCAGGAACAGCTATGCAAATTGAGAATGCGGGAAAAGATAGCCGGAGAAAAGTCTCATTGGAACACACTTGCGTACAGTCGGACAAGAGCCAGCATCATCAGGGAGTCAGCCACGGGCACAGGTAATCAATGAATCAATGTTGGCCAGTATAGGACAGGTAGTGTTTACCATGGTTACCATGGTTACTCACGTATCTAGCGCGGTAGAGCAGCTGAGCATTGGATGGAGAGATGCCAAACTCTCCGGGCAGCTTCAGCACCAGGGCTTTATCCACCTCGAATGCTACGATCACATCCTCAAAGGAGATGGACAGGGGCTTGAGATCTGTACAGTGGGGGAAAGCGAACCGGAATCAATTAATTTTGATCTCCGGACCCTGCACTGTTTCCGGTTGACCAACTGACCATTCCTTTTCTCTGAAAATAGACGTGTCAGACAATTTCAGGGTTTTTGGGTTCTACATTTCAGAATTGAAACAGTGGGCGTGTTCAAAAGACTCAGACTCCTTACCCGACTTCTCATATATATTGGCAGTCTTCTGACGAGCCAGATGTTGAATTAATAATAATAATAATAATTAAAAAGCTTACGTGGAGATAAAAATGTAATCAACGCAATAAATAGAGTAAGCTGCCAGCTGATTTGCCAGTAATCCTCTGATGAGATGGCGACGAAAACGTTTAGGAACAAGCTTAGTTATTTACATGAAAACAAGTTTTGCTAATGGTGTTTGTACTGAGTGCGCAGCTTACTCTATTTATTGCGTTGAATAATAATAATAATAATAATTGTTTCTGTGAGGTGGTCAGCCGTGGCAACCGTGAACAACGTAATTATTTGAATGGCCTTTTTGATCTAGTCCATGCGGTGGAAATTCATTGTCAGGACATGTGGGATACTACTAACTCAGTCCTCAATCTGAGGCTGTTTTGGCTTATCACGTTAAAACAGTATCAGCCTGTAGCTGTAACATGGCATTGTTACTGTGTTGGAATGTGAAGACCATCACTGATTTGCTGCCACACTCTGACTATGCATAGCTGTATGTGTACATGACTGTAGTGGGTGCTGCTTACCCCAAGTTGGAATCTGTGAAGACAATGTCCGTGCCGTCTGGTAAGCAAGAGCCGTGTCCAGTAGGTTGGACAGCTTTATAGCATTGATTACCGAACTGAACAGAATATCATACAAATGGCACAGATAAAATGGACAACATTTCCCCATCCATAGTTTATCCACAGTTTATACAGTAAAGTGAAGTTCTCCGTCCACCCTGCACTCACGCGTTGCGCACACATCCGCACACTCACTCATACGTGTACACCACTGTTGAACACGTGAACATTGCCAGTGGGGGCCACCACAGCACAAAGACAAAAGAGACATTTGCGATGGCCCCAGAGCTTTGTGCACAGAAAGAAAATGTGTTGTCTCTGCAAATGTTTGGTGCTATTCCTCATCGAGGTGTGATCAATGCCACACAACTTGTTCACTACGTTGTTAGAGAAGGGAACGAAAACGTTTGATATCTGATGTGAAGTATCTTCTGGACTGGATGCGTTAATTGCGTGGATGCATGCGAACTCGACTAGTTCTAGAATTTGTTCACAACAAGACAATTCAGTCTTGTACTGCACTGTACTTCTGCCATGTTCAGCATCCCCTCCCCCCCCCCCCCCCCCCCTTCCCGCCAAGTTATTATTGATAACTACTCACTTCATATGTGTCAAAGTTCGAGTTTTGAATTGAATTGCACATTCACAGAATAAGCCTTTAAATTGTAAAAGTGCAAGACAGCCACCATACTCCTAGGTTTGCATCACTTCGGTTGTCTACCAACATACTTTTGCCGGCTTGATATGTAGCGAGACACTTGCTGTACGCCACTGGATGTGAGCCGTGGGTCCGTGACGACCGCTACCAGTGTAGCTATAACTTCGGCACCGTCCTGCAGTGTGTACACCTCCGTGTCCTGGCCTGGTAAGTCATGCTCACCCAGGCTGAAGTAGGTCTGCTTTAGCAGCTGATTAAAGCGTACACCGCGTGACTTATGGAAACCGAACCGATCAGCTTGTGTCTACGCAAGGGAGAACAGCGAGGAGATCAACATCAGCGGGCAGAGCTGCAATGCATTACAGCAGCCCTATGCTTGAAAGAAGCATTCAACACTTGTTTCATTGTATGAACATCTGCATTCCAGCCATGTATCTGTGTAGATGCAGAGGGACTCCAGGAGGGAGGGAGAGAGAGAGATGGGGAAGGGGTTTCAAATTCCAAAGATTTTGACGTTGTCAATGTTCAGTACCAAAGAATAACAGCTTATATGTTTATATAAATTGTTAGTCTATGTGGCATGCGCTGGGGATTAGCAAGGTGATCATCTAATGTCACAAATACCTGCTGTAACGTTAGAAGAAATTTTCATTTTTATTCACAAAAGGCGTTGCTCAAAGTCAAACATTGGCCTTTTGTTTGGCATTCAGTACCTCGCTCGGAGAGATTGTGGACCATCAACCCAGGCACCACATTTCATTGTGGTGTGTTAATACATGATTGTACACATAATCATGCATTGATAACTTATATTCATGGGTTTGAGGGAAAGATGTAAACGGGAAAAGAAAAAAATGACTCGCCACCAGGACTCGAACCAGGGACCTTCAGCGATGCTCTAACCACTGAGCTATGGTGTGGCTAGTGATATCCACTGAGCTATGGTGTGGCTAGTGATATCCACTGAGCTATGGTGTAGCTAGTGATATCCACTGAGCTATGGTGTGGCTAGTGATATCCACTGAGCTATGGTGTGGCTAGTGATATCCACTGAGCTATGGTGTGGCTAGTGATATCCACTGAGCTATGGTGTGGCTAGTGATATCCACTGAGCTATGGTGTGGCTAGTGATATCCACTGAGCTATGGTGTGGCTAGTGATATCCACTGAGCTATGGTGTGGCTAGTGATATCCACTGAGCTATGGTGTGGCTAGTGATATCCACTGAGCTATGGTGTGGCTAGTGATATCCACTGAGCTATGGTGTGGCTAGTGATATCCACTGAGCTATGGTGTGGCTAGTGATATCCACTGAGCTATGGTGTGGCTAGTGATATCCACTGAGCTATGGTGTGGCTAGTGATATCCACTGAGCTATGGTGTGGCTAGTGATATCCACTGAGCTATGGTGTGGCTAGTGATATCCACTGAGCTATGGTGTGGCTAGTGATATCCACTGAGCTATGGTGTGGCTAGTGATATCTTTCAATTTTGTTCCAGACACACAGTACTAGCGCAGTTGTGCTATTTTAAAGTGAAATCTGACCCAAACATGTAAAATGAATGTTAATGTGTGTCGTGAACTTTATTGCACTGTCATTGACAACGTACATGGAATTGCTACGACTGCTGCTGGATGTGCACGTCACGACAAGCATCGGAAAAATAGTGATGTAATGGGAACTGGTCACGGGTGTCAGGTTTTTTTTGCACTTTGGGTCAGATTTCACCCGGCACAATTGTATATAAAGAGCGCCGGTACTACGGAGGATTAGCAAGACGAAGTTCGCGTTCGCAAACATTTTTCAGTTCGCGAACTGGATTGCGAACTTTCGCATTTTTCGTTCGGAAAAGTAGTCGGAACACGAATCGCGGATTCGTGTCAGGGCAGTCATAAATTTGCCACGCTGTACTGTCTGTACACAATGTACGTCGTGTCAACGTCCTTCTCATAACGCGAATTCCATCATTGAGTTCGACTTTCCTTGGAGAGCGAACGCGAACGCGAATTTCGTCTCGATAATCCTCCGTATTAATTCAAGTGTTACCTTGAGATAGGTCAATGCGTCCACACCGTTGATTCTGTACACGCGCCGTCCAACAAAGTCTTTCCAGGAGACAGTGACCGCGAGTACCTGGGTGGCATTGAGCAAGCTGTACAGGGGGTTGACCTTGGAGAAGAACACCTGCTGTTCGGGCGTGGCACCTGGCTGCGGCGTCACCAGGCGCGTGGTCAGTACCATTGGACGCACATAGTGGAACGCTTGCAGCGGCGAGAAGAAGCGAGTGTGCGCGTCGTTGAAGCCACGGAACGCCGCCGACAGAGTCTGGAAGAAGTCGACCGGGGAGGCCTGACGACGTGCTACATCCAGGGCAGGTAAGGCGTCATACTGCATCCAAATGTGTATGGTCACCGGTAGAGAGACAAAACACAGCAAAGATAACACACAAGGACACACAGTTTTAAGGAAATACCAACTTGCGACGCACTTCGTCAGCCTGCATGGACTTTGGTATCGGATCCAACGTAGACCAGCACTGTTCATAAACACATGCACTGTGACAGTGTGCACTGAGTCTGTGATGGTGTGCACATTAGTCAATAGTCAATACATCCTACGGGCTGGTGGGTGGTGGCCATGGCAACCTAACTCATACTGAGAAAATATGCAAGTCTCCAGCTTCACTCATGTCATGAGCTTGCACGCATTCACTTGCAGGGTTGAGCAGTGCAGGCCCTCTGGAACAAAGCATATGAAAGGCTATGGTATGTCGGGACCAATCCGCTGTGTTCAAGTAGGAATACAGCCTTGTGTATACATTGTGCTGTGCATTCTGCCTGAGAAGATAAGGCTTGGAATTTTTTAAACATGAATATCGACGGACTTGCCCCTTCTGTTCATGCATTGCCCTGCTCTAGTAATGGTTCATGAATCCGCCCAGTCCACATTCCTTCTCCGTTTCTCTCTAGTAATGGTTCATGAATCCGCCCAGTCCACATTCCTTCTCCGTTTCTCTCAGTTTTCCTTTCCTTTCAGTTGCATCTTCCTCTCTGCTCTGTTTTATTTTCTCTTTTCGTTCGTCCCTCTTGATATTTGTACTTTGTACTGTTGAGGCAACGAACTGAAATAATAAAAACCAACCAAACCAAACCAGAAGCCATCCTCTACTTCAGACTGTGACCATAATTATCAGGTCTGGAGTGCACTATACTGTAACATTAAAATCGGTTTTAGTACTCCCTGGCCTGAGTCTAACCATCCAAGTACAGTGTATCGAGTACATCTGCTTGTAATGCATGTCGAATGCACGTGGAAATTAAATTTGCATTGGCCTCACCTCTAGCTTATGAACACTGTACTTCACTCCAGGGCAGGGCGTCGCGGCGGTGGAGTTTCGGGCGAGGTCCACGAACGCATAGAGGTTGGTGAGCTTGAGACGCAGCGACTCCACCACCTCGTCCCGCAGCGACTGCGGCAACCGGTCCAGACTGCGCAGGCACGCTCGCACTTTGGTCAGCGTCGTGATGGCCACGGGAAAGTAGGTGAAGTTGCCGACTCGAACATCGCCAGTAGGTAGGATACAACACTGGTCTGCTGATTGAGCTGTACACGACTGGCCATTACAACCGGGCACAAACGCAGCCATTAGGCAAACTACAACGGTAACTACCACTCCGGCCTGGGCCCTGCTCGGAGTTGGTAGCGGCAACATTTCTCGCAGCTAGCGCACTCCCGATCCTAAAGCGACGTTTCGTATTCGGCGCTTCCAGTCCCAATTTCGGTGTGTTATTACACTGGAATTTGTACCGGTGGGCTGCTTTGCAACTCAAGGTCCTATTCTCAGCGCTGAGGAGAGAACTGCCCTCTCTTCCACCAATGGTGTTGCCTCCTCGGCTGGTCCGCAAGACGACGAATATGAATAAACCAAGATTTGAGCACCTGTACCTTCCTGTCCTGGATCCGAACTATGGTCTATGGACACGTGCAGCAACAAGGCCAAAGCAAGGCAGCGGCGCGGCCTGGGTGCTCGGATTATTTTTTTATGAACCATGACGACCACGAAACTGACATCGCACGAGCTCACGTGAGTTGGGTAGAGCGCCTGTACAGTGTACTAGTCTAGTAGTGCTGGCAACTGAAATCCGACCCCCTGGACGGCGGGGCGGATTTCAGGTGCCAGCACTGACTGTACTCTCTCTCTCTCTCTCTGTAGAGTAGCTGTGTCACTGTAGATCTACCATGCCATTCATGGTGGCGTCGGATCCGGGAGTGGAGACTTTGTAGTGGCACAAAGACGTAGGTAGAACAGCTGATCATCTTGTCCATGTCAAGCTTCGAAGATAGACCGTTTCTTGACACGCAACCATTGCAAGACCGTTGCGGCCCCAACCATGCCAACTCACTGCAGACCACCGGAGCATAGCGAAGATCCTACTCACTGGTCAGTGGTGTTCCTGAATCTCCGCGACGCGACCAGCGTTTTTCTTACCATACACTCTGCACCACTGTCCAGGGAGTCGTCACTAGTAGTATTTGACGACTCCCTGGGTGCCCCAAGCCGCAAGTTTTGCAGGGGCATTGAAACCTTGCCCTAGGGTCTGGTCCTTCTTGGGTCGAAATATCCTTGGCACGAATATCCCGGCACTCGGTACCCTGGAAGCAAGTCAGAAACCATCATGGTACACGGGGGTACGGGCAAATCGGTTATCACCCAGGGCCGCACAGGCGCACACCGCTAGCCTACAGACAGTACGTATCTAATATTGACTGAGTACGAGGTCAATATAGCATTATAGGAAATAAAAGCCGAGTAAAAGACCGAGGCGAAGCCGAGGTCTTTTACGAGGTTTTTATTTCCTATACTGACCAAGTACGAAGTCAATATTATATTTATCACGACAAACAGTCCGTATTTCAAATTCCAGAACGATAACCTCATGAATCCCGGTTTTATGATTGCACAACCACCACCTACTCTTGCAGTGACAATGCTGCACTAGGCACCGTTCAACTGCGCAACCCCTAAGCAGTCAAATATAAGCAGTCAATATAGCCCTAAGGAGTGAAATATGCAGGAATATTTGACTGCTTAGGTATGGCAAAAATCTATGTGAGTCAATACTAAGGGAGTGATAAACAAGATTACAAGTATGCCTCGGACTTCGTGGCAAGAGAATCCATGGTGCCCCTCCCGGCCTAGAGTGTGCACCTATTGTGCATGCATAGGTCTTTTTTTTGTTTTTGTTTTTGTCGGGCTCAAACGGTCACGGTTTTACCCCTAACGGTTAACTGCTAAGCTAACGGTCGGTTTAACGGTTATAACCTAACACGTTATAAGCCACGCCAATCCTGCGGACTCTTTTTTAACCGTACATTTGACTATACTCATTCAAAAAATGTACCCTATTCAGTACAACGCACACATGTACATTCTCTTGCATGCTCATTCATACATACTCTCACACCAAGAGACCAGATATGACCGAGTTGACAGCCCAGAAATTGCCTACGCGTGCGACAGCCTGCGAAAGTGCATACTTTGCAACGACCTGATACTTGACAAATTGACAGAAAAGTTACTGCGTAACCGTTATCTTTATCGGTTAACCGTTAATTCTTCGTAACCGGTCTGCAACCGGTTAATCGGACTAATCGTTTGAGCCCTAGTTTTTTTTTACAAGATAACCACAAACCATCATGGTGCAAACGCCGGCCAAAACGCACAGAGATGCACATAGCGATGGCAGCCGAAGCAGTGGAGGCGGGGCAAGAGCAGCTAAACCGACCAGGGGTCTCGGCCTCAGCACTGCTCATGCGCGCCAAACAGCATACATGTATTCCCATCATTTCTCCAGGTACCACTATCAGGACGGAGCCCTTGTCCTGGGCTTGGATCAGGAGCTTGACATGACCATGGTGACACTGTACTTGATGACATGTGAATACATAGATTGTTGGGGTACATGTACTGTAAAATGGGTAACTACTGCGACGTAAAAATGTTTGCGAATTTTGCGAGAGGCCCCGAATCGCAAACTTTGAACAACGCAAACTCGCGCCATGTAAAGTTCAGTTCAAGGACTGACTCGACTGTGTCGTACACGTATTCAATTCATATGTATTCAATCGCAAACATTAAACAGCGCAAACCAGTCTCAATTTGTAAAACGCAAACATTTATAGTCGCAAACGTTACCCGTTTTGCAGTACTTTGGCCCCGACTGTACATGTACATGTACAGTCGGGGCCAAAGAAATCCGACCCACGGGTCAAAAGCAGCGCAGTGTTTCCATTTCAATCACATCATGCACTGCCCGAAAACCAATTTGAGGGCCGCATGATCCTTGGTGCTGCTTTCGGCCCACGAGTCGGATTTCTTCGGCCACACATGCACACGGTGTCACTGTCACTGTGGGGCACAGGAAACGACAGCACACTCTGTCTGTCCTGACACCTGTGTCATGACTCGTGGTACTGCAGCATTTCCGCATATTCCAAGTACATGTGTATATGTAGTTGTATATGTAGTTGCTGTACTCTGATGATCAGCTCTTCTCTGGCTAGCACATCTGCAGCGCTGTAACTTAGCCCAGCTGCAGATATCATCGCACGCAGCCATCGCGTACCAGCCTGATGCGAAATCAGCCACACTATAGCACAGGGCGGTAATGTCATTTCACCGGAATGCGGTGTACACGGCATAAATAATTAACATGTGTTCAGGACGAAAAACGAACACTACAAAATACGGAAATAACTGAAAGAATTCAGAGAACTAAAGTAAACAGTTGCAGTCTTGAGACTAGGGAAAAGGCAGAAGCTGCCTGGTTCGAGAGTGATTCACAACTCATAATAGACACACTAGAGAAAAAAGAGCTGGTCAGATAGAGACCGAGAGTCACTCAGACAGAGACTAAGGATGCAGAGGGGTGTTAGGTGTAATTACGAATCATAATGCAACATCTGAAGTCAGTGAGCTGGAGTAAAGCGGTCAAGCGATAGAAACATAACGTTTACAACAACTGCAGGTAAAGCAGACATAGCACTCAAGAAACAAACGCACATAGCCCTACATGCAGTTAGTGCAGTTAGAGAAAACCAAAAACTGTACACAAACTGTACTTGTGAGTTGTGCAAGCAGGCACAGTGATTGTGCTGACTAGATACAGTGCATAAAGGGATGCTCACGGGGAAGCCTCACATCCATACAAAGACATTCGCAGTGGGCAAACGTACATTATGCACTCATATGAACACACACACATATGAACACACACACACACACACACATACACACACATACACACACCCACACATATGCACACACACACACATACACACACATACATACTACACACGCCACAAAACAGGCTCAAACACCCAAACACCCAAGTAACGTTACGGCGGCAGCAGCAACTTAATGTCAATGAAGAATTGACAAACGTGTAAGCACAGCACAGTGTGCTGGCTGTCAGGGCTTCGGGCTATACAGGGTGCAAGAAATGATGTGACAAATTCACAGTTACCATACTTGACACTGTCCTGGGACAAAAACCAGTATCTCTTCCGAGGCTAGGAGCGCCACGGTATCATAATCACGATATTATTGCGGAGCACTCTTACAGGTGTTCCCGGATGAGCTGGGGTCGTAATTAGATCTTACAGGGCCATGTCGGCTACACGAGCCGCTTCTCTCACACCGGACAAGAATGCCCCTGTGACTGTTTGTGGATGCTGACGATTCGTTGCCTGCAGCCGGAAAGCACACAAATGAAAAAGATGGATGTCATGTCGTGCGCACCAACATGGAATTTCCAAAAACAATGATGAAGCATGGGGGGGGGGGGGCACCCACACACACACACCCATCCAATCACCCATACCTACGCCCACCCTATACTCCCCCCCCCCCCCCCCCCCCCCACACACACACCTACTCATACCCCCCCCCCCCCACACACACACACACCCACAACCGCACCCATACACACACATAACTGAGTTGGGCTGCTAGAATAAACTACACCATTGGTGCTCTGCACAGGTAAGAATACCGTAGTTTGCCAGAACAAACACAGTGAGACAGAGCAAACACAGTGAGACAGAACAAACACAGTGAGACAGAACAAATACAGGGAAACAGAACAAACACAGTGATACAGAACAAACACAGTGAGACACAACAAACATAGTGAGACACAACAAACATAGTGAGACAGAACAAACACAGTGAGACAGAACAAACATAGTGAGACAGAACAAACACAGTGAGACAGAACAAATACAGGGAAACAGAACAAACATAGTGAGACAGAACAAACACAGTGAGACAGAACAAACACAGTGATACAGAACAAACATAGTGAGACAGAACAAACACAGTGATACAGAACAAACATAGTGAGACAGAACAAACACAGTAAGACAGAACAAACACAGTGAGACAGAACAAACATAGTGAGACAGAACAAACAGAGTGAAACAGAACAAACACAGTGAGACAGAACAAACATAGTGACACAGAACAAACACAGTAAGACAGAACAAACACAGCAAAACAGAACAAACACAGTGATACAGAACAAACACAGTGAAACAGAACAAACATAGTGAGATAGAACAAACATAGTGAAACAGAACAAACATAGTGAGATAGAACAAACATAGTGAGACAGAACAAGCACAGCGAAACAGAACAAACACAGTGATACACACATACCTCGCCAGCAAAGAGCAGCCGATTGAGAACCGGCTCAGCCAAGCGTTCATAGTCCACACCAGAGCCACCCGCAGACACGTAGGAATAGGACATACCAGCCCAAGGGTCACTGGACCATGAGGACACAAAGAAGTCGATCGGCTCAGGCACAGTCTGCATGCAACAAACACACAAACAAACAAACATGAATGCCAGGAATGTGAACAATGTGGGTCCAAGACAGGGACACCATAAGAGTCCTCTTTAATAGAGATGCTTATCATTTGATGGTGGTATTTCTGCATCCACCAAACACATACAAACCACGAAGACAATCACGTACCAGTACCGAGAAACAAAATCGGCAATCGACCATGACAATCACAAAGCATCACAAATACCATCTCTAATCAAAAGCAAAGAAACAGAGGAACACGATAGCAACAAGGAACGAAGAAATACAGGAAAGAAAAATATTGCTCTAGTACCCACCTCCTCTGGGAACATTTTTCGAAGGAGAGCCACAACCTTGGCTACCAAATCGGCAGCAGGTGTTTCACTCTTCATTTCCAGAGCTTTCCCGGACACAATGGTCATGAGAACGCCCTCCATAACTTGACCCTATAGCACCAGACACACAATCACACATGCATGCATACACACACACACACACACACACACACACACACACACACACACACACACACACACACACACACGCACGCACGCGCACGCACGTAGACACATTTCGTCTCAGCAACTGCACGCATAACTGTGTGTGCGTTCATAGTAACTTCACACACTGTGCTCCTCCATGCAAGTCGACATAGTTGTAATGCGATCACACAGTGCAGAACATACAATGTAGAGTGGCATCACCACAGTGCAAAAGGAATTAAGTGAAATATTAAAACCAATCTTAAATGTGCACGTGCCCCACTGTAGCCAATTCATAATATGGAAACCCTACACCATCACAAACACAAGTGCCCTATTTGCTGCAAAGCTATACTTGAAAAAGCTATACTTAAAAGCTGAATGATTTCAATGATGGCCCCTGGCCGAAAATTTGACTGAAATCGTACAGGTTTGCAAAACAGGCAAAATGTGGCCATGCATGTACGAGATTCCATACAGCTGATCAAGCCAACACATGCCCAGCTGCTCTATCCACACACAGTAGTTCTTACCCGCCGTGACAGGTCGTAAAACACGCCGCACAGCCCACGGGCCTGAGCGCCGGTCGGAATGTGGCCGAAGAAATCTCCACTCTTCACCTTGTGCGCCCAGAAGCGTCTAGGGAAGCGCAACGCAACCTAGCACAGTGCAAGCATCCAGTCAAACCACAATTAACGACACTCCCAAGCTAGGGAGTAAAAACCGACCTCTGACTTGACTCGTTGGCACGAATCGCAGTCGCGGGGCCACCCTGAGCAGGTGGCAACCAGCTACAATCATGGCTGTGTAATGAAGTGATAAGTGCCAGAGGAAAACTCAGGACAAAAGGGCATGCACTGCTGCTCAAGCTGCAGACCCAGACCATGCACAGATGGACATACTTTGAAGTACTAGGATGCCGTTACTCTGCTTTGGAAAGAGGTGTTCACGTGACGAAACAGAATGAAAAGTAGTCGTGCTCGGTGAGCCCGACCCAAAGTATATTTTTGGCACCCTGAACTTGCACGCCCTTGACGCCCTGGAAGTGGTATGAATGCTGCTGGACGTACACATGTACAAGTACAGTGATGCAATCAACAGCAAACTGGTCCAGGGAGTCAGTTTTGCAGTGAAGGTCGGATTTCAGTGGGCGCAACTGCAGTTCTGAAACAGTGGCAATTTTCCTCAAATCTCACCAGGCCCTATCTCCAAAGCGGTTTGGTTTTTGACAACCCATCAGTACTGCAGACCTGCTAACAAGAGCTCATCACAGGTGGTCTTCCAGCAGATGAGCTACCGCAGGACCGCCAGGCACTGATCGACAATGGTCGGCTGTGAACATGATCGGTACCTCCACGAGTCAAGAATTACTATTTCAGTATTACGGCTCCCGGAGAAATGCCACAGTATGCTCTCAGAGAGTCTGGAAAATCCACCACAGAACAAGCACAGTTCGCTGGCTAACCTTCTCGATCAGACCTGCACCGAGGTGTTGTATGGCCTCCAGCTTCCAGTCCGGCAATGCTGGAGTGAACGCAATCACCTCACGCTTGAGAAGGGAAAGCGGTGCCGTCACAATGACCTAGCAAACACACCGAGCGTGAAAGAAAGGGAGAAGGAAAGTTATTCTTGTGGGACTCATGCACACATTGGTGACTGGACTGGACCCAGGTCAAATACAGTGAAAGAATAATTGACAACCTGGAGTACAACACCTGCAGCGTAGAGCGGGGACAGAATACACTCGAACGTCTCTTATCCGGGCACCTTGGGACCGGGCACTGCCCGTATCTCAGATTTGCCCGTGTCTCAGGATAACTCACCTACCATGTATGATATCATTTTTTGAAGAAGTTTATTTGGCACGTATTGCACATGTTGAGGATACAAAGGGAACCCATTGATAAAAATGTGGGGATTACATAGGTTGGCAGTGAAACATAAGCACTTCCACACACGGAAAAAAAGTTCAAAAACCCCAAATTCGACTCATTTGTGCTATAGGCCCTCAAGCTGAAGGTGCCCGGTAGAGAGACGTGCCCGTATCTGAGGCGTCCGGATAAGAGGCGTTTGAGTGTATAGGCAACAATCAGTATGTGTCATAGGTTGATGAATAGGCTGCTTTCATCAGAAAGAAGAAATGACTACATGTACTATCAAGAGTACATAACCCCCAGAGTGTGCAACGCCTGATCCAGCTCTGAATAAGGTCTTGGGTCGAGCGTAGTCGGATCTTCTGATGTCACGCGTACGCTCCACACCAGCGCAAGGCCGGTCTCGAGGCAGGGCACCGTTGTTTTTGATCCGAGAGTCCCCGCGACTCCCCGGGTCCCCTCAGGTCCGTACGGTATTATGACGCAAAGGATCCGATTACGCTCCACCAAGACCCTATGCAGAGCTGGATTAGGCGTTGCACACGCTGGGGGGTATGTACTCTTGGTACTATCAGACCCTATCACTATCAGAGCACTTCAGTACAAAAGAGTTCTAATGCGGTCAACACACACTACAGTGCTGCTCAATGAAATCCAATCAAGTGAGTCAGCTTTACGCCCTGCACCTGTGAATATCCCAGTGTTCGCAGGTCTAGGGCTGCACAGCGCAAGGCATGGCATTGACTCGCTTCTTCGGATTTCATTGAGCAGCACTGTACTTCCAAGCAGGATGCACTTACAAAGTCAGCCGGTAACTGCTCTCCACCTTCAGTTTTCACTTGAATGACCTTGTCGGAATAGTCGATGCTGGACACCTAGAAAAACAATGCAGGCCACATCATCGCAGAGTGAGTTCAGCTGCTATTAAATACAAGCAATGTGTGTGCCTCATTCAAGGCCAGAGAGGAATTTCATAAACAAGAAGCTGCACTCCAGCGACGTCTACTGCTGGGAGTGCTGTGTGTACTGTGTACACATGCTAAGTCAGTTCAGGGCTGCCATGGCAGCAGCACTCAGCTTATCACTACCCAAGAGTCTGTCTCCCACATCCAGCAACCACTGTTAGCAAATTGGGGCCAATTAATTAAAAGCCTTCAAACACTCAGTCTCTTCGCGGTAAAGGGAAGAATAGACAGCATCACGTGTACCGTAAAGTACCGCCAGAGCGCCCCACCACTCATCCTTTCGTGGTCGTATTGTGGAGGTGATCTGCTGTCTGTAGGTCATGCGACACGAACCTTGTACACATATTGCACGTTTCGCAGTCAATCCGTACCTTCGAGCGGACACAAGCTCCACACCAAACCCTGGCAAGCGTGACCTTAGCACACTAAGATTCTCACATCGTACAAACTTCGTTGCACTCTGCCATACGATTTTCCTTTCTCAGGCTGTAAAATCAAGGTGGGGCGCTCTGGCGAGACGGGGCGCTCTGGCGGTACTTTACGGTATTGCTAAAGTGATACTTGTATCTTAAACCCAATAACAGTGCACATCCAATCCACTAACCGCTGTGTTGAGCTGGATGTCGAGGTTTTCAGCAAGTTTATTGAGTATTGGCGAGAAGCCATCGACCATGACAGTGTGATCGCCCGAAAACTGCGGGTAGTGATCGTTCTGATCCCAGAACATGGCTGACACCTGAAATCACATACAAATGCACGCATGCACACACACACACACACGCACGCACATACAAACACCACAGGTCACAGGTCCAACAGAACTTTCGTGAAATAACTCAATACAAAGATCAGTCATCTCGGACAAAGCTTCAGTACACATTTAGAACTGTTCAGAAAGCACAACTGTCTTCAAAGTTCAAAAACCGATTCCATGTGCAACATGGGTAGTCGTTGAATATAATTATAGCTTTGACAGAGCAGGAAAGCAGCTACATGTACTTCATAGCACAACTACCGGAATCATAACACACCATCAATAGGCATGTGCTAGGCAAATCCTGCACTTGAAGACTTGAAGTATCGGAATAGACAGTTGTAGAACGTCAAGCCGTATCGCACATACTAGTTGCGCTAGACGATTTAAGTCAAAAGGGCAGCTTTGCCACCCATGACTTGCACACGTCTCGGCTCACTGAGTTGTATAAATGCAGCTAGGCACATGCACACTTGTCCGGGCTGCATCATGCTTCACTGCATTCAGATTACAGAGAAACCTGTCTAAGACGACCGCTCAAGGGACCTTCAAAACGTGGTCTCCGTTACCAGGTGGTCTCCTTATCCAGGGTCATTTGACTGGAAATAGCACCCCTTGGTCCTGGTTGCAGTGGTCTTCTGGGACAGGTGGTCGCCTTATCCGAGTGGTCGCCTTGACAGGTTTTATTGAATGTGCAATACAGGCGAGAATGCATGGATACAGTCGGGAACTAGTCCAAGCTACCAGCTTTGCCCATCGGGTTGGATTTCATCAAGCACAACTGTTCGTCTACCTTATCCAAAGTGGCCCCACACGAGTACTCCAGGTTGCCAAAATGAAAGTCCAACAAGCGCTCCTGATCCTGAAGCCATAGCAAAAATAGAACGACAGTCAGCACCAGAAAAAGGAGCACCGCTACAATACTGTGCAAGGTATTCCAGCCATCCCACCATTTGAAAAACAACATACAGTGACTGAGTCAGACCTCGCTCTTTAAAACCGCACACATCTGTTTTCCACAAAATATCCCGATAGGCGAGGGAACCGCATAATCAAACGCACATACTGTATGTATGCATGGGAAATGCTGTAAATCGGTAACCAACGATTTCCTTCCGGATGGTGAGGGATCCGGACGAAAGAGGGCCGGATAAGCGAGGTCTGACTGAACTACAATAGTTGTATCTTCTGACTAAAGCATACGTACTAATACATGTACGGAACTACGGATATAACATCATTCCTGACCATCCTAAAGCAAATGCAATATCAGCGTAGATCATAAGCAGTGCAGAGCACAGCGAATGCGCAGCAAGCGTGGCTTTTGAGCGAACCGTTTGATGCCCTTGCACCACTAGGATGGCACAAGCAGCCAGGGAAGGCTGGCTACGAACCTCACCTCTTGAAGACCTCCATCCGGTATTAAGTCTGAGAAGGCTCTCTTCGCTTTCTCCAGCATCTCTGCGTAGACACGAGAGCAAACAAGAGAGCAAACAACAAGCATGAACGAGAACAGAATGCACAACAAGAGCAGTCCAACAATAACATGGAAAACAGAAGAAGTAAATGCCATACCCTTGAAATAAATCATTCACCAGCCACAAACTGCCATTCCGCATACACAGGGGTTCTCATATGCATGAAGAAGAAACTGCACTGAAGTTCCGCTTGCAATCACATGTACTAAGTTGAACTATTAACTGACCTTGCAAGGCAGTATCATTGTAGGACTGATCGCTCTTCAACTCCAGCTGCGCACTGTGCAGTTGACGAATGTCTTGCAGAGAGGAAACACGGCTGCTGCTCGATGTTGGCGTGACCCCCGGGCTGATCAACTGGCCGGCAGCGGGGAGGCCAGTGGCAGAAGTTGCACTTGTACTACTACATGCTTCTGCTGCAGCATTGCCCTGCTGGTGTGAGCCAGAACTGTTTTCTTCGTTAGACGGCAGTGGCGATGGTGATGGCGATGGTGAAAGCGACGCGTCCTTACACTGAGCTTTAGGTGAGCCCGCTGCAGCGTTCTCCGTCCGCACTTGGGCAGTTAGGGTGTCACCTGCTGAGGTTTGGCTACTCGGTGCGGTAGTGACCACACTGGACGGCGACAGCGACCCAGTCACAATCCGAATAGCGTTGGCAGCATGGCTGGTGAGAGCACTACTCACTGGAACCGCCCCTCCGCTAGGTGATGACGTGCCACTTTTAGAGTTCAGCGGACACTTTGTCGGCGTGGCGGCTTTGCTGCTGTTTCGGCTGTTTGCGGCTCGCTCGTCGGTGCTTGAACGGCGTGACCCAGACGACTTCTGGCGCGAACGCTTACTAGCGCGATTAGTAGACTTGCCGGATGACTGCGACGATGCAGCAGTGGCAAGACGCTCTTCTTCAGCTAGCTGCTGCTGTCGCCAGTCACCAACTAGGTCCAACAGAATGTTGAAGAACTGCTCCACGTGCTCGTCATCCGCTCCTTCAGCACACTTGCCATTCTCGTTGACCAGGGCACAGTGGCCATTCAGGCGACGCATAGGAATACCAGCCTGGACAGGAGGAGCATCGCACGTGGGGGAAAAGAGAATGATGCATCAGAAATCACAATACAAGTGTTGTGTTCTAGTGAGAACAGCAAAACAGAGAAGACAAGGAGTAATCCTATTCCATGGAAACAAAAATGCTGACCGCAGTGCAGCAGCAGAAGTGTTAGCAACAGCTCCACTTGCGACGGTCAACCCTCGACAAGGCATGGACATCAAGAGTATTACCGTAGTACATAAACCACAAGAGAGTCCCCAGTGACTCTGAGTTCCGCTGACGAGACCTAACAAGGTCGAAACAGCTAGCTGTCCGGAGATTGAGCATTACGCTCCCTCGGCCTGGCTTGGTTCAGCACTCTGGTCAGTGTCAAAGTCACCGGCCCCAGTACAAACCTTGCCGTGTTTCCAGTGACTCTGAGCTCTGCTGAAGAGACCTAACAAGGTCGAAACAGCTAGCTGTCCGGAGATCGAGTAAACCACAAGAGTGTGCAACTTTGATCCAGGTCCACTACATGGTAGATCTACATATGAAAGTTCCTGATCTACAAGGTACACAGCGACTGGCATGTATTGAATCACATACCTGCTTGCAGAGCACACCGATGGGGTTGTTGATACAGCCGTTGACAATTTGAGCACCACGGCCGACAGTGGTGCCCAGCGATGTATCATCGTAAACACGGCCACCAACGCGATCCCGTGCTTCCAGCACTTTCACCTACATGGTAATCACACACACACACAACAGGGTAAGAGTCTCAGTTCAGCTTATCAATAGCCAACTCTCCACATAATCTGGGCTGTGCATCACGGATTGTCGTAAAGTGCACCTGCCAATTCCTGTCCTCCATGACTAACCTCTGTCAAAAGGTGGAGCTTGGAGATTTCGAAATTCCGGGTTGGGCTGATATCAACATAAACTGCTAGTCTCTATATTGTGATGCGTAAATCCACCCTGATCATATGAGTCAACTCCCATGTCTTTGATTTTCTAACCTCAAACATGAATACTCCTCATAGGAAGTGTTGCATGGTCTTTTAGAAGAGGCCCAACGGAAATCGTCTTGAAAAAGACCAGGTTTCCAACTTCCCATGGTTGTAGTATTCAAGAAATCTTAGGCCCATACTTTTCTGGATGGACTGGAGACACGGTTGTGATACCCTCAGGCCTGGTAAAGTGCACAACACACACCCTTACTTCAGTACTAGTTACAGCAGCTACAGTACCCAGGGAATAGCACAATCCTTGGCCTCACTCACCACACCCTTCAGGCAAGCCAGTTAGCTATGCACTGGCTATCCACATATTCATACTCAGTACGCATGTACGAGATTAAAACACTACGTAAATAAATGGCTACCTTGGCACCAAGCCGGTTCAGATGAAACGCAGCAGACAGACCAGCTGGTCCAGCGCCAATAATCAGCACGGAGGGCACAGAGTTACCACCCTCCGGTGCTGTCCACCTCGGATAGGGCGGTTGCTTGGGCCGATTCGCAATGCCAATCTGCGGCAGGTTGCGCGTGCACACATCCAGAAAACCGCTGTTGACGTACGCCTGTCGTGTGAGGTAGTGCAGGATACGCCCCACCTCCAGATGGCAGCGGATGCGCACCATACCACGCACAAGCACGTGACGCATCACAGACTCAACCGTGAGGGGCACCTATGCATGAATACAAATGGTCAAGAGAAGCGACGATACAGACAAACCGCATGAGTTCGACCTTCCTCCTCCAGTTCCAAACATCCGTCCAATCCACGCAGAATCATTAGAAACGGTGCAATAAACAACATTGACGCTGCATGTACAGAACGCTTCATACACATACCGTACAATTCTTGTTCCACAAAGCAAGAATCAGATTCCGAAGGCCAAGATACAGAGTTGGATTCCTCCATCGACAAGCCAACACAGAACAGCAGCAAAAAGAGGGAAAATAGAAGAATAGAATGAGAGTAAGTTCAATACCTGGTACTCTGATAGACAAAACTAAGACATTATCCACTGCACCGGATTTTGATTCAGAAATATATATTTTTTAAACTACTGAAGTAAGACCATTCTTTTGGCTCTTTGCTTTCCTCCCCTTCCTTATCATTGCCCTGATGATGCCCAATGGGTTAAATATTGGCGGCAATAATAATTTATTCTTGGTGTGCAGCTGAGAACCTGTTCGGGGATGGAGGTCTTCACAAATGAAGTATTAACTGGCACTTGGAAAGCTAACGGCTGCAGGTTCGAACCTCGTGAGATTAGGGTTTTCATGCTGGCAACCCATGCCAAAGGGCAGGTAATGTCTGTTTGGTCTCTGACACTAAACAAGTTGCTTTTACTGATCCTGCAGGTAATTGAGTACCCAGGAATGCGGTATCACAATGTATGCCGCATTCACAGACTGACCAACAGCAGACAGCAAAGTACATGCAGTGCCGTGCTTACTTCAGAGTTCCAAACTCAGGAAAGTACAGGCACTCCTCAGCCTCCATCATGTCCGGTCGGAAAGACCGTGCCTTCCCCTCTCGTCCAGGCCGATGAAACGGCTGAAAGTAGCCAAACTTCTTGGTGAGCTCCTCATCTGATCCAAAAACAAACATACATTTACAGGAGGTCAGCTTGCAAGCAGCGGCAGAGCAGGACGGACAGAAACAGAAACATTCCGGGAAGCGTAGCTATAGGAACAGCCTTGTTCTGAAATGAACGCAGCATGTCTTGACAATAAGCTCACCGTCACTTGAGTCTTGGTCATCATTCCTCTTCGACTTGGCTCTGCCTGGGCCACCATGTTTTCCCAGTTGATGGCGACGCAGTCGCAGTACACTGGAGGTGCGAAACAGCGAGGGCACGAATGGCTTTTTCGCCACAGGTGCAGCAGGCACCACAGTCACATCCGATGGCGAGGGCAATCTAGGCACAGTTGGCAACGACGCCGCTGCAGAAGCAGTAACAGCAACGCTGGGAGTTCCAGTTGGGATGCCGTCCGTTTCCATCTTAACTTCAGTACACGTAGTTGTACCCGTCATCGATGTGGCCGTCACCACCATCGTCACCGATGATGTGGTGGTTGTTGCCGCCGTTGCTGCCGTTGTCGCTGCTGCTGTTGGTCTTGATGCTGGTGCGGACCCCTTGGTGACCTCTGTTGTTGCTCTGGATGCGGTCCCTGCTGCTTCCTTGGCTGCAGCTTCTTGGGCAGCCTGGGCAGCTTTGTAGGCGGCCAGAGCAGCTTTCTTGCCCTTCCATTTCCAAACACCAACAGGACTGATGCCAACGCCATCTAGAAAGTATGCAGTCAGCATATCCTGTGCTGGGCTGCTCAGAAGAAATGGCAAGTAACCAAGATCTGCTAGCCAGAAGACGCCCAGAGCATCACCCACACACTGCACAACAGGAACAGAAAAGGAACGGAAAAGGAATACAGCTGGTACGCAGCATCATTTTAAAAGACTCCTCTATCGCCTTTCTCTATCGCTATGCACCACACGGCTGAAATGAATAGCAAACCAGGCTTTCTGGTCCGGCACAGCAAAAAAAACTCAAGCTTGCTTGTCCGGCACAGCAAACAACTACAGCTTGCCTACCCGGCCACCTGGGGCGAGCGCTGCCATGGCCAGGATGACCAAACCAGCTGACAACTTGCCAATTCACACACACACACACACACACACACACACACACACACACACACACACACACACACACACACACACACACACACACACACACACACACACACACACCCTCACGCATGCATGCATGCATACACATACGCACACACGCACGCACGCACACACACACATGCATGCATGCACACACATACGCACGCACGCACGCATGCATGCATGCACACACACACACACACACACACACACACACACCTCAGACCTCAGACCTGCCCATCGCGGAAGCGATGATAGCGAACAGCTATGATAGACATAGCAACTTGTGCTGGGATTACACCATTCAACAGCTTGCAAGGCTGATGAATTGACCGCCACTAATTTTAGCCTGGTATCCACCACACAGCTGATTGAAGTGGCTTTTTCTGGCCAGTGAATCCCTATTTTTCATTTTTCTCATTTTTCCATTTTTATATTCTTTTTTATTTTATTTTTTACACACACACGCCACACCACATACTCCGGCATACACTCGCTGTTGGTAACCACCCAGGAGAATGAAAGAAGAGCTAGGAGAATAAGAAAGAGAAGAAAGACGTGTGCGACCATAATCGTCGGGAATTGAACCCGCAACATCTCGATTGGAAATCGACTGCACACACCACTGCACCATATGGGACACACACACACACACACACACACACACACACACACACACACACACACACACACACACACACACACACACACACACACCATACCACACACGCACGCACGCACGTACGCACGCACGTACACACACACACACACATTTTACAGACATAGACTGCCATGTTTCCAAACGCGCTGCTGCATGGAGAATCTGAGCTACAATCAAGACCACATACTCTCAGAAGACAAGCTTACCTCATCCTCTGGTGTGGAGCATGTCTCCTGCAAAAAGCACACACAAACAGTGCACAAAGACCGTCACATATACTGTAAAAGCAGAAATTTTCGGTGGTGTTTTATTTTCGGCAACTTCGGTGCCGACAATTTTTACCGAACCGATTTTGGAGAATACCGAAAATATTACACCACCGAAAATTTGTGCTTTTACAGTAGGCTCGATGCTGGAGTACTCTTAGTATTACTGTAAACACATCATTCGGCCTGGGAAAATCTTCAGTAATATAACAACCAATATTCATATCAGCCGCATATCGCGCCAGCAAATGTTATCACCAAAGACCAGCAAGAAAATAAGCAAGAAATTCAACAGTGCATGTAGGGGTTGCTGTTATTGTTTTTAGCAAGCCAGCACCCATATGGAATGCAGGGATACACATTTGACCACTACAACCACCAGTACATGTTCATTGCACATATACACACACAACACCACTAACCGGTTTCGCGTCCCCTTTGGGAACGTACTGGCCGCATGTGAAGTCCTTGATGGTATTGTCGGCGTTGACCACTTGGCTCCACTCCGTGTTCTTCTTTCCCACCGTACCGGTGGTGGGCACGTCGATGCAGTCGACGCGCCGCCACTTGCCACAGTCCTTGCAGCGCAGCCAGAACGGCAGGATCTGCTCGGCGAAGAACACCTTCATGGTGGGGTCAAGGCGACAGTCGGCATTCCACCAGCGCTGCCACTCGATGTACGCGCCCATTGCCATGGGACTGGTGGCAATAGGCAAGACGCACACACGCACACAGGCGTGCACATGCCATCGTTAACAGGAGTGCAGCAAAACTGTGCACCTCACACACGCGTGAATTTATTAAGTGATGGATTCCATTGGATCTCTGGCACAGTGCACTGGTGTACAGAACCAAGGCTAAAGGAATTGAGGGAATAGACGGTGCTGCTCAATGAAATTTTGCCTTTGCGTACAGCATGTTCGTAAATGCCTGCCTGCCACCACACTGCACTCGAAATGTAAAAAGTATTAAAAAATTAAAAATTCACAGGAAAGTTGCTTTCTATTGGGTCCTCAGATTGCTGAAACGAAAAACAGCATGTTTTGCGTTCTGCGCCGTGCCCTTGGTGATATATACGATGCAGTAAAGTTTACGCATTTTTGTACCTAGTGTGGTTTCAGCCTATTTAAAGACTGTGCTAGAGCAATTTTGCAGTGTCACCGGGCGTTACACAAACACACACACACACACACACACACACACACTCACACACACACGCACACTCACACACACTCACACACACACCTCAGACCTCAGACCTCAGACATGCCCATCGCGGAAGCGATGATAGCGAACAGCTATGTTAGACACAGCAACTTGTGCTGGGACTACGCTATTCAACAGCTTGCAAGGCTGATGAATTGACCGCCACTAATTGTTAGCCTGGTATCCACCACACAGCTGATTGAAGTGGCGTTTTCTGCCCAGTGAATCCCTATTTTTCATTTCTATTTTTTTTTACACACACACGCCATACCACATACTCCGGCATACACTGGCTGTTGGTAACCACCCAGGAGAATGAAAGAAGAGCTAGGAGAATGAGAAAGAGAAGAAAGACGTGTGGGACCATAATCATCGGGAATTGAACCCGCAACCTCTCGATTGGAAATCGACTGCACATACAACTGCACCATATGGGATACACACACACACACACACACACACACATACACACACACACACACACTCACTCTCCCTCTCTCACACACACATACACACACACAAACACATACACACACACACACACACACACACACACACACACCGTGACACACATAAACACACATGCACACACAATCAACGTACTTGCGGTACACATGCTCGAAGCACTCATTGCAGTAGTGTTCATTGTTATTCATGTGGTACCAACGAGATGTCCAGCCGGCGACAACACACCTTCACAACGGAAAATAATCACAATGATAGCAGTAACAACAGCACTGTCATACAAACATTTGATTCAAAGAGCCACTTTGAGCAATAAGCTCAGATGGATATACACTAAAGAACTTACAACATGAAGATGCCATTGCAAGTCAACACGACCTGCCACCGACACATAATGGTGATACACATACTTGGCAAAATGCTGCTGATTGCCCCCCCCCCCCCCCCCCCACACACACACACACTCACAGATACACACACATGCACGCGCAGTGATGGTAGCAAGAGAAAATCATGCTGACGTTGCCAGAACGTCATTTTGTGACCAAGAGAGCGAGTTTGGTTATCAGTGTCAACAGAGTATACTAACTTGCATACCTTTGCAGCTATTTTCTTCACAAAACATAGGAAAGGAAAGAAGGTGCGACTTAACGCTAAACCAGATCTAATTAGCAAACGCCAATGGCTGTTTTAACGAGTAAATGATTATCCCACTATCACAGCTGTGACCCTGGTCACAATTCCAGATGTTTCTACTCAGCCTGACGTGAAAACCTCACATAAGGCGAGACCAAAAAAATCAAGACTTCTGGGCCAGGGCGCACCAAAATTGAGGCGACGTCAATTTTTCTCAGACCAGTTCATCACTTCATGTACATGTATAGTGCTGGTCGTGTGAGTAGATCTACATGTATATCTATGGCAGGGAGTCATACAGACCCGGGCTTTGTATGACTCCCTGATGTAAAACTCGCATATCCGTAGAGCTAGGACATACAGGTAGTCTTGGCTGGGTGCGCAGCGCACTACGAGTACAAGTGATGCACTACAGTCCATTTCAAAACTATAGACGCGTACCTAGGCAAAAACCGTTATGCCAGCATCTATACCACATAAAATCTCTGATCACTTTGTGCATAAATTTTTCCAAATTGGGCGTCTGTTATCAAATCGTTTAGAAACTATAATAATTATTATGAGAGTAAATTGTGGAGCGGTCCTGAGCAATATTCCAAAAACTATTCTCAAAAAGTTCCAGCCAAATTTGAAATATTTCAAAAACCCTACGCGTCCATAGTTTTGAAATGGACTGTAGCACTGGTGCTGTTTGCATGCACGGACGTAGCCAGAAGATCTACGCTGCAGGGCCGTCGTTGACCAAAATACAAAAATTGTATGGGAAAACTGCACACCGTATACCGTAATTTTTTTAATACTGGAAAATACTGGAAAAAACAGTTCAGCATGGAATGCATGCATGCATAGTTAACAAATTTAAAAAAAATTAAAAATCCGCCCGCCTGCACCAATTTCACATGGGTTCGGCCTGGGAATGTCGATTTTATTCCCGTAGCTATGCAGAAGACGTTACTTCAGTAACGTCTGGCGCTAGCCAGGGTCCACACAGCTTTAATTTGGTGTTTGTTTGTGTGTTTGTTTGTTTGTGCCACGGCTGGCACTATCCCGTATCTGTCCCGTACTGTACCGTACCAGCAAAGCCACAATATTTTTGTTTGTTTGTGCCATCGATATGCCTGGCGCTATCCCGTGCCTGTCCCGTACCATCAAGAGTACGGTACCATCAAGAGAATGAGTATATAATGCGAAGTGTATCGGGGGAATGCATTCAGTGCAGTAAGATTTTGTGTGGATTTGTGTGCGAGGCCGAGATCCCACTAGCAGGCTGGCTGGGCCGCCTGTCGAACCGCCCGGGAATCGCATGTAGGCCAATAGCATAATAAATATAACGTTACAGTCATGTAGATGTAAAAAGCATTTCCATCAGTTCTAACAACATGCACGATGAGCTAGGCAACACAGCATAGCGCAGGGCCCTGAGCTTCCAAGCTCTCTCGTTTTGGTCTCGCCTAACAATTACCGTAAAGTACCGTTGATCCGCCCCCTCTCTAATTCCCGCCCCCTGTCGATTTTCTCCTTGTGAAGCGACTTCGGCGTATACAACGAAATACGATGTTGAACCGACGCATGCACTGCTGTACACAATACTTGCCAATCCAGGATCAAAATGTGCACAATCCAGCACATTGAGTCTGATCCTCTACGTTGTTGTACATCGTACTGCACTTGACAGCCTTGATCTAATTCCCGTCCCCTGCCGAAAACCCAGCTGGGAAGCGACATGGCGTGGGGGCGGATCAACGGTACTTTACGGTATTACAATATTACAACTACTAGTAGTCTTGAAGTCTAAAAGAAGGGATTTTCAAGCAAAAGCCAAATTTGGGTACCAGTAAATTTGCGCAATTCAGGAAAGCGGCCAAAACGACTCGCCCGGTGGAAAGTAAGCCATGTGTCTTTGCGTTGGGAATCAAACATTGCTGCTCATAGGAACAAGGATCCAAGTAGTAGTCAATAGCACAACTTCTACAGTGCCACTGCATTCATTCGCCAAGCAAAGGTGTTCAGGACGACAATCCCAGCTTCTTGCCATGTGCCTATGCAGCGAAGATCCGGCCTATTGGACTGACTTCACGATGAATGCTAGCTTAGGCCCCACAGGTAGGCGCAGTAGAGAGCACAGAGGTCGCAAAAACAACCAAGCATGCGCCAATTTCAAAATGAGCCGTATCGGATTGCAATTTGTGAAAAATGCTGTGCCGCTCAATGCACGCCGAATTCTATAATTTTTGCGGACACCATTAGTGCACAGCCTTTCTCGCCTCTTGGAGGTGCAAAGAAAAGCTGAGTAGAGCCTAAAACTCTTGTCTTGGTGGTAATGCGCCAAATCTACTAAATAGTGAGCATCCGGCTGCCATCGGCACATTTCTATGTGCGGTCCTTACTAGAAAGCAGGTGCAGCATAGTAAGTATTTAGTTATGGCAATGAGAATACCAGGTTGTGTTTTAGCAATCCAGATATCAAACTCCCACTTTCTTCAAGAATTTACATGCACTGCAGGTTGTCCATTCACCAATTGGGATATGCTAAAATGGCTTCTTTACCTGTCTGATATGCTGATGGTACATTGAGGAGAGTTGTGAAGACTGGCTCTTGGACAGCGACTGCTGGAGCAAGCTTTCGGTGTATCTGGCTCATGACGACGCTTGCCACGTCTGGCAGACATCTCCCCTTCCTTGAATAGAGCCACTCACCCGACAATATGCTCATGAGCAATGTCGCACAGTATCGCATACGGGAAGGAAACGCAATCTCACCGCTCTAATTCTCATTGGGTTGGGATTGAAATCGCCGAAATTGAAGCAAATTCTAGGACATTCCCGATCAAAAGAGGAAAAATCGCAAACAGTCTGGTAGAATCGTGCACTTTTCATGAAAACAGTTTCAAATTTGCAATCTTTGATGCGGGTACTGATCTCAAACTCAGGTCAAATCAAGGCGATCCACCCCATAGACCTCATGCTCAGCTGCCCGAAAAGGGCAAGCAGTAAAGCAAACAAACGTTACCCCTTGCCCGTTGGTGGCGGAAGAGAAGCTGAGCATGTCATGCTCATGGTGTATTTCGATTCGAGAGAGCAGGATTGCGGCGTTGTTCGTCACCCCGACCTCAGCTACAGGTGGTCATCATTGTATCATGGCGTGAGTCTGTACAGTAGTCAATGATGCAGCGGCCATTTTCAACAACATTTTTGTGCACAAAACATGATGGCTTGTTTGTTACACACATGATAATCATGATAATGTCGGACTATTATTATTCTCAGTGTATCAGACTTTTAATTTCAGTTATTGTATTCAGTTTCTGGAGTAATTCTCGCCTCTCAGCGTGTCTCCTACATGAGTACAGTATGCACAGTGCACTTCTGAGGGCATTGGGAAGTGGTGGCACTCAGAAAACTATCTGCATCTGGTGGCACTGTGGCCACATCATCCTGCACTGATCCGCTGAGTGCATCATTTTCACTCGTGATCAGAGCCCAGTACATGACGTGACGTGGTGTATGTAAGCCTTGCTTGATAGCAGATACCATGGATACCGGTAATAATAATAATCATCATTACTATGATGATGACAGCATACTGCATAGCACAAGGCACACCGTATCGATGGAAAACAGCGTTCCTGACTCAGGCAACCATACTGGCTTGAACCGCCGCACCGCCGGGTAGTCTCGTGGCTCACTGTGAGTAAGTTTTGAATTGCGCCCAGTGGGACCATGCCCAGTTCAGACCCTCTTTCTTTTTCTTGATTCTATGGGGGGGGGGGGGAAGAGGAGGGCATAGAACTTAAGACCAGCCTGATTTCAACTCGCATCCACTGAGTTAGGAGATCAGTGTCGGAATTTCCTATGCCCTCCCTCCCCCTCCACTGAATAGAATAAAGAGGGTCTGAACTGGGGCGCGGCTCCTTATGGTTCATATGGTCTTAAGATCGAGACTCTACCAACATCAGGAACCGTGACTGTTTTCCATACCGTAAGTGTGTCCTCGGTCCATCCCAGCTCAGTCATGCTGTCATCCTCATACTTGCTTCGAAGTAGTTTTTCTACATGTCTCGTCATATATTATGACATGTAGAAAAACTACATTATAAGACTCAACACATGGCTTATCAGTAAATAACTTAGGCATCATTGGATAATGGCTGATTTCCCTTTACATTCCTGTTCCTAAAGCCTCGCAGTAAGAGTAAATTCGCTGGGAGCTTATTTTACTCTTAATCACGGAAATCAGGATCAGAAACGCGCCTCCCACATCATAACAATGCCTGATAATTCGAACCTTGAGCCGTGCATGCACATCTAGTTAGAAGTCCCGCGAGGTCCACTTACATGGAGGATGTAATTGTATGGGATTCCTACTGATAATTTGAAGCTAGCAAAGCGTAATTCAAAGTTCATAGTACATTGTGACCCTGTGGTCAGTTCAGTGTGTACGAGCAGGCTGTACCAGCCGGTTTAGAGTGTGCGAAATCAGTGTCTAAGAGCAACTCAACTCCGCTCTGTGACATGTCCTGTAGTATGGTCTTGGATAGCGTCTAACACGTAAGCACCACTACCGGTATGTGATCCGACTGTGTAAGACAGACATCCAATATCCGATCAGGGAGGGGGGGGGGTGCTACATGTATTATAGCATGTACATCACATGGCCTGGGGAAACTCCCTTTAATTAACACATGCTGTGCTGCAGGTAGTAGTCCTGTCCCGAGGACATTTCTAAAACAATACAATTATTCGCTCTTGGTATTCATTGGGTGGGTTCCTGAAGCAGTAGCATGCACATCTGCGTTGCTCCTTTTCAAGTGAAGTGCGACGTCATCTCGCGCTATACTAGGCTTGTCATTATCGTAACAAGCTGGGCACTCGTCATACGAACATGGAGCTATGGATCTCAGATGTAGTGGTAGGCAACAAAATTACGTGTATGTCATCAGCTTCAATCAAGGAAATCAACACTAATAGATTATAATATTTGCTCATGGAGAATTTGTTGGAATTCAATGTGTTCACAGTCAAAGAAATGAAAACTTGCATTGGTCTATTTCAAGTGAACAACTGCTAGATAAAGTTATTTTGCCCAGCAACAACTACGAAAATAACCAACACCGCAGGCAGAGTCCAGCTGTGCCCATTCAGTGTTGACGCTTCAAGTCGGGCAGACGGCACAGCACCAGATACTTCTGTCCTTTGCCAGGCCATCCCGAACCAATGTCGGCCATGACGGTTGAGCAACTTGAGTGGACTGAAATAGTTGGCTGCTGCACCATGGCGACTACTCTGGACCTGCGGCGGTGACCATTGATACAACTTTGTGCGGACTGCCAAGCCGATGAAGGTTGTCTCGCGAAGAGTTATGATGTTCCTTGCCAATAAGTCTATGTGGTACTCCGTGTTGGGCCGGAGGTCATGGAGTGTGGTTGTTCTTGTTGTACCGTCGACACACGGTGGGTGCAGGGCGGCTGTTCGCTCCATCCACTGTGCATACGGACTGCTGTGCACGTCCGTCGGTACATGGTTACTTGCGCTGTGAACTACCGGGCAGTAGACCGTGTTGGGCGACTCGGGTGGCGGTTCCCACATTATGTCAATCTTGTTACTGCCGATTGCCTGCACCGTCACCTGTGGCTCGTTGTTCTGCATTTTCGGGTATGGGCTGTGCTCCGGCTCCAGGGTGGCAAAGATCAGAAAGTCGGCCATTCCAGCACCCATATTATGCACACGTATGGAGTAGTCACCACCGTTGATATCCTCTTTGAAGTAGGTCAGTGCGCCAGGCCCCAGGCTCTCGCCACCTTCACCCGCATGAATTTCCCTCACATCGTAGTCTAGGTTATAAGGTGGTGCACCTGAAGCACAGCATCGCTTCGCCCTGTGCCTGCTCCCTGCATGCTCTAGTGTCTGTACAGCTGGACCTTTGGGTGCTCGCGGCGGCGCCTCCCGTGTCTTGCGTCGTCGCCGACCTATGTAGTGGGAGCGTGCGGCCGGGTACGACGGGTGATGCGCGTACGGGTCGCGCGGCCCCGTGCCGCCCAGGCCGTGCGCGCCCGTGTGGAACGGGTCCGGGCGAGCCTGCCGGACTCCCTGTCCACTGCGCTGCGGCAATGACTGCAGCAGGGCGTGCGTGTAGAACGGATGCGTCATGACATCTATGCCACCATTGGAAATGTTCCACGTGATGAAGCCGCGCCGAGGATGCACCGTGATAGAAATGCCCGGAACGGTGTTCGGCACGCCCGTCAATGTATACACTTGATCCTGGTTTGGATAAAGTTGCTGTGCAGTTAGATGCCCTATGGGTAGCTCAACGGTTGTCTTTCCGAAGTGCTGGCTGCTTGCTGGTGAACGTGCCGGTGGGAAATACGCATAGAGGCTGTTGCGCTCCGAAGCGGGCAGATCAAGCTCCGACGCAGGGTATCCGTGGTGCATTGTGGGTATGTCCTGCCGGTTGTGCGAATTGGCATTGTAGGGGTCCGGCTGCTGCTGCTGCTGCTGTCCACCATAGCCAGGCCCCGGAGGGTACGGTGTAGCTGCATGGTGATCGGGACTTGCAAAGTATGGGTCTGGCTGCTGGTGATGACGGCCGTGCTGCAGCTGTTGACACTGCCCTGTTGGTACACGACATAACAACTGCAGCGCCAGAAGCAACAGCAACACGGAGTGCTCAGTAGTTGGTCTGCGTCTCAGTGTCTTTCGATCAACAGTCCATCGCCTGTCCGTACCGGATGTGCAAGAAATGCCATGAATGCTACTTGCTGAGGAAGACCTGCTAGCTGTTGGGACACCCGGATGCAGCACTCTTCGTAATGCACACTGCCTGGTGGCGTTGGCTGCAGCGAGTGTTGCCACTTCGATAATGACGACCACGGTGCTGTTGTCGCTGGTGCTGTTCCTCTGGTTGGCCGCTGCTCTTGCTAGCATGTTGTGCAATCCTCATTCCCTGGCCCGCGTAGTTCACTCATCTTCACGGCATGTGCGACTCTTCGGAAACGACGTAACTCGACGCGTGTCTGAGTCTCTGACCAGAAGCGCTGCTGTTTCCTCTTGCCTCTTGTCACTGAGAGTTAAAGAGTTCCTCTATTTCACTTCTCGGGATATCTTTCTGCTGATCCGCACGGCAGACTGTCTATTTCGTGAATGTGTGTGTCCAGGGCAATTTCCTCCATTATAAAATTCACCTAGGCTAGGAGCTGCGATATGAGGGATATTTCCGCAGTGTTCGACGACGGCTGGCCCATCTGCTATGCGTCGCTAGCCATTTGGCGATAATGCCCTCAGCTGGGTCGCATCGATGCCCATGTCTTTACCAACGTCGTTAGTTATTCACCATGTACCACCGGTAGCGACCGAAGTTGTTCGCTTCAAAGTAATAATTATTAGTTCAGTGTCCCTGGCCTCTTGTAGTTCTACCCTGCACTGATCTGAGGGGTCTACAATCATGGACTTGGTATGAGGTTGACTGCTGACCTGCACATAGAGACTTGCAATAAACGAAATAAATGTAGGCCTACCATGTAATCTACCAGGGAGTCGTAAAAGCCACTCCCGGGTCTACACTGATGTAGTCGATTCTGTGTTGCGCTACACCAGCCTACACTAGTAGTACAGTACAAGCTAACTGCTTGGCCCGGTACTCTCACTCTCGCCGGTCGAAAACGTTTTGTGAAGCGCCCTGCACCCGTGTAGTTAGCGATGGGGAGCAGAACAGGTGTCTATTGTTGATTATTACTCAACCAGAGTCGTAGCTGCTGCTCGCCTATCACAACTGCCTGTTACGAAGTTTGGACAGCGATGGCAGAAACATCGCACCTGTCCACAGGCAGGCATTCTTGTGATACTCCCTCAGCCTTGGGCCTTACCCGAGTTAGGCCTCTAGACTATAGCTATTATCTATAGACTAGAGATAATTATCTAGACACTAGTCTAGTGGATCGAAGCAGAGACACTCTCCTGACCCTGTTACAGCTTATACCTTCGATCCTTCCCTCTGAATCTGAATCTCGTCGAGTTTGCGGTCGCTCAGTGTGGAGATTCTTTCTGCCCCACGTGGCGTCGTGTACGGTGTAGACTACAGTGTGTCAGTGACACTAGCATCAGATCAGACATGATGAGTCTGATCCTCCTTGTTCCCACCTTTACTAAGTAAAGTGTAGTGCGGTAACTACTCTGTTGAAGACTGTTCAAGGTCTACAGTGTCGTTTTACTTCTGGTTTCACTGGGAACCTTTCACAGCAGCTACAGCTGAGCTGGCATTGACCAGTGGCCACTGAGTACCATCACCGCATACCTCTCCACTCGACTCCTGGCCTAGTCCTAGGCCACAGGCAAAGACTAACCCATCACGGTCAGCAAAGTAGCGAATTAGCGATAGCTCCAGAGTTCGTGTTCTCTTCTTGCAGATGGCGGAGCGACAGCGCCATGTTGCTTGTCTTTAGTAAAGACTTTACCTTTGCTTGAGGCGATGGGGAGGTTGGGTTTCCTCACCTATCGTGACAACGAGTTGTACATGCGTTACATTGTTGTAGGCTAGCTTTAGGTTAGCCCACACAGCTCATAATGAGAAAGAACCTTCAACCCAGCCAGGGTCGGTCTTTTTTAGTGCTAGCCACCTTGCATGCATTGGACTTTTAGCGAGAAAAAGAAAGAAAGCCTTTCTTCACTTTGTCATGCCTACTGAGCAATCTAAAAGCAAGAATCATTGTACAAAGAAGAAGAAAGTTGCCCAGAATGGGATTCGAAGCCACAGACTTCGATCACAGCGGAAAAAAAGGAAAAAGAATGGTCGTCAAAAGTAGGGCTAGGACAGGGGTCCTAGTTCAGACCGTCTTTAATCCTTCCCTCAAAGGAGGGGAAGGGCATGATGCAAGTGTGTCGTTGTAAGATGCCCACGCCCGCACAGCATGGTTCACTACAGAGCCTACAATAATATTGAAGGAGGAACAAAAATAGGGCGTTACTACATGTACTTCGGCAAGAAAGCAATATCCAGTGATATGCTATGGAAGGTATTCTAGATTGCTCCGATTCTAGAATGAGGCGAGGATGATTGTATCATTACTATGCGCGTGCAGCCTCCTATGTAACTATCAGAGAGTCATAAAATACGACTCCCTATCTGGTACTGTAACCATAACGTCAGCTGGACCACTGGGCTGGGTGCCAAAACCGGGCACGTGTCAACAGCATGCAGGGTGGTTCAGTGTGCATCTCGCGAGAACACTCCGAGGCTTGGCACTTGGCATAGCAGTTTTGTGTTGGAAGTCCATTGTTAGTGCCAAATTCCAGTCAAATCAAGTTAGTAAATGTAAAGTAAGGAAGTAAGTAAGTTGCATACAATCAAGCCAACTCAGAAAGCAATCAAGAATCAAACTCAGTGCACTAGTATTGGCAGTACGAAACGTCCATTACCACACACC